CTAGAAGGAGCGCTGGATGCAGCTTACTCCTTGTACGAAGGCGTCTTGGAAACTACTGCTGAAGCCATTTTCCAGCGAGGAATCACGGCTGAATTGAATGCAATCATCAAGGAGCTTCTAACAGAGGCCCAAGCATCAGGTTGCGAGAGCGTCCGGACCTTTGCAGAAGTTTCGGAACCAGCTATTGATTATGTCGACTTTCGGGAACTCTTTGGTGATGGAGGTGGTGGTGGATACAGCACAATTCCAGTCCTTGCAAGGACTTTGTTGAATGGCTTTTTGGGCAGCTCGGAGCAGTTCAATAATTTGTTGAGTCTCTTTCTTTCGGAAGATCAATACGATGGAAATGGAAATTTTGCGTTGGGCGATTCTCTCGTAAACTCTTCCTTTGGCATTGCAATTGGAGGGCTGGTTGCCGATTTAGAACTTCAGTTGAAGAACGCCACATTGCAGAACGTGGATTCATTGGGACAGCCGACAGAGTTGTTGAACACAGTGGCAGATCATCCGTACCTTTTGGCAAATACAATGACACTTGGCACCGAACAATTACCACTTCAAATGAAAGGGAACCTTTACTTTTCGTTAGTGGGCGGCGGTAAGTCCGTTTGACAAGAATCCGTCTCTCTTATTTCTTGTATTTATCTTTGCTGACCCATGATGCAACACCATAGACAACGGTTCATTGAAAAATGATGTTACCGTAAGCGTTGCAATGAATGCCTTTCAGCTCGAACCGCTGCTGTTGCTCATGATTGAGGCATCCCGACTGGACAATTTTCCGATTCAAAACATATTGGAAGTGGGTTGCTGGTTGGCGACAATCCCTGCGCCTGAGCTTGATCGCTACGGTGTCAGTGTAAGCAATGCAGGACCAACTGCGGCGTTGCGAGCTTTAGCTACATCTATTGACAGCTTGACAATAAATGTCACTTGCAATGAATGCTCTAGTCCCAAAATGAGCGAATGGCCAGATGTCCTAGCAACTCCCCAAGCCCAGGCTGACTTGGCCATTGCAATGGCGAATAGCATCACTTACCTTGGTGAGGCCATAGCAGAAGGAGCGTTGCTTCAGAACACTATTGATCAGACACTGAATGACGCAGCACGACAGTGTCCGCACAATCCTGCTTATGCCCCAAATGCCGAGGCAACAGTCTACGAAGTGATACCCATTACACCAGTAGATAATGAGGACTCGCAATCGTTCCTCACGACACTGCTGATCATTGCTTTGGTTGCTCTCCTCCTGGTAACCGCACTAGGGTTTGCGTTGAAGTGGTTTGTTAAGCGAAGGTATCGCACTTGGCTGGCAACTCTTCCGCAAGACCGGTTAGCGCAGCTAGCCAGCGCTCAACAGAAGAAGACTGAGGCAGCTCAAGCGCTAGACGCAGCCACAGATTCCATGTTCACAAGTCCTCAAGTGCCAATTTTCCTTCGTTGGGGCATGCCTTTTATCATTCTCATGAACATTGCTTTCTTCTTGAGTGGGCACCTGAGCTTGGGAGCTACTGTGAACATTCAAGCAAACATTTTCGGGGAACAACTTAGTGTCGATAAGTTTTTTGAATTTTCAATGGCGCGGTCTATAGTCGATCTCTGGGAGGCAGGTGGCAAAGAGTTGGCCGTTATTCTGTTGATTTTCTCAGGTATCTGGCCGTACGCAAAACAGCTGATAACGCTCACTGTTTGGTTCTTGCCACCATCAAAGTTGTCAACATCTCGACGGGAATCAATCTTACTGGGTCTTGATCGTTTTGGCAAATGGTCGATGATTGATATATTTGTCCTTGTGATCAGCATCGTCGGGTTCAGGTAAGATTGTGCCAGCGTTGACTGAAAATTGTTGAACGAATATGTAGGACAATGATCACTGTACTAATCCTTCTGCTTTTGAATGACAATAGAGTCTCGGTGCAAAGCCCAAACTCTAGTTTCTTTCCCGTCGACTTTTACTCGATTGACCTATTGGTCGTTCCTCTGTGGGGTCTCTATGCGAACATGATTGCCCAATTGATTTCGCAGGTGAGCTCACACTTTATAATCCACTACCATCGTGAAATTATCCGTGAAGCAAACGCTCGTTTGGGAAACGATAAAGGTCTGGGTGATACAACTGCTGTTGAAAATGGCGAAGTAGAAGAACACAGGGGGGGTGGCTCTGATTCGATTGCCCTTTACGAACACGAGTTTTGTCGTTTACACCGCGGCGATAAGTCAAAACTCATGGTGCGAAATTGGGTCAACAAGATGCTAGTTTTGGTGGCAGTCTGCATTGCTAGTTTTGTGGTTGTTGGATGCATCATTTCATCTTTTTCGCTGGATATCTATGGTGTCATTGGCGTTGCGGTGGAATCGGGTCAAGGGTTTGAAGATGCGACCACAGACCACACTGTATTTACAGTGCTGAAGCTACTAATGGACGAAGCAAAATTCTTGGGAGGTGCTGGCAACTATATTGGTCTTGGGGTATGGTCTGCACTGTTTGTCTTGACAGTTCTAGTTGTCCCTATTGTGGAAGCAGGCGTATTGTCATTTCAGTGGTTCTCAAACTCAACGAAGCAGAAAAAGATGAAGCTGTCAGTCTTGATTGAAATTTTGGATGCATGGCAGTACACAGAAGTGTATCTGATTTCATTAATGCTGGCAAGTTGGTAAGTAGTCATTTGTGTTGGAAGGCAAAGGTGCTATTGCTGCGCACTCATCGTCCTACTTCTTTTAGGCAACTTGGTCCGCTGTCAGAGTTCATGATCAATGACTACTGTGGTGGACTTGATGCAACGTTCAGCGATCTAGTCAACACAGGACTTTTGAAGGAAGAGGATGGGCAGTGCTTCCGAGTCCAATCCACCCTAAAGGCTGGTTTCTGGATCATCCTTGCAGGTGCCGTGCTACTTCGTTTCATGGGTTCGTTTGTGACCAAGGCACTGACTCAATTCTTGCGAGACAAAAAGGAAGAAGCAGAGAAGGGAAACGGGTCAAATGTAGATGTTGCAGGTTCCGACACGAGTATTGACGATATCCATCCTGCCCCAGTACTATTTTCGGACTCGTTTCGGTGGATGCTCAAGAGTCAACAATGATAGTTTTCAAAAGTGTTATATATTTTAGTCTTGTATGTATTATCAATCAGAGTTTGTACGATCTTTTGTAATCACAGTTCCAAGCACCAGTATGGTACACCATGCCATGGAGAAGGTTGTAGACAAATTGTCCAGATGCCAGTACTCAACTGTCCTAGACCACAAACCACGACTTGTTGTTGTTAGTCCGAATGACGTATATGTGATTCATCCACAGCAGCTTCATCTGGGCGACGCGGGAAGCGATCATGTGATGGTGATGACGACTCACTCACTCTTTCATTCGGAAGATTACTACCGGTACTGTACAAGTTCGAAGTCTCGAAAGCTGAACTTCGAAATCAAAGCATGTTTGCTTGCACGGATCGACCTAGTCAATTTTTGACGTTTCCAAGTAGGATATCACGCAAGTGACAATCTCGAAATCGGAAGCTCTAGTACGATTCAAATCCGAGTGTGGCGGAAAGATTTTACTTAAGGCCAAAAATGGGACTGCGAACTGGGACAAACCTACTTAACTACAGTCGTGCATTCGACTCTTCATGAACACCTTCCGTTCGACTCGGTTTTTGTCGAAATCTCATCCCGACCATCACAACCCAAAGAACCAAACAAACAACGATGAAGTATCTTTGTCTTCTTATCACAGCACTGCTATCATGCAGAGCTGTTCTATCACACAGCAACGAAGACACTCAATTTACTACCAGCAAGCATGATGAAATTTCAAATGCCCTGAGTCGTCAACTTCGAATTGGCGATTTTGATGAGTTCAACGAATTGTTTGAGAATGCGTCCATTGTGCTTCCGGGTCCATTCTCCGCTGAACAACGCGTGGCCTTTGTCAACCTGAAAATCAATATTTACAACGTTAGATGCTACGGGGTCAATGTTGGTGACATGAGCATCTCTCATCAAACAAAAAGCTCACAAGATATCGAGGTTTTGATCAATGTTTTGCAGTTGGATCTTGATTGTGAAATGGACTACGATTACCAATGGGGAGCAGCCAATGGCGATGGTTGGTTGAAGGTTCAAACAGACGATAGTTCCGCATCTACAAGCATCAACTTTGTTTCTGACGATTTCAACACCAAACCTCCCAAGAGCTCATCTGTTTCTGGCTGTGAACCGGACATTCGAATTACAAGGTTGGATTTTGAAGAAGACTTTTTGTCCGAGGTTTTGGAAGCTTTCCAATTCTTGGTTCGAGGAGCCATCTCCAACGCTGTCGGCGAAGTTGCTTGCGAGGAACTAGGATCACTGGGAACAACACTTGTGGAAAATGTAATGACTCTGGCTTCTGATGCTCTCGAACCTTACCAAGGGGAACTCACCGAGGCAGAATCGAATCCTTTGCATGCGGAACAGAACTTGAATCTTCCGGCTACCTTGAAGGCTTTGGATTTCCAAGACTCGGAAAGCTCTATCAGTCAGCTCATGCGACAAGCTTTTGACAGCGTTGAATCGCTCCTCGAAACTGTTGTGCCAAACGAGGATTCGAACCAAGACGATTTGTTGTTCAACCTTTTCCTTCGTTCTTTCATCTTGGAAGAAGATGGATCTTACACTATTCCAGCATCAGAAATGCCTATTGACAGTGTCTTGTTTGAAGGCCATGACCGCATCACACAGACCACAATGACTCTGAATGAAGTCAAGGTATTTGGACTTGACAGTTTGACTGTCTTTGACCCATTCAACGCCATTGGAAAGTACACTTTGGACAACAAGTTCAACTGGCGTCAAATCAAGATCGAGTTCGATATTACCATTTTCATCCGCCCTTCCACTTTGGATGATGCCATCTTGAAGGACCCTACATCACCTGGAATAACCGAGAGAATCACAGTTGACTTTGGATTGGACAATGTCGAGGTTGTTGCATCCTTGTTGATGCTTCTTGATGAAGAGGGAATTGACGGTTTGAATCTTGGACCCCTTCTCTACACTGAATATGCCCTACCCTGCATCCTCTCAGTGGTTCACCAAACAAGATTGACTGGACTCACTTTCAACCCTCAGACATTCAATGAGCCAACTTTGAATGGGTTCATCTCTCCTGGAATTGACCGAGTCGTTTCGGATTCTGTCGAAGCTGCATTTGCCATGTACGCAGGTTCTCTTCGAGCTACACTTCCATACATCTTCCAAACAACCGTCCGAACCTTTGTGAACACAAATGTCATCGATACATACATGGCTGATTCATCAAAGACCGTGTGCCCAACCGTGGAACAAGTCCCAGGATATGTTGACTTTCGAAAGTTCTTTGATAATGAAGATAGCTCGCATGGAGATTTGCCACCACTTCTGAAGAACCTTTTCAATGCTGAGCTCTTGTCCCTGGATGATAATGGCAAACCAAAGATCAACGACATTCTCATCAAACCTTTCACTGAAGCACAGTCGGGGGTCGCCGGAAACCTCGAGTTTTCAACAGATCTTTTTGGCATTAATTCCGAAACTGTTCCTCACATTGGAATGGACTCCTTGGAACTTCGTGCGTTCAATCCTTCAGTCCGCAATCTTGATTCTATGGGAGCTCCCATTGATCTTTTGAAGACAAACGACGAGAACGGTTACCTTCTTGAAAACTTTGCTACTGTTGGAGCAAACCCAGACTCCATTGAATTCGCATTAAAAGGTCTTCTTGCTTTGTCCGGGGATGAAACTCTTGCAATGTACAACGAGATTGAGCTTTCGGTAAACATTGGCAATGCTGATTTCTTTGCTGGATTGATTGCCATGGTTGACTCGCAAGCACTACAGTCATTCCCCTTGAAGGACATTGCGAACTTGAATTGTTGGCTCGCAATGCTTGCCACTCCTCAAATTGATTCGAATGGTCAATTGAAGGGCAACACTGACATTGGACTGATGCTCGAAAGTCTCCGACTAACAGCAGATTCTATGGCTTTTGATGTTTCTTGCACCAACTGCACAAGTTCCAGTCTTTCCGTTCTACCTGAAGTGTTCCAAACTCTTGAATCAACTGGAGTGTCCAACATTCTTGAGAAGAGGCTGATCGATATGGGTCTTGAGGTCGCATCAAGTGAATACGTCCAAGCGTACATCAACGAACTTCTCATCAACGGAGCACTTCGGTGCCCCAACAGCCCAAACTATGTTGATACTTCCGCAACATCAAACTACCAAGTTCCAACGTTTCCAGCACTGGCCCACGAATCTCTCGAGACTGTTGCCTTCGCATCCAGTCTATTGTTGCACATGGCCACTGTTGTCATCGCAGAAGCTCATTCTTCCTACGATTTGGAAGATACGAATCCAATGGATGGTCAGAACGAACTCGAAGAGCAACCAAACTTGAAATTGATTGACTTCACTTCGTTCGAATCTTCTGTTGGTGGCTGGGCAAACGACGCAGTTCGAGACGTTTTGGAGTACATCAGTGAAACCATTGATGATTCGAGCAGTCCGACTGGAAAGGACATTCGCATCAACAGCATTCTTCGATCAAACTTCTTGGATGAAAGTGGTGCTCTGGATATCGAGTTCAACGACATTGGTATCGGAAGTGACGATGTGCAAATCTCATTGAGACATGTTCGGGTGCTTGGTTTAGATACCGTCTCGAGTTTGAATATGTTGGATGCTATTGGTGCACAAACGCTACAAAATGTCTGGAAGTGGCAGAAGCTTGGGGTAGAGGTTGAATTTTCCTTGCTATCTTCAGGAACGGATATCAGCCCTGCTGGTCGAGCTCTGAAATCTATCGAAGATATCACTCTGTCCCTGGAATTCGGTGACATTGATGTGTCGTTGGCCCTACTTCTCGCTTTGGACATCGATCGACTTGGAGAACTCAAGCTTGAGTCTTTCCTCGACATTGCAAACATTCTTCCATGCATTCTTACTGCTGCACATTCTGCAAAGTTCTCGGAATTCCAAGTTCTTGCTGGATCCATTAAGAAGTTCGGAATCACTGGTTTCAAGTCAGAGGAGTTGAACACAGCAGCCGCCGAAAGCAGCCGCATCATCTTGGAGAAGTATGGGCAAAAAATTGTGTCTTCGGTGCCTGGAGTTTTCGACATGACGGTTCGAGCTCTTATCAACAACATGATGGGATACTACATGGGTGACGGTTCGAGTATTGTTTGCCCAACACCTTCTGCCAAGTCAGCACTCACTGGCTTTGTGGATTTCAGAGATCTTCTCTTGGCAGCAGGAACAGCTCGCCAATTTGGTGGAAGTGGTTTGTCCCAATACGGAAACCTCTTCAGTACAGCTCTTGGAATTGTGCAAGACTTGATCTTCAAGGTGGACGATAGCACTGGTCTCTCTGCAATCAATGACCTTGTAGTTGCGCCATTCACTGAGACCCAATCAAACAAGACTGGCAGCATGGTTTTCGAAGATCTTTTTGATGCCGACTCTCGGGTTATTGTTGGAGGTCTGGATGCGAAAATTCAACTTCGAGCAAGCGATGTTCGCATCGACAACTTGGATACCATTGGTTCCCCTATTGAGCTGCTTCAGGCTATCATGGATATGCCTCACCAGTTGAACAACACCATGACGTTCGGAACTGAAGGTCGACCCGTACGTATGGCACTGACCTTCTTGCTGTCTTTAATGGGTGATGATGATATGCAAGTGCGAAATGAAGTCGAGATCAGCCTTGATCTCCATTCGGCAAGTGTGATGCTACAGGCTATGATGAAAGTGGCCGAGTCAAGATTCTACGGTTTCCCCATGCGAGACATCTTTGATCTAAATTGTTGGCTTGCAATGATTCCTGCCCCGAAGCTTGACCAATACGGTGTTAGAAGCACCAGCGAAGAACCAACAGTATCACTCGAAGAGTTGGCAGCGACAGCTGCTTCGCTCAGTTTGAATGTCACCTGTATCGACTGCTCAAGTCCAAGAATGCCAGAACTAACAGAACTGCTCTCAAAGGCAGAAGCACAAGAAGATTTATCTGAAGCAATGAACGCTCTTCTTGACTACGTCACAGATATGGTTGGTGGAAATTTCTTGCAGGTTCAGATAGATCGCATCCTAAATGACGCTGGACGAAAGTGTCCTCATAGTCCATCCTACGAGCCAGAGTTCGAAGCAGCGACATACAAAGCCTTCCAAGCTCCAGATAGCGAGCCTTCGATGTCTTTGCTGGTCACAATCGCTGCACTTGCAATCGTTGCACTTCTAGTGGTTGCTGCCCTGATCTACTTTATCAAATGGATTGTCCGTCGTCGTCACAAGCACTGGTTGGGAACACTTCCAGCCCATCAAGTCCAACGTCTAGCACAGGAACAACACCGTGAAGAGAGAGAGGAAACTGAGCTCAACTCCGCAACCAAATCTATGTTTTCAAGTCCAGTCGTACCAATGCTTGTACGATTTGGAATGCCTTTCATCATCATTGGGAACATCTTCCTCTTCTTGAGTGGGCATCTGAGTCTTGGAGCGACAGTGAATATTGAAGCAGAACTTGCTGGAGAGAAGATCTCGATTGATAAGTTTTTCGAATTCTCGATGGCTCGTTCGACTATGGATATTTGGAACGCAGGTGGAGAAGAGTTGGCAATTATCATTCTGATCTTCTCTGGAATCTGGCCATACACAAAGCAACTAATGACTCTTGCAGTCTGGTTCCTTCCCACTGCTCGTTTGTCCGTGTCGAGAAGGGAGTCAATCTTGATTTGGCTAGACAGACTTGGGAAATGGTCAATGATTGATGTATTCGTCCTTGTTGTCAGTATCGCGGCGTTCAGGTAAGCATGTTGTCGTGACTTACAAAATTCCTTGTCAAGAATCCTTCTAACATTCCTGATCCTTCCACAGAGTCTCTGTTATCAGCCCAAGCCTTCGTTTCCTTCCAGAAGATTTCTACTCGATTGATATGTTGGTTGTCCCTCTTTGGGGTCTCTATGCCAACATGCTTGCCCAGTTGACTTCTCAAGTCAGCTCCCACTTCGTCATTTACTACCACCGTCGCATCATCAGCGAAGCAAAAGCTCAACGCGGTATCTATCACGGGGTGGCTCGTTCTCCAAGCGCGGCCATGGAAGGACCTCAAAAGGGTGCCAACAATTCTAGAGTGTCAGTGGAAGTATCTTCTGGCGCTAACGAGCCTGTATACGAGATGGGAAATGCTCGAGTATCACTTTGCCAACACCAATACAGTCGCCCTCACCGTGGCGAAACTGAGAAATTGATTGTTCGCCCATGGGTGAACAAGCTTCTCTTGCTTGGGTCTCTCTCTTTGATTGTGTTGGTGATTGTTGGATGCTCTATGCCTTCTTTTTCACTTGAATTTCTTGGAATCATTGGTGTTGCTGTTGAGACAGGTCAAAATTTCGAAGATGCCACCACTCAACACAGCGTGTTCACTGTCATTCAACTGTTGTTTGAAGAAGCAGAGTTTCTTGGAACAGCCGGAGACTATCTTGGTCTCGGTACTCTTTCCGTGCTCTTTGTGCTGACAGTTCTTTTGGTCCCTGTCATCCAAGCTTTGGCACTTCTTCGCCAATGGTTCAGACCGTCTACTCATGAAGAGATGCAGAAGATGTCCGTATTCATCGAAATCCTGCAAGCATGGCAATACGCAGACGTCTACCTCATTGCCATCTTTGTCACGAGCTGGCAAATTGGCCCTATCTCTGAGTTCATGATCAATGCCTACTGTGAATCATTGGAAGAAACTTTTGGCCAACTTGTCTACTACGGTCTCTTGAAAGAAGAGGATGCGCAGTGCTTCAGCGTTCGCGCATCCATCAATGGTGGTTCTTTCTTTCTTGCTCTTGGTGTCATTCTACTTGTGCTACTTGGTTCGTTCGTTTCCAAGGCAGTTGTTCAATACATGCGTGATCAACGTGACACAGAGAAACGCCTTCGCGATGAAGAGGACTCACTCCTCGGATCTGTCACCGACGATGATGGCGAGGGAGTTGGTGGTATCAGTGCCAGAATCCATCCAGTTCCAGTCCTTTTCACTGATACTTTCAGATGGCTATTGTACCAAGAAAACAATAGATGGGGTCTTCCTGACACTCACTACCATTGGGGAGCAGTTGCAAGCAACCCAAACCGTGCCATGTTCCTTCCTGAGGCGCAGGTCTTGATTGATGAATCATCATCAGCACCAAGCCAATTTCCCAAGATGAAGTATGCTGACGCAAAGATTGAACAAGATGCATCCAATACAAAGAAAGCTCCGCCCTCCTCCAGCGCTTCTGCTTCTAGCTCTTTCAGGGGTTTCAAAGCAAAGGGAATTCCCGTAGCAGGCTTGAAAACAACTGGTCTCCCTCCGAGAGAATCCTTCGAGCAACTCGCAGCATCTGACGACAACTACAATGATGAAACCAACAGTTTCACAAGCGAACCCATGTTCCGCGACGAAGCCTCGACTACTGGCATGTCACTGCCACCATCCACTCCAGATGCAGCACCCTCTCGTGCAACAGCCACCACTGCAGAGTACCACAACACCATGACGACTGCCGAAAGCGAGTTCGACTATGAGACAGTGGTTACTAACGATGACGTAAGCGAGTACGAAGAACAAACTGTCATGAGCGAGTATGACCGAACTGTCATGAGTGAATATGAAGAGCAAACCGTCAATACAGGTTACATGACAGAGATTCAAGAAGAACTTGAAGATGTGATCTCAAACTATGACCAAACAAGTGGTGTTCGTCCACTCGACTAAGTGCGATCATATACGACTCTTACTCAAAAACCAATTTCATAGACAAATAAGTTCGCAGCTATAGAATACAAAAAAGATAATACATGTTGCTATACTTTCACTTTGATATTTGGCACTTTGTACCTTTGTTTCTTTGTACCTTTGTACCTTTGTTATTGCCATTCCATCCATACAGTAAGTAGCATCCTCGTACCTGACGAAGGGTACTGGTACCGGTGCAGTACGATGATTCTTCAAAGTCTTCCAACGTGCGCAGTTCGCGCGGGTCAGATCCCGGTTTTCAAAATCGCATCATACTACTGTACATGTACTAATATATCGTTCTCTTTCATTATTCCATTTGCTTTGGCTCATCTCGAGTACCTGGTAGTGGAAGAGCTAGTTCAAGATGTTCAAGCAACACCTGTTAATTGCTTCCTTTCTTTCGTTAGTATCGGTTGTTCATTGCAAGCCATACATATTACTCACGAGTAGCCGAAACAAATGCTTCAATGTTGTTGCTCCTCCAAGTGAAACAATTGAAATCACCTATGAAGCTCCAGGTGGGTTTGCTATGCGGCAATGTCAGAAACTCGATTATTTAGTGTCACTGTATGCTCTAACACTGATTTGCTGTTCTTCAGATGTCGATGGTGTTCAATTTGATCCGCAAAATGCAGCTAAAATGGATGGGTCGAATGAAGAATCATCATTCGGTAAAGACGGTCTGGATTCAGCTTTCAACAAACGAATGCAGCGAAAACTGGAAAGGTTTGGGACACCAGGTTTAACATTAACAGTATCACAGAAATTGCAGAACCAAGTACCAATCGAGAATCGTAATGACGAAAAGGGCAGATCCTATGGAGTTGGGCGTATGCGTGAGGATTGTAAGAAAGAAGGGTCGCTATTATTTCAAACGTCAGAAGGTGATGGGATTGTAAACGTCTGCATTCATGCCCTTGGTGCCTCTATCGATAAACCGATGCGCATTTACATCAATGTTGTCGTTGATGAGGACAAGGCAACAGACTCTTATGAGCCAGACAAGGAAGCAATGATGAAGCAAGCTGGAGAGGTCAAGGAAACCATGACCAGACTCGAAAGGGATTTCCAATCATTAACAAATCGAGTCAGAACGATTAGCAACAGCGCAGATTACAATAAAGAGCAGGAGGTGGAATTCCACGATCATTCAGTCTCCATGAATCGAGCTGCATCGTACTGGCCAATAATTCGGCTCGTTTTTCTTATAATTACTGGGATCGCCCAAGCCAACCACATTATTGGCTTTATGAAGGCTCACCGAATAAGTTAAAAATGATATTTTCAATTTTCTACTCCATGCTCTGAAACTAGAAGTGTTGCATACGGTACGATGAGCAGGGCACCTCATCATCAATTTGAAACGTGCCAGTTTTTGGCGTAATGGAGAATAGGAGAGAAAAATAAATCGCACGGTTCGGCTGTTGGCATCATGTTCTTTTCAAAGACAATAGCATTGCCAACACTACAGCGTGTTATCTCCAACCAAATACTTTTAGATTTCCTTGTCTAGAGGATCCATTGCATCAAAGGAAAAGTGAAGGAATTGTGAGTTCACATGTTGCCGCGGTAATTTCTGTGTCCAATGCCAGCGTGGAAAAGATTCGCTTATTTGTGTGTCAACACCCCCCTTTAGCCTAGATTCAGAGACTACTTTGTAGCCCAGGAATGCATCTTGCAAACTCGACTTGTACAGAATCTGCGTTTCCGAAGGAGGAGCGCAAGAGCACTTCGTTTCAGCGCAGCGTTCCAAGCCACCTTAGACTGAAAACAATGCTCGGCGGCATGATTTGGATGCTCCGGCAGCGTTCTGCTGTTGCATTTATATCCCCGCTACCAAGACGAGCACTTGTCTCATTTTCAACTTCTGCGGCTTATCAAAGACACCCTTCCGACTTCACACCCATGGAAGGACAAGAAGATCCACTGACAAGAGACGCTGTGAAATCAGGATTTGAAGTAACTGCCCCGTACGAACCCATGGGAGACCAACCCGAGGCGATCCAACAACTAATGAAGCAACTGGAGGAAGGAGACCGATTTTCTATATTGCGTGGAATTACAGGAACAGGAAAGACCTTTGTCATGAGCCACTGTATCGCAAAATACGGTCAGCCAACCCTGATATTGTGTCACAACAAGACCTTGGCTGCTCAGTTGGCGCGAGAGCTGCGATCCTTCTTGGGTAACAATGCTGTGGAACTCTTTGTATCTTTTTACAATCATTACATTCCAGAATCCTTCAATGAAGTGTCAGGACGCTACGTGGCCAAGAAATCTTCCATTAATCAAGAAATCGATGCCATGAGACATCGTGCCACCCGAGCCTTGCTCATGCGCCAAGACGTGGTGGTTGTTGCCAGCGTCAGCTGCATTTATGGATTGGGTTTACCGAAAGACTATATGGAAGCCAGTACAACTCTACAAGTTGGAGATAATATCGAGGGACGTCCGGATGATTTTCTTTCCAAGCTGGATTCGATGCTCTACATTAATGAACAGTCGGATGAAGAGTTCGGAAGAGGCACCTATCAATATAGTCTCACATCCGACGAATGTGGTATTCTTTTATGGCCGCCCCATGAAGGCTTTCCCATGAAAATTCAACTATCTTTGGATTCTTCTTCGTTGTCACCAATCTGGAAAGTGACATCCATACAGCAAGGACACGCCATGGGCCATTCGGATATTGACTCCACTGGTTTGTTTCCGGCAAAGCACCATGTCATGTCTGAAGAGCGGTTGGAGGAAGCCTGTTTGGATATCGAAGAGGAACTGCGAGAACGTGTACAAGAGCTGACAAAGGAACACAAATTCGAGGAAGCGAATCGTCTACAACAACGAGTTGGAAATGACCTGTTGCTGTTGAGAGAAACTGGATTCTGTCCGGGGGGAGAGAATTATAGCCGACACTTTGGACAACGAGCAACAGGAGAACCACCGAACACACTTATGGATTATCTTGGGATGAATGACCGAGAATGGCTGCTCATTGTTGATGAGTCTCACGTCACCTTACCCCAACTTAGGGCCATGTATGGAGGAGATCGCGCCAGAAAAGAAAAGCTGGTGAAACACGGATATCGGTTACCGTCTGCATTGGATAATAGACCCTTACAAGATCACGAGTTTTGGAAAACGATCCAAAAAGGAGTCTTTGTTTCGGCGACTCCTTCGAAACAAGAAATGGAGTGGGCAGAACGAAAGCCCGTCGAAATGCTCATCCGACCAACTTTTGTCCCTGACCCAGTCATCGAAGTTCGACCCTCTAAAGGACAGCTCGAGGATTTGGCAAACGAGATTAGACATCGAGCCAAGAGGGCAGAACGAACCTTAGCCGTGACGCTCACCAAAAGAGATGCCGAAGACTTGTCAGACTATCTGAAGCAGCAGTCAATTCCTACTACTTTTATCCATTCTGGATTGAATATTCATGAGCGAGCGGACGCTTTGAAAGCGTTGCAAAATGGTGAAGTAGATTGCCTTGTGGGAGTAAATTTATTGCGAGAGGGTCTCGATTTGCCACAGGTTTCTCTCGTCGCCATTTTGAATGCTGATTCTGAGGTATGATTGTCAATCTCGTCTATGAAACTGACATCTTGTATTCTCTAACCTTACGTTGACTTGATTTTGGAAGGGTTTCTTGAGGTCGGACACTGCATTGTTTCAGACGGTGGGAAGAGCGGCTCGAAATGTGCAGGGACGTGCCATATTCTATGCCAATCGGGTAACCGATAGTATGGGGAGAGTGCTCAAGGAAACAGAAGAGCGAAGACAGAAGCAGCTCTTGTATAACCGTCTGAATGATTGTAGCATGAAGTCCACTGAGGGGTCTTCTATGCTTAGCATTTTTGATCTTCTCAAGGAGCAAATTGCAGCGGAGCAGCCGTTGGAAGTCGTAGGTGGTAAGAGGCGAGCAGTATCAGGCACGAAAGAGATCAACAGCTTCAATTTGACGTCTGATGTGACGGTCCAAGTTCCAGCAGGCAAGGCTCATGGTTCGATTAACATAGACCACGTGCCCAGTTCACCAGGAGTCTACTTTTGGAAAGATGAATATGATGAAATTCTATACATTGGCAAAGCCAAACGACTACGAACCCGGCTCAAGTCCTATTTGACACCCAAGTCCAAACATTCGGCTAGAATCGAGGTCATGATCGCCAAGGCCAAAAGCGTCGACTTCATCTTAACAAGCTCTGAAAGGGATGCTTTGCTACTCGAGAGCAACCTGATCAAGCACCACCAACCTCCCTACAACGTGCTATTGAAGGATGACATATCATACCCATACATCTGTGCTTCAGTTGGCGATCAATATCCTCGGTTCTTCACGACACCACGCAAGGAAGATAGGCTTACTTCTAGCAGGTACCGCTATTTTGGGCCCTATCCAGACTATAACGAATGCAACCAGATATTGGAAGCAATCGAGTCTCAGTATGATCTCAGAGCGAAGTCGTTCATGACCCGACATGGAGACATGGAACATGATGAGTACCAAGCGCTGTTTGATGAGGCGATGAAAGACACATTCGAATCGACATCTTCTTCCAAGTTCAATCAGCTCCGATCGGAATTTGAGGAGGCCGCCCACCTCTTTGATTCGAAGTACAACGTTTGTCGTGACATTATCACCTTTTCCAAAGTACCGGGGCGAGATGACTCCTTTGGCATTGTCCATGTTGTTCAACTTCGACAAGGTCTGGTTTCTGGACAGTTTTCTTACGACTGCCAGATTCCATCTGGAATGTCAAGTGACGAGGATTATGCTGCTGCGATGGCCCATGTATTAGAGCGTCAGCATTATCCTTCGGGAGAAGAAGCATTTGACTCCCGCTTGCCATTTTTTCCAACAGAAATCCTTGTTCAGTATGACATGAGTGGAATCACTGGTAGAGCAGTGAAACAAGTCATCCAAGCTGCTCGAAAAAAGGTGAATGCTTCTGGGGGGAAGAAGGAACCTCTGGCAATTAGGAGGGCCGCAAAAGGTGGTGCTCGAAAGAAGTCTGACGAGCTGGCTCTGAAGTTGTGCATAGAAAACGCAGAAAAAGCTGCTCATGACAAATCTTTGGAAGCTATCGAGGGGAGTATCAAGTCGTCAGTGGATGGTACGGCACTGGAAGAATTGCAGAAGTTGTTTGATCTCGACAAAAAGCCTTCCAGAATTGAATGCTACGATATATCGCATAATCATGGTGAACATTCAGTTGGCTCACGAGTCGTCTTTGTGGATGGTCAAAAGGAACCATCACTTTACCGCAAATTCAATATCAAGAGTGTTGACGGTATCGATGACTATGCAAGTCTTCAAGAAGTGATTTCACGACGATTCAAGCGTGCGTGGGTAAATGGAGCTGGAGGGCCAGTGGCCGACAATGATCCATGGGGTCTCCCTGACATTGTTCTAATCGATGGAGGTCCCGGGCAGTTGAACAAGGCGGTAGAAGCTTTGGTTTCTCAACGAATATTTCCTGCTGATGGCTTTTACAATCGACCGACCAAGGGAACCAAACGCAGTGCAACGGTCGTAGTATGCTCGTTAGCCAAAGGCATTAACAGAAACAAGGACGATCTCTACATTTATGGAAGCAATGAGCCCATCAATACTTCCACAGATTCGCCAGGTCTACTCCTATTGCGATCATTGCGGGACGAGAGCCACCGATTTGCTCTAAACGCCCATCGGTCACGAAGATCCATCCGCAAGTCGATTTAATGCTATAATGGCTGTTACACTTGTTTCCGTGGTTTTTAATCACATATCTGCTTTCTACAATAGGACTATGTGATACATTTATCAATATTTTCTATGACGAGGTGACATGATTGATTGGAATTTTGGCAGTTCCAAATCACCTCAAAGCGTTGATGAGTCGCAAGCTTCAACTTAGAAGTAAACTTCTTGGTCTCTTGCACGAAGAAACATCCTAGGTCGCTTTCTCAACACGTCCATGCCCAATACGGCAGCTGGTGGAGAGTCTACTCCAATCCCATTCAAGGCTGCCAGCCCTGGAATGTCGCCTACATAAATGTGGCCACTACCGAAACTGACATCTTCTGAATCACCAGACAAGGACAGATCGAATGTTGATGTGGATTTCAAAAGATTCGTGGGCTTGCCATCGCTGCCAGCGATTGTAAGAAGATCTCCATTGGCAGCTGCTTTGGCCGCTGCTTGGGCGTTCTTGAACCGATTAGCAAATGCAGCAAAGGGGTTATTTGACTTCTCTTCTCCATCAGGTGGTAATTGGATGGTCGCGATTCCAGCTTGTCTGGCAGCCTCTGAGTTTAGAACGGTAATGGGGGATCCAGTATCTAACAAGGCAGGTACTTTCATTCCATTGATATTCAACATGACACTTGGCAACTGTGTTACAGGAATTGGATCAATAAGCACGCGCGTCATTCCGGGTAGTGCTTTTGTCACTGCCGTTTCCTCGTCTCCATAAAACGTAATCGAGGCAGGATCCGGCATTCCGTCTTTCAAGGCTGAGGAGCCCCAGGAAAACTCGACACCTCCCTCAAAGCAGTAAAAGAATGGAAGACTGAGCAAACCTGCTGAGGCTGGACTGGCGATTGGCAGTGCGGATGCTGTCAGATTTTGCATAAAAATACCGTCTTCTCCCATCTCTTCTTTCATTTGGATTCCTTCCAGCTGTGAATCTCCCAGCATATAGGTTTGTCCACCTTGCATTGCTCCAGCTGAGGACAACCCAGGTAATGCCTCGCCCACCACCTCGAGTTCTAGTTCTGAAGCAACTTGGGCATTTATCGTATTGGTATTGGCAGCAGTGTCAAGTACGAAATCCAAACTAATGCCAGTCTTGTTTTGTGCCTTTTGATTCTTGGTGGCCAAGTTGGGAAAACGAAGCCCCATAGTAGGGTATGGCCCAATAAACTTCAATGGGACTTGAATGGATTCAGGTTCCTTCAAATTCTCTGGTTGAATTTCCTGCTCGACTTCCACTACGTATAGAGGGTTTGCGTAAAGTCTCTTGGTTTGCAGTGCCAATGGAGTAAAAGCTTCCAATTGGGTCGCTGAAAGCATCATTGTGCAAAGAAAGATAAACGAAGTCATTTTGTTTCTGTAAAGACTGTTCAAATGTTGCTTGATGGAATATTATGAGAAACCTTGTCTTTCTTGTTTGCTTCTGTAACTACACGATTGAGTCACTGTTGTACCATATTGTTGTCAATGCTGATGAGTTGGCATCCTGTGATGGTATTGATCATGCAGGTTTCATGCGAACTCAAAAGCCTTCTCATCATCAGTGTCTGAGTAAGTCCAATGAGTCAGTGGTGCTGCACTCAGACTCCTTTCTTGTGCCACTTTTTTTCTCACCAAAAATTTTGGATTTTCAATTTTTCTAGAAAGCTGTTCGAAGCGGTTTTGCTTGGGAAGAATGCAAGGTCGCGAGCCGGACCGTCAAGTTCCTATGTAATTATCGTCGAGAAGTTCATTCTGCTTGCCACAAATGACTATGTTTTGGCGGATGACACCACTTTTTCTGTACGACTGGTGCAACTTTCATTCCACCCTCCGTGTGTAGGTACAGATCCTTAATAATTTATAGCCTCGACCTTGACGAGACCTACCCAAAGGCAAACCATACCGTTGGCCATTCCAAACATACGTCTAAAGCATTATATATTGCTTCACATTTACATTTTTACCTACCGCATACCTTCCCGAATCCAAAATATATCAAAAAGTGAGGTGTCAACATGAAATTTTTTAAGAAGAAGAAGGGCGACAAGCTCGATGATGAGACTGCGACAAAAGAGGAGCCTGAGCCTGAGACAAATGCCGAGCCTGAGTTAAAAGAGGAACCAAAGGAAGAGTCTAAGGAGGAAACGACGGACGAGCCAAAGGTCGATTCAAAGGAAGAGAAATCACCACCCAGTTCTCCATCCAAGAAGGACAAAAGGTCCTCAACCTCGAAAAAGGAAGAAGACAAGAAAAAATTGAAAAAAGCTGCTAGTAAGAAGACAGTGGGAGATGATGACAAAAAGAAGAAAAAAAAGAAGAGTAGTGGTGTCAAGGGTGTTTTGGGAGCCGCAGTGGCAGGAACAACAGGTGCGGTGGCAGCTGCGGCTGGTGGTGCCGCAGCTGTGGCAAATAAGTCCAAGGATGCTGTCACTAAGTCTGCCAACGTAGTCGCATCTGGAACCAAAGACCTAGCGAATTCAGCAGCGGAACAAGTGGGCATGAAGGATAAGAAGAAAAAGCATAAGAAAAGTAGCAAGGATAAAAAGGATGGAGACAAGGACAAGGACAAGAAGAGTAGCAAAGATAAGAAGAAGAGTTCCGACAAAGATAAAAAGCAAAGCAAGGAAGAGAAAGCCGCAACTGAGGAAGAGGTTCCAAAGGAGGAAAAAGCTGACGAGGAAGCAGTGAAGGAAGAAGCGAAGGAGGAAGCTCCAGAGGAAGCGAAGGAAGAAGCGAAGGAGGAAGCTCCAGAGGAAGAAGAAGCTCCAAAGGAGGATGCGGCTGCCACAACAGAAGAGGCACCCAAGGAAGAGGAGGTATCAAAGGAAGAAGAAGTAAAGGAAAAGTCTGCTCCCGCTGAAGAAGCTGCACCTGCGGAAGAAGCAGCACCCGCTGAAGAAACTGCACCTGCCGAAGAAGCAGCGCCTGCGGAAGAAGCTGCACCTGCCGAAGAAACAGCACCTACCGAAGAAGCAACACCGACCGAAGAAAAGCCCAGTAAAGAGGCTGCGGCGACTCCAGAAGCTCCTGCTGCGGAAGAAGAACCAAAGGAAGAACCGAAAGAGGGCGAGGCTACCCCAGCAGAAGAAACGGAGGCTCCTGCTGAGGAGACACCAGCCGCCCAAGAGGCCGCACCTGAGCCAGCCAGTGAAGAAACGCCAGCTGCAGAAGAAACCCCAGCAGAAGATACGGCTGAAGAAACTCCGGCACCCACACCTGAAGAGCCTGGTGCTGAGGAAGCTGAAAAGGTTGAAGCCCCCGAGGAGGCCAAACAAGAAGAACCTGCTCCTCCAGCGGAAGCAGAAACTCCAGCAGAACCCGCCGCTGAACCAGAAGGCGAGAAGGAAGAACCAGCTGCCGAGAGCGCTGCTCCGGAGCCAGAAGGTGAATCTGCCGTGACAGAGGAGCCTGCTGCTGCAGAGGAGGCTGAAAAGAAGGACGAACCTCAATCGCGAGAGGCTCCAGAATCAGGCAGCTCCCGTGAAAAGACATCAAGCGCACCCTCAACCGATTTCCCCCCTCTTGAACCTATCAATGTGTTGGATGCAGAGGATATTGCGTCAATGGACGAGGCCAAATTGAAAGAGGAGCTGACCAAAGCCAATGCTGAGCGCGCAGACTTTCATGAAAAGCTTATCAAACGAGAACATGAGCTACGAGAAAGCGCCGAAAAGATCAAAGGTCTAGAAAGTGAGATTGAGAAGCAACTCGAGGACTGGGATACGCTTGAAGAAAAGCTTGGCAAGGCAGATGCCGAAATGAAGAAACTCTTGGACGACGCACAAAAGCACGAAGCCCTCAAGTCTGAACTTGGTAACTTGGAAAGCTTGAAAGCAGAGCTGGAGAAGACCAAGGCTGAATTGGATTCAGTCAAGGCTGGTGGCGCGCCTGCCGGTGACGGCGCTGATGTAGCAGCAAAGGATGCGGAAATCGCTGCTCTGAAGAAAGAACTCAACGCTCTCAAGGACGATGCTGCCGGTGATTCGAAGCCCAAAGGTGAATCCGGCGACTTTGCATCGTTGACTAATTCGTTGCAAAACTTCTCTAACGAAATCTCTGATGCAAAGAAGGAACTTGAGGCCGCCCAGAGTAAAATGAACGAATAAATCTCCTGTGTATAGTGTTTATGTTTTCTCGTGTAGGAGCCCTAAATCAAATAAAAGAAATCTTTTCAAAGTAAAGCAGTTAGATCTTCGTCACTAGGAGTATCAGCTGCCTTTCCATTAGTCAAGTTGTGTCGAGATGTTGGTCTCTTGTTTGTGCATGGACACATGAGTGAGAGTAAGCGAGTGTCGGCTTCAAGTTTTTGCAGTCGAAGTAGTCGATTTGAAAATTCGTGCCAAAACACACGACTCCCTGCTACGCAGGTTTGGAATCAGTTGCGGCTCATCGTTGGCATCATTTTTTTCATTATTTCTTCAATTTGCACCATGACTCTCCAGAATTGGCAAGTTGACCTAGCTGAGAAAGGTTACGCTGTTATCCCTGATGTACTGACTCCAGATGAATGTTTGAGCCTTGAAAATGGCTTTTGGAACTTTTGGAGGAGACTTTCCGGTGGACTTTTGAAGAAGGAGGATTCTGAAACATGGAGAATCATTTATGATTTCTTTCCTTTGCATGGCATGCTGTCGCAGCACTTTTCGATTGGCCATATGCAGGAAATATGGAATGTGCGCTCCCATGAACGTGTAAAGAGTGTATTCGAGACAATCTGGGGCACTGACGATCTAGTAGTATCATTCGATGGTGCATCGACAGGCTTTGCACCAGAAGTGACAGGCCGTGGATGGCATCGAAAGGACTGGTTGCACATCGACCAAAGTCCTCATCGAAGTGATTTCGAATGCATTCAAGCGTGGGTAACAGCAGAGGAGGTGGGAACTGGAGATGGCACACTCATGGTGCTTGAGGGTTCGCACAAACTTCATGCCGAGTTCGCAAAGCACTTCGGCTTGAAGAAAGACAAAGCTTACCGATCGGATTGGCTCAAACTGACACCTGAGCAAAATCAATGGTATAGAGATCAAGGGTGCGCGGAGCTTGCTATCGAATGTCCCAAGGGATCCATGGTTTTATGGGATAGTCGAACAGTTCATGCTGGTCGATCACCTTTGAAAGGGAGAGCTACTCCTCGCAACCGCTTCGTGGCATACGTATGCATGATGCCAGCAAGTCGTATGCAACCAATTGAATGGAATAAGAAACAGAGGGCGTGCCTAGAAGGAAGAGTAACCAATCACTGGGCTGCCAGTCGCGTCAAACTGTTTCCAAAGAGTCCCCGCACCTATGGGAAACCACTTCCTGTTATTCCAAACTATGAGCCGCCCCATTTGACACATGAGCAGGCGCGGCTTGCAGGTTGGCCTAATCCAGAAGAGTGCCCTCTCACTATTGAGGATCGCGAGGAGCGTCTCCGGGGAGTTGAGTTGGCATTGAGGGAGATGGATGTGGGAAAAAAGAGGAGCAAGCGAAAGCTTCCTTCATAGACGCCAGTATCCAATTCAATTACATGTAGTGCTTTGTAAATCAAACAACATAATCAGGTTTAAACTCCTCTAATTTCTTGCATTATCACCATTATTTACTAGCGGCAGCAATACCTTATCAGCTTGTTGTACAGCTCTGGCAGCGTCAGAACAAGGAGTATCTTGCATCTTGGGTCTTCGTCATCTGTGACCTATGCTACATGGTATAGAAATTCTGGTGCCAGTTTGAGTCTGCAATAGTACACTACGGTACCGGTACTGTACTGTACTTTTAGATCTAACAAAATGGCGAGGGAATTTGAAATTAAGTAGTGGTTTGGACCAACCCGACTAAGCAACCAAAACTTCAATTTGGTGATGCTTCTTGTCTTCCGAATTTTTGTCATCACAGCTGGTTGCTTGGTCGGGTTGGTCCAAACCAACCACGTACTTATCGAATCTTGTATGACAGACAGACATTTGTTAATTAACGAATTGCGTCAGCAAATGGCATGTGATTTTGTCGTCTTCTTGCCGAGCCGTCATCATCAATGAGGAAAAACGTGAAAAAAGTGAAGGTTCGTTTTATAAAAACAGTCTCAATCTTGGTAACAACGACAACACGACTTGGGAAACTTGACACTCTAGTGACATCGATTGGTAAGAAATCGGTTGTTGTGACGACATGTCCTTTGGCTAAGTGCTACAGATATTGAGTTGGAGGCTGTTTGATGAAAAGATACATACTGTTACTGTACACATTGGATTCGCACCCTTCGTGGAGGAAGACGAACAAATCTTGATCTTACAGTACGTCATTGGCCTCTCACATTTTATCTACTCGTGTCATTCAGCATCATGTCCGCATACGCTCTTCCCGGACTATTCCCTCCAATCCAGCCATCGCTACCAAAGGAGACTGGAAATGCTTCCTCTTCGAGCTTGAATGATCTTGGTCTGTTCGGTCCTTTGCATGAGCAGGACAATGTGGCCTCCACCAAGTCTACAGGCGTTTTCTCGTCGTCGCCGTATCTTTTTTCTCAGGAAAGTTCTGAGAGTGACGATTCGAAAGGCGATGAACCTGGAATCCATGTCACAGAGGCCAAAGTAGACCCTGTGCGGCTTGTCCAATCAGTGTCCCGCCCAAAGGGACACTCCAACAAGAAGAATCAGCTTAGGAGGAGAAATTCCAAGGATCGACTAGAGGAATCTGCGAAAGATCCTTCTAACTCTGAAGCATGCTCCAAAGATGAGGGCGGCAGAAGCATGCACGATGAAGCCATCGAGTTTGCCCTTGCAATTTCCTTCAATGGAAGGAAATACACTGCAAAACGTACTATGCAACGCATTATTCAGCTTCGAGATGACCTGATCACTGAAATGGATGATCGAAGGAGATGGCTCCTACTGCGAAAGTCCAAGTTATCAAGAGGCAGTGCTGAAGACTGTGAGTACATTGAAGTTGAAATTCCAGAGATACCATTTCTCACAGGAGAACAAGATGGATCAGGCGTTGGGGCTGGTTTCGTTGGAAGAGGGTTCTCAATGCTTCATGCAATGGCAACCTCGTATGGACCAGTAATGGAGAGATGGCTTCGCAATGTCCTCGCTGTGGTTCCACAGGATAGTGAAACTCTCATGAACTTTCTTTGGGAGCCTCTCGCTCACGAGTCTCCCGTGATGGACTCTCCCACAAAGGCATGCGTCACCTGGGCAACCTTGGGTTCGATCAAGGAACTCGAATGCGCCACTGATGATGACTCCGAATCAGAAGATGAAGATGAATGGGAGGGCTAAGTCAAGTCAAATGTCGTCTGGCGGGGATACATGCATGTGATCAATGATATTTGGTGGTGGTTGATAGAATGTTAGAAATTTAAAAAAGGTGTTGGGTAAGAATTGTGTGACAATTGTACGATGTTGAATGTTTGATGTATAAGCACCACAAAGTGTGGAAAAGGCTGGCTTCTCGCCAGCATGTTAGATACAAAATACATACAGAAGAAAAGTTGAAGACGTATTTCCTTCTAATTTACAATACTTGATATCAACTTTTTTAAATGTATAGACCCACACACATCTTGATAAAACAGATGCTACCTCTTGGAAAAACTTGCAGTCATTGGTTAGTGCTTCAAGTTTCCACCAAGTTGTGGAAACTTTTTTAGCGACGTCGAGAGATTAGATTTCGAAGTCGGTCGATCTCATTGGCCTTCTCTTGGTTGGATGAGGTCAGTTGCGTGTTCCGGAAGGTAAGCTCTCTCATTTTACCCTTGCTGACTCGTTTCCAATCTTTCAGTGTCTTGTCCACCTTGTCCTTGGCAGTAGAAACTTCGTCGATTCTTGCCAAGAGGTATTTTCCTTCATCGCGTGCATTTTCTCGGTCCTTTGTGACTGTCGTTAGCTTGTTTGTGAGTGCCTTGAGAGTGTCCTTCATATCAGAGTTCTCCTGCGTAAGTGTAGCAAGTTCATCCGTCATTTGGCTCAACTTTGCCTCTTGGGCAGACATATTTGCTTCGGATTCCTTCATTGATTCAAGGCTATCCTTGTGTGAACTGACTTGTGCTTTGAGGTCGTCGTTCATTTGGGTGAGCTGATCGATCAGATTCTTGTAAACCTCATTCGATTGAGTTTGATCCTGAAGCTGTTGCTGGCATGTCGCCAGAGTTGCCTTAAGCTCACTGGGGTCAGCAACATAATCATTCTTATCAATAGTCTGCTCCAACTCATAGATCTTGGCTTGACATTCGACATTCAGTTGAGTCATCGCATTGAGTTTTGAGCGGTACTGAGACATAGTAGATTCCATTTCCTCACGGGCACCTTCCATATCAGCGTGTGCTTCTTGCAATTCTTCCTTAGCTGTTGCAAGAGAACGTTCCAGAGAACTGTTTCTTGCGCTTAGCTCAGCTACTTGCGTCGAGGCCATTGCAACAGAGCTTCGCTTGACAGTTTCTTGTGTGTTTACCCGTACCTTTAGTGCCTCTAGATCTGAAGAGCAAAGGTCGTATTTGGATTGCAGTTCCGAATGGGCGGTTTGCAAATTGCTCAGTTCATCACTTAGAGTGATATTCTTTTGAGCCAAGTTCTTGTTGAGCTCTCTGATATCGTCAATCTTCGCTTGTCGCTCTTTGTCAATGTTTCCGAGCGATGTGAGTGTCGATTGAGCGACTGCTACAGTTTGGTGAGCTGTCTCGATTTCTTCCTTGGAATCGTTGAGTTTCACCTTGAGATCTTTCAACTGGTCTTGCAACGCTTCCTTTTCGGCTTCAATTCCTGCGATTTGAGACGTTGCAGCAACCATGGCATTTCTGTGCACAGTTGCCTTGGCTTCAATTGTAGCCTGCGACTCGTAGAGCTGGCGTCTTTCTTTCTTGAAGTGTTCCACTTGCTTGTTCAGTGCTGCAATGATCGAAGTCATGGCAGCATTGCTGTTATTGTGCCGATTTGATACAATTTCTTTGGAAAGTGTAGTGAACTGGTTTTCCATCTGTTCCACTTCGATTGCAGTGCACTTGTATCTTGCTGCAAGTGAGTTGACTTCAATTCGTGATGCTTCATCCTTAGCCTGCAAATCTGCATTTCTATTCTCCAATCTGACGCATTTCTCTTGAAGAATCATTGTTCTTTCCTTAAGCTCAGTCATGCGCTCATTTTGCTTCTTGGCTGCAGTCACTGAGTATTCATTCAATCTCTTGATTTGCTCTACTTGAGCATTCACTTGCTTTTCCAATTCTTGGTTTGTCTTTGTCAATTCGTTGTTATCCTCCTTAGCTTCGGCAAGTTTGGCTTCGCTTTGATCCAGCTTTCCTTGAAGCTCTTCCCAGGCTTTGTTTGCCCGATTCTTGCTATCATAGACGTTCTTCATCGTGGCGCACTTCTCAGTGAGAAGAGCGTTCTCCTTGGCCGAAGAATCAAACTTTGCTTGCCACAGGTCGTTTGCGTCTTCATACTTGATTTGCCACTCGTTGATGATATCATCCAAAGCTTCTTGCCACTCGGAATTGGCATCGCTGAGCTTCTCTTCCCATGATGCAAGCTTCTCAACGTCAGATTTCCTCTGATCTTCAATGTACTCTTCGTGGGTCTTCATCATAGCTTCAAGAGTACGTTTCGAGGCCTCGAGCTGTTCATTCAGTTCCGCAATCTTGGACTCCTGGCGGGCATTTGAGCCACCAAGGTCGGCCATTTGCTTTGACGCAGCAGCGATTGTGTTCTTGTGTGCCTCGACCTCAGCTTCGGCACGATCCACCTTTTCTTCCATGGCATTCTTCTCGTTTTCAAGCTCTTCAATCTTGGTTTCCAATGATTCAATCATCTGTCGTTTTTGCTTCAGCTCTTCACGCTTCTCGTAAGTTTGCGATTCGAATTTCTGTAACCTTTCATTCTCTTCGTTGAGTTCTTGGATCTCAATATTCAATTCAGAAACCTCTGATTCATAAGCTGCGATGCGAGCTTCAAGCTCAGAGATGTTGGTATTTGCCATGATCATGGCGTTCTTCTCTACGGTGATTTGAGTCTCAAGAGTTGTTCGTTCATCCATCAACTCTGTGCGTTGATATTGCAACTCTTCAATCTTACGGGCAAGTGCAGAGATCATAGCGGATTTTCCGTTCACAGTTCCCTTGCTATGGGTAGCAATCTTTTCAAGTTCAAGGTTTGCTTCCGTGAGTTCCTTGTTCTTTGTGGCGAGCTTGCGATTGGCTTCATTCACTTCATCATACTCAGCACAGCATTTCAGATACTTCTGTTGGATTCCGTCCTTTTCATTCTCAAGCCGTCTGTTGAGTCGTTCCAACTCGTTCATGTGATCATCCATATTGTTGAACAAGGTATGATCGGCTGACTTTGGCTCATTCGTTTTTGCCATTGCCTCACGTTCATTCTTGGTCACAAGTTCGCTTTGTTGCTTCATTCTGAATTCTTCATAAATCTCGTTTTTGGCATTACGGGTGACGTTAATCTCTTTGTGTGCACCATCAAGACGAACATTGAGTCCAGCCACTTCAATTTCCAATGCACTGTTGATAGTCTTCAGTTTGGACATTTCAGTTTGCATCAGAGAGACTTCGGATCGATGAGAAACCTCTTGGATTTCGATCTTTCTCTTCATTTCTTCCACTTGCTGTGGCATGTCTTCGAATTCCTTGGCCGTTTTAACGGCGTCTCCAAGTCGGCTATTCAGTTGGTCCACCTTCTGTTGAAGAGCTTCCTTGCGGTCACGAATGTCCTCCATGAAATTGGCTTGAGCTTCTTTCTGGTGGCTCTTTTCATGTTTGTATGTCTTCTCAACTGAGATCTGAGAGGCCAATTTCTCATTGGTTTCGGTCATCTGTTCCAGATCCTCGAAAAGATCAGAAATTTGCCGCGTCTGTTTCTGCTTTTCTTTCTCGCTTTTCTTGAAGCTCTCTTCAGCATTCTCAAGTTTGTCCTTGGTAGCGACGAGTTCCAGTTCCAACGCTGTATTCTGAGCATTGAGTTGGGAATTTTCATACGTCGCATCCGCCAAAGAGTTCTCAAGGTCCTTGAACTTTGCATCCTTTCGCGATTGAGTTGCTTTCGTGGACATCTTTTCTTCCTTGTAGTCCTCCACCTTTGCCTCAAGAGACCGGATGGTGGCAATGAGCTCATCACGATCCTGATCCTCAACGGCTTGTTCGCTTCTACTTGGTGCATCGTTGCCTCGAATCCTGCGTTTCAACTCTTCGTTCTTGGTCAGCAGGGTTCTGTTGGTCATTGTGACTTCTTCGAGGACAGCGGTGACAGATGCCAGCTTTTTCTTCATGGTATTGTATCGTTTGGCCATGAGTTCCACTTCTGGATCATCAACTGCAACGTTTCCGTTCTTTTGAAGTTTGTTCACCTTGCGTTGGAGCATCCGTAGCTGTTCCGTCAATATCCGGTTCATTTCATTGGCTTCTGTCAATTCGAATTGAGGAGGGTCTTCTCTGCCGTTTCCAGCTCTTCTAGGAGAATTACCACCTCTGATGGGAGATGACGCAGCTCGGGTAGGTGAAGCTGCCATTCGCACCCTGCCACTATTACCAGCATTCCGTTGTTCATCTCTGTCCACAATAGCGTCAAGCACAGTGAGAGCCTGTTCAAAGGTCTCACTCGTCGACGATCGAGAGGTCGGTGATGGTTCTCGGCCCTGCCGCGTATCAGCAGCGAAACGAACTCCTTTAGACCTGGTGACAACTGGTGCCTTTTTGCTAGGGTTCGTTTGTATGTATGCCGAATTGGTTGGCGATCTGGCTCCATTGCGAGTTGGTGTTGATGCTCCCCCGCCATTTCTTGTGGGAGTTGAGGCTCTCGTTGGCGTCGGTGGCCTTATCTGCATTCTAGACCCTGTTTCTGGTGTCCTCTTCCGCCGAGAGGCTTCAAAGCCTGGTATCCAATCCATGGTGACAAAGGTTGGTGTGTTTGTTGCAGTAGTAGGTATCTTAGAATGAAAAAAACGAAAAAAGTTGTGGCGATATTTTTCTGGTTGGCGATATTTTTCGTTAGCAAGGCTGGCGTCCAACTTCTATCCACACCAACGGCATTGAATACCTACATATGTGTCACATCACTTAACACAGTCTTACTTTTAACAAATCAGATTCTTCTGAATCGGCATCAGTAAGTTCTGCGTTGGCGAATTCGCAGTTAGTAGTGCTGGCCGGCTCACTGACTACGACTCCCATGACTCCTTGGCAGAATTGCTGGTCATAAAAGAAATCTTTGCAGCTACTGTACTGTATCTGTCGTTTGTCATCCCAACTTCTTGGCAACAAGCAAGTCTCAATAAGAACAACAGCAGACAAATTTATCCGCTGGAAGTAAGCAAAAATCAGTACATGGGTCTGATTGGAAACATCGCTAGTTCTCCTTACATGGTAATTTGGTACATAGTTTGGTTCATGGCAAGCATATTCCGCCCTGCCATTTTGGCAACGATTGTGTGCATGGCCACCAATCCCAAGGCTGCTCAAGAAAAGATTAGACTGTTCGTTTTGACCTTTCAATTTTGGGCCTTGTCGAAAGACAAAAAGTTCAAAAAGCCTCCTCATGATCCGGCATCCTTTTTCATTGAAGGCGAGGATGAGGACAAGATTGAAAAGAAAACCATCATCTTTCTTCGTCACGGAGAATCTACCTGGAATGATACCTTTAACAAGGGTGACCGCAAGATGGGAACCTTCTTGATTGGGTTCATCCCAGGACTTATTAGATCTTTGGGAACTGAATGGTACTTTTTGCTGGCCGGCAAGTCGGACGAAAGTTGGTTCTATGACTCGCCTTTGTCCAAGAAGGGAATTTCTCAGGCGGAAGGTGTCGCAAAGTTCTTGAAGGAAACAAAGACAGAGTTTAGTACACCAAAGGAAGCCAAGCTCATCAAGCTAATGAAGGGTGAAAGTGATGAAAAGATGCAACTCACTTCGTCGAACTTGCGACGAGCCATTTCCACGATCGCCATTGCGCTGCAAGACTTGTTGGATAAAAATCGCGATCAAAAGATCAAGATCTTGACCGAGCTCCAAGAAGCCAGTGTCAACCCTGATGCTCAATCAATTCACAAAGCCAAGTCAGCCTTGGTGACTTCCTGGATCGATTCGGACCGGGTCAAGGAAATCTACAACACACAATGTGACACAAGCTTGAACATGGGCAACAAGTCCATCAAGAGTAATGGTTTGATTCGTATGGAAGCATTTTGCGATATGGTCTTTGACAAGATGGATGCCCCCAATGTCCTTGCTACTGGTCACTCGTATTGGTTCCGTGCCTTTTTCCAGACCTATCTGCCATGGGAGTTTGAGCACATTTCCAAAAAGAAAAAGTTGGTCAACGGAGGTGTTGCTGGCTTTACGTTGATGCGCAAGAAGACCGACTCGGGATACAAGTACATGATTGACAAGAACAGTGTTGTCACTCTGTATGGAGGCTTCTAACAGATAAAAGTGCAGGATCGTGACTGCATGCATTTTGGGAACCATTTATTTAGAACAAACAACTTGTCACGAAAAAAGATTGGGAGACACAAAACAGAGCTTGTTCACCTGCGAAGCATCAGTTTTCGCAGCTACCGGTAGAGCGGAAGGACGGGATTGCATCATGCTAGGACTATATATATAGAGATCTGTCCCGACGAATATATAGGACTATAAAGATACTAAAATGCAAATGTATCTTGGGGATATTGCACACTATCCGTATGGGCCAAATGACAAACACATTCATTATATTTTATACGTCGTTCTGTTCCATTGTCGTCATTGTTTATTCAGTGAATAGACGAATGAATGAATGAATGAACCAATCCGTCGTCAACTCCCAGGAACACTTGTGAATGAGTATATAGCTTTGCACGAGAGTTGTAGTAGTCCTAGTCTTCCTTTTTTATTTCTAATTATAATCTTCTCTATCACAGTGTGGTGTAACGTTACAGCCCCTCCTCAAGAGGATCATTCATTTTTATATTATTCCCAAGCAAGTAAGAACCACTGCACTCAGGCACAGCTCGAGTACAGTACAGTACTAACCGGAAAGGAATGAATGAATGAATGAATGAATCAATCGCCAGCCTGGTAGTACTCAAAATCGACTGGACAATGATTCCGTCACTGACATTTCTCATGACAGCAACAGCAGCAACAGCAGCAACAACAACATGAAGTAAGCAAGTAAGCAGCCAACCACCAAAACCAACAGAGCGTTTGTCGGAATCAATTGATTGGAGCGTGACGAGACCATTCATTTTTCTTCAAATTTTAATCACGCTCCAATTCGGCAATCTTCATGAGAATGTATTCATAGACGGGAAAAATGATACCATTGACCGGAAAAGCCCGAATGATAGTGATATTCAACCCGCGAAACAGGTGACCCACTCCATGTTTTTGGACAATATCCCTGGCAATGGTAAGTATTCTTCTTTTTTCCAGTGGAGTGTCCAAAGGTGCCGTTTGAATCCGAGTCTTGATAATGTCAAACGGATAAATGACCGCCCAAGTCACGGCACCAGTGATACCACCTGACAGCGTGGATGCCGCCCAAGCATGTGCATGGTTCATATTTCCTGCCTGTGACTCGTCAATTCCAGCTTGTTCGGCAAAGACGGCATTGATCTTGTCCTTGAACCAATCGTAACCCGAAAAGTACAAGCCAAAGGCTGGAATTTCTCGCCAACACGTACAAGCCCAAGCCCGATACAGTCCCCCAACTCCGTGTCCAGACGCAATGGTCCGAGCGGCTTGGAGGGGACCCTTGTATCCAGTCCCTTTGGTTTGTGTTTGCAACCGACATTTGACGTGTTCGGTCGGACAAATGATGAGGGCCTGCACTAATCCAGCAAAGGACCCACAGGTAAATGCTTTCACAGTCGAATCGTGATCCACGACATTCGAGTTGATTTGAATGCTGGTGGCTTGAAAATAGTCGTCGTAGACTCTGGATGACCATCCATAGGTGGCAAAAATTGTAGCGTTGATAAAGGAAGCACTGACTAATGGAGCTGACATTCCTCGAAACAGAGACCCCATTCCCCCGTAGCTAGTGGCCAGTGACATGAGTGACACCCTTTGCGTTGCCGTTTGCATTCGGACCTGTTCGTTGAAATTGACGACGACAAAATGACAAACATTGTGAGAAACAAAAAAAACAGTTGACCGACAAATGACAATGACCCTTTCTTCCTATCCTATCTTATAATATATATTATATATTATAAGATAGTAGTAGTGGTGGCCTTGCATCGCTTGGCTAAACTCCGACGACGTACCTTGAGCGTATCGAATGGATGGCCGACAACGACCGATGCCGAACCAGCAATCCCACCGGCAACGAAATCATGAAAAAAGCTCACTGTGTCTTCGGTTTCATGAACGATATGATCCTCTCCCCGTTTGAAATCATGATGCTTGACTTCTTGTTTATGTTCCATGATTGTAGTTTAGTGTTTTAGTTTTACGTTGTGCTGGATGTGCTGTTGAATTTTATGAAAAATCGTGCAAGACTGTCGTTTTAGATGAGTGTTTGTGTCAGCGGTGAGTAAGAGCGTCTTCCGATCAAGAGCATCAATCAATTGAATTGATGGTGGAAAGGCTATCAAGTCGTGAATCCACCGCCGATCCGGATTTGGGGCAGGTGGCTCGAATCTGACGCACGTCAGTTTGCGCGCAATGAATCTGTAGTTGCGGAGAGAGAGGCGTTTGTGCTTTCACGTGGAAAGGATCGGTTCGGAGTGGTCATTGCTGGTAGATGGTTGGACAGACGACACTCGAGCTCACGGACGGATCCAAGTTGGAAGTCTCGCGAAACAACTGTGGAAGACACGACACCCTACTTCCACATCAATCATCAATCATCAACAACAGCGCTATCATCATCACCATGAGTTTGCAATTGCCGTGGACGCCCTTATACACGCAGACTGGTGCTTCTTCTAGTCAAAGTGACTCTACTTTGGGATACTGGTCTCTGGTGGGAACGGTTGCCTTCACCGTCCTCGTGTACGCATTTGAAAAATCCTTGGACGCCCGTCAAAAGGCGGCCTATCAAAAGACCTCCTTTCCCACGGAATTGGAAACCACGGTTTCCAAGATCGATGCGGAACGTGAAAAGGAAGGAAAGAAGCCAAAGGATGATGACGGCGACGCCGACGATGGTGGTGGCGACAAGAAAAAGGAGGAAAAGGAATCCAAGTCCTTGTTGGAGCAACTCAAGGACAAATTCAAGAGCAGTCAGTCGTACGGTTTGGACAAGATCAACTTTGGAATGATCGCTTCTACCTACGACACCTTTGAATCGGTGGCATTTTTGCTACTTGGAGCCTTTCCATATCTTTGGGACAAGTCTGTGGCGTTGGGTCTTTCGAAATTTGGATGGTCCCAATCCGAAGATGAAATCAAAATCTCGCTCATCTTTTTGGGACTCATCACCATTGTCGGAACCATCACTGCACTGCCTTTTGAAATTTACTCTACCTTCCAAATCGAAAAGAAGCATGGCTTCAACAAACAAACTTATGGACTCTTTTTCACGGACAAGATAAAGTCTCTCATTTTGACCTCGCTCATTGGTGGACCCTTCCTGGCGCTACTGCTCAAGATCATCAAGGCCGGTGGTGACTATTTCTACATTTACGTTTGGGGATTCATGTTTGTCTTTTCCGTCTTTATGATGACCATTGTACCCGTGGTCATCATGCCCATGTTCAACAAGTACGAGCCTCTACCAGAAGGTGGATTGAAGAAGAGTATTTACAAGCTCGCCGATCGTTTGCAATACCCACTCAAGAAACTCTTTGTCATGGACGGATCCAAGCGATCTTCTCATTCCAATGCATTCATGTTTGGATTCGGTAGCAACAAGCGTATTGGTAAGTCGCTTTGGAAATGGAATGAAGCAGAATGAAAGTTCTCATGTGCTTGACGCAGCACAACGCGCAACGCGCAACGACAACGCTAGCTCACAATTTTTTTTCTTTCTATTCAGTGCTGTTTGATACGCTCATGGAGCAAGTCAATCCTCCGGAAATCTTGGCCATCTTGGGACACGAATTGGGTCACTGGAAGCTTGGACACACCTTGACCAACTTTTTTGTCACACAAGTCTACTTTGGAGCTGCCTTTTACTTTTTTTCCTTGTGCTACACATCTCGCGATTTGTATTCCGCCTTTGGATTTGATGATCCCACGAACCCACCACCCACGGTCATCGGACTCATGCTCTTTTTCCAAACCTTGTGGGCTCCTGTCGACAAGGTTCTTTCGTTCGTCCTGACCATCTTCTCTCGGCACTGTGAGTTTGCAGCAGACGAGTTCTCGGTGGATCTTGGGTACTCGGCAGAACTGCAAAGTGGTCTCTGCAAAATTCACTTGGAGAATCTTGGTGCCATGAACCCTGATCCATGGTACTCCACATACCATTACAGTCACCCTCCTCTTGTAGAGCGTCTGTCCGCAATGATGGCACTGGACAAGAAGAAGAAATAATAAAGTACATACCGTAGGAGTGCGAAGGTGTATCTTTTTTTACTCATGATAATTAATTTTGCATTATTTTATTATAGGACTATTTCTTACTTTGTTTGAAAGATGTTTTGAATCATTGGCTTGCCCACGCTCAAAGCGGCATTGTCTAACTCTGCCACGGCATCGGGCTTGAGGGTCCAACCAGTGGCTCCGAGATTCTCTCGAGCTTGCTGCAACGTCCTACATCCCGGAATTGGCACGGTTCCCTTGCAAATGGCCCAGTTGATTGCGACTTGGGTCTGCGACTTGCCGTATTCGCCAGCGACAGCATTCAAGGTTCCCAGCAGATCTTGTGCTCCAGGAAGTAGTTCTCGGAATAGCTGTTTTCTCGCGCTACTCTTGGGAAGATTGTCCAAGTTGTACTTGCCCGTCAGCAATCCCAAACAGAGAGGAGAATATGATATAAGTCGACAATTGTTATCATCGCAAGCCGAATTCATTTCCTTTGCTTCGCCGTAGGTCATGAGAGAATATTGGATCTGTGCGACAGCAAGAGGGACTTCTCGCTCCTTCATGTAATCGGAAACCTTTTGAAGTTGGATCGGACCAAAGTTTGATACGCCAACGGACTTTGCTAGACCCTTGTCGTAAATATCAGCCACACCTGCCCACAAAGCCTTTTCTTGGAAGGGTTGATACTTGGACGTACTCCAATGAAGTTGAGCAACCGCAAGTTGAGGCTGTTGCAGGCGACGAAGACTTCCTTCAGCTGCCTTGACAAAACTGGAACTTGTTACTCTCCATGGATAAGGTGCCAATTTCGTGGCCACTTGCTGTTCATTGTCATTCGCTTGGGCCGAGCCAAAATCCCACCAATTTTTCTCTTTGTTGGATTCGGCAACGTCACTTTGATACCTCCTTTCAAACTCTCCCAAGAGCTGTTCAGCACGTCCATTCAGATCTAGGGTTCCATACGAGTCAGCAGTATCGAAAATCGTCACTCCTGCATCCCGAACCTCTTTGTAAGCCTCGTATATTTCTTCATCTTGGGACGGGTCGTAGTCAAACAACAGCCGATTTCCCCACGACCATGTTCCGCATCCCAAAGTTGAAATTTGCAGAGGACCCGCTGAAACTTTTGCTATCTTTGGCTTGGATCCAATCGTCAATGATAATGCTCCAGTGGTGCACAGGAATAGTAGCAGAGCGAAAGCCAGTATTGACTGCATTCTTCTGCAGGGTATTGCTTGTTTTGTGAACACGTCGTTTGGGGTGGAATGATTCAGGTCGAACTAGTCTTGACGGTCTACGCTACGTTACCGTTATGTTATGTTGCGTTACTTTTATTTTGAACTGCACCTCTACGCCAACCGTACCATACATACAACACTACATACTGTAGGGTATACTATCTATTCTGAATTATCGACAACCGATTCTAGCCAATTCAATAGGTCACAACATCTGTCTTGATCCTCAATGTAAAGGTACCCCAGAAGAGCTTCAAAGGATGTGGAATCCTGATAGGCCGCTGGATTTCGACGATTATTCCTACGTGCCACTGCATTTCGTCCCCGCATGAGAACCTGCTTTTCCTTATCGCTCAAACCAAAGTCGTCGTGGAGTTGTTTCAGGAGGTGCGATTGATGTTCGGCCCGCACAATCGCCACCACTGTATTTTGGAGATCGGAAGTTCGTTTGGAGGGCCAAACATGCCGTGATCGAATGAATAGTTCAAAGACGACATCTCCAATATACGCCAAATCTGTACCACTCATTTGGTTCACTTTGCAGGTGTCGATGGGAAGTAACAACTCGGACAGTGATTTTCGTTTTGGGGGCATATCTTTAGCAGTGTCTCCTTCTTTTTCTTCTTGTGGCATATCAGAGAGGCGAAATACCATCGATTGATGTTTTTGTTGTATTTGTAGTATTTGTCTTACTATAGTCGTCGGAGGATTGGAAAACGCTTTGGCAGCAGGAAGCAAGTCGGCTGCCAACATGAGACAACAACAACATGCCATCAACGACATCCACCATGTAGATTGTTGTGGTTGAATTTTCCCCCATCTCGGCTCTCTTGCAACGGTCGAACTGCTTGTCATCTTCATGTACTATTTGGGAAACTTAGCAAGAATGAAGGATGAATGATACTACTACCACCAGCTCCATTCATGGATTTTTGTATTGATGGCTACAGTACGGTTTGAAATTTTGGTTCTGATGGGTGATTGCGTCTGGCCACCCGTCCATCTGGAAGGCGAAGTAAGATACCGGTACAACGTACAACCTACAGTAAGGGTACAGTCTGGTACCGGTAGGTACAAACAATGCATCATCATCCAATGTAGAATAATATATTCAATATATGTCTATTCTGTACTTGTACTTTACAGTTTATATGATTTTGTTCCTATTACCCACCACCACCACCACCACCACCATCACATACACACACTAATCAGCCATCTCAAGAATGACTTTTTCCAACTACTGTAGTGGGCTATTTCCTCACTGAGTTTGCACCAAGAATCGGTTATTGTTGGTGTTTCCATTCTGTTGATAGAGTGGAATCACATTATCATTGAGTAGAGAGACCAAGGCAATGTACAATCCCACGGCTTGAAAGGCAATGGCACAAAAGGCAAACTGGAGTCCCACACATCTTGGCATGCAGCAAGGCCACATTTTGAAACAAGCATCTGCATCGGAACCTTCGACCGTTCGGGAGATGGTATCGTCCCATATATCCATGATACCGTACCAACCTAAGGTAGTATGAAGAGAAGAAAGGAAGGGGGGCAACAACAACGCACAAGTGAGCTCCTGACTACATTCACAGCAGCACACTGCACATGGCCAATCATTACTCCCACAATCAATCAATCAATCAATCAATCCATCACTTACCAATGAAAACACCATAAAACAAGGTAACATATTGAATCATTGGATCCAAGTCCAGCAACCAATCTAACAACAGGAATAGTAGTGTGATGGACATGAAACCAATGCATAGACCGACCAAAAGTTTATTGGGAGATCTCCTGTTGGATCCAAAACACAAAAGATAAAGAATAGTTTGTGAGCCAGTGATTCGATATAAACAATTAAAATCAAAAATCAAAAAAACCCATCAAGAAGCCATCCACATCAAAACTCTTACTTACGTGAGACAAATCAACAGGGCCAACAAGAAAATACTGGCCGACACGGTCGCTCCCACTCTCGAACCACTCAGCGCTACAAAGATGCCCGCCCAAAAGGAAACACCGACATAGCCCGCTGGAATGACGCAGGGCCGAATCCCCCCACGAAAGTGTGCCACACCACCTTCATTCTCATAAACTTCAATTTTATCGACTTGTCCTCCCGTCATCCACGCCGCACTAGCACTGTTGTAAAGGAAAAGGAACAGGAACAGGAAAAAAAACAAAGAGGGCTGTGTGAGTGGATTTGCCGTTGATTGTGTTTTTGTACACCAAAATCTCGTCTTCTCGTTTGTCTCGATCTCCAACCCATCCATCCATCCATCCATCCATCCATCCATCCAACCATTCAAAAACAATAACATGACAACACAACAATAGCTGTACATAATAATTTTAATTTTACTTACTGCCCCATTTCATGTATAAAAACGGAAATAAGCTTCATTGGTTTGGCCACCGACTTTTCCATCGTGAACATGGTGAGGAGTGAGTAGACCGCATAGAGAGAGAGGAAGATAATCTCCTCGACCTCTCCGCAGCATCCTTCGAGCTTCCAGTTTGGCATTTTGTAGTGTGTTGACTGCTGTTGTTCTTGTTGTGCCAGTCAATGCAATGGATGGAAAATGAACCCAAGAGGAAGCGACCTTTTTAGGGCTGATAGTTTTGTATGTGTTTCCAACAACCGGACATTTGGTGTCATTCCATTCGGAGATCCAAACTGAAACCAAACCTGGCAACTACGGTACTGTATAGTAGTCGTTTCAGTCACATATCCGACCCACTTGACTGCCACTTTGTGCGCCCAAACCAAAATTGACCCAAAACTGATTGCGCCAAAATCGAAATCCCAAATGTTCGTAGAGAAAGTACCAGTTCTACTTGGAACCTACCAAAACAGACCCTCTGCCAGTCTCATCACAAAAATTGTCTCTTTCCCATCGTTTTAGCAATCCATTATTCCTGCAACGGGCTAACAAAGCATTGCGCAGTCAAGCAGCCACTCTGGATCCATCCATTCATCCAAGTGTGCTTTCACATCCAAGTCAAGTTTGTCTGATTTTGTCGTTTGCTCTAACTTTGCCTCAGAAAAAATAAAAATAACATACAATACAATGCCAAGATCCAAAACTCAAACAACGAGACGAAAGTCCAAGCGTTTAGAGGCACTGGAATCGTCCAACGCTACCTACAGTGACGATCATAGCCAAATATCTTCTTCTTTTTCTGCTGCTGCCTCAGAAAGCAAGGCTGGGCGAAAGAAACGATCTTCCAAAGTGGCATTCGAGTCATCTTCGAACACCAACGATGTCCGCAAAACTTCTTCGTCTCCATCATCTACCAGCAAATCTTCTCAACACCTTCCATTGAGTAGTAGTTCGCCAGATGGTCCCCACCGACGACTGCGGAATCGAAAATCTACTACCAATGAAACTGATAATGATCGCAATGCCTCGAGAGGACGCAAGCGCCGTGGATCCATCCAAGCTGCTTCGACTGCTACTGACGCCAGTGGCACAAACACCAACAGCACCAACAGCACCAACAAACGAAAAAAGACGACTCGGCTCGCCGTCAACACAAAGGCGGCTTCATCATCATCATCGTCTCCGTCCAGCAGTGACGAGGAAACCAATCCTGCCGTTTCGAAAACCAGGGCGTCCCGGCTGAAAAAGACCACACAGGTCACACCCTCGCCTGCCAATACTGCTGCTACCAACTTGAACACGAACTTTGATTTTGAATCGCCAACTTTGCATCGTCGACGGTCGACATCGAATGCTTCTTCTTCCTCTTCGGACGTTGGCATTTCTGCTTCTTCTCCCACTCTCCCAAACGGCGTCTTGGATTTGTATCCTTCCAAGGAAGCGTTAGCAGCTGCAGCTCCCAAATCCAAATGGCAATTCGGCCAGGACGATTGTTCCGCCGACAGTCTGACGGCCAGTTTCATTCAATCCTATGGCCAAGAGTATTGGACATTGCTCAAATCGACAGAGGGGCCCACCATTGCGGATCAAGTTCCACCTTCTCCTCAATCTAGCAATGGTCATGGATCACCCCAATCCAGCACGCAATCGTCCGACGCTTCTTCCCCCAACACTTCCAGCAGCAGTAGTAGCAGTGGAGTTCGTTCCAACGCTACTCCGGTCCAACGACGAGACTATGTCTATGTGGATGCCTCTTGCAACCTTGAAGTTCCACAGCCCACCGAATCCAATGTGTATCTAACCTACCAACCCGAATTGAGTCCCAAAATGCGGGCCATTTTGGTGGATTGGATCATTGAATTGTCAGAACACTTTCATTTTGGACCTTGCTCTCTCCACTTGGCGATTACTCTGGTCGACAAGGTAATGGCGTGTGGGCCACTGACCAAAATATACGATGATGATGATGACAACGAAGAAGATGATAGTGGCGATAACCCATTCGCGGCGGACAGTTTGGACGATGCCGAAAGCAAGACCAATTGCTTTTTCATTTCGAGAGATCGCTTTCAACTGCTAGGCGCCGCTTGCACCTGGCTCGCCTGCAAAATGGAAGAACTCTCTCCACCCTCCGTCTCGGAAATTGCCTACGTCTCGGACAACATTTACTCGACCGAACAAATCAAGCGGATGGAGCGTCGAATTTGCAATGCGTTAAACTTTTCGCTCTTCCATCAGACTCCCTACTTGTATACCACGGAATTCATTCGGGCTTCCTACGAATGTCCCGATCCAGCCTGCATGCCCAAGAAAACATCGCCCGTCTTTTACCACATGGTCATGTATTTGTTGGAGCTCTGCCGATTGCCATACCATCCCGTCACCCAAAAGCCCAGTCTCTTGGCGGCCGCCGCCGTCTATGGGGCCCGGGTCACCTTGGGCGTCCAATCCAACGACCGGACTTTGGACCAAAATGGCAGATGGAGCCGGACCTTGGAGCATTACACGGGATACTCCAAGGAAGACCTGCGTCAAACGGTCCTCCTATTGAATTCCTACCATCAGGCGGCCGAAGACTCGAGCCTCAAATCGGTCTTTGCCAAGTATCGGACCAAAAAGTATTTGCGGGTGGCCCTCAAGACGGTGCCACAAGTGTCCGATTTGGGGTTTGGAACAACAGTGAGTGAGTGAGGGAGTGAGCTTGTGAGTGAGCTTGTGAGTCCCAAATAAGAAACAAACACAACACAACACAACACAATAGAAACAAAACAACACCAAAAGAATAAAGAATACAGGTACCTAGCTCCCTGGTACCAGCTAAGCAACGTCATCTAAAGACAAATGATATAATCTAAATGGTTCATAACCACCAACGAGTGCTGTGCTGATAGTACCGGTAGAGCATTCCAGAAACTTGAGACATGGTGGTTGACCAGCCTTTTTTAGCAGTTAGTACTTACGAAACAGATCTCAAGTAACGTTAAGACTTTGGCGAGTAATTGTTAAAAAGTTATTTAGATGGTGATGATTATGAACGTGCTACAGGATAGCTATTTACTTTCTCATCTTTAGCAATAGACTCTTGTTACCCTTGATCTTCTTTTGAAGTTGAAGCAAACCGAAAAGAAGAGCTTCGGCAGTCGGAGGGCATCCAGGAACATAGATATCCACTGGAACAATTCGATCACATCCACGGACTACTGAGTAAGAGTAGTGATAGTAACCACCTCCATTTGCACAAGAACCCATGGAAACGACCCAGCGCGGTTCGGGCATTTGATCGTACACCTTGCGCAGAGCGGGTGCCATCTTATTGGTGAGGGTACCAGCGACAATCATGACATCGGATTGACGGGGAGATGCTCGAAAGACCATACCAAAACGCTCCATATCATATCGAGAAGCTGCAGCGTGCATCATCTCCACAGCACAACACGCAAGACCAAAAGTCATGGGCCACAACGAACCCTTGCGAGCCCAATTGACCAAATCATCGACCTTGGAAACGGTGAATTCTACATTATCCTTTACTGGAACTTGGTCCAACCAACGAGATTCTAGCTTTTCAATACTATCAAGTTGGCCAAGCTATATGATGCGCAAGTGAATGGACGAGACAAAACATGAGTCAAATGATCCCAGAGAACGGCCGATTCTTTATCGTGTTTGGCAATGTTGTTCGCATTCATTAAACTTACAGCAGATGTTCGAGATTCTGCAGATCCTGCCATAGGACGAACTACGATATGACAAGCAGCGTTCGATCGTGCTGCCCTAGTAGCGGCGGAACGGGCTACGGAAGAAAGCATGGATGCCATGGTCGAGACTTTCAATGTGATGTTGTCGCTTCTTTGTTACGTCGCTGCTCTGGTTCCACCAACGAACCTTTGTAGAAATTCCTACTAGGAGATGGGTAGAAAGGTGGGAAGTCCAGACGTTTTCGACTCCTCCGACTAAAGGAGTCGGAAGATTGACATCATCGTTCGAAAAGTCAACGACGACAAAACTTTGGGCCTTCCCTCCTCCTTCCACATCGATAACACAGTACTGGTAGCGATAGACAGAACACAACAATGAGAATAGTATTTTTTGATATATTCATCCTTCTTTCCGTCCTCTCTTGCATCGAATGCGGGAAATCCTATGTCATTCAACCCAACAAATGGGACTATCGAGGTCATGATATTGCCTTTGAAGTTTCTCATTCTCGCGGTGACAGTGATGTTTCAACGATACCATCGAAAAAGACACCCATATTGTTGCTCAATGGATTTGGTGTGGGAAGCTTTCATCAACATAGACTTATTGCAGAACTAGTCGTCAGCGACAAGGAGGAAAGCAGCAACGTCGACAATCCGGATGATGACAACTATCAAACAGTGTATTGTATCGATTATTTGGGACAAGGCTCCAGTTGGCCAAGGGACTGTGCAGATGGATTATCTGAGAATGAAAAGGGTTTGGCGTATTGTGCCGAATTGTGGATTGACCAGCTGGCAACTTTTATCGAACAAGTGGTAATGCCACAGCACCAAGGCAAAAAAGTTCACGTGGTTGGAAATTCTGTGGGAGGTCACTTGGCGGCCCACTTGGCGTATCAACGACCCGATCTAGTGGAAACTATATGCCTGCTGAATCCAACCCCAGTGTGGGGACTGAATCTTCCAGGTTGGTCAGGACATCTGCCGCCGCCCAAAGTCCCTAGAGCCATTGGCAGATTTCTATTTGACAAGATTCGGGAGCTCGGGACGATTGAGAAATATCTGGATGCGGCATACACACGAAAAGATGCTTTTGACGAGACACTGGTAGGTTTTGATTGTTTGGGAAGATTCCTGTGGTTGTTGTTGTTGTTGTTGTTGTCGTGAGAAGACGTATAGTACTCACTAGGTATTTGTCGTCGACGACTCTCTAATCTCCTCAGATGAATCAAATTAGAGCATGCACCCTCGGGGCTGGTGGACATGCTGCCTTCGCGTCTATTTTGTGGTCTAAGCCCCTTTTAGTTGCCGGAGAAAAGGACTTTCAAAAGTGTCTCGCGGGGGTTGATTGTGATGTGCTCCTTTTGTTCGGTAAGGATGATCCGTGGTGCAAACCTGCCTTTGCCAAGAAAATGCTGCAAGCATTGAATTCAAGAAAGAATGGTAAAGCACAGCGATATGTTGAGGTTGAAAACTGTGGACACTGTCCCAACCATGAGGCTCCACAAGCTGTAGGAAGTGTTGTTACCAAGTGGGTCAACTCAATGTATCGAGATGCCAAAAGTGTTTCGTTGGTCCGATCGGAAAAGGAAGTTTTTGATGAAGCGTGGGGGGCCACACCAATATCTGAACGGCAAGTGGAGGATATCGAGCTTAGTCTATTGGATCGAGTAGCTGTAACATTTGTGTAGTCTCGTCAAAGCAGATATCATTGGTCTATTACAAACCTGCGCTGCACAGTGTATAAAGCCATTATGGATGAAATGGGGCAAGCCCATGGTGGAACACTATGGGGATATTCCGATAGAGGAATGATAAAACTATTTGATGTACCGAGGGGGCTATGATGCCACATTGAGTCTGTACCATGTGTTTCGGGATGAGGGATTCCTCAGACCCTTTTCATGGGTACCCCCCAATCCCCCTGCCATAATATGTAGACAGTATATCCTCGTTCCTCTGATGTTGAGCCACTGGTACCTGGTAGTTTCCTACGCAGGACTGGAAGTAATTCGATGTTGATCCAGTAATAAATACGGATGATCTATAGTAGCTAGTAGCTACGTTCATGTTTCGAACAGAATTTCTTGGACCAGCCAGCAGTTCTTCAACTTGATCCAGAGCGAAGTAGTAGGTCCAGATCATGGTAGTATTCTAGTAAGATATCATGCCGGGGCACTGGTAGATTCAAACGTAGGACTGGAAATACTAGAATACAGTCGATGTTAGCTTTTGGGGGAAGAGGTTGGGCGGAAGTGGGGACAATTGAATGTGAAACAAAGCTTCTCAGGCCAACAGTTTAGACATATTCGAATATAGTACCAGTCCCTTGACTTTCCGTGACTTGCCTTGCTTGACTAGTACTAGTGTGATGTTGCTCTTATCAACAAGAACCTCCAACGTGAGGCGTGCAGGATATTCCAGTTGCCTTTTCGATCCATTTTGGATCCATTTATTTTCGTGCAACAATGACAACAATACCAACAATATTCATCCCACAACGACCATATTCTATGTACAGTCAGCTAATATTGCGAATAAACTCGGACAATAAAGCTTTTCCTTTTCTCCCCGTGAAGGAACTGTCGCAGAGTGTTTTGAGACAAAACAAATATAAAAACTAAAAAAGTCTACTGTACAGTACAGCTTACAGAGTGGTGGATCTGCTGGACATCAGTTCCGACTTCCAAGGCACTGATATAGCCAGACAATTTGCAACCAATTTGCATGCAATTTATAAGCAATTTGCATGCAATTTACAAGCAATTTGCAAGGGATTACACCAATACAGCGGCATCCAGTTCATGCAGAACTAACATATTACTCCTTTCATATCCATCCTTCCTTCACCTTTATTTTTTAAAAGGCAACAATTTGTTGAAGGGTCACTTAAAACTAGAGGAATTGTCTACTATTGATTGATAGCAACAGTAGTGCTTGTCATGGTCCGGACCCACAAACGAAAACGGAATGAAGGACTTCCAATGTCATCACCGAGCAAAAAGGAGGATGGATCAGTAGACAATTGGTCAACCAAAAACAGTATGCTTAGCTATGAGAATGAATCGTCAGAGAACATTCCACAAACGATGGAAAACAAACATGACAATTCTGGGGATACAATTGACATCAACACGGTGCAGTCCACGCACCCAGAAAGTCGGAACAAGCAACCCAACAACAGCAACAACGAGACCGACGAAGACAAAAATGACAGCGATTCTGAATCTGAAATTGAATTCCTCCTCACGATTTTGCCTCCGTCTCCCAATATTCCAACCAAAACAAGACCTTTGGCCAAGTTGCAATCCGCACTATCAACACCTAGAGACAAGAGACTCAAGCAACCGAGTCGATGTATGGAAAGTAGCGACAGTCGCCCATCTTCCAATTTCATATCGCCATATCATCAACAGCCTTGCAGCTTTACTAATAAAGACAGAGTTTCACCGGATAGCAGACAACCCAACGACCATCATCATGATCCTCAAAACTCCCTAATGAAGCGCACAAACCAATGCTCTAATCAAACAATGGCTGGTAATGTTGGCACCAACCCCACTATATCCAATGACAGCAGACAAACAAATTCCAACAGAGCGCATACGGCCAATGTTTCACCGCTACCGACAACCGAAAACAAACTGAATCTGAATATTGACAGCAATGATCGAAGGAAGATTGAAGATACAGAAGAGGAAGAACGTAAGACTACAGAATCATTTGCGGGTCAGTCGAGGTTTAGACGTTCTGCCTACCTTCAGTCCCTTGCAGAGATTTGCCATGCTATTTTGTGGGATGCTCGATGGAGAGTGGGTCCACAACAGAAGCGATTGCTGGAATGGGAGAAAGGGGATGATCTAAGTGCCATTTACACATTAGCGGAGCGATACATCCCCATTGACATTCCGAAACCACCACATTGGAAGGGGGCTTCGACTGAGAAAACACCCATGTTGGTTGGTGGTGGGAGCGACCAAGATGAATCAAACCAAACAACAACAGTAGAAAAGTCACTGATATCACTACGAGAACTAGATTATGGTGTCACGGCAAACGCTACAACTGAGAGTCATTCGAACGACAGTAACATTAAAGATTCCAACGATTTGTCAGACCTAAACTTAAGTTCAGATGGCGAACATGCCTACACTGGAGATTCAGAAGAAGAAGCATACGATCGGTGTCTAAACTTGTACTGTCGACTCTTTTATCGCAAGGGACCCTATTTCCGAGTGGATGATATTTTTAAGTACTACAGGGCCAATTTAAAGAAGATTCAGCCAAAGAAAGCTGTCACCCCAGAAATGCCATGGAAGGATGGCGCCGAGGAAATTGAAAAAGATAACAGGAAGAGTTTTTTCCGTCCACAGAAGAAGAAGGCGAGCAATTCAGATGTTGATCCCATCGAGAACAGGGTCGCCAGAAACACGATTTGCGACGACATGTTGTTGGACATTGACTTATTGCACGGTCAACTAAATGAAATTCGTGTTTTTGTCGAGGATTGGAAGATGCTGCATAAGATGGGGCTCTTGCGCACATTTACCGATGAAGAAGAATGTGGGAGGACAGTTGGGAAAAATACCAAGAATGGTATTTTGAAGCAGGATGAGCAGTGTCAAATTTTGCAGTTGCTAGGCTGCAAGAAGTCTTCCAACGACCAAAAGACAAATCCAGGTCCAATCAGTAATTCAGAAAATCTGGTTTGGAAGCAAATGACCCATCAAACGTCCATCCAATCAACCATATCTCCTGGCATACAAAGAAGAAGAAGACGAGGTTGTGTTTTACCTGTCATCAAGCACATGAATGCAACTATTTTATATAGCTGGGCCAAATCCGTAGTGCTCAAGGCATCTAAAAAGGACTGCATTCCAACAGCTAACCTTCAATCACTTACTATGGCTGTGAAGGGGAAACTCTTGGAAATCGTTGGGTCCCGTACTGAGGCCGATGCCTTCCCTTGCTGCTCACGACTTCGAGAACAACCATTGACCACATTGAGACGCTGTTTTCGACTTTACCTTTGTGCAACATCGGGACCTGGGAACATGCATGGAGATGATAACACAGCATGGAAAAGCTTGCCCGAATCGCACTCCAAAGACCTCACTAAGCTCCCACTCCAGCATTTGATACACCCCCCAGGATCTAATTGTTGGAACAAGATTTCGTGTCCAGGAAAGGATTATCGCTTCAAAATAATAAGTTGCAACTTTTTGACGGCACACGAGCCATTAGACTTGGGATGTGACGAGAACTGCGGGACGAAGTATGATCAGAAACTAGTCCAGGTGTTTCCGACTTTGGAATCCTTCTCAGCTTGGGAGTAAGTTAGCCAGATATGCTGTATATCGCATGCGAGTTTGTGCCAGTGATTGCAATGCAGTCTAACATTTGCTTTCCATAGAATCACTGTAGATTTAAGGGCAAATGTTGATTACCTGATGACACTTCGCGACGTGTTGCGATACAACGAGAGAAAAAGATCGAGACAGCAAAACGAAGTGCGCAGTGACGGGGACAATGAATTCGAGTTAAATTTTGAGTCAGTCAGCGTTGATTTCCACGACTTGTTGACTCCAAATGGCCGGGAAAGGACGCTCCGAAAGCTTTGTGTTGACTTGGAGCCGAAAAATTTGGCAATAGACACTTTGATCGAAAACATCGAAAATGATGTTGGCAAGTTGGAAGCAGGATTTGCCGCGGAGACCAGTCGCAAGCTACATGTTGAATGCGACAAAATTTTGGCAGTGGTTGCTGTTATTGCCCTGCACACTCTCGCCGCTTGTAATATTCACTCGATTGAGCAAAGATTGCTTCTTTATGAAAAGCGGCCATGGCTACGACATTTGCGCTGGGAAGGGTGCCTTGCATACATTCTTTGGGATACAGTCAAGACTCTCGAGTGCAAATTGGATGGTTTTTATGAGCTCGCCGTAAAGGCTCTCTGTGTCCTGTTGTTTGGGAAGGCTGCCATGCCTTCTGAGCTAGTGACCCACACAATGCAAGATGCAACGTTGATGCCTCTCCTTTTATCAAGGAGGACAAAAGGGAAAGCTTACGAACGACTCACTTTGGACTATCTCCATCATCTTAGGCAAATGCGAAAGAAAAAACAACAGGAGGCGACGGTGCACACAAAGTTAGGAATCAAGGAGAAGCTAACCTCGACAAAGCGGAAGTCAAGAGATTACGCGGCGAGAAAAAAGGAGCCCACTCCAAATGAAGTGGTTGCGAGTTTCAACAAAGCGCTAATCGAAGTGTGTGTCGAGAGAGCCCAAATCCCATTTTCTGCAATACGGACACTAGCACGACGTCTGAAAAGTCCGCTGAAAAAAACGCTGGAAGGAAGAAATTCTCCAGAAGCTGCTGAGCTGGGTCATCGCTACTCAAATGATTCAGATGTTTCCTTGGCTACAACTGATACTCAGTATAGTGATTGGACTCCAACCACTGACCACGCCGTGGCCAATTCGATTACTACTGACGGAGATTTTGTTGGACGGAGATGTAGTTACATCAGTTTTGAAGAGAACTCGGTCAACCGTGGGTCGTTAAATGTCGAAGGGCTTGCGATGGAATTCTATCGAACAGGAAGATTACCGGTTGTGGATCGTTCTGCCCATAGCGGTGGATGGGTTGGTTGGCATGATGAGGGAGGGAAAGTTCGACAACTGTGGCGGATCCTTTCATCTTGTAGCGTCCTTGGGATGGACTCTGGCTCCAAAGAAAATATTCCGACCCTCGAAATGGCCACAATTCACTTGACTCCATACCAAAGTGCTCCATTTGACTTGCACTGTGGCGCGGAAATGAACACCGGTATGGTGGCTAGGAGAGGTTTCTACGAGCGCCGAAAGCACTTAATCGAGGCTTTTCTGAATGAAGTTGCATCCTTGAAACCTTCCGAGGTCGCGGATCTGGTGTATAAATCGGTCCAGAATCGCTTCGTGTTCTCTTCTGGGCATTCGGATCCAACGCTTCGCCTTGACATCAAACAAGTGCGCAGTTTATCCCTGCTCGCCGCTGGAATGGGGGGGACCTTGCTCTCCGCCATCTGCAGGTGCTTCTTTTATGACTACCGCCATTACAGTGGGGGATTGCCTGACCTGACGCTTCTAAGAGTTCTGTCAGAAGGCAATGTAGTAGACCTTGGAGAATGGGTTGGAGAAGGATTTCACCCGGATAATCAAAAGGGAGAGAGTGTGCTTGATGATAGAGATAGTGAATTTTTGGGATGCAATAAGGTTGGAGATTCTCGCATGATACGTGGGCAGCGCAAAACACAGAGCTCAATTGACAACCAATGTAGCCAAGAAAAATTGACAATGCCACCAAGATTGGATCTTTCGTGGAATGGAAGTCCAGTAACCGTTGAATGCATGTTCTCAGAGGTGAAGTCGGCAAACGACAGACTAGATGCCCGCCAGGAAGATTGGTTGAACATTTTGGATATTCATGGAAATGCTCGGGTTTGCAAGTTTGGTGGCAAAGAAAAGTAAATTTATTCACCATCAAAACCCAGATTTTAGGGTTAGACTGGGAAAGGTATACATGCACGAGTTTCATTTTGGTACAGTTGCCAGTGCGTTGGATTCAATCATTTCGTCTTCCAGTTGTTGTTGATGATTTGCCAATCCAAAGCGCCATGCATTTCGCATCCCATCCATCTTTGCATAGTACCGTTCGCGAAATTCACCCTCGCTTTCAGGGTTGTAAGTCAGGAATACCGCCCGTCGAGAAAATGGTGACATATTGGGCGCTGATCGATGGGGTGCCCACCCATTAAAGGCCACAATGCTTCCACCCTTGCAAACAATATTGTCAAATGACAAATTCTCTGCAATTGCATCCTCAATCGCCCCTGCTCTCCCTCCAGCGTCTGGGTTTCCGTCCATTTCTGGCTCAATCAATTCCACATGCTTATCTTCATTCCAGGTACCTTTACAAATCCGTAGACATCCATTTTGCTCTGTCATGTCATCAACTAAAAACGTATTAAATTGAGCATCCATTGCGAGAGATAATCATCTCCTGCATACTGTGTGGAAAACTTACTTGCCACCATTACTGTCACAAAGGTTTGCGGGCCGTCTTCTTTAAGAGCTACTTTCAAGGATGGAGAGTCTAGGTGTGGTGCAAAACCAGATCCTCCCGGTGGTTTCAAGTTGAGCTTTTCCTTGTACAGCACCATTCGTCGTCCAAGAATTGTAGAAACAGTGTCACGTAAGTAGCCGTGGCATAGTTGTTTCCATGCTTTATGAGAATCTACAAAGTTTTCAAGTCGAGTTAGTGTCCGCCTTTGTTCGATTGCTCCATTGTTGTACACTTGAATCGTTTCGTACGTCCGATCTGCTTGCATCTTTTCCCCACCCCACACCAGCTCATCGGTAATCTTTCTCATGTGTTCCGATCGCATTGACAGTTCTGGCGGAAATATGCAGACGCTGTTTGTTACATAGTCTTTGCTCAGTTGATTGGATTCCACCAATATGGAAATCTCAGAGGAAGTAAGCTTCTGAGGATCTGGATGGCAGTCGTCATCATGATCATCTGCAACATTGAGAGATGATAGGCCAAGCATATCCAAAAGTGCTTCATCAGCACTGTCGATATCAGCTTCGCCGTCCTCATCTGGTTTCCTCGGTATCATAGTGGCTTGGTGTTGTGTTTGATTTGCCAACTATTTCCCTGCTCCCTGCTACCCGGTACCGTAGAGATGTTGACAAAACATCCGTAATGTGACGCTTGATGAAGGGCTCTTACATTATGCAGGTGCGGGTTTTCAGCCAATGAGAGTTAGTCAAATCACTCTGAACCAATCACAGCTAGCGGGCCTCAGCCATTCACTAAAAATAGACTATCTCCACTAAGTTAGTACTCGTCATTACTTTTCGATTTGCAGCCGCTCGTGCGGAGTATTGGTAGTAATAATGGCTGACGCCAGATAACAGCTGCACATTTCCAGCCAATCAAAATGCTCATCCAAACCGAACAAACTGGAAACACTGCAGGTGTAGGACGGATTGGGGGCCAACAGCTAGTAACAACTGTCAGCGCAAAACACATCATTGAAACTCTTTTAGGCCCAATTGGAGTCTGCGAAATCCAAAAGGATGAGCAATCACATATATGAGGAAAATCGAACAAGACAAAATACCAGATTGAACTTTCCGTCTACAATATCTCCACATAAAAGCAAGCAATCAAACATCCGGTACAATACCAGCTGGTAGTGCTTTTCACACCGTTACATTTGTGCAAAATATGAATGAATCAACTACTCCGGATGTACTATTTTTAAAATCGAACGACAATAGATGAAGATTGTATTCGTGACCCAATGCTCGTGACCCAGTGATCCGATGACGTTTGTGCTGACAACTTGCCACGCAGGCCGAATCTTATGGTTTTCCGATCATGTCAATTCAACAATCCAATCGATCGCCTGTGACATCTGATAGTAGTCAAGATGAAGACCGTTTTCAAATCATCTCTTTTGCTTGCAGCTCTTCTTGCCGGAAGCGAGGCTCGTTCTGCCCCTTTCGGAATCAAGAACCAAGTTGCTTCGTTGAAGGAAAACAGCCTTCCCAACGTTGCTGCAGATGTCAACAAGCATTCCTCTTGGGAAACCGTTCCCCGTGGTGGTGCCGATGTCGTTTCCATTGCATCGGATGCCATCTCTGGTCTTAAGAAATACATGGGTGGAGCCAAGGCCGATACCCTTTTGCTGTTGTTGACCACTGCCTTGAACACCCCTATCTGCCAGGCCCTCAAGACCTCGCCAATCCTTGGATTTTTGGCTCTTGGAGTTCTCTTTGGTCCCAATGGATACTCTTTGATTAGCGATGTGCACAAGACCGAAATGATGGCCGATATTGGAATTGTCTTCTTCCTTTTCGAGATGGGTATTCACCTTGATTTCAAGACATTGATGAACATGAGAAAGGATGTCTTTGGACTTGGTGGAAGTCAATTCATGGTCACTGCTATTGCCGTCGCAGTCGTTGCCAAGCTCTGCGGTCTTTCTACTGCAGCCCAAGTGGTTCTTGGTGGAGGTCTGGCTCTTTCAAGTTCTGCCTTTGTTCTGCAATTGCTCAAGGACAAGAATCAACTCGAAACTACCTTCGGAAAGAAATCTTTCGGAGTTCTTTTGCTTCAAGATTTGGCTGTTGTCCCTCTTCTTGTCGTCACCCCTATCCTTGCTGGAAGTGGAAGTGGATTGGGTGAGGCTTTGGCATCGGCCGGATTGAAGGCTGCCATGGGTGAGTACTTTCTGATTTTGAGAACACTTTCATGTATCTTAGTTGTTCCATTCTGATATTTTCTCGACCAGCTCTTTCTACCATTGGTATCGCTGGAAAGTTCTTGTTGAAACCATTCTTCAAGGCCGTTGCAGGAACAAAGAGCCAAGAAGCCTTTGTTGGAGCCATCCTCTTCACCGTCCTTGGTATGTCTTTCTTGACCGAAGGACTTGGGCTTTCCAATACTCTTGGAGCATTCCTTGCTGGTGTCTTGCTTTCTGAGACCCCACACAGACATGCTATCGAGAAGGAGATCTCCGTCTTCCGCGGAATTTTGGTTGGGCTTTTCTTCTTCACTGTTGGATTCGAGATCGATCTTCAATTGATTGCCAACAAGGCTCCCCTTGTTGCTGGAATCGTTGCTGGAATTGTCGCGTTGAAGGCAGTCATCGCCAGCGGCGTTGCTATGGCATTCGGGCTTGATAAGTCAATTGCCCAACAAGTTGGATTGATTCTTGCTCAAGGTGGAGAATTTGCCTTCGTTGCTTTCCGTCTTGCCCGCAGCCACGGAATTTTCGACGGCGAATTGACCAAACTTCTATTGACTTGCGTCAGTCTAACCATGGGTGTTACGCCATTCCTTGAGGAACTCGGCACCAAGATGGCTGCGAAGATGGCACCTGTTCCTGCCAAGAACACTGTATCTTTTGGCAAGAAGAAGAGGTAGATTGAATATATTTTAATTTGACATACCAACCAAATTGGGTATTTTCTGCCATACCATTCCATATTCCGGGAAGTTTGAGGGACGAGAAGTAGTACAACATGCGAGTTTGAATATTATCTGTTAGCATAACACCATGATATATATCAACGTATGATGAGTCTATAGGTACAACTTTTTTTCAGTATCTTTATCGTTCTCCTCCTTTTTCTCCATGCCTTAAAAGCATGTGAAATGTGTCTGTTTTTACTGGCGCGCTCGATCGGGCAACTGGTGGTGCGGTTGGATCCACAGGGAGCGCTTCTGATAGATCCACCTTTGCTTCTTCCTCTTCAAATGGCATTGTGCCACTGTACTCAGGTATGGCCAAAGTCTTGTCTTTGCTAAGTTGAATGTCTTCTGCGGAACGAACCTCTGATGTGAGAGGTAAATTAGAATCTTCTTCTAGACCTAGTGATGCAAGGCTGTCATCATCATCGTCGCCGTCATCGCCGTCATCAGCATCGCCGTCCTCCTCCTCGCCCACGTTTGATGTCACCGTAACGAATTCATGTTGTGCACTTTGTACTACAGCAGCACCGCTAAGTGAAACGAAGGAACCAGACTCTCCAAACTCTCCTTCGTCTGCAGGAGGATTTACAACACCCGGTTCAACTGTAGTAACCTGATCTTCGGCCACTGATGAACTGGCTGGATCTCCTTCTTCGACTGGAATGTCTTCTTCCGTTGCAATGCCTTGGCCTTCTTCTTGAACAGAGGCTTCTTGATGCGTTTCTTGGATTTCTGTGTCTCCTGGGGTATCTTCAAGTTCGATTTCAGCAGGTGTGTCCAGACCTTCGATGATGGGTAAGTCTTCATTGCCGGTTTCAGGAGGGGCGTCTTCTTCGGTCGGTACTTCTTGATTTTCAGTGTTGACAGGAGTGCCTTGGTCTTCCTCGTCAATAGTGCTACTAGCCTCTTCCTTTTCGGCGGGAAGATCGGGTAGTCCAACGCTATCAACATCAAAAACAGGAGCGGGAGGCCGTTCTCTCAGAGGTTTGGTTTCCACCTTGTCCTCTCCTTTATCTCCGATTGCAAGGAACATGGAATACTTTCCCTTCGGTCCAGGTTCTCCTTTTCCTGGTTGGTCTTCTTTACCAGCAAACTGGCGATAAAGGGACGAGAAGCCACCATCATCGCCCTTTTCAACTGGAGAGTGAAGTAAATCAGCAAAGGTTGCATCGTCTTTGACATACTTCTCTGGAATATCTTCAGAACACTCGATTGGGCAGAATACTTCACCGCTGGCATCTGGAATTGAAAACTTGCAGTACATGGGTGCACTTCCTTGGATGTAAGCGTTTTCTTCCTGCTCATAGTCGCCAGCCATGGCAGTCAGATTCCATGTGACCTCCTCAAGCGCAGCGCCCCGATTCACAACAATATCGTAGCATCTTCTTGGCACCAAGCAGATATCAGCATGGTCGGACGAACCCCGTGTTAAGGCACTTTCGAAAACCTTACCCAGAGGGAAGATATATTCTGATTGAGTATTGGAGAAGAGAGCTCCATCACCAAATTGGACAGAGTTTGAAAGAGAAACATAGCCATTTCCTTCATTCGTGTTGAGTTTGGTCGTCGTTGTGTAAACTGAAGCTTCAGGGGTTGACAGCTCCGATTTTTCCAATGCATCCTGATCCTTGATTCCGATCACTTCAATTGCTGTGCCTTGCCAGCCATTTCCAGAACTATCATACATGTTCATTCGGTAGTGAATTGAGCCCTCGCGACATGGAGCAGAGGTTGGAGATATAGTGGGTGATAAAGTGTGACCATCATCATTGTAGATATCACTACTATCTGATACCTCCCGAAAAGGATCCGATTCAATTCTCTGTTGTACTCGCTTAGTGTCGACAGCAATGTGTTGGTACAATGCATGGTCAACAGCATCAGGCCAACTTCGAGCCTCTCCAGTGGTACTGATGCTCAAGAGGAGACTGCTAGAAAGTATTACAGAACTCAAGGACTTCATTGTTCTTTTGACGAAAAGAGTTGTACTGTTGGGGTCTCTTTTTTCGACAGCCCAATAAGCAGTGCACCTTGGCCTCTATGCATAGTCTGTTGAACGGATGGCAAGTGCGCCAAGAGATTTCGATTTAGTTGATGCCAACCGAGGTCAGTCGAATCAGTCAAACCTGGCCGGTTAGTCAAAGTGGTCGGTGAACTGAAATTTTCAACGGTCGACAGAAGTCTGTACAAAATTAGCCAAAATACCTCTAAGTACCGTAGCCCGCCGACAAATTGTTTGATCCAACGGCGAGGTATTTTCCGTTAGCCTAAATCGAGTGCCGATGTTGTCAAGCATTCCAAACGTCGCTTTGTTGCTGTTGTTGTGCTCCGTTGTGATCTCGCAACGGTTTCTCTTTCACAACATGCCTACGAACATGGAAACTATGATCCACAATCCTCATCCCGGTAACATGATCGGTCGCAAAGTGCGAGTCTTCTGGCCTGTAGACAACAGTTGGTATGTTGGAACCGTCGAACAATTCGATGGTGCAACAGGAGAACACTTGTTGAGATACGCCGACAATGATACTGAATGGGTGAGAATCAATGAGGATAATTTAATTCCTGAAGCTTCAGATCGAAGTGTTCCCGCCAATGAGGGTGAGATGATGCATCAGGTGCCACCCGTATCTCCTGCCATTCATCCAATTGATCAATCAGGGCCAACACAAGTTCAAAGAACAAATCCTTCCGAGCAACCACCTCATGGTCAGCATCAGCAGGCTACTGTATCTCCTGAGCAAAAGTGGCAAGGGGAACCACCAAGACGGATGGGCGGACCTCCTGGGGCGCCTTCACAAGGCGGACCTCCTCCAGGAGCACCTCCACAGCAATCAAGTCAGAAGTATATGTCTCCCTATTCTTCTGGTCCTGGGTACCCACCGTCACATCCACTTATGGCATACCATTCCGCCCATCCATCTTACCCACCAAGCTATCACCAAGGACAACATGTCCCTTCACATGCGCCTCCCGCTGGTATGTACGGTTATGCACCTGCCATGATGGGTGGTGTACCACCATCCATGATGTCCTCTCCATCTTCCGGCGAACCTGGAAAGCACCCACAACATTCCATGGATGGGAGCCTAAGCGGCAACAAACGAAAGACCGGTCCCAAGGCTTGGACGAAAGAAGAGGATGCCTTGCTACTGAATATCGTTCAAAGTATGCGAATGCCAATGAAATGGTCTGTGGTTGCCCAATCGTTGCCCGATCGTACGGGGAAGCAATGCCGTGAGCGATACGTTAACCACCTGAACCCACGACTCAAGGTCACTGACTGGACACCGCTGGAAGATGCAACCATTTTCCACCTGTACAACACCATCGGCAGTCATTGGGCGAAAATGTCAAAAATGATCCCAGGACGAACTGACAATGGAATTAAGAACCGCTTCCACAACTTGAGGCGGCAACTTGAACGAGAAGACGAACACCGTCTGAGACTGAGTACAGCAAGGGATTTCCCGGAAGAAATCCGATTGGATCGTATTCGGGATTTTCCAAAGGAGCTTCGGGGAAAAGCTGCCGACCTATGGGATATGAAATCGGGGCTCAGTGTTCTTGCAGCACAAAGTGTATTGGGGGGTAACATGTCACGCAACGCAGGACGCTTTGGCCCTTTCCGCGCAGGGGAGCCAGGTGATATTTGTGTGAGATGCGGTTTTCTAGTTCCAAGCGCGCAGACGGGAAATGAGATATGTTCCAAGACTGGATGGTGCCAAAGTTGTGCGCGTATCCCACCACACGTAAGCGGAAACATGCTTCGCGAATGCTTGAATCTTCGTAGGTGCCAAGACGAGGAGAAGCGAAAGATTGTAGAAGGATGGGACGCTGAAGAGAAAGCCCCAGCTGTAGAGGCTTCGGGATAAATTGGTCTTTTGCAAACGCTCGGGGATGTTTTGCAACAACCATGATGTATTTTAGAAGTCATCACTCATCAACGCAGGGGGTGCATTGCAACAACCATGATGTAAATTAAAGGCATCACTCATCAGTACTATCGAATTGCTCTTTCTTTCTAGCTTTATCAAGCGTTTTGAGTCATGGCTGTTTTAAATCATGCGTGTCACTTTTTAACAATTGAAGTTCAGGGGGGAGGGCGACGGTATGGTGGAACGTTAATAGAAATGAGGACGAATACACAAAAGCTGTTTACGGATGAATGAATCAATCAATCCGATGCCCTGACGATCTGAGTAATTACAATATAAACACTAGCTACCAGTACTCTTGCATCCGCACACATACAAAAAGGGGATTGTGCAAGCGCAAACGGGAGTGAGAGTCAGTCCCTCCAACCCGCCTAATTGACGCTCGCCCGCTTGAAAATGCGGTTTTGAGTACTTTGAAGTACGTAGAACAGACGTTGGACGTGATCATAAAATATCCCTCTCTTCCATGGAAAATGGGATTGAAGATCTTGAAAACTGACCACAGCATTCTTTATACGGTCGGTCTCACAATAACCATTGCAATCAATTTGAATCGATTATCTTAGTGACCAAACCTATAACAATGCCTTTGAAACGGGTTCTACCATCCCACCGGGGGAGTTCCAAGTTGTGTGTAGTGGCACCATCATCTAGAAACTTGAACATGGCAAACGAGAACCATGAAGAGGAGGGAGAATCGGCACCATTGCCAAAGAATATCACGGTTACGAATGAGAATCTGGTCACAAAGCATCCCTTAGTACACCGAGGGCTTGGATTGACGGACAACTTTGGAGTGGAACTGGCCATTGTGGTGGGAAGTGCGATCTTCTTTCGTCGCCTTTGGATATTGCACGGCATCCATTTTATTGTCCTTCGGAGAACGCTACGACTGGCAATTGCTTGGATTGATTACTTTTTTGAAGCTGGAATATACGAAGAGATCAAGCGAACTGCCGTGTACATTTTCCGGTTTTACCTAAACCACACAGAAAAGGCCCTATCCGGAGATTCCATGCGCCTTTTCTTTGCGGCATCTTGGCTGCAGGTATGTAACATATCTTTTCGCTGACATTGTTAAAAGCATGCTTTACAAATCTGGTTTCTCACGTTTCCCTTTTGGTCCTCGCTTTGAAAACTTAGACTTACAATGCATGGGGATACCATATCTGGTTCGCAATTCTCAGGCGCCAATACAAACACGTTAACAAATTGGAACTGAATGAACAGGAGGATAAACTACAAACGACTGAAATGTTGGTAGAAAAACGCAGGCAGCAACAAGGACAACAGAAGCCATAAAATGACTACACTGATCCAGCAATACAATTTATGCAATTTCATATCAGCGGATTCCACAAAGAGTGGAGCCAAAACAGGAGGATTGATTCATTCACCTCCACAATCTCATCTCGGCTCCCAAGTCGGTGGATCAACAACTTCCTAGCAACCCAAGGGGAGAAAGCATGCTGCAATCTTACCATTCGCAATTTCAAGACGCATCTCCCCAACCTGAAATACCACTAGAGTGCACGTGTACCGTAGGCGTGTAGGACCTAAACTAGTGTACAGTTGCAAATTACATATTGAATATTTTAGAACTACTTCTGTACGTTTGAAGACCTCAGCAACTGAAACTGAAACGATGAAATGCAACGACACAACATACCGGAATGGTTTGAATTTGGCATCACATTATACTCTGCAAAACAACATTGAACATGTCAGAGCATCAACCCCCATTTGCCCCACATGACCACGAAGAAGCAACAACAGTAGAACAGGACATTGCGCAGATTGTAAACCAGCCAAATTTTGACCATCTTGCCGAAGTGGCAACAGCGGGACAAATATCTTTGGTTGCAGAACCGACAGTTGCAACAGATATTGCAGATCATCACCATCACGATCCTCATCATCACCACCACCACGATCAATATGTACATCCATCCAATCCAGAAATGGCTGGACTTCCTCCTGGCACGCAGCTTTCTCAATTGCATCCTCCCACCACAGGAGTACCAACCGCTGCATCTCTTCACCACCATCATCAGCAAGTCCTTCACGATCACGGTACTGGTCCACCTCCCAACAAGAAACAACGTCGTCGCTACGACAACAACTTTAAAGCTGCCGTCTTGGATCATCTAAAGAATTCTCGCGCAAAGTTGCCCGCAATTGCCAAACAGTATGGAATTCCCGAAAATACGTTGAGAGAATGGACCAAGGTCAACGTCGTCGAATCCATTGAAAATGCCCGACTCAATCATGGAGGCACTCTCAAGGCTAATATGCAGGCCAACCCCATGAATCGCTTGGCTGAATCACTCGTGGCATTTTTCAATGCCAATGACAAGCAGCCAGATGGATTGCGCCAACCAATAACCACCAAACTGATTGTATCGAAAGGATTGGAAGCGAGAAAGAAGCTCCTCGAGCTGCATGACATTCAACCATTTTTGGATCCCAAAGAGAAAAATACACTCGAGGGCTTTACAGGAAGTGATAGTTGGGCCAAGAAATTTGCCCGGCGACACTCACTCAAGCTGGCAGGACACAAGAGTCGGGTAAGTTGATTGCGTTTGTACTTGATTGGCTTTCGAATGCTATGTTGAAGCGGAAATCCATACTGACACGATGATTTACTTGATATCATTTTCCTTTAGGTCCGAGAACTTGCTGATAACGACGTCAAAGTGTACTGCGAACAAATCCGACAAATTGCCCAACGAATGAAACAAGCTGGACCGGGATTTGAAGATATAGCCGTCATGCTGTTTCAAGCAGGTGACAAACTGGAAACCAGAACACGAGCATTGGATGTTCAGGCCCGAGTCATGGCGGCGCATCATCCTCTAATGTAACGACATCAGGCTGCTGTTCTGTGGGAAATATACTAGCTGGGAAACATGCTCAACTAATTGGGGGAAGTATAATGTTACGACCTCTTACCTCTTGTATTCAAATTGATCTATTATTAGTTTGTATTAAATTTACGCTGCTACAGACCTTGTGCTAGCATACAGAATGACCGTAATTCACAATTTTCGTAGTTGGATCGCATCTGGTCCTCCCAACCTGCTTTGGAACCACAAAACTTGAACAGCTTGTAATTGGTCTTGTCCTGTCGTTTGTCCAATACTTGCGGTGGCATTTGTGGAACCCCTTCCTCTTGACCCCAATTGAGAATACATCGCAAGAACGCTGAAATGATTGAGCGAGACAATCGTGTTCACGTTAGACAACCTGCCTTGCTGCCAATAGTAGACAAATTAGCTACTCGACACATCCCACTTACCTGAATGCGAACATACAACCAAGTGATGTTCTGGTCGACCTTGCAGATACTCAAAACCCTCTCGTGCTCGATGGGCAATCATATTCAATTCGCCTGATTCCATGTGCTCGTCCCAATCCTTGCCCAACCGATTGCGGTAGTCGTCCCAAATGAAATCATTGTCCTGATCGCACTTGGTAAAGTCCACCCTTGGAAAGTCTTTGGAGATCTCGGCAATAGTCCGTCTCCGATCACAAGCATAATTTACTGTCTCTCGTATGGATTCCAATGCTACAAAGGGGACCTTCTTGCCCGATGAATCATCATCATCATTATCTGGCAGCCAACGGAAGGAATAGAGAGCCGTTTGGACGCATCGTGTCATCGGAGATGTAATGACTGCCACATCATCTATATCTTGTAATATTTCTTCCGTCATGGTGGCTTGAGTATGTTGAGCCAGTGATTGACATTGCGCCATTCCATTTTCCGTCAAGCGAGCATCCATATTCTTTTCGTTTTTGTAGTCACCGTCCACATTGTGGGTCCCTTCGGCATGACGGACCATGTGAATCACCTTGATATTTTCTTTGCCATGTTTCGTTCTGAGTTCATTGTACGAATCAATGGGATATAATTTCCATGGTGCTTTGAAGCTCTCGCATTCGACCGAATTTTTTTGCGCTTGCTGTAATGATGATTGTGAATCTTTTGTCGTTGCTTGATTGGTTTTTCGGGGGGATGCCATCGTTGTGAATGCAAGCTTCGATTCCTTTGTCAATGCGGATTGCACAGTTGGTAGTATGCTTTGGATTGTCCAGAGACGGATAATGATCGATCTTCCGAGAGATGTCTTCATTGAGAGATGGTTGTCAATTGTCAACCTATGATAATGATGATGATGATGGGTGCTCGGAGGTTGGTAACGTTTGAGAGTCAGACGAGTCGATTGTATTAGAAGTCAGATGAGTCAGTCGTCGATTTCGTTCTGTAGTATTATCGCATCCACTTGAGATCTTGGCAACAACACAAACGTGCCAAGTCTACAAGGAAAGGGGTGACTTATCGTTCTATATGACAAAGAGATCATTAAAGGAAATGATGGAAACCGAGAAAACCCCGTCGATTGAGCCAATGGTGAGTTTTAGATAATAGTTTGATCCAGGATCCAGACAAGAACCCAAGAAGGATGACTAACTTTTTCTCCCTTGTGATCTGATCACCGCCTTGTAGGACACTGATTCGCCCGCTCCAACACGAGGTTCTCTCTTGACTCTCATGTCTCGACCATCGCGATTTGGCAATGATTCAGGAGCACTCCCCATTGGAGAATTTGAACCAATCGCAAAATCATCCGGTGTGACCACTGCGGATTTACCAGATTCGGCGCTTTCCCAATCCAAGATTTTGGTGGTCGGTGCTGGAGGCTTGGGCTGCGAAATCTTGAAGGACTTGGCCATGTCGGGAATGCCCAATGTCCATGTCATTGATTTGGACTCGATTGATGTCACCAACTTGAATCGTCAATTTCTCTTTCGTCAAAAGGATGTGGGATCCTCCAAAGCCAAAGTAGCTGCAGAATTCATCAACAAGCGGTGCCCGTGGATGAATGTCGTTGCTCATCATGGAAAGATTCAAGATAAAGATCCATCCTTTTACAAGTCTTTCAATGTCATTGTTTCCGGATTGGACAATGTAGAAGCTCGTCGTTGGTTGAATGCTACTGTTTGCGGTTTGGTCGACATTGACGAAGATGGAGATCCGGATCCATCCACTATCATTCCTATCATTGATGGTGGTACCGAAGGATTTTCAGGACAAGCTCGTGTTATTTTACCACGAATTACTAGTTGCTTTGAATGTTCCTTGGAGGCTTTTCCGCCACAAAGAAGTTTCCCACTGTGTACCATTGCCGAAACACCCCGTCGACCCGAGCACTGCATTGCTTACGCATTCATCTTGGAATGGCCCAAGCAATTTCCCGAAAAGAAACTCGATAAAGACAGTCCTGATGATATGAAATGGGTCTACGAGAAGGCATTAGAACGAGCCAAAAAGTACAATATTGAAGGCGTCACCTACATGCATACTATGGGAGTCGTAAAGACAATCATCCCTGCCGTTGCTAGTACAAACGCCATTGTTTCCGCTGCTTGTGTAGGCGAGGCTGTCAAGATCTTGACCTTTTGTTCCCAAACACTCAACACCTACATGATGGTAAGCTACAATAGTGATTTTGCGCTCTTCGTCTTCATCGTTTGCCGCTAACCAGCCAATTTTAAAATTGTCTCACAGTATATGGGATCGGAAGGTGTCTACAGCCACACCTTTGTCTATGAAAAGAAGCACGATTGCGCCGTGTGTAGCACCGAGACTCACAAGATTGAAATGTCAAAAGAAGCAACCTTGAATGAGTTAATTCAAATCTTGCGTGAAGGAGATTTGCGACTTGGTGCTCCTAGTATGACTACGTCCAACAAGACTCTGTACATGCAAAAGCCACCAGCCTTGGAAAAGGCTACCCGAAAGAATTTGGACAAACCAGTCTCGTCTTTGATTGACACCGATGAAGAAATTGTGGTTACTGACCCAATTTTGCAGAGTATCAACCTTTCGCTTGCCATCTCCTTCCAATAAGCGTCTATACAGTACTGTAGCTGTGGGCCAAGAGCATACAATAGTGTTGGCATCAATCAAGATCAATATTTTTTGAAGATCTTAGCGTCTATCATGCGCCCGTTCAGTCTTATTAGTCACGAATTGCATAAAACTATCGCAAGTCGCAAAGTCTCCATCTCATCGTCACAACTACACATCACCATCCTTCCACGCATACATAGTGTATATCTTTCCTCCTGATGAGAGAGGCATCGCGATAACTGTCATAACTTACCAAGACGATGAGCTTTGCCATCAAAATCCGAAGTACCCTGGCTGGACGTCGAATGTTGGGTTCACAATCTTCCACCATCCACACATCATGGCACCGACAATTCTCGGATAATGGTGACAAGAAGAACAAGAAGAAAAATAAGAAATCCGATTCGTTCACGCTGGATGATTTCTTTTCCAACTTAGATTCTCCAAAGAGTCAAACAAAGACAAGACGACAAAATAATCCGTCAGGGAAGAATCAAGGACAAGGAAGACAGAAGGCATCCATCACGAGTGATGCTTCGGAAGACCTTTCCACATTCTTCGACGAAGTCAATTCGATCATGAAGAAAAACAAGAAACAACTTAAAACCAGCGAAAACCCGAAGTCTACTGACGATTTTCTGGCTAGTCAGAAGGAGAAAAAAAAAGCTATCTCATTGTTCGATATGATGCCTCCGAAGAAACAGCGTAGCCCAGATGCGTATGACGAAGATGTCTATGATGAATACATGGATATGATTGATATCATTACTTCTTCACCAAAGTTTCTGCGAAGGCATACTAAGTCACCAATTGATGACGAAAGGGCAGCTTCCATTCTCGAATGGCTCAAGGCCGAAGAACCTGTAGTACCGCACCGCTTGCCATCCCTGCAAAAGATAATGGCATCGAGCTTTTCGGACGATGAGCTTCTGCAAGTCCGAAAGGACTTTAAGTCCGAGCTCAAAGCTCAAAAGCAAACTTTATGTGATCACTATGGATGGGACAATCAACAGTACACCGCTGCCATTCATGGACTGAGGAGTCTTGGCGCCATGTGTGCGAAGAAGGCAACAGGAGCCCCGATCGATATTGCTTGGCAAAAGCTCAAAGAGGCTGGGTATGAAATGGAAAAGGATCGGATTCACAACTACTTGTATGTAAGCGCCACATTCTCCACCAGATCCATTGACTTGTCGTCATCAGGTGGTGAATCTATTATAGATTATCTGAATCGTTCTACCAACTCGGCCATTGAACGAAAGAAAGAAGAGACCCAAAGCCCAATCGATGACGGTGAAGAGACCGAAGCACTTATAGATACCACAGGAGAGATTGCAAACGTTCAAGACTTGCTGTATAGTCCAACTGAACAGAGCACCAGCATTCGTGTTAGAACTCTTGTATCCCAAAATCGTATCAAAGAGGCCGAGCAAGTGCTGGAGTCCACTGGTGTAAGATTTCGTAAGACTCAATGATTGATTGATTCATTCTTTTATGGCTCACGTGTCACTTTCCTTCAGAATAATTTTGATTTGAGACTGCGGACATACGCCCCGGTCTACAAGGCGTACCTTGATGCTGGAGATGTCCCAGCAGCCTTCAACTTGTTTTGCAAAATGAAAGAAGGCGAATTTGTTATTCTGCAGCCAGAGACGTATGTGCAACTTATTGCATGTGTAGCTGAAGGAGGGTATTTCAGGTAAGCAGCGCTGATGATGGCAAGGTTGGCGAGGGAAACGCCGATCGCTCATGATTTGTCATGTAGAGAGGGGTCTGAGTCCATTGCAGGTGTGGAAGATCTTGGCTACTCAGTCGGCTCAGGGCCGAAACTGTTAGATTGTCTTGCCCAAGAGCTGGCGGACCATTCGGTCGAAATCACTGCGGCATCCGCTAAGCGACTCTACAACGCATTCCAACGGGGCTTTCAGGATTCAAATCTGAAGCAGCTTCACCTATTGGAGTCAATACCTACTTGCAACGATCCAGCAGAGCCTGACGAGTTGGTGGTCAGCCGAGTCACTTTGGACGAAACAAGTGGCCGCTGTCCACGAACTGGTACATACCTTCGATTAATAGGTCTGGACGCAGAGCAGAAGAAACTTCTTGGCAATGGATTGGCGACTCTTGCGACAGAAGCTTACGCAGAAAGGGCGATGAAGCAAAGTGCTCAAGCGGAATTGGAGCTCAAGCGGTTCGCTGATTGGCTGGAGTAAGTCATTCGCGCCTATCTTGACACTCTCCCTTTGCAGCAACACAACGGCTGATCCACTCCTTTTTTCACAGCTCGCGCACCGGCAAACCGTACACAGCGATTGTTGGTAAGTGATGATGCAAACGATTGGGTATGCCTGTTATAATCGTTTCAATTGCTGATTTTATTTTCTCCCTATGTTCAAGACGGCCCCAATATTGCTTACTACATGCAGAACTTTCAAGATGGACGATTCAGCTACCACCAAATCGAATTTGTTGTTGATGCTTTGGAAAAGATGGGAGAAAATGTTTTGGTACGCTTTCCTACCTGTCATCGTTTGATTGATCGGGATCTGTTGTGCTAACTGAGTTGGTTACATTTGTTGGGCGATAGGTGATCTTACCTCAAAAGTACACCCAGAACAGCTTTGTCATTACCAATGCTTCTGGACAGAGACGGCAAAAGCTGACGCAAAAAGAGAAAGAAATATCACGCGACTTATTTTCATCGGGCAAAGCATATGCCGTTCCAAGTGGATGCCTCGACGACTACTACTGGATGTACGCTAGTGTTGCGAGTCAAACTGTCAGTACGAATGGAGAAGACATGTACGTCAAGCTGGGGAACGAAGATGGTAGATGGCCTGGAGAAAGACCAATGCTAGTATCGAATGACCAAATGAGAGACCACAAGCTCTCCTTGCTGGAACCAAGACTTTTCCGTCGATGGTACAGCAACTTCCTCGTCAATTTCACCTTCTCTGCTTTTGTCGGAGGAGATGCCACTGAGAAGGAAATCGGTTTCCGCACTGCAGATTTCTATAGTCGAGAAATTCAAGGTAACCCTTCGAGTGAAACAGGGAGTGGAGTGACCTGGCATTTCCCAGTGAGTGATTGGAAGGAAAATGAGAGCTTCTGCATTAGGATACCCGCTTCGAGACCCTAATATTGCTAGTAGTCGGATTATTCGATCGATTGACCCTATTTGTGCTTTGAGTCGAGTCGACACCACGTCGTCATTTTCCGTTCCATGAGAACGCATAGCATGTACCCGGTATAATTAGAGTCGTGTTGAAAATCGTAGCTTTTTCTTCCTCGTTGGTGCCATAGAAAAGCATTCTTTCCAAAACAGAAGTTAGAGAGGAGATGTGGCAACTTTCATGCTGTGGAACTGTAGAACAACAGAACGAGTGGTCTTCTGATAGTCATGAAGAGATAATTAAAAGTACTCTGCTGCGAGATTACTTGTTGATGAAGTTACAAGAACTTGAAGATTCAAAGACTTCCAAAGATGCGGAAGAAGCCATACAGGCAATTGACGAGGCTGTATCAATTGACGATTCAAAGCTTCTAAGGTTTCTCTTCCAAGCTGGCGCTCAATCCATTATTTATGAAACTCTCAGTCGAGAGAAGGGCAAGCCTTCGCCCCTCGTAGCGGCGTCACTGCTTTGCAAGTTTGCAAGCCATAACATTGGTTTTCGGCAAACCATTTACGGCCCCGTTGTTGACACTACACCACTGTCGCCGAGATCTGTTATGATGGAACAGTGGGGATACACCCGAATGATCCAATAATTGGGATGCGTTTGGGTTTTTACATTGCTTCTGGTTCATGTTCAACATGCAAAGGTTGGATTTTTGTTTATTAATTTAGTACAATAGCTTGTCTTCTTTCATTTCATCTTGCTATCGATACCAAAAAACGATCAGACCCATCCCATTCTGTCACGGGAAAGTGCCATGCATGTCTGTCTGCATTCTCTCCCCATGGGTTGCATTGAATTTCACGACTGAAGAAATCAGCAGGGAACAACTTTACTTGCCTGTCTTCCCACTCGTCAGCATTGGTCTTGAGAAGATTATAGTTCACAATATGGCAACTGCACCATCTTCTGAATTCGCGAGGCTCCAAAAGATCAAGCTTGTGGTCCCTCATTTGATCATTAGTGACTAGGATCGGTCGAACGCCTGGAAACCTCCCTTCGTTGCTGGATACTGGAACTCGGAGGTCCTGGCCCTGTCGAGAACACGTTTGATTCGAAACACTGGCCAGCATCCAATAGTAGTCATCCAGACATAGCTGAGGAACCACATATAGCTTTTGCTCTTCTTTCAACTTTTCTATGTACAACAGGTCTTTGTCCGCCAACCGTTGATGTTGTCCCTTTCTGAGGAAAAAACTGGGCCCAATGTACTTGTTGGGCATTGTGACCAGCGGCTTCTCTCCCATCCGCTCCAACTCATCAACGATTGCTTTGACTTGACTATAGTGGAACGATCCGTATCCAAAAAATCCAATGTTTGGGCCGTCTAGAGGAAGAGGACAAGGGTTAATAATTGTCCAAGCGAATCCACACTGCAACATGCAACGCAACACTCACCAACTACCACTGTGAATGGTTCTCCCTCCCGATTGCTAGAATGCCAAAAGACGGTTTTTAATCAGTAAGATTATGAGGGTGCGAACAAAACTGATTTGACATCATCAACTTACTCCAGCCATTCAGAAAATTTCGTCAACTCTTCCAATCCCTTGTTGCCGTTTTCATCTACAGGATGCTTCCGATTTTTTGTGAATTCTAGAAACTGTAATTCAGCCATCTCGATGAGAGTATCATGCACATGTTGTCTTTGCTCTTCATCGAGATTGATCAACCGCAGTTTCGCACCAGTCGCTGGACAAAGCGCTGTCTCCAAGTCAATTTTTGTTCTTCCGACAACGAGAGGTGACGAATTTGGCTGGGTGGCATTTTGCAATAATGGAAGCTGGTCTTCATCAACCAAATCTTTTGGGCAAATACTTTTCGAGAGCGATGTCGATAGGCTTCGGCACGAATCCTCGGTGAGTTCCAACAGATCTTCCGCCAATTCAGCCACAAGTTGATCAAACAACATGGGCCCACACGTTGCATTGAAGCCTGCTTTGGCTGCATCTTCAATCGGCGATGCATTCGCAGAGAAGCAACCCTCTTCCGCCAATGTGCACAATATCAGGGTATACGTATCCACGTCAAAGTGTACACGGCTAGACTCCCTCATATCCCGATAAATACGAAGTATAGATTTGCAATCGCCATTTGCACAGTAGTGATCCAGTATTGGCAAAAACGTCCGCAGCTTTTGGACGTCACCATCATCACTTATATTCTATAGAGAAATGCAGATGGTGAGTGTTCAGTTTGACTGCACCTCAATCCGAAACAGGAAGTCCATGATGCTAGTCTGGTGTATGTATCCTCAGCATCTACCACATACCTTGAGTGATGACAAAATTTCCTCTGCTTGTGCAATTTCGTTCTTGGCAATCAAAGTTTTAATTCTGAGGGTAACGGTCTTTTCATTGGGTGCAAACAAAGCGTCGTGCATTTTGGCCACTTCCAGTAACGAATCACGACAAGCGTTGTCGGTTCCAAGGATGTACATGTAGGTGCTAAAGGCATTCTCTGCGGGAATTATCCCACTTTCTTTTAGCTTTTCCCATGCCACCTGAATGGGAGCCGTTATTCGTCGTTTGGCGCAATAGTCACCCAGGTAAACAAGAACTCTCATGCAAAAGTTAAATTGTTGTTTCGTCAAGTTGTAATGTTCTTTGTAGTCAGCTGCTTGAGTCGTCCACTGATCCCTGGTTTGTTGTGCTATTGTTGTTGTTGTTGTTGTTCCTGACAACTGAGATGTAGTTGTCGTCGTCGTCGTATTCAGTGGAAGTAGATTCTTGGATAATAGAGCCGCCTTTGCTTCCTCTAGATTTTCCGGTTTGTCGTTTTTGAGCACCCTCGTGCTTGTCATCATCTCGTCCACAGCAGTTTTGTAGGCAGTCCAAGCTTCGTCATCGAACGCATGTGATGTTTCCGATGATGCTTCCATGGAACTTGTTGACCTTAATGAAGAAGAAATTATCTGGGATGAATGTGATTGGTGTTGTTGGTGTTGTTGGTTTTGTTGGTTGTATGAATGTACGGAATGCCAACTATGGACAGATCTTGTGGATGCACGCCTTGTCCTGAAAGATGTTCTTGTAAATGCTTCAGACGGGAGAAACTCTATGCACAACGACAACACCAACAATACCAAATGGAAGTCACGTGAGTAAGCCATTCGTGAAAATTTTGTAGAGTCTGAGATCTTGGGGGAGAATGATTCCAATGGCAATCCTCGTTTTGTGTTTGAAAGTTCAAAGTGATGTCTTGTTGTGTGCGAAATCGAAGTGAAGGAATGGAGGCAGGAGTCCATCAAATCAATCCGAAGAAACGTACAAAGGTCAGATCTTATTCCTACCAAAAAGGAGATAGGAGTTTTCATACTGCACTGTAGTTCAAAGCTGCAATACCAGGCACGGTATCATACCAGCACAATTTGAACATCATAGCTACAACACGCATCGTTCTAGATTTAGGACAAAGATAATTTAGAATGAGTGAACATGGGGTTTGGCAGACCCCAACCTCCTTCCAGATCCTCCATCATTATTGCACGACTCTAAGCATCATATACTGTAGGTATACTACTTGAGATAAATATGCAAATCTATAGTTGAAGTGGTTATCAAACAAAGAAACACGGATTCTGCATACGTTGGCAACACGTCAGCCTTGAGCTATTCGGGATTAGCCCTCATGGCTATTTCCCACAGCATTCGATACCCTACATTCGACAAGACGTAGTCGTGTTGGCAAAGCCATCGAAATCCCGTCTCTTGAATTGTCACGGAATGTATCATCACAGTGATTGCGCTCAATCAGTCTTTTCATCCTTGTTGGATGATCCTCCTGAGGGGGGAGCTTGGCCACCACCACCGCCACCACCTCGGTTTCGTTGGGCCTTTTTGTATTCTCTTTCAAACATGGAAATGGAAATCAACAAACCCGCGCTAAGGAAGGATAGAACGACCATGTGAATTCTTGCAATCCCTGCGAGAAATCCGGAAAGGGTCAAGACCAAAAGGATTCCAATGATGACGCGCACAAAGGGAATGAGCAGCAAACCGCCACCGGGTTCCATGATTTGTTGAGCAAAGGAAGACATAATGAAGTAGGATGTAGATAGGACTTCTTGGTAAGGTTATTGGGTGCTTGAAAATGTTTCAACCGTGGTGGTAAAACAAACTATTGTTGGATTGACAAGAATGGAACAGAGGCGAGGTAGGATGAGTGTGAGAATGAGTGTGAGAAATTCAAAATTGAGCTTTGGTGCCTGTCCGTCGTTCACCAGGGCAAAAAGGCCTGAAACAGTTTCAAAACGATCATCAAAATGCAACCAGGACAAAACAACCAAGTCAAACAGTTACACAAGAAGCAGCACGCAGAGAAGAAATAAGGATCTACAATATAGATTATAGACCGCAAACTACAAAATGGCAAAAAAAGAGGCAAAGAGGAGAAGAATATACAAAATACTGCTGTTTCTACCATATTTTGTCGGCCTTTTCTGGACCTGTCTTCATCCGATTGTTTCCGTTTTGACGGGAGAACTCAAATGTCGTGGCTGGTTTCTAGATGAAAGTGCCATTGAAACAAGATTTTCAACCCAACAATCCCAGGCTACGATACGGCTACCCGGCGGCTCCGCGACTCTTTGCGAAATCTTGGACTCCAGCAGGAGCAACCAATCCAGATCCAACATATGGTGTTCCCCCAATCATGCCAATCGTTTTGATATTGCAGTTCTGGTGCCACTTTCCAATGCCATTGATCCAACCGATGAAGCTATTGTCTTGGTAGTTCCACCACCACCAGCCAATGGCAACTGGTACAGCAGTTCATTTCATTACAGTCTGACGCAAACAATGAACAAACTCGCCGATCCAGTGGCAACTCCTTGGTTGGCAAAGACTGTCATTTTGGTGTCACCCTCCAGCCAAACGAAGGGTTCAACTGATCGCACATTGTCGTTGAAAGAGACTGTGTCAGCATTTTTAGATGCCTACTTGGGCTCCAAATTATCATCCATGGACACAGCAGCGATAGCACCGCTTCCTCCTCGGTATTGCCAAGCCATTTTGAGAAACATGATTGTTGTCGATTTGCAAGACGACTCGACTACTTCCACAAGACAGGGAGCCAAGACTATGCCTCAAACTGATCTGAGTATACTACCACAAGGAAGGCGTGGGGCATTGCCCAATCTCGATCTGGTCACATTGGTGGGCAAACTCTACAAAGGAGCATCGTTTCTCAATACTCGGGCCTACCCTTCCTCCACCTTCTTGGCACATGGCTACACCCAAGAATCCAAAGACATGAAGCAACTCATTAGCGACAAGTTTGTGCCAGTAAAGCCCAGCAAGTTTGAAACCAAGGCACAGATTTGGGCCAACGAAATGGTAGACCTTGGTTTGTTTGCCTACACCTTGGCGGCCGGTCCCCATCCACCACATTGGCCTGCCTTGGACCGTGGCATTGACTCCTTGACGTTACAAGTATCCTTTGAAGGGTTCCACCGAAAGGATCCCAGTTTGGAAACGGTACAAATCTTAGAAAATATCGTGAGGGCACTATCCAATCTGCACGAACGATTGCACCATTCCTTTGTCTTGTACTGGTTGCCAAGTCCAGAAAAATTTGTCTCGCACATGGAATACTTCTTGCCGACTGTATTGGTGCTCCTTCCACTGGCGACTCGAGCCTTTGGCATGATTCTCATGGACGATCTGACAGAGATGCATTTGACAATGATTGGCAGGTCCTTTCTTGTTTCATTATGTTCCATGGCTGCCACGGCATTGGCGTTACTATTTGGTGCGTTACTATTTGGTGGTGGTGATGGTTCATCTGCTACCAGTACTAGTAGTAGTAGTGGAGAGGATGACACGATGTGGACCAACACGTGCTTGTTGGTTCTCTATGGTGCAGTGGCCGCCTTGTGGAGAATGACGGCGATTGCCAAACCAGATCACGATGCTACCACCAACGAGGACGAGACCACGAGAAGGAGCAAAAGTCTGCAATTTGCGGCGTGTGCCACGGCAGCCTACCTCTTGGTACCCATTGCCTTTTGCCATTCGGCACTGGTGTACATTCCCGGAATGGTTCTGGTGCCACTTTTGGCCTTTCCAGACTACAGTCAATTGACTACAGCCAAGCGGCTCGTTCTAATGGGACTCTGGATGCTGACGGCACCACCGATATTAATGGTCCCACGCTTCTTTCCCCACTATACCATCTTTATTCGCTTTGCCTATGTGCCCATGCACATTCAATTGCTACTGTTAATTTTGCCATCATAACACTTTCTTTTTAAAAAAAATTCATGATGATCAGTCTATTTTTACTTTTTAAAATTTGTTTGATTTTCTCTTTAACATGTCACTCCAAGAATAACGGGAACGCACAATGTTTATTTAGTGATGCTTTCGGCAACTTGTCTGGTCAGCCAGCCAGCTATAAAAGAAGAACTTGAACCACTTCTAATATACATTGAAATGAAATTGGCTTTCTACTGACATCGCATATCATGACTCAATCAATCCTATCATGACTCAATCAACCATCCAAAAAGCCATCAAAGAGTTCTCGCTTTCGAAAGTACTCCCGTCGACAGGATGCATAGATTTCCATGGACCAAGGAGTCACTCCCGACTCCTTACTGGCCATGGAATAGGCCTTGTACTCGCGTTTCAGCCGTGGACTTTGTAAATTCACCTTGTAACTGGTCCGAGTCACCTTGGAGGCCAATGGTGGCGATTGGGCGGAATCGACTGTGAGACGTTCGGCATCCAATTGTTCAAAAAATTGTTTGGCCTTTTGCAAGGTTGCTTCGTCTTTTTGCAACACGCGTCGTGGTCGACGTTTTTTCTTGTTGTTGTTGTTGTTGTTGTTGTTGGGTGGTTTGATGTCACTTGCTGCTGTTGCTGCTGCCTCCGAGAAGGATAGTGTGGTGGATGCCGAAGTGGAAGCGTTGCTGCTGCTTTCGACAGAATCCTGTTGAGACGCCAATGGCGACGAGGAATTCGAAGAGGAAGATGAGGATGGTTCATGGAGCAAGAAACTATAAGCACGTTTCCTGGTTCCGAAGGACTTGTTTCGTTTCACTGGTGCTTTCATCCACAATCGTTTGCTGATGGAATCACTGCTTTTGTTTTTTTGTGGCAACCGTGAAGAGGTTGGTGACGAAGGGGTAGGAGAGGCATCATCGTCACCATCATCTTCTAGAGAGGATGATTCAATGCTCTCGTCACCACCATGATTTCCATCACTGAGGATGGATCCAGGAGGAGCCGTGGTCTTGGTACGATAGATTGGACGACAGAGGTCTTCGTCCCATTCAATTCCGGCGTCATTTGGTGAAGATTGTTTTGGTGAATCACCATCATCACCATCATCACCATGAGACGAAGAATGTGATGTTGGTGTGTCACTATTATTAGTTTTGGGTGTTCTTCGTCGGCTCCACCAAACTCCATTCTTACCACCAAAGCTGCGACGACGTTTTACTGGCAATGGCTTGACATTGCTCGTGTTTTCTGACATGTTGTTAGTCCAAGCAATGTCCTCAAGACGACTCTGCGATCGATTGGCAGGTTGGATTCATTCGTTGCCTTGTTTTCGGTTCAAATTTTCGGGTTTTCTCACAAGACAGGCACCCGGATCGTAAAATCCTGGCGCGGGTACTGGATTAGATTCAAATTGCGGCGCAGCAAAATCGTCAATCGTGGCTGGCGGCCGACGAATGAATGAATGAATCAACCCACGCGAGCGAGGCATCCATCCATCCATCCGTCCATTGAGGATGATTTCAATCCCCAACGCAGTACGCTGTAGAGTGAGTACCATCTTCTACGCAATTCAACAATTCTCAAAAATGAATCCCGAAGTCGCAATGGAGAGGGACGCTGGAAACCCAAAGCATTCACGCATTGTGTTTAGTCAAGAGCCAGAAGTCAAGTCGTTCCAAGATTGCACCCCATCACAGATATATATATCTCGTCACCCTTTGGTAAGTATCTTTCATCACATGAGTGAAAGGCATTCGTTGGGAACCGCAATTCACCTTTCTCTGTTTGCAATCCTCTTTAGGAAATCAATCAATCACAACTCAAAACAACGAATCTCATTGAATCAATCCATCAATCAATCAATCCATCAATCCATCAATCAATATATCAATATATCAGGGAAGAATCATCATACTTGACAACATTGGAGTCTTATTTAAATGGAAACGAAAGAGTCCACGCAACCAATGAAAGAAGAAGACGAAGGAGAAGCAGCAGCAACAGCAGTCAAAACAGAAGCTGTCGAGGCCATGGCCACTACTGATTCCACCGTCGAAGCTGCCTTGCAGGCGGCTCAGATCGAGACGGGAACCTTGGAAGCCGCCGCCTCGATTGCCAATGCGTCCGCCATTCCTGCTGTTGCGGATCCTGTTTTGCCCACCAATAGAGATGTCAAGCTGGGCGATGAATCTCATCCCGGCACCATGCTCTTGTTGGATTTGATCTTATTGCATAAAGTGCTCTTGCCCCCCAAGGAGAATCCAGACGATCGCTTTCAAGCGTCCGACCCCGAAGTCCAACAATTGGCCTCCAAACTTTTGACTTTGTTTAAAGAAGGCAAACAATGCGAATTGGCGGGTATCAAAGAGGTTCCCCGGCCATTTCTTGTGGGCAAGGGGCGCATCTTTGAAAAGAAGGGTGAGGAGTTTATCGAACTGAAAGACGATGTGGCTCGGGAACGGTTGGTGGAAATCATTGTGGACCGCTTCAAGACACTGGACCGACTCAATTCCATTCAAGGCAAGGGGGCTGTTGATAAAGAAATCTTGGGAGCCTTTGATCTACAGTTTCGCAGCAAAAAAGGAACTGAAGAAGAGGGGGAAGGGGAGTCATCATCGAAAGATGGCAATGGGGAGACTAAGAAAGCTACTACTCAAGCGGCACCTCGTGCTTGCGACGTTCTGTTCCTTCCCATCGGTCTGTCCTCTTCGGACAGTGCGCCCACCTATGATAATCAAACGGGCAACAAGGATTTGCTTGCTCTTGCGTCCCAAAATGTGGTGGTGGACACCAAGGAAGCGGACATGCGAGTTCAAATTGCACTCAAATTGTTGACCAGCAGGAATGATGATGTCAACAGTGACAGTGGCGAAACCGTTCCACCCAAAACACCCCGCTACTTGTTGCAGCAAGTCGATGCTACTGATTCAAATGATTGGAAGGAACTCGAAGCGGTCGAATTGGCCGAGTTTGCTACCATTTTTGTATTCGAGGTGTATTTGGAAAAACAAATCCACGGGACTCCAATGGTGGCGAGTGCTCCCGATACCTACAAGGCTTCGACGGTGCCACTGGAACAACCCACCGTGCACGATGTCTTGTTTGGCCGAGGCGGCATGACCAATGGACACCCGGGCAATCGACGATTTCGGGATATCATTGCCCTGCATCGCCCCGATTACATTCGAGCCTCCAAAATGGACAAGCCAAAGGTGGCTCGTCGCATTGTACGAGCGATTCGACTGGGAAATCCTCCCGGCCGCTTTTTGAAAAAGGGGGACGACAACAAGTGGTACGATGTGGGAGATCGGTGTGCGGCCGAAAAGACGTCGCAAGGATTGAGAGAACGATCCAATTCCGAAAAGCGCCAACGATCAGCCATGCGAGAAGCTCTACGCATTCGACGAGACGACTTGGACGATGGAGATGAACCCTCCAGTAAAAAGGTCAAGACTAGTGGAGAGGATTCCGATATTCCTCTCACACTCAACATGAAGGAGAAAAAGTCCAAGACTCCGAAGAAAGCGGCAGTGGAGGGAGATGCAAGCACGTCCGATTTGCCACCCAATGCGGTGGATAAGGAAGGGAATATTTTGGTGACAGATCATGGTAGGTTTGTTTCGAGTGTATTTAGTACTATTTGTGACGTTTGCAATGATACTTTGTTGGCCATTTTACTAACACAATGTTTTCCTTTTTTTCCGACCATACAGACATTCTTTGTGGACGTGGTGGTCTCACCAATCATCACAAGGGCAACAAGCGATTCCGCGATATCGTGGCGCTCCATCGACCCGACTATGTTCGTGCTCCCAAGATTCAAAAGCCATCGGTAGCAAGAGTTATTGTTCGGGCCATTCGCAATGGAGATCCACCCGGTCGCTTCCTCAGGAAGGACAAAAAGTCGGGGCTATGGGTCGATATCGGGGACAAGCGAGCAGCCGAAAAGACTTCTCAGGCACTCCGAGAAAAGACCAGGGAAGAACAAGCCAAGGCTCCTGGGCTGTCGCCCTTTGCCGAAATGGAGGGAGCAGAAGCGGACGGACCAACTCCCGTCCTTCCCTTGCCAGACGGTGAAAAGGTAGAAGGAGAGGCAGAAGAGGAGACCAAGGCGGAAGAAGGAAAAACAGAGACTGAAAAGGCAAGAAGTGAAGCTGCCAAATCTATGGCCATGGTGGAAATCTAAAACAATCCAGAAAATTTGTACCTTGCTCTTCTCAAGACACGAAACGATAAATACTCACGCAACAACTATAGACGCTGCGGTGCAAATTGCAAAGGACAGCGGTTATCTACTTATAATAAAAATACTTTCAATAGACAATGATGGGAAATCTCAAATAAACATTGTTTGCTTCCTCGTCCATGATCTGTCGAAAGGTTCAGTAGTTTTCAATCATGACATCCACCATATCGTTGAAGGTTTCCTCTGGATTGAGCGAGGCAAAAGCCAGAAGCCGATTTTGTGTGTCCTGATTCGGACTAAAGCTGCACATCAACATCGTTCCGATACGTACAGTACATGATGCTCTTTCTCATTGATCGGAACATTCGCCAATGACAACAAGTATGGTTCCGCCTTTTTGAGGAACCGTTTGTCGCTTGTTGCATGAAGGATTCATTCTGCAATCACACATTTATGGGTGAATACCGAACGAAAGTAGAGTCACATGTGGTTAATGCGTGTCCTAATGAGCTTTTAAAATGAAGGAATATTTTATATATTGATCGGCTGTCAACCATTTGTCGCAACGGTTTCCCGAATCCTAGTCACTTAATCACAAGCCCTATCCTGCATAAATAATGTGCTAGAACGCTCTTGCCGGTGCACCACCGGAGTTTCGCACCAGCTATCCGCCACATTGAGAACTGCATATCCTGCACAGAAAAAGGATTTCGACATCTTGCTTTACGATTGACACACAAAAAACAAAACGATCGAATTTGTGCAAGGAAACAAATCACAAAGCAATCATGTCCGACGTAAGTTCACATTGATATTCCTACAAAGCATCAACCCACAAGGCCCTGATCTAATCTGTTTAATTGTTCTTGGATTCGAAGGATCCTACCGAGGAAAATTTGGTTGACGTTTCTGCAACATTCCATCCGACTGCGTACGATGGATATGCTTTGATTGATAATGTCTCGACCACCAATGGAAAGAAGAAGCTTCTGAATGAGATGAACCTTTTGTTCCCAGAGGGTAGTGTTTCGGCAATCCTTGGTCCTTCTGGAGCTGGAAAATCGACACTTTTGAACGTCTTGACCGACTCGTTGTCGTCAAACTCCAAAGCCGTGGCAGACAGTAAGCAACTAAATTGTTCCGCTTTCCGTTTCGTAAACCCATCTAAAATGGTTGTGAATTCTACTTTGAAACAGTTCACTTGCCAGGACACTCATCATTTGTTCCACAAGACGACCAGTTGCATGGTTTCTTCACTGTCAAGTCGTATATGCACCATTATGCCAAGATGGCAAATCTCAAGTTGCCAAGAAAAGAATTGGATGCCAAGATTGACACGTTGTTGAAGCAACTCGGTCTTACCGAACAAAAGGGTACTCGTGTTGGTGACATTTTCCTCAAGGGTTTGAGTGGTGGTCAGAAGCGTCGTTTGTCTGTGGCATTGGAGGCATTGACCGACCCAATGAATCTTTTCTTGGACGAGCCAACTTCTGGTTTGGGTAAGTAAAATGAATGTTTTCGAAACAGATTGGCGGTTAAAAGTCCTTGCTAATCCGTGTTATCTACACAGATGCCGAATCTGCTTTGCAGTTGATGGAGTTCCTCAAGAGCTATGCACGCGCTGCATCTGGACGACGTGTCATCTTGACTATTCACCAGCCTTCCACCTTTATCTGGCAGCTTATTGATAATGTCATTTTGCTTGCCAAGGGTAAACTCATGTACGAGGGTTCTCGTAAGAGCATGGAAGAATTTTTTGCGAAGTACGAACACCCAACTCCGCATGGATGGAATCCAGCTGATCACTATGTTACCATGGTGAATGACGAGTTCAGAGACCACGCCAGAAGTGTCAATGAATGGGCGCAATCCTATCAAGATTGGCAAAAGAACCATCATTTGGGTGGACCAAAATCGAGTGCATTCTTCTCACCCCCAAAGCGTAGCGGAAAAGAACGTACCACGTCGATGAATGCGGCTACCAACAAGGGCACAGTGGATACCAAAAGATCGAATTCTTTCATGGCCGTCGGTCCGTTGTTGTATCGATACTTCCTCAACTTGTGGTTCAACCCTGGAATCCTCGGAACCCGTATTGCCATGTACTCGATGCTCGGTAAGTCCAGTGCTGGTAGTATAAGGCCAAAATGCTGTACCATGAGCGTCGACGCTCACATTTTCTTGTCTTTTTTTAATGATCAGCTTTGATGGTTGGAGGACTATTCTGGGAGCTTGGAGACCGCACGGACTACGAGTCCATTATCAGTCGGACTGCCGTTCTGTTCTACTGTGTCGCCTTTTTCATCTTTATGAGTGTGGCTGTATTGCCATTCACTGTCATGGAACGAGGAATCGTCGACAAGGAGGTCTTGAATGGATACTACCATCCTATTGCTTATCAAGTTGCTCAAGGTCTTTCAACCATTCCTGCCGCCGGTGTCCTGGCAGGACTGACTTCGGTCATTATTGTGTTTATGCTGAAGCTAAACGACGGGTGGTGGTACTTTTTGAACATGTTCTTGGCCTTGTGTACTGCCGAGGCGCTCGCGCAGATGGTGTCACACGTCGTTCCGCACTTTGTGATTGGAATGGCTGGTATTGCTGGATTATTTGGATTCTTTATGCTTTTCATGGGTTTCATGGTCATTCCGTCTGATTTCCCCTACGGTTTGGGTTGGACCTACGACGTTGCTTTCCACACGTACTCTTGGCGGTCGTTCATGGTGACGGAGTTCCAAAACTTGACATTTGACGATCCAAGGTCTCCTTTTGCAACCGGGCATGACGTTTTGAAATTTTACGAGATTGAAGATGTGAACAGATGGAACGATATGATTGTGCTAGCATGCTATGCAATTGCTATTCATTTGATCAGTTTCATGGTCTTAGTGATCCGCTACTCATACTTCAAGGGCAAGATCACCCCATTGAACGGGAAGAAGCACCCTGGTATGCAAATCTAATCTGATGATAATTGTGCACCTCGGCAGAATACATCTCATGCTGCCTTTGTCGTGCTTTTAGACCAGGACTTCTCTGAAGCTGCCACCTAAAGGGATCATACAAGTTTCGTTGAAGTGATGACTGCAATCTCGAAAGATGGGATCATTTATAGTACATGCTTGCATGATGATATATTGACTACCATAGTAATGCATCTCGATATTATTTTGTTTTGACTATCATACATTTAGATTCAGACCATCCGACTATCAGCAGCTCGCTTTCAATTGTTTGGCACAGCGGTTCTTGTTTCTTATCGTTACGGATGATCTCACCATTGGCTTCATAAACAGGACAGACACGTTTTGCTTGCTTGTATGGTAACTATCTCCCGTGCTTGCGGGTGAATAATCGTGGAACAAACATTTTTTTAAAAATGCATGTGATTTGTGTATACTGTACGTGTACACGTGTACCGGTACACGGTTGGGCTCAGATATTGTGCACATATATTATTCGAAATTTTGATCGCGGGTATCTTAGTTCGTCCATGATCTCCATTCCTGCATAGAAAGTACAACAAGACTCGTAGTTTCTACGTAAGATCCTTTTCCGCCATGTTCGTTGTCGACTGTAAACCCACAAAACGGCAAAAGAAAATATTGCATGCACATCGTATTAAAATAATTACATTGCACAAGTAAACATGGCCGAAGTAAGTTCGCAAAGGATGATGATAGTAAAGTGGTGTTGGCTCAGGTCTAACCAGTTAGCTCCCGTTCCTCTTCTTTTCTCAGGATCATGTTGAACAAGCAATTCAACAAGCAGAATCGGTCGAAGTTGACAACGATGGTTTGGTCGACATCGCTCCTTCCTTCCACCCTACAAAAAACGATGGATATGCGTTGATTGATAATGTCTCGACCACCAGTGGAAAGAAGAAGCTTCTGAATGAGATGAACCTTTTGTTCCCAGAGGGCAGTGTTTCGGCAATTCTTGGTCCTTCTGGAGCTGGAAAATCGACGCTCTTGAACGTCTTGACCAATTCCTTGTCGTCGAACTCCAAAGCTGTGGCAGACAGTGAGTACCTTACTGGTACCCATTTGAATTTATCGCGCTACTGTATCTAAAATTGCTGTTATTTCTACTTTGAAACAGTTCACTTGCCAGGACACTCATCATTTGTTCCACAAGACGACCAGTTGCATGGTTTCTTCACTGTCAAGTCGTATATGAACCATTATGCCAAGCTAGCTAGAGTTAATATGCCAAGAAATGAGCTGGATGCCAAGATTGACGAGTTGTTGAAGCAACTTGGTCTTACCGAACAAAAGGGTACTCGTGTCGGTGACATTTTCCTGAAGGGTTTGAGTGGAGGCCAGAAGCGTCGTCTGTCTGTGGCATTGGAGGCATTGACCGACCCAATGAATCTTTTCTTGGATGAGCCGACTTCTGGTTTGGGTAAGTCTACTTGATTCTATACATCTGTTAACCCGAGCCATCGATGCTAACTCTATTTGCTCCTCTTCTCGTCGAACACAGACGCCGAATCTGCTTTGCAGTTGATGGAGTTTTTGAAAAACTATGCCCGGGGGGCATCTGGACGACGTGTAATCTTGACCATTCACCAACCTTCCACCTTTATCTGGCAGCTCATTGATAACGTCATTTTGCTTGCCAAGGGTAAACTTATGTACGAGGGTTCTCGTGAGAATATGGAGGCATTCTTTGCAAAGTACGAACATCCAACGCCGCGTGAATGGAATCCAGCTGATCACTATGTTACCATGGTGAATGACGAGTTCAGAGACCACGCCAGAAGTGTCGATGAATGGGCGCAGTCCTATCAAGATTGGCAAAAGAACCATCATTTGGGTGGACCAGAATCGAGTTCATTCTTTGCGCCTCCCAAGCGTAGCGGAAAAGAACGCACCACGTCGATGGTGGCAGCTGCCAACAAGGGCACAGTGGATACCAAAAGATCGAATTCTTTCATGGCCGTCGGTCCGCTGCTATATCGATACTTCCTCAACTTGTGGTTCAACCCTGGAATCCTCGGAACCCGTATTGCCATGTACTCGATGCTCGGTAAGTCCAGTGCTGGTAGTACAAGGCCAAAATGCTGTACGACGACCATCGACGCTCACATTTTCTTCTCTTTTTTAATGATCAGCTTTGATGGTTGGAGGACTATTCTGGGAGCTTGGAGACCGCACGGACTACGAGTCCATTATCAGTCGGACTGCCGTTCTGTTCTACTGCGTCGCCTTTTTCATCTTTATGAGTGTGGCTGTATTGCCATTCACTGTCATGGAACGAGGAATCGTCGACAAGGAGGTCTTGAATGGATACTACCATCCTATTGCTTATCAAGTTGCTCAAGGTCTTTCAACCATTCCTGCCGCCGGTGTCCTGGCAGGACTGACTTCGGTCATTATTGTGTTTATGCTGAAGCTAAACGACGGGTGGTGGTACTTTTTGAACATGTTCTTGGCCTTGTGTACTGCCGAGGCGCTCGCGCAGATGGTGTCACACGTCGTTCCGCACTTTGTGATTGGAATGGCTGGTATTGCTGGATTATTTGGATTCTTTATGCTTTTCATGGGTTTCATGGTCCTTCCATCTGATTTCCCCTACGGTTTGGGGTGGACCTACGACGTTGCTTTCCACACGTACTCTTGGCGGTCGTTCATGGTGACGGAGTTCCAAAACTTGACATTTGACGATCCAAGGTCTCCCTTTGCAACCGGGCATGACGTTTTGAAATTTTACGAGATTGAAGATGTGAACAGATGGAACGATATGATTGTGCTAGCATGCTATGCAATTGCCATTCATTTAATCAGTTTCGTTGTTTTGACGATCCGCTATACATTCTTCAAGGGCACGATCTATTCACTAAACGGGAAGAAGCACGCAGGATAGCGAATTTCAATGTAACTGCACTCGCTTGGAAGTTAGCCCCGTAATGTGAACTAGATGTTGGTACATTTCATTTTTAAGATGTTGCATAACTCTAGGATAACACTGAATACAATAAGCGTATGATTTACTTTCTTCTTTGCCATTCGCTTACCGGGCTGTAGATGGTAACGTTGACATGAAGACGAAACAGTCTATCATATTTTAAAATCATATTTTCGCACCAAAGGACACAGCAGAGCAATGAGGAATGATAGTACCAGCTCTAGGAGGCCTGTTCTTCGTCACCAAGGGCCATAATAGAGGAGTCGTCAGATGTTGACCTACGGTTCCAGGCAGTTTCGACAGCCTTTGCTCCAACAGCCAAAACCGCAAAGCCCAAAATTCCGCCGACCAAGGCGCCAATGGCCGCCTTGGTTGAGGAGACCTTGGTGCCCCGACCTTCAACAGCGGGAAGCGTCGATACCAAAACCCCAGTGCTGGTGGGTTCTATGGAGGGCCCACTGGTTGGTCCAGATGTAGGACCAGTTGTGGGTCCCGAGGTCGGTCCCCAAGTGGGCGTACCGCTGGGAGCAGAAGTTGGACCCGAGGTGGGTCCCAAAGTAGGCGCACTGCTGGTAGCCGAAGTTGGGCTGTTAGTGGGCAAAGTGGATGGAGTAGCGCTTGGATTCCAAGTGGGAGACATAGTATCGATATCGTCGTTGTCAAAGACGACTTGGTGGACACACTTTGTAGTAACCTTGTTGCCACCATCGTCCATGGGTGTTGTCTTTTCGACGCACTTCGATTTCGTGGTATAGTTGTTGTTGGCGCCTCGTTTTGCACGGCGGGCAATCTGATTTCCATCGACAGTAGTTGTCAAGCTGCTGGTCGAAGCCGATGTTAGCTCAAAGAGGCAGAGGAGAAGGAAAGAAACAAAGCAGTTTCGCTTGGTGGAGGAGGACGAGTTGATGAGCTTCATAGTGACGGTTCTTGTGATGTCGATTGATGTATATCAGAATCCAGATAATTGATTTGTGAGAGCAATCCTTCCTTCTCTCTATTTCAATTGATCATCCCATTGAAACTTCTGCATCATGGTTTGCCAATGGGTTTGAGTCTTGGTTCTCGTTTGGAATGGGTTTGTTAGATGAGGTGTGGGTCCGGTTGGACAAAATCCTCAAACTGGTCTCGACACCCAACCTAGAAATCATCGTTAACAATTGCGGCCTAGTAAGATACACATTGTGTCAATCTTTCCCAATATCACAGAATCGTCATTGTTCGTCGTCTCCAACGTTGCCGCTGCATCATGAGGCTATTGGATGAAGATGGAGGAATAACTGTTTTTTGTGTGCGGTTTTCGTTCATGTTGTGACTACTTCGACTTTTTCCAAAGGACTTTAAAAGTTCGTTTTGGGCACTGCGACCTGCGACACAAACCTCAGTAAGTTTTGCAATTTGTGTCGCGATTTCTGTTGCGATGTCTTGACGATGATAGGTCTACTTATTTGACACTAGTGAGGATGAAACGCAATAAGATTAGATTAACTTGCAACGAAATTGTTTAGTCGACTTGCCAATCAATCGAACCGCTCGGTACGGTACGGTATTGGACGCTATGATTGGTCTCACTTGATGCGTGGGAGGTTTAAGAGAGCGCATCTTCCTCGTTTCTCTCCTCGACTTGCTTCGTTACACTTTTATTGACCAATCCATCTCTTAAAACCTTTATTGGCACAGGAACATTGCCTTGGTTGAGGCTTTTCAACACGTCGTGTGATGTCACCCACCATATGTCGTTGGGGGAAATGATTTCGGTTGAAATGAGCTGCGAAAAGCTTGCATAGCTTTTCGTATTCCTTTTCAGGGCTTTCTCTGCTGCGCTGTAGATACCTGCGGCATCTTTGAGCACTCTCTCATACGAAATGAAATCCTCAAGCGGGTCGTGAACCTCTGCAACTGCCAATGATGTACCTTCTGTTGGAGAAAGTCGAAAGCTAGCAAGTGAAGGACCGTTCAATTGTCTGCTTTCACGGTGAACATAAAGATCAGACATCAGATCGAAATCGTAGAGTGGGAGCAACTTCCAGCCATGCTCCGCAATCTGCACTATTGCATCGCAGATAAAGTCCACTTCTTCGGGTGAAATGAAATAATTAAAGTTGACGCGTGCCCAGCCAAATTTGAAGGCAGCGTATCCCTTTTGAGCAAGAAAACGAACCCTTTCACTTGATTCATAGCTCGCATTGAATAATCGATGTGCATACGGTCCCGCACACTGCAACTGAAGAAAAGCGATGATGACTTAGCACGGAATGGAGCGAGAATGGAAAGGTACTTGGAACGTCGTTGACTTACACTGCAACCAGATCTTGCTTGAATACCATATACATCATTGAGGATTGCCACAACAAAGTTTGGATGAAACAACATTCTAGGAGTAGATGCCGCTCTATTGAGCCCTATTGGTTTAAGGCTGGATCGAATATGTGATCGAATGTTGAATGACATGATCGTCACACGCCTGTCCACATCGAAATATGTCCCTCGATCGCTCCCCATGAGTTCAACTTTGTCGCTATTTTCAAGCTTTGAGAATGCCATCTTGCAGTACTCTCTTTCGATGGCTTCAATTCTTTGACTCCCAACCAACTCTTTCACTTGAAACGCCAATCCACAACGAATGGCTTGAATGATACCGGGTGTACCAGCATCTTCCCTTGTTTCGGCGGAAGCTTCATACACTTGGGTCCAAGTAGACACAAATGGAACAGTACCGCCACCAGGAAAAGTGGGGGTTTTGCTGGAATCAAAGATGGAACGCTTGGCAACCAATAGGCCACTACATCCAGGGCCTCCGATGAACTTGTGCGGCGACATGAAGATTGCATCCATTGACTCCTCTTCGTTCTCAGCGTCCATGTCGATATCAACATATGCCCCATTACCTGCAAAGTCGAAGAAAGCCAAAGCATTGTGCTGTGTTTTATTACGTTAGGTACACCAATTCGTATTTGAGACAACAAGGAATCAAGCGCAAACTGGCACAAGCAACGCCACACTTTTACATACCTTAGGAAGAAGACGAGCATACTTCTTTGCGTCAATGCAAATTTCAGTGACATTTGACCCAGCGCAGAAGCTGCCAATCCTCATGGGGCGATCCTTATACTCGGACAATTTTGCTTCCAAGACTTTGGTATCGGGACAGCCATCTTCATCTTCCGGGATGACAACAACGGTCGCAATTGATTCTCTCCATGGGAGTTTGTTTGAGTGATGTTCAAAGGGCCAGATGAAGACAACTGATCGTTGTTCGTCTGGCATCATGGAGTCTGAATCCTGCCATTTGGCGGCCGAAAGGTCTGGAAGATAAATTCCAAGGACCTTCATCATCTTTTCGATCGCACCAGTGCAACCTGTCCCAACAAAAAGTGTGGCATACTTTTCTGGAGGTGCATTGAGGCTCTTGGATATGATCTGACGAGCTTCTTCTCGCAAGTGGGTGGTAATGGCACCTGTGGCGCTGGCTTCCGTGTGGGTATTTGCGTAGAAAGGATATACTCTGGTTGTCAGGAAGTCTTCCATGACCTTCAAGTATCTGCCTGAGGCTGTGTAATCTGCATAGACTATGTGACGGGTTCCGAATGGCGTAGATATCTTTTGCAGTCCTCCAACAACGTTTCGTCGGATCACTGCGATGGGATCCTCGACTGCATTCTTGTTATGCACTTGCTGCTGATGATCCGAGTATTTGTTGTTGTTGCTGCTGCTGCTGCTGTTGTTGTTGTGAGCCACAGCAGATGATTCGACACCTGGAAGGGATCCTTTCGATTTGCAGTTCCCCATTGTAATTGAAAACTTTGATCATTGAAATTATGGCCATGCGATAGTCCAAGCGAGAAGTGACAACCTTGTCTCCTTTGACTGAGGCAAAAGCTTGTTCTTAAATAATGTGTGATTGGCATGCAGTTCATGCGGCGTTGCATTTGATAGTGATGAAGATAGTGACGATAATTACTACCCCACCAGCGCCAAAGCCTGCGATTATGTGAACAGAAATAGGGTGCCTATTTTACCATATATATTAGAGTTCTAAGTGCACTACATTTAAGTTTCTGCGTAGTTTTCATTATTTGCATTTATCGTTGTTTCATTCACTTTCAAAATGTAACCCCGGGTACCAGGTACTCTGCATAGCAATCTTGTGTATGAAGAGATATCAAAGATGTTGGCGTTACCAAGTATTCGAACCAATCAATTCATGAATCAGGTTACTGGAAAAATAGAACAGAGAAAAGCATTCGAACCAATCCAACACGACTCGAAGACGTGTGACGTACAGACATTCTAAAAATTGTCTCGTGGCAATTTTAGGCCAACGGACGTTTTCAGTACAGTAGGTACTAGAGGTGTTCTGCTGAGTCAGTACCGCCAGCTCAAATTCTTCTCCAATCGTGGGGCACCGGAATTGTGGTGTCAAGGGATCTTTCCATCACGAAAATGAAATGATCTTCTGCGTCTCACAATTTTTTACACTTGTGTAACAACAAAAACAACGAAAACAAGTCATGGCAGCTTTGTCCAAAGAAACATCCTCTAACTTGAAAGGTCCTGCAGCAGCAGCCCGCGCTCGCAAGCGTCGCATTGCCTTGCGAAAGAATAATGTTTCTTTGGAGGAAGTCATTGATGGAGGTTCTCGCAAGCGTTCCAAAATTAACACTAATGAAACTACAGGTGACTTGGTCGATTCTGAGACCAAGAAACCCAAACCATCGATCACCGGCATCAAGAAACAATCTCGTTACGTGCCCGGTGTGCCAATGACCAAAGAAGAACTCAAGGCCTGGCGCAAGGAAGCTAGGCGCGTTCGCAACCGGGAATCCGCTGCAGAATCCCGTCGCCGCAATCGCGATCGCATTGGCGTTTTGGAATCGGAAGTTGAAATCCTCAAGTCCAAGTACTCCGCAGCGTTGAAGTACATTATGGATCTCGAAGGAAATGATTCTTTCACTCCCCAAGTTTTGAGGCAAGACCTCATCGAAGCCCGTACCGGTACTTATCAAGTCCCCAAGATAGTCCCCTATGGAGCTCTTACGTTGAATGCAGTGGAGCAACATGAAATGGAATGCATTGGTAGTGGTGGTATTGCTCCGCATATATTGATCTCTCGACCAACAGCAGCTTGTGTCCTGATCTATTAAACTACGGTTACTCCTTGTAACCGCTAATACCTTTCCAGCAGCGAAGATCGCGAACGCAAACCACCACCACCACCAAAATCCGCATGCCCATGCCATTTCTCCAATGCCCTCTTCGGACAGCAGCTCTCACGGAGATAGTGATTCTGACTTTGGTACTACGAGCCATCATGATGATTCTAACAACAATGCCAGCTCAGGAGACTCGGTCATGGCCGAGTCTGAGCTGGGTGATTTCCTCATGGATACCTTTGAAGGTCTAGACACTTTTGAAGTCAACGGCCTCTTAGCCGCTAGTGTCTGACTGACTAAACCTTCTGTTAATGGGTGCCTATCATACTTTGATAAGGACCCTCCCTAAATGTGTCCACACACGAACTCACTCGGAGCTTGTCCAATAAAGACTACAAAAGGTAGTCTTATCTCGCCAATGACATTGCATAATCTAAAGCAGCATTTTTCAACAAAACAATAGTATTTTGACATGAATAACGATCGTAACTTCATCCTTCCTTGTATGGTACCAGGTACTCTCAGCTTTGTCAAAAGTAACGATTCTATGATGATGATGATGATTCCATTCTCAAATCTTCTTCTTCGAAGGTCGAAAACACTAATGCAGTACTCAACACGGTCGAAAACAGAAAATTCTAGTTCCACGAGGAACCATTCAATTTGAAAAAAGCCTACGGCATACTCTCATACGTTTCTACGTGGGATCATTGATTATGTCAGTTCAACATGATGGCCCAAAGTATCTTCTTCAATTCGCCGCTGATATTATCATCATCTTCTTCCATCAACATGACATCAACAACAACAGTAAAGGATCCAGCCGAGGCCAGGAAGCGCCGAAAGGAAATTATACAATCCCAAAGGTCGGATGGTGAAGCAGGGGCAGCGATAGCAACAACAGCAGTTGCCGCGAGTACCACGAATGCCTCGCTCAATGAGTCAGTACCTGCTGCCCCATTGACTGAGGAAGTTCTTCCTGCAGTGGGCGCTGGAGCTGAAAAGAAACCACCCAGAAAGCGCAAAGTAGAAAGCATAGAAGAGGAAGAAGCAAGGAAGAAGACTCAGATCCGCTACGATCCCGATGTTCCAATGAGCAAAGAACAACTCGCTGCTTGGAGACGAGAAGCCAGAAGGGTTCGCAACAGAGAGTCTGCGGCTGCCAGTCGTCAAAGGATCCGCAATCGAATTTCGGAACTGGAAGATGAAGTTGGGGAATGGAAGAACAAGTATGCTCAAGCTTTGCAACGGTTGGAAGCCCTGCAGGGATCGGGGGTAGCTGCCGATGGAAGTGGAAATGTAGTTTGAATGAACCAGTCCGAGCATGCAGCATTGTTTTGCCATATCCAAGCTACAACTCCATTTCTCACATTATCATATTGAAGGACACCAAGGAAAGCAGACTTGGAATCTACTGAACGAGATTGTGAAAAAACAACGTCTTCATCCAACTTCTCATTCAGGGGTAAGGTTTAGGCTTGCACTCGAAGCAAGTACTTGAACTAGGGGGAACTCTCGCTATACTCGCGGAATAAAGGATGCATATTATGTGTTTCTGGAAGAAGCCCCATCGCACTAACTTTATACTATTAGACTGTTACCACCGTATATATCAAATTGAAAATCCGATTTTCAAAATGGCGCATTGCCATCCTTTTCTTCATTCTCCATTTTACATTTGCGGTTGTCCTTCGTCCGGTTCCGCTGCCGCAGACCAACAAATCGTGAAGTTTCCAATTTCTTCAAAGAAACAAAAAAGAGATACCAATAACATCATGGGAACAGGACCATCCGCCAAGAAATTTGGATCTCGATCCAAGCTGAAGAAGTACAAGCGGAAAACATGGCTTTGCAGACGTGTCAAGGACACCGATCAGATTCAAGACGAAATCGAAAAGGCCTCGGAAACCGGAAAACCAATTGCGTTCAAATACGACGACGAGCTTCCAGGAGGAGGTCAATTCTATTGCGTCGAGACTGGAAAGCACTTCACTGATGCAAAGGCGCTAGCAGATCACAAGAAGAGCAGATATTACAAGAAGCGATGCAAAGAACTGAAGCAGGAAAAATACACGCAGGATGTTGCCGAATGGGCTTCTGGTATGACCAAGGAAAAGCTGCCACCAGCGCATGCAAAGAAATGAATTTTCTCTCTTCGAACTGGAAATAAAGCAGTTGTATATTGTAAAATAGAGCGCAATCACGAGATTGGCATGCATGGGGTTTTGTTGCAGCAAAATGTAGTACTATCCCATAATGCGAACAAATTCAAAACTGTAGTATCAAACTAAACTGTAGTTCTGGGAATATCTACTCTACTGCATTGCAGGAAAGGTTAGTAGGCGCGAAATCGATTTGTACATTTATTTGTTAGTTTGCAACTAGAGCATGGAGCACCTTCCGATTGTTAGTTGCCATCCAGTTGCCCTTCATGTCGTCACTCTGTTTCTCCATTTCCTAATGAATGATGACGTTTTCACGTTTCATTCTCCTACCATCTCACATCTCACACCCACAACAACAACTCTCACGATATTCAATATTATGCAATCACTATTGCTGTTGATAATATTGTGTTGCTGGTTAGCTGCCTCTGAAGCATTCACCAGCAATGTTCCACTTTCAACGTTTTCCACAAAACTGACAGCCGAAGAAAGCGACAACAACGAGAATGATGAAAACCCGCCACCAAGTGACGAAAACGACGACGACAACACAGGGGAGATTGCCCGGGCGACTGTCAAGATTGATGATGGCGGTTCTGACCTTACTGATAGATTCAAATATAAAGTCAATGCATTGATGGGAGTATTTGATCCTCAAAATGGTGAGGACGACGAGCGACAGGAAGGCAACATCCTCAATGCCATGCTCAATTTTCCAGTCCGATACACGTTCAACATTGTTGGAAAGACCATGGGTGATGAAGCCAAGAAAGAGGCATATATAGATGCTGTAAAACAAGCTGTGGTGGCAACGGCTGGTGACGATATTGTATGCAAAATAACCCCAAGGGGAAAGAATTTTGTTAAGGTTCAGTGTGAAGCTGAAGTTCTGAATGCAGGAATGATCAACACAATCTATGACGAAATAGAAAAGATAGATCAGACAGTAATGAGGTTTTAGATATCCCATTATTGATTCTGACTGAATAGCAGTGGTGGTTAATGCCATGGACTAGTTTTCACCACTCGAATCATCACCATCGTCCTCGTCATTCTTGTCATGGTAGCTTTCCGATTCTTGTTCGCTTCGTTCATCGTCTGGTGGCCCAGAAATTTCTTGCGCCAAATTTTGAATCTCAGACAAACCACTTGTTCGGGTCGAGCTGATTGTACCATAGGCTGCTGTAAGATTGCCAAGTAGAATCCACCTCAAACTTCCGCAATCCACACCGACGATATGATAGCAGACGATCATTACCATCAGACCAACAATCATATTCAGCTGAATTTGAACCAGAAACTTGATGAGATCCGAGTTTGCTGGATGACAATGCTCGTTTCGGAAGGTATCATGTACCACTCGTAGACTCAAGTCGAATGGCTTTCCTTCGGGTTGATCGGTCGTTGCCATGTACAGGGTTTGTGTTCCAATGCCAGGAAATTGTTGACTTATCAAATCACCTTTCTTGTATTGCTTTCGTGAATCCCATGGCAATGGCTTTGATTTCCCCCTCGCTGCAGGGTGAGACTGGCTTACAATGGTCCATCCGCCAGCAAGATATCCCATCGTTGCAAAGTATGCCCGGTTAAGTGTTGCTCCCTGAGTCAATAAGGATGATAGCGTTATCAGGATGACAGATAGAACGGTAGCAATCATGGCCCCGCGTTCGGTATTGACAAAGACAAAGTGACTTTGGGCTTCACTATCCGATCGCAACGCTGCCACAACTCCAGCTGGGTAGAGAACTCTGGCCAGCTGTGACATTGGCATTCCCTTTGGACAGTTTCCAGTGAATCGGCTTATCAAGTGCGTCCTAGGAAATAGCGCGCATACTACCAGATTCTCAATGATGCGGATCGAAATGGATTTCGAAAGAAGTCGAAAGCGATTCTCGGTAGCGACAGAGACATAGTTTTCGGGCCATGTAACAGGTTCTGGGATTTCCTTTTGGTTTTTGGACTTTGATTTCTGTAGAATACAAATAGTTGAATGATATGATTGATTGAGTGAACATGGATTCCAGATGATGACTCAACAGGGGCTTTTCGCTGCAGCTTCTAAAACTTACACCGCTGCCATGCCCTGTTTGGTGCTGCTGATGATTGGGCTTGAATTCATTCCGAATTGCTTTCAGGACGTTCCCGCCTTCTGCCAAATCCCCAATAGGCAAGAAGACTCGTCCGTATAGTAATATGGTTGCCGAGGTTCCTATTATTGACATGAGAAGCAAAACCAGAGCCCAAGACGGCTTTCCTAATTTCTTGTAGCCCCCATAGGGAAGCGAATCCATACCCGACAGGAGCACATTGGTGGCACGAGTGTTCATGGTCAAGGCATGGATACCGTTGTCCTGCGGTGGTTGTGGTAGCGAGAAAAAGTAATGATACACCAGCAGGACAAATAAGAGAATGGGAAGGATTTGCGCCGGTGGCACGTATCGACCCCAACGTTTTCGATATTGTGCATATAATCGACTAAGTTTCAATCGGGTAGATGCAGACCGATGGATTCCTCTCTTGCTATCTGATGCTGTCTTATCGGATGGTTTGATCCATAGGATGCGCCTGATTCGATTGGGAAGTCTATTCAAAAAGGAGTCTCTGGCTTCCAGGAATGGAAATACGATCCGAACCTTGATGGTGTGCCAAGTGTAGAGAATGGATGGGAACAAAAAGTCCGACACGGTCATGAGTTCGATTCTCCCATTGTCAACATGGTGGGTGCCTAGTTGTTTGGCTACTGCCTCTGGACTCGGACGATTGAAGTATTGGCCTCCGACAAAGAGAGAACACAACCAATGGGCAATCACACCTTTTAGGCTGGGTGATTTGTGCGTCGATTGATCACTTGTGCATATCCATCGAATCAGTATATTCCGGCCCAGCCATAGTCCTACCAAGAACACGTATCTGAAATCCCCTGGCATGATTCCCCAGTAGACCTCTTGATGTAACCCTCGGAGACTTGACAGTGTCAAAAAGAGCATCGCCACCAATTGGTAGAATTCTTGTTCCAGATGGACTGTCGTTGGTCCAATTAACCGATACGAATTCATTGTGAGGAAGTATATTGTCTATTCTATGGAAAATTAAAGTGTAGCTTGTGGTATTTGAGTTGCCTTGGGGCACATTGGTGGAGCAGTTGTTGGCAAAATGAAAATGTGGGTTATATTCTTCAACATCCATCGTTTGACCATCCGGTCGCGGGAGACGAACAGACACCGAACATTTATGTTCGATGTTCAACATTGGTTGATGACAAAGAGACATTGCATTGTGTTGAGAGTGAATCGGCCTCGGAGACAACTCTTCTAGTTTGGCAAAGAGACATTATCCCTTGCACTTACAAAACGAAATGGCAGAAACAGCAGCCGTGAAACCAGGACAGAAATTTCCAACTCGTAAGTGAGACCTTCACAGACACGGAAATTCACTTTGGGCCGTCTCCTGCTCCTCTTCGTTTCACTCAGTGATAATGTCTTTCTGTTGTTTTCGGCAGCAACACCCGGGTTTGGTGATAGAGTGTTCTATGAGACGTTGCTTCGACAACGTCCAGATTCTGCAATGGCACAAGAATGGTGAGCATATAGACTACTCTTTTGTTGGTGGACAATTGGTGTTCACTAGAGTCTCACAAGCATTCATCCATTCATTCATTCATTCTTTGTTTCTTCTACTGTAGGTGCGTGAATTATGGCGTTCTGCCAACCAAAAAGGCGGCCAAACTGCATGCGATTGTAATGGACCGCAAAAAGAAGCAACGAGTGGGTGGGATGCAAAGTAGTTCCAGTAGTAGTGCTCCCCCCAAGAAGAAAAAGGCCAAAATTGTCAAGGAGGAAGCGGTCGACACGGAATTGCAACTACCGGGAGGGGAGGGACTTGCAAGTGCTGCCCTGTAAACTATTAAATAGCATTATTTTGAAGTAGCATGGTGGTTATTAACATGTTTATTTTATTTACAATAGCATTTCTTATTCGAGAGCGATGAAGAGTATAGTAGTAGTAGTAGTTTGTTCTTCATCATGATTGTTGTAGCATTGGAATGGTGTAGGCTGTAATGTCATTGGAAGTATCGGCCACAAACAAAGTGTCTGGATCTTTGGCGGATTCCATCCAATTGATTTTCTCCCCCTTGCCAATTCCAAACAATATTTTAGCGTGGTTGTCAAACAGTGATAAGCCTTCTTCTGTCTGTTGGACCAATTCTGCCGTGGTGGCATCCTTTTGCTTGGAACCTCCCTTGAGTAAATCGGGAGAAAACAAGCTCTTTGGACTCGCAGCCTCATTCTCCACGATATTGGACCCCAAATCCCAGCAGAGGACAATCCCGTCGCTCCCTCCTGAAAACAGTACTCGTTCTGATCTGTCCCTGCAAAACGAAGGAAAGTGCACCGAGGCTACGGATGCATCATGAGCATAGGGCAAAAGCCCCGTTTGGACTAGACTTCGATTCTGTATTCCCATGATACTGACGCTCCCATCCCCCAAGCCGGCGGCTAGCAAATTACCACTTTGACTCCAAGACAATGAATATACCATTGGTGGATTGCAAACTTGGGCTTTGCCTGTTTCCGTTTCGGGTGTGGAGGTGGAAAGGGAAGATATTGGTCGTCTGAGGAACAAAGGCAACATTACCTTACAATGAGTATTGGTATCGGTGCACGAGTCAAACGACGAAGACAAAAGTTTGGTTGCTCCACCTGAATGAATTCTGAATCCATTACCATTGCTGCACATTACTTACTTTGGCTTGAAGGCATCCCACAATGACACTTGACAATCCGTTCCGCCACTCGCTAGTTCTAGACTCCCCCTGTTCGCTCCCGGTCGAAAGGCACAGGCTGGGACAACAGCATTTTCATCATGATGCATCACTTGACTACTGTTCGTTGACGTCGAATCCATGAATCGAATCGTCCCCGCATCATCCGACGCTGCCACATATAACTTTGTCTCCCCCAAAGTCCGTTTGTTGTTTTTCTTGTTGCCTTTTTTCTTTCCCTTATTGGGTGCTGATGATCTCAATGTATGATGAGCCAGTGCTACTTGATTGACTTCGTCTTGGTTCTGCAAAATGGGCGTCAGGTTGCGAGTTGGTTGATTGACAATCGGTGAAGTGGCTAGACGCAAGTCATATTCCAAGACGGCATTTTCTACACTCAAAAAGCTTTTTTTTTTTAGAATAGAGCACAAATGCAAATACAAACGAAAGCAATGAATGAGAACATGATGAATGAATGCATTGATATTGCATCGAAACGTGTGTGTGCGTGTGTATGCGTTTCCGACCAGAAAGAGGCTTACATGGAATGATCCTTTGCAAACGGGCTCGATAATTCCACTGGTATATCCTCTACTGCTCCATTTTTTGGTGTAAAGGCCACTGACAAAACTTCTCCACCAGTTTGAATGCACAAGGAAGCCCGCCTTCTGTTATTGTCGCGCAAATCCCAGAGTCGAGCGGTATGATCTTCGGATCCACTCAGGAGGCAGGAATACTCTTCCGAGACTGCCAGCGAGAGCACAGGTGCTGAGTGGCCTTGGTATTTTGCCGACGTGAATTGATTACTATTATTGGTCTTTGTGGTATCTCCAGACATTTGTGTTTGCGTGTGATGAATGTGTGTGTTTAGACGAATGCAAAAGACGGAGGGAGAAACAATGATTGTGAGTCGGCAAAATGCAATGGATGGTCGATGGTTCGATGTCAGAGCAGTCAAAGTGGTCGATTTTGTGGAAATGAAATCGAAGTGGTCGACTAGAATTTTCGCGCCACAAACATTTTCAATTTTATTTGTTGCAACGATAGTGAGACTGCAACAGCAATGACAATATAGCATCGGTTCCATAACCACACAATTATCAACAAACTCAACAGCGAATTGACATGGTTGGACGATCCAATGGCCCTTTGGTCCTCAACGTTGCCGAAAAACCCTCTGTCGCTCGGGCGTTGGCAGGTGCTTTCAATCGCATGCCTCGATCACAAGACAAAGGAATGCGGCGGGAATGTCACCAAATTTTTACCCATGAAGGCGTTTGTTTTCCACTCGTCTTTAATCAAGGACAAGGGCAGAATCAACAGAATCGACCGGGAGCCCCACATACCATGATTACGACGTCTGTTCGAGGTCACTTGGCGTCGAATGACTTTGGGCCCGAATGCGGATGGAATCGGATTGACCCTGTCCAATTGTTTGATGCCGTCATTGAGACCAAGTATGCCGAAGACATGATACCGTTACATGCCATGTTAACGCGACTGGCCAAGGGTGCCAACGCCGTCATTTTATGGTTGGATTGCGATCGAGAGGGTGAAGCGATTGGAGATGAAGTCCAAACGGTCTGTTTGGAGGCGAATCCTCGATTGATTGGCAAAATATACAGGGCCAAATTTTCGACAGTCCTAGATGGTGAGATTCGACGGGCCCTCCATACTCTGGGCAGATTGAACGAATCCTTTGTGCAAGCCGTCCAAGCAAGGTCGGAAATTGATTTGCGGATTGGAGCCGCCTTTACTAGATTCCAAACCCTGCGATTGCAAAACAAGTTTCAGGTCTCATCCAAAGTCATTAGTTACGGACCTTGCCAATTTCCTACTCTGGGGTTTGTGGTAGAACGGTGGGCTCGAATTGAAATGTATGTACTACATTACGGTTCCATGATGACTGCTGCATTTTATATTACTCCTTGACTCACCATTGGTCGTTTCGTTTCTTCTTGTTCCATCCATCTCTAGTTTTCAACCAGAAACCTTTTGGTACATCGAGTTGCAACTGAAACTCCCATCCGAAGGGGAAGATCCAGCACAAAGTTCCAGCACACGTCCCATTACCTTTACGTGGCGACGCACACGACTGTACGAACGTTTCATGACGCTGAATTGTTACGAATCTTGTTTGGAAGATGGGACCGCCGTCGTTACCAGCATGGACGGCAGCCAAAAGAAAAAGTGGCGACCGGTTCCATTGGCGACAGTGGAATTGCAAAAACGAGCTTCTCGGTATCTACGAATTGGGAGTGAAGCGCTCATGTCCGCGGCGGAAGCTTTGTACAATGAAGGATACATTAGTTATCCCCGTACCGAAACGGAAAAATTTCGGCCCGAGTTTGAACATTTGCCCTTGTTGCGAGACTTTGCGCAAGGGGGAGGTGAATTTGGAGCATATGCACAAAGGCTCGTAGACAGTGATTTTCAAAATCCTCGACCAGGTCGAAATGATGACCAAGCCCATCCTCCCATTACACCCTGCAAGGTTGTCGATCCAAACTCGATTGGAGATCCAGCACAACGAGGAGTCTACAGGTTAGTGGTCAAGCATTATCTGGCTTGTTGTTCCAAAGATGCACTGGGTGTGGAAACTGCGATTTCGGTACGAATCGGATCGGAAGACTTTACTGCCAAGGGGTTGATGATTTTGGAAAAGAATTGGCTGGAAATTTACGAGCCATGGGAACGATGGTCGACTGGACAAGGAGAACTACCTCCACTGCAAGTTGGAAGCCGGGTGGTCCCACACACACTGGTGATGAAGGAAGGGACCACCACTCCGCCCCAGCCTCTCACCGAAGCTGAATTGATCACCCTCATGGACAAGAACAAAATTGGTACTGACGCCACCATTGCCCAACATATTACCACCATTTTGACCCGGGAATATGCCATCAAGGATGCCAACCAAAGATTTTTGCCTACCCCATTGGGAACTGCCTTGGTGGAAGGCTACAATAGCATGGGATACCAACTCAACAAACCGGAACTGAGACGAGAAATGGAACACGAGTGCAATTTGGTTGCGAGTCAACAAAAGACCAAGGATGATATCATTGGGCCAATCTTGGCCAAGATGAGGGATTGCTTCATACGAGCGGCGGCCGAGGCGCAAAAGTTGGACGAAGCCGTGGCGAAGCGATTCCCACCAGTTGGACAAGGGAACAACATGAGCGTGATGAAGGCCAGTTTTAGTGTGTGTGGTGTGTGCCAAAACAAAATGGCCTTGAAACGGCCAACTGGGGGAGAGAATCGACAGGCCAACAAGGTCTTATATTGCAACACTTGTCAGCTTGGGCACAGCTTGCCCCGCGGAAAACCTGAACCCAAAACCGAGCAAGAGAATGGAGGTGGAGCGCCCTTCAAGTGCCCCATTTGCGATTTTCAAGTCGTCAAGATAGTTCGGGGAGATGGATACGAGGGAAACGGTACGTAATAGAAGGAATATTGTCTGACCTGCTTGTTGATGATGACCTGACACCGCATGTCTCCTTGCTCATTCAACAGGATATACTTTTTGTCCAAAGTGTTTTAATGATCCACCTGCCGAGCACGGTGGTGCCACTGGAGGATTCCGCTGTTTCAATTGCACCCACCCAACCTGTTCGCTGGCAAGTGGAACACCTGGAGATGATATTGAAGTCTTTGCTTGTCCTTTTTGCCAGCAGCACAATCGTAACGGTAAAATACGTCTGAAAAAGACCTCCAAGGGCTACGCTTTAGGCTGTTCCAACTATTCCTCTCAATTTCGTTGCACTTATTCCATTTGGATGCCACGAGAAAGTAACGAAATCAAAATTCCCGAAGGAGATGCCAATCTGTGTCAGCCATGTACTGCGAGCCGTGGAGGGCCAGTCCGCAAGATACACTTTGTTTGGAGGGCCGGGAGTGTTCCGCCGCATATGGGACGAGAATGCACGGCGTGTGTTTTGTGTGATACAGCCTTGCGACAAGATATGAACATGAACCTTCCCAACATGAACCAGGTCCGAACCAATGCCAATCGAAGTGGCGGGGCCAGTCGAACTACTGGTGGTGGAAGAGGCGGCCGAGGAGGAAACTATGGCCCCACTAGTACCAACAACAATTTCAACAATGCAACTTCCAACAACTATTCCAACCATGCTTTTGGAAGTACCAATAGCAATCGCACCAACAATGGAGGCAATCGAAGAGGTTCGTACAACAATCGAGGACGTGGTAGAGGCAGAGGAGGTGGAGGCAACTCGGGTGGTAGAGGAAACTTTGTCTGTTACAAGTGCAACCAACCTGGCCATTTTGCCAATGCATGTCCAAATGGAAACTAATGTACAATGTATACAAGTACTATTATAATAGAAGATCTGATAGAGCTACATGCGCTGTACGAAATGCACTCTTTCGAGAGTATGTACTTTCACTTTGGGGACTTTAAAATCTACGCGTCGAAAGTACCAAGAACAGCGTACAACTCGCTCGACTCAACGGAAACAACCCCATTTCAAAATTTCGGGTTTGTTTGAACCTCGTGGTGTTGTCACTCTCTTCCTTTCAGCAAGTATCTGCAGACGGTGTAAGCAGCACAAGACACCATGGATGACCGCAGTTATGATGACACTGAACCTACGCCACAGCCGCACTATTTTCGGCCTCCCCTTCCCTCTCAGCATCCAACACTGCAAATGGAACAGAGTCCCAACACAGCATTGCTGAATCACCATAGCATCTTATCTTATGGTGATAGCATAGAAGGCCTTGACGTCGTTGACGACGGCAGCAGTCTTCCAACTTTTAATGACGAGCCACCGTCACCAATGACTCGGCCTTCTCAATCTATGATGATGGGGTCCCATGGATCAACCACTGCTGCCAATACACGCTTTGCTCGAACCCAACCGCCAATTGCTGAAGTCCATTTTGAAGGAGAAGGAGAAGAAGACAGCACCTATTACGATGCCATGGCAGAGCAAGCCTTGGCTCGTCGCACAAAACGATCGTTACTTGCCGTACCGGAACCTGACAAGTCGCACAATACGGATCGACATGTCAGCTATGCATCTGGAGTTTCTGCATCCGAATCGACGAGCGCCTCTATTGACTTTTCGTCATCGCTTTCTCAAATGCATACACCATCAACCCCAGGTGCTAGGAGCATACCGAGCCATACAGCAAGCCCAGTTGCGCATTTACCATCGCCACGAAACCTTTCCCAATCTCGATCTCAATCACCTCATCAATCTCGATCACAAGATATATCCTCTGACGACATGCTTCGAGTGCACAAAAGTTCACTAGATACTCTCATGAAAATGAAGGAGGAACTCATGAAGGCGAATCAAACAAAGGAAGCATTGCAACGAGAAAAACAAGCATTGCAAAAAGAACGAGACACCATTCGCCAAGAGTTTCAGACATACAAAGCGGATCAAGGATACCAACTCCAACAGCTAAAAGTTGAAAAACAGACATGGGTCAGGGAAAAACGAGATTTTGAGGTACAGATACGAACGGCGGATCGATTAAAGAAGGACAATATGCATCGACGATTGGCGGCCGACAATCAAAAGAAAGAGTTCAAGACTCAGTTGGAAGAATTGCGACTTGATTTGGGAGAGGCCAAAGCAGAAAAGGATTTGCTATCATCCAATGTCGAAGCCCTGCAAAAGTCCAATGAATCACTGAAAGAACAAAATGCTGAATTGTCCAAGGAACTTGAGGAGCAAAAGACAACCAGTGCTAAACTTGTACATGACTTGAAGAAGCAAGTGCGAGACCAAGATGAACAAATAGAGCATATTCAAAAGGTTGCCGAATCCAAAGCTGAAGAAGCTGAAAATTTCCGCAAGAAACTGACCAAATACGCAGCTGCTCTCAAGGAAGCCCAGAAAAATCTCAAAAAGCCAACACTCAAGAATCCTCCGAGCTATTCCACGGATGGTCAACAAGAAGAGGGTTTGGATAAGTCGGTCACCAACCGATTGGCCAAGATGCGAGATTCAGCCGAAAGGGCGCACATGATCCGACTGCACAAACGTGAGCTGGCTCGTCTCAAGATGGATAAGGATGTTCAGATCCAAAAAATTGTAGCAGAACATGAAGATGTCCTGCGAAAGGTCACCAAGGATTCTACCGCCAAACTAAATGCCAAGATGGAAGAATTGAGAACTTCCCTCAGGGAAGAGTATGACAGCAAGTTCTCCAACATGGAGAAACATCACAATGACAAGTTTGGTGCTGTAAGTGCTGGTTGGGAGGCTGGGTGTAGCATTATCTATGTCTACACCATGTTGTTTTGCTCACTAATCGGTCCTTTCTTCCTGTGCATGTGTAGTTGCAACAAGAATATCTGCGCAGTCAAGAAGACTCTGACGAGGCTCTCCAAGTTGCTCTTGGTAAGGTCTCAGAGGCCTCCAAAGAATACGAAAAGGAAGCCGCTCGACGAGAAGGTGCCCAAAAGACTTTGGATCAATTGAGGAAAAAGTTGACCACGGAGAAACGCATGGTCGCCGAGAAATACGAGAAAGAACTGCAACAACATCGTGTGCAATGGGAACAAGAGCGAGAAACCTTACTTGCTGTTGTTCAGAAAGACTGCAACAATGCTTTTGAGACTCATCGAAAGGGTTTTACAGTGAATAAGTCACTGAACAAATCACTAGAGTCCCAGCGACGAAGCCCAACATCGACTCTTCACACCTTCTTTCCGCCTACTATCAGTGTCGATGCGGATGATGGATCTTATGTTCGATCTGTTACTGGAAGTGTTCGATCTCTCACAGGACACGTCCAAGTGATTTCGCCATCCGAGAGTGACCTCGAGAGCGATTTGAAGTATACCGAGGACCTGATTGCAGGCCTATTGTAAGGGAATACGCAATGTATGTCTAGGGGAGAAAGACTCTTGCTTTATCTGTCCATGGAATCGTAGATTTTGTCATTATGCTTTTAACGATATAAGATGTCTACAGGGTCAGTCAGTTCAGTACACGTATGTCACAAAAAAGAATGATTTGTTATAGAGACAGATAAAACTGTCTTTAATACATGCTCCCCATCTAAGCAATTCTGTAAATCAAATGGTATCCACTCTCAGTACTGATAATCCCACTCATTTCACCTGGTTGCAAGGCAAACGAAGCATCTTCAAAGGGAGCCTGCATCATGCCACGCTCGAAGAATCCCAAATCCCCATTTTGCTTGAAGGAAGAGCAGTCAGATCTCGTGGCAGCGTATTTAGGAAAGGCTTCGTCGATCCCTTCGGTCTTGATCTTGGCTTCAAACTCGGTCAATTCCTTCATGGCATCTTCGGGTGAGAGGACGACTTGTTCGCCAGTTCTTCGGGACACGGGATTGCGACTTCCAGTGTGCTTGATCAAAAGGTGGGCAGCGCGGACTTGGGACATGGTTTTGTGTGTTAAAAAAGTTGCGTGTGTTATTGTGTGTGTAAGGTGCAGAGGATGGATTTACTGGGAATCAAAATATAATCATCAACTCCGTGTCCCAATTTTCAAATCCAAAATGCCAATCGCGATCAACGGTCACCAAATCCCACCAAAATATAACAATTGACCGCTTCGACCACAGTCCGTCCAACCTTCCATCATCCAAAATCCAAACATGCACCACACATGCACCACACAGCACCACACCATTGCAACAATCTTCTTGAGTCATGGTGTCGGATCGATGATTCCGTATCGTACACGCTAGATAGATTATTGTGCTCATTTATTCTTATTGACCTACCTTGGATCAATCAAGGAAGAAAGAAGAATCTTGACATAGCATCATAATGTCCGCCAAAGATGAACCCTCGGATGAGGAAATGCGCAAGCTCCTCCTCCCAAATCCATCGGATGACCAACTGATTGCAGCCGTGCAAAAGAGCTTTGCCAAGCCAGGGCAGAAGGTGTCGATAGTCAAGAAACTAGAATCTTATGACGACAAGAACTTCTGGGTGGATATTGATGGAACATATTATTTGGCAAAATGGTAAGTTACATTACAGTATGAATAATTGGGATTGTTTCAGCAAACAGTGGCATTTTCTCATTTCATCCTGTCCCTTTATTTTTATTCTGTGAGCACAGCCACAATGGAGTCGAGAGCCGTGATTTCATCAAGCTCTGGAAGGAGGAATCCGCACATGAAAAGTCAGTAATTCATATGCAAACCACCATCATGAAGCATTTGAATGAAAATGGAGTCACTACCTCGAATCCACTTTCCCCCATCTTGGATACGGAACTGCCCATTCCGGCCAGTATTCACGAAATGCCAGTGCATTCCGAGTCCCATAGTCCCTGCGAGCTTGTGTTACGATTGTTTTCATGGGTTCCAGGACGGACCATGAACTCGGTCAAGATGTTGCCGTTGGAAGCATTGGTCGATGCCGGCCGATATTTGGGAAAACTTAGTGTGGCTCTGAGCTCGATTGACACTTCCAAGTTGGCTGCTTGCAAGCGGTATCATCAATGGGATGGAAAGAATACAAAAGATCTCAAGGATTTTGTTCAATATGTGGATGACCCCACTCGAAAATCCATGGTGGAGAGTGTGATTGCAGCCTTTGAAGAGCAACTTATTGACAGCAAAGATTCAGAGAAACTTCCAGTGGGTTTGATCCATTCCGATTTCAATGATGCCAATATGCTGCTGGATGAGAATTGCTGTGTATCGGGTGTGATTGATTTTGGAGACACTGTGGAAAGGTAAGCTTTTTCGTTTTCGCCACAAAAACCTACTTGCTCAAGTTCAAACTAGAGTATCCAGCTTTTGCAATGCCAGGACCGCCCGATGACTAAGTTGTCGGAGGGACTGGTATTGCTCACCGTGCTGGACACTTCATATCATTGAGCAACATCAACCCACGGAATTAAAGCACCGGAATCCCTCGCTATCATTGCTCTCCCTGTTCGGTGGAGTGTCAATGACGACGGCATTCAAACATCTCTATGAAAATCATGATACTCATATTATTCTTGTTTTTCGTTCTTTGTTCAACAAACAGCTGGAAAGTATTGGATCTCTCCGTTGCCATGGCGTATGCAATGCTGACCTCGTATGGAAACATGAACCGAGGTATTTCGGCTGCCGCTGCCTTTTTGCGAGGATACAGCTCTGTCTGTACTTTAACAGCAGAGGAGAGACAACATCTTGTCCTCCTGATTGCTTGCCGACTATCCTGCTCTGTCACTCTTGGTGCGTATTCCTACAAACAGTCACCTGAGAACGACTACTTGCTGCTGCATGCCAAGCCTGGCTGGGATGCTTTGGGCACGATTTGGGGAACTGACGTGGAAAAGCGAAAGGAAATGAGATCCACATTGGACAAGGTCTTTGAACAAGCTTGCTCCACCAAGAAGGGAGAAACGGGCGTGATTGATTGCTCAGACCTCTCCTTTCCAGACCCGCAAGTAGTTGACCCGTTTGGGGAAATGAGGGCAAAATCGTCCAACAAGCGACAAAGAAACAACTAGCGAAACCTGCTGGAATAAACAGAGTAGTGTATCTGTTTTGAGAGATGAGGACATACAACTTGACTAGCATTAAAAATATAAAATGCCGACACCATTTTCAATTTGAAATTGAAATAGCATACGTTTCTCTTTCTGCAGCACATTCGCCAAGAAAAAGAAAGTCTGACATCGTTTTGACCGTTCAACGAGAGAGTCGGATCGCACTTTCTACGTACGCCTGCAGTATTTACTGGAAGTTTGGAGATTTTTCAGGCAAAACACCAAGTGATCATATTCCCAAAACAAACCAAACGCCGTTCCAGGACAGGTCATCAGCAAGGCCATCAGCAATTCTCTCATCCTCTCATGTCAGACTTGACCGTCTACGCAGAGGCATTGATTGCAGCTGTTGCCCGGGCGTTTTACGATGATGAAGCCGTCTGTGTGATTGACGTAATGATTCGAGACAAGTTTTTGCGTGATGATGACATGGCCCCTCGTCTTTCCTTGCCGGCCAAAAGGTTAAGAGCAACACTACAGTTCTTGCAGGAGGAGCACTTGGTCAAATTCGAGACGGTGGATGATTTAGCACAAGGAGGGTCGCAAGCAACAAAGTTTTGGTACATTGACTACAATCACGCCGTCCACAGCATCCGATTGAGGATCCATTTGTTGCGAAGGCAACTCGAGCAGGCAGAAATGCGATCCCGTTCCAGTAGTTTTTATCTTTGTCCGGGATACAAGAGCAAGCGATGCAATGGTCAATACACTGAAGAAGAAGCTCAGCAATTGGTGGATATGGACTCTGGTCTGTTCTTGTGTCAGGAGTGCTTCATGACCTACGATGCCAATCCCAATGCTCCTGCTAAAAGTACTTACACCCTACAACTGGTTGATAATGCCAAGGATTTGCGCTTGGCTATGGACAACATGCGGCGAGTGACGGTTCAATTGAGTGGAAAGATGATTGGCAACACTCAATTGCGTCCTGGTATTTATGACCTTTTGCAAAAAGTACGGGGGAAAGGAAAAGAGCCCATCACTTCCAATCTACCGTCGGAGAACTATTCACTAGGAATTGGTTCCAAGCGTTTGGCAGGTACAGGAAGAACAGCTGGTATCCGTGCCAAGAAATTGGAGCAGGAAGGTGTGGCTGATTCTGCGACAGCAGCAAGAGACTACCTAGTAGGCGGTGGCAAACGATCGGCAGAAGGCAGCGACTTGACATTCTTGAAGAATGCCATGGGAAATGAGATTGCCTTTAGCGTAGAGAAAGGTGGAGGCGCAAGAGCAAATTTGCTAGCCACCAATACTAGGCGCCGTCGAAAGCTAATGGATGCCGCTGCTACTCGAGTGGGTGCCAGCATACCCCTGGACATGAGAGTGAAGGAAAAAGAGAAGCGACAAATGGAGGAAGAGCAAAAGAATGGCAACAAGAGGCAGAAGACTACAGAAGGCACTCAGTCCACCATACCTTTGACCTTTTTGAACAATAACATTGGCAGACAACAATTGGACGACGAAATGGAACGACTTCGTCAGCAAGACATGGAAGCTGGAAGCGATGAAGAAGACGAGGTCGTAGACTATCAGGCTGGAAGGGTTGTTCTAAACGAAATAGAAGATACCCCGATCCTTTGGGAAGAAGAAACTCGCAAAGCTGCATTTCAGGCTCTTTACTCTAAAGAGATGATTCGGCAGAGAGAACTTTTGGGTGACAACCCAGGAATGGCAAGTCCCCAACGAAGTGTTGTGGACGCTGAGGAACGATCCATTGCATGGGAGGACGCTTAGTGATACCGCGCGCCCTCACTACTTGCATCACACAACAATTATACAACAACAACAAGACAACAAAAACATAGAAACAACACAACACCAAACACACATAAAGCTCATAAACATATTGAAAGTTAAAAATGCAATCGGTAAAGTTGTATCCTACAGGCAACAACATGAGTGCTCCTCGTTCTGATAGGTGGCTTCCGTCATGATTCCCCTAAAAAAGTAGCAATTGAGCGTTAGCACCACGATAGTAGGATGTACACTCAAAAGCTCGCAACTCGATGATTAATTGATTGATTCTTACCTTTGTATTTCCATAAATAACAAGACATGTGGAGCAACGAAAACGAGATTTAATACAATTGCCGGCAACCTCATGAGAGCAAAACCAGCGGCCAAACCAACTCCAAAATTGACAATCCCCGCAAAGACCATGCCCATTGAAAAACTCAGCGCACCCCAGAGAGAGATCAGAACAAGCAGGGCTTCCATGACACATATGCGTAGCAAACTTCTAGCGGCCACTTCAATTTCTCTATCGGGCTGTTCAGATCGCACCATGTCAATGTAGAGCAACATTTGGATCACCAGTATCACCAAATAGATCGTGTCAAGGATAATAACTGCTCGACGCATGTCGCAACAGCCTAGGAAAACGGCTCCTTCTTTTCGGCGTATATTGACGGCTTGTGTGGTCTCACTGTTGCCTTGGATAGCTCCATAATGGTTGGACATTGTGAGGATGAAAGAGGAGACCTACGATACTATACCGGTATGTATTGTAGGATTGATTGTCGATCAACAAAAATGCTTCCAGCCATCAACATTCGACTACTTCGACCAAATAGAGGTTTTCATCAACAAAACAACATGTTTTACAAATTGAAAATGGACGATGAACAACCACGGCATTCGAGTATGTGATTCCTGTGGTCTTCCTCCTCGCGATAATAAGAAGCTTCGCTCTTGTTCAAGGTGCAAAAGTACATGGTATCACGATCTAGAATGCCAGAAACGTCACTATCCAACCCACAAGAAAACCTGTCGCAGTCCTGTTCTTGTTTCAAAGCCGAAGGAACCAAAGCCTCAATCGTCAAAGTTCGTCACAGAAAATCGTACCGGGAGAGGGAATTGCCTTGTGGCTTCATCGTTGATTGAAAAAGGAGAACGGATACACGTTAATACTAGAAGCAATGAGTCTTGGGAACCCTTGGTTTTGCCAGTGTTGCGTTCGGACAACAGGAGGACACGCTGCGCCTACTGCTTCAAATCACTGGACAATAGTAACTTTTTTCGATATGACCAAGTCCAACCGAGACAGCAGTATTTTCTATTATTCTGCTCTTCTCACTGTCGCAATGCTGGCCGAGACAAGTTTCTGCTTCAAGAAGAAGAACGTGCGATTGGCCGCTTGTATAATAATGCACAGCATGGTGGTCCACCCAAGATACTTCCAACAGCCGTCTTGGTCTATCGGCTCATAGTTGCAACCCAATTCCATAGGAGTAAGCGCAAACTCATTGAATCTGAAATTGACAAATTGCAACACGAATTTGCAGACACGACAATTGATACTAAATTGACAAACAGTGACCACCACACTCAAGCTGTCATTACCACTGTTGTGGCAATGATACAAGAATCAAGTAGCAATGACGACTATAATCTTGCACTACCAGCAATAGAGGAGATGAAGAGAATGGTGAACCGAATCAAATTGAATGGATTTAGCATTTGTGATGGAGAATCTGTTGCCATGGGTATTGGCCTGTTTGGAACACCCAGTTTCATGAATCATTCTTGCAAACCAAATGCAGTTCAGACCTTTGTGTATGGTCGTCAAGGTGAGCCTCCAAGTCTTTTGGTCACTGCCTTTGAAAATATAACGAACGGAGAAGAGATCTGCATCTCTTATATTGACAACTTGGCCCCCAAGCAAATACGTCGCCATCGACTCAAGCAAGATTACTTTTTCGACTGCTGCTGCATCGCATGCGAAGATCAACTCTACAATACTGGAATTATCGGTTTGAAATGTGGTAATTGTGATGCAACGTCTCCCAAAATGATTATGGAAACCTCTCAGGCACCAGGTCAACAGATTCTGAAGTGTCAAGAGTGCGACGATAAAGATCCTCATGACGGATTTCCTATTCTAGAAACGATGGAACTTGTATCAACCATTGATAATATGATGAAATTCTACAACAAACTCAAACAAAGCTATTCAAGCGAATCCTGGTATGTTCAAAACTGCGGTGACCAACTTGTCCAAATGCTACTGGACTTGTTGGGCAGTCAAGCAGATGATGATCAACAGCAGCGTTCGACCACTTCGAGAGTCCTAAAATTATTGAACGAATTGAATACAAGCCACGAACCAAAGGCAGCCCACATCGTTTGGAGTGGTTCTTTTCGCCATTTCATTCGACAGTATAAGGCTGCCAAGCTTGGGTTGTTCCTACATTCCGATCCACGTGAGGCAATATCCGAGTTGCAGAGAGTGCGAAAATCACTATCACCATATTTTACAGAAGATCATGAACTGATTCAGGGAATTGACGATTGTATGCGCAGTGGCATAGGTTGACGATGTTGAAGAGTGGTGATGGTATTTTAAATAACACTAGTCTAGCTAGAGTAAATATTAATATGAATGAGTCAATAAATAATGTGGCGTGGGTTTCAAAGATGCGTGAGTCAATCGTGTCACTAGTCACTAGCGCACCAGTACGTTCTTGCCAGTACTTCTCCAACGATATTCAAGGTCTTTTTGCACGATATTTCGGGTCGGCACCCGCAAATACCACGTCACACAAAGATTTTTCCCTTGCAACGATTGATTGATGATTGATTTTGATGTTCGTCGGTCTTCGAGAAGAATCAACCAGCACTAAAACACTGCGTCAATCCAATCCCGACAGATTGCTTCTTTCATAATTTTGTCAAGTGATAATTTAGAACGCTACCCTCACCATGAAGTTCTCAATTACGGCCCTCATGGGCTTCCAGTTGGCCCAACAAGCCATCGCCTTCGCACCGAACACTCCACTTGCCAAGCAATTCGTCCAAGGCCCAACTAGTAGCAGCCGAGCCATGGCTGTTGATATGCCACCAGCTTCAGACGTCCCAGTGATTGAAAAGAGCACCTATGGACCCACAGGCGTGCGGTATTCCGACTTTCTGAAGTTGGTGGACGGTGACAAGATTGAAAAGGTCACTTTCAGTTCCGATGGATCCGAACTCTTGGGTGTCGATGTCGACGGGACTCGCATCAAGATTGAGGCTCTTCCCAACGATCCTGAACTATTGACTCAACTCACATCACATAAGGTACGTTCAGAAACACGCAGAAGAGTGTGATTCACATTGATATCGATATGAAAGTTGATCTAACCAGTTCTCATTTGCTTATTCGAAATAATCGATCATTCTATGATAGGTCGACGTCACCGTGCTCCCACAACAAGAATCCGGTGGGCTTGGAGACCTTGCGCAAAGTCTCATTTTCCCAGCCGCTCTCTTTGCTGGTCTCTTCTTCTTGAGCCGCAATGCTGGCGGTGCCGGTGGCATGGGCGGAGGCATGGGTGGACCTGGAAATCCAATGGGCTTTGGAAAGTCCAAGGCGGAAATCCAAATGGTTCCCGACACTGGTGTGACTTTTGATGAAGTTGCCGGCTGTGACGGTGCCAAGTTGGAGCTCGCTGAGGTTGTTGACTTCTTGAAGCAACCCGAAGCTTACACCAAGAACGGATGCAAAATCCCTCGTGGTGTCATTTTGGATGGACCCCCAGGTACTGGTAAGACTCTTCTTGCCAAGGCCGTTGCTGGAGAAGCTGGAGTTCCTTTCATCTCCATCTCTGGTTCCGAATTTGTTGAGATGTTCGTTGGAGTTGGTGCTTCCCGTGTCCGTGACATCTTTGGCCAAGCCAAGAAGAACGCCCCATGCATCATCTTTATTGATGAGATTGATGCCGTCGGTCGTCAACGTGGTGCCGGATATGCCGGAGGTAACGACGAGCGCGAACAAACTGTCAACCAAATTTTGGTAGAGATGGATGGTTTCGATGGAAACCCAGGAGTCATCACCATTGCCGCCACAAATCGTGTCGACATTTTGGATAGTGCCCTCTTGCGTCCAGGACGTTTCGATCGTAAGGTCACTGTTGACCTTCCTGACTTTAAGGGTCGCGAACGCATCTTAAGTGTCCACGCTCGTGGAAAGCCTTTGGAACCCGATGTCGATCTAGAAGCCATTTCTCGTCGTACTCCTGGTTTCTCTGGTGCCCAGCTCGAGAACTTGATGAACGAGGCTGCCATCTCCGCTGCCCGTAAGGCCAAGACTACCATTGGATGGGAAGAAATTGATGGTGCCGTTGACAGAATCATGGTTGGTTTGGAAAAGAAGGGAGGAAACCAAGTTGCCAAGCAAAAGGAATTGGTTGCCTATCACGAAGCTGGGCACGCCATCGTCGGAGCGCTTGTCCCTGATTACGATCAAGTTCAAAAGATTTCCATCATCCCCCGATCCAACGGTGCCGGAGGTTTGACCTTCTTCGCCCCACAAGAATCTCGTCTTGAGTCTGGAATGTACAGCAAGCAGTACTTGGAATCTCAATTGGCTGTTGCACTTGGAGGACGACTTGCCGAAGAGATCATCTACGGAGAAGACATGGTCACCACTGGTGCATCCAATGATATCCAACAAGTTGCAAACATCGCCAAGCGCATGGTTAAGGAATGGGGAATGAGTGACAAAATTGGACGTGTTGCTTTGAGCGAACCATCTGGAGGAGGTCCTTTCATGGGAATGAACATGTTGCGCCGTCAAACCATGTGGGGAAACAAGATCTTGGGAACTGTGGAAGAAGAAGTTGAGCGTTTGGTCAACAACAGTTACCTCATTGCCAAGGAAATCTTGATCAGCAACAAGGACTTGCTTGAACACCTGACTCAAACCTTGATTGAGCAAGAAGTCGTCTCCGCTGAAGAATTCCAAATGATGCTTGTCGAATTCAAGTCAAAGACTGTTGATTACGCAATCATTGGAAACGAGAGAAACCGTGAACAGCTCCCCTTCCAAGGACTTCCAGCCTCGGTTTAAATTCAACCGGAATAGCTACTATTACCATCTGCAACAACTCATGTAAAACCATAAAAATAGATATCATTCATTTTTGAAACCTAGTCCATTTAGCGAGGCACATCTCGTGAATGCGTACGGAACGTCCTACCGATAGCGGCATCCATCGCGCATCACAACAATTTTGGATATTCGATTACTTCGACTGCTCCACAGAAAGATATTTTCAGTGAAAGGATACTTGATGCTATGGCAACGTCCTCCGGAGCCGGCAGTCCGTGCTGTGTCTACACTAGCACAAGTTTGTGGGGTCGAGAGAATCAAGGAGGCGAAAACTATTGCCGATGCTGCTATTGGTAGTCAACTTCATCAGAGCCGGTCACTAGTACATCACACAGCCGATGGAAATCTCTTAAGAATGACAGAAGAATTGCGTGAATGGGCTGATCCAATGTCCAAGGATGGAAATGGCAAGTCCGCACTCCAAATGGCAATTATCAATGGACATCAAGACGCTTTGGAGCTTCTCATCAGCTTTCGTGCTCTCCCAAATATTGACGAAATGTGCGACGCAATCAAATACAACAGGGAAGATTTCTGGGAAATTTTGTTGGAAGAATGTGATCTATCTGTGCTCGACCTTGGTACACTGGTGAAAGCAGCTCATGAAACCGGCCTACAATCCGTTCAGGCATGGTTGCACCGTCTAAACCAATACGATTACTTCGATCTCTCCAAGCTCGGTCTCCAGACACCATTCAACGGAATCTACATCATTCAGAATGCTTACCATGGTGAGAGCCATTATATTAGTTTCACGCAGCACGAAAAACGGCTAAGGGCGACTTATGCCGAAAGTGATGCCATGCCTCTTGAATTTTTCCCCACTGGTGAACCCGACACTTATAAACTCTACAACCAGTGGCCTGGTGAGAAAAAGTGGGTATCGTTCAGTACTGACGGGAAATGGCTATACGCTCGATATGCTGACGAATCTGAGGCAATGCCAGTAAAATTTGTCGCGACTTCTACTGCAATGGTCTACAAGATGGTGAATATGTGGGGTGGACAAGAAAACAAATGGATATCTTTTACCAATGATGGAAGGTGGCTACGAGCAACCTACGCAAAGGAACATGACGCAATGCCTGTTCGCCTCTCCTTCAGGACATAGTTTGGTTTGGGATCAGGACCTGAACATGATTGATTCGATCCCGAACTCAAGCAGATTCCAACGTCATCCATCTGGTTTCCGCACAATCGTTGAAATGTTAACGCTATCTAACATCTACGCTAATATTATGACAATGGTGCAGCCTTCGAAAGCCAGTAGACGCCATAATATAATTTTCTAGTCGCTATCGTCACTCAAATCGTCGAAATCGATGTCAGCCCAGGTGTCACCTGAAGCTGCAGCTTCACCTGAAGACATTGCTTTTGAAGAAGCTTTTGACTTTTTCCTCTGCTTCTTTGGCTTTGTGCTCATTTGCTCTTGGACCGCTTCTTCCAAGTCTGCGAGCTCGCCCCGACTCTCTTCGATCTTAGATTTGACAACTTCGAAGATCTGGACACCTTCCTCTGCAATAGTGGTACCTGCCCCATTGAATTTGATGGCATTTGCTCTCATAAGCTGAAAGTCTTTCAAGAATGATTCGGTCGTTCTATACTCATAGCTGCAGAAGAAAGGATATTAGTTCATTGTCATTCGAAACATTCATTTCACCATGATGGACGTACTTTTTAATCTTGTCTCTGATTGCCGAAAGATGTATTGGATCACTGATAACTTCGTAGTATCGTGGCCATGCCCTTTGATCGACCGCCCGGTGAAATGGTCCACTTTGAGGTCTTGCCTCGACCAGTGAACGGATAGCCTCGAGGCGATTTGCAAATATAACATGCGGTCTTCGATCTCTAATTGACCCTCTTTCCTTGCGGTTGCTTGTACCTTTTCGTCTGGCTACTGCATTGTACAATTCGATATCATCTTCATCTCTGTTTCGCTTTTTTGATCCCTTTCCACCTGTTTTCCTCATTTTACCGAACTGGGTCTTCATTTTCACCCCTCTTGCTGTTGTGGCTGCTCTTCCTCGCCTTCTACCTCGGCCTTTCGAAGACCCTCGACCTTTGGTAGAAAACTCAAAGTCGTCTTCATCTTCAAACATGGCATGACCAATCTGGCGTTCATCGGGCGGATACTCAGGCCTTTCCGTTATATCTTTTTTCACCTTCGTGTCGTGTTGCAGGCGTGCCATGATCTTTCCCACTTCCTCCGCATGTACGATGAATTTGAATGTTGTAACAACTCTGCCGTCAGGGTACGTCTTTGTGGTACGACGTCGTACGACCTTTCTGTTGAAGCCAGGCCCTGCCGCTGCTGGGGCATCATCGTTCATGGTCAAGCCTTCGCGAGCGGCTCGTGCTTCTGCTTTCTCCTTCTTGAGGTTGACCAAATTCTTGGCATCAGTCAAGTCTTGATCTTCGATCATTCTTGCTCTCATTCGTCCCTCATCGCCGCCTTGTTCTACAACGATCTTTGTTGCATCTGCCCGATCCATCATTTCTTCCTCCATTTCTGCTGCAAAGTCGTCTTCATCATCTAAATCGTCTTCATCATCATCATCAGCATCGTCCTTTTTCTTATCTGCTCCTTTTGCCGTGGCTGCATCATCAGCATCACCAGAACTGGCACGATCACCAGAATCGGATAGAGCTGCAATTTGTCGCTTCCAAATCACTTGAATACGATCCCGGTACATTTGCTTTTGGTCAGACAGTTTCATCTTCTCGCCACGAGCAAATCGTTCAAGTCCATCACCAATTCCGTCTGATGCAGCCTTCGTGGAAAGATCGCGAATAACATGCACGCGATCCCATCGTTTCAATGTATCGATAAAAGTCTGAGCCATACCATAGGACCTCAGAATAGCGGCCATTTGCTTCATAGTAAGCTTTCGCAAATCATCTTCTGTTCCTGTAATTTTGTCTTTCTGATTGATTTGACCTGTTGCCACAGCCTTACTTGGCTTCGCATCTTGCTCTCGCAAGAAGCTGAAACCGTGTCCAACTCCGCTTGGGTCACCTAGACCAGTCAACTTCATCATTCCGGTTCCCTCACCTTTCTTGTGAACATCGTGAAATTCACCTGATAGGTGCCACGGTGCAAGCTGAAGCTCTTCATATATGAATTTCGCAACTTCATGGCGTCTGCTAAGTGCCTTGGATAGCGCCTCGAGATATGCATATGCTTCTTCATAGCATTCTCGCAACGCGCCCTTCATGTTCGTAACTGCCTTCAGAACCCCCTTCATCTTACGCGCCGATTCCCGAACCGCATTCATTTGACCAGATAGATATACCATCGCCACACCAACACTACTACAGGCATGTGCACCAGCCATCAGTTGGTATATGCCAAGATCTTTCAACCGAGTGACTGCTGCGTTGGAAACCTCAAATGCAGCAACTCCTTCTGCCGAGATGGATTTCCCGAGTGCTTCCACACCTGGATAATCTTCATAACCGATTTGCTTCGATGTCCAGATCTGTGTATTCTTGTCGTATATGGCGACACTTTTCAGCCGCTGTCTCAATGCATTGTTTGCAAGTCCCACATTGGGCAACACACGGTCTTGAATCTCATCGAGCCTAAGACCGTGGCCATCTCGATTTTCCGTACGAGTAAGCACTTTTGCAATCAAGTATGATATCAGTGGATTCGTAAAGTTCTTTTCTCCTTGAGTGTTTGGCGCCCATACACGCGTGCGAGGCTCAATTTGACCAACAGTGTAAACGCTTGTTGGTAGCTCACGAAGAATGACGCTTAGACTCTCAAGCCGACCGTTTGTTGACGCTCCAGAGTTGCGGCCCAAAATCATCAAGAAATCAGTTTGTTGTGGCTCATGCTGAAATACAGGAGCAACAAACAAGTTGCTAATCAACCCAGTTACTTGTTGACCTTCTTCTATTTCACCAATGAACGGGCCATGAACTTTTGGATGTAATATTTCTGTCACACCTTCAGGAAGGACATTGATGCTAGGCTTTTCACTCTTCTTATCTTCTCGAAGATTCTTCTGCGGAGGCTTTCCAACCCAATCAGTAATCGTCGAGCTCATGGCATCATTCGGTCCTTTCAGCCTGTGTGGCTTATTCTCCAACTTGCCAGCTGTCTGCCTTGGGTCTGCTTTGTTGCTATCTGTTTCTGTCCCCCCTCTGCGCTTTCTAGTTGGCCGATCTCCTCCGCCAGCAGAAACCGGACATCGTGACTTATCTCCGCGATAGTAGGTAACAATCTTCGACGCCATTCCCTTGGTCATTTGAACTAGCGGTCGTTCCTCACAGTATTCCAACAGCACCAAATTTCCTTCGGTAGGCGTAAGATCGGCCTCGCTTCGTATTTTGGCTTTACTGACAGCACCAGCATGTGTACCCATTACCATCGCCTGGTAACTTGACGAGTGGGATTCACCAGTACCAGAACCTCCCTTCGTAGTGCCACTGCTTTGTCGAATACCAAATTGCCACAAGAGACTGGTTCGTACAATGGTCCAAGGCAACCTCGGTCTATGAAATTGTCTCAGCGAGACCTTTGATAGATCCCGAAATAATGAATGATTGGTTACCATATCGAGTTGCTCCACATACTCTGTATCATGCGACGCATTGCCAATGCGTCGAGAAGGACGTCCAGTACGTTCCGTTCCTCCTGGACCCATCAGAGAACTAGTAATAGTACGACCTCTTCCTCCAGCAAGTACGTTCAATGTTTCCATTGCCTCTGTCACACGATTGGTCTTGTCTTTTGCCATTTGTCTTCTCTTTTCCTGACGTTGCGCAATGAACCTTTCCTTTTGTTCCTTATCAGCTCTCAAGGTTCCTTTGGAAAGCTCGGCAGTCGATTTGATCTCGCCGGTCCAGTTGGCCTGTATACGTGTCTGGTATTCTAGTGATTTGATGCACGGTGTGGGACGGTGGGATGGCAAAACATGGCGAGCAATGGATTGCCCTGCCACTCCCAATTCCAAGATGAGCGGCATTGCATTTGCTTTTGCCTCCGCGTCTTCTTTTTCACCTGTCCATGAAATCAGGTTGTCAAAGTCCATGTAATCGAGAAATGGGTTGCGGCGCTTTTGCAAGAGGGCTTCAGCAGAGTTTGGGGATTCTACATTGACTGCATCATTGTCATCCTCTTTCTCATCTTTCATTGGTTCCTTGTACCCATCCCATTCAATCTTGGATTCCCAGTCTCCAAGCGCAACTTTGTGAAAAGAAGAGGAGAATTCACTGTTGTCTTTGGTTGTCTTTGGCATTTTGATGTAAGTCTTGAGCTCCGTGTCACTGACAATGGTTGAGTCTTCTTCCTGCAAATGTCGAGTATAGGCCGGAGTTTTGGAAACAAGTTGGAGAACCAGTCGAGACGTTTCTTCATTTTGCTCTCCCTTGGTCCTTGCCGTGTAAGACGGTTCTTCTGTAGTCGTCAAGTCGTGGAGGATTCGAGAGTGTTTGACATCCACCTTTTTCTCATTGGGGGTGACATCCACATCATCTTCAAACTGTACGGTTGATGTCTTCCTCTTGTCAATGTTAAATTTTTCTGATACTTTGATTTGAGCTACACCAGCGGGACGGTAATCTCGCGATAGGAGATGAATAAAGTCTGACGAGTTGCTCATGATGGAAGATGAGGATTCAAAGGTTGTTGTTTGTTGAAGGTTTGCTATCTGAACGCCAGATGCAACTAAAAACGATCGAAATTAGGGATGGAATCAGGACCTCCAGGATATCAGAAATGAAGCAGTGATAGAATACACCAAGTAGATTGTGTGACTTCTCCTTTGCAACAACAAAGCTGTGCTTTCAGAGAAGTGAGAGGATGAAACGTGCAGCGTTGCCACAACTAATTTCACCACACCGCGCATGCAACACGCATACAGTAATGATCCCTCCGACCAAAGTTTCATTTGATCGGTTGAGTCAGTCAGTCAGTCAACACATCAACCATCAACCATCAACAAACCAACATGATCAAACTTGCACCAACCACTAACGTGCTGCTCATTGATCGCCCATTTCCCCCCTGGATGACATGAGTAGTGAGATTACTCAAGCGTTACAGACGGCACGTTTCAATGATTTGGTTCACATTAATGTTCAAGAGGGTGATGATGATCAAGAAGCTCGAGAGATCATCCTGAAGGCATCACTGGACCGAGAAAATGGCGGCATTCAGTGGATGCCGTTACCGGAAGATGTCAACCTGACAAAACTTCACCTAAGTACCAAGCGCTGGTTCTTTCCCATGCTGAACGATACAGTTCGAAACAAAGCCTATGATGAGGCAATTCAATTGGCGAGTGAAGAGGTGGTTCGACGGTTCTATATGGACGGTAAGGCAAAAGACGACAACTCTCCTCCATCCATCCACGGGTTAGACATTGGAAGTGGAACTGGCCTCTTGGCAATGCTATCAGCAAAGCATCTGAAAAAGAGCTTGGATAAGTTGTCAATAGGAAAAGTTCAGATTGAATCTCTCGAAATGTCCAGTGTCATGGCCCAACTCGCAAAAAATACGATCGCTTCTAATCAACTACAAGATTCCATACGCGTCTCGGAACGGCACTCGTGTGAGATGGAATCCCTTTCGTCTAAAGCTCACTTTTGTACGTCAGAGCTATTGGAGAGTGGCTTGCTAGCAGAAGGATGGCTTCCTGCGATGCGCGATGCATGGAAACGGCATTTGGACCCCAAGGCGATTGTCGTCCCACAAAAGGCCAAGGTGTGGGCACAAATTGTAGAAGGAACAAGTCTTGGCAAGTTTTGGGGACCACATCACCTGGTAAATGGAGAATTTGGAGACAATCGAGTTCTAAAATTGTGGCGTACCGAAGGCAAGAATCGCAAGTATCTACTACAACCCTCGTCGGAGGAAATGGCTGGAATTCAAATGGAAGTGCACGCCAAAGAGTTACTAGACAACAACAACAACAACAACAACAACATCACAAAGTACCCACTCAAGCTGCTATCGGATCCCATTTCAATCCTTGATATTGACGTGACGTCGGTAGAAGCCATGCCTCCAGAAGGTGGGCAATCGAAGACCCGAGAATTCATCCCCATTGCCTCTGGCGTTGCCCATGCCGTCCTCTTTTGGTGGGAACTTGATCTTTACCAAGGCAAAGTGACCTACAACACACATCACGATCAAGAATTTCAAGATCACTGGCAACAATGTTTATTCATTTTTACAAAAGACGCCAATGAACTTTCAAGGCTTCGACAGGGAGAACCAACGCTTCTCAAAGGAAGTCACAGTGAATCAAAAGTATCGTTTGAGATTTTTGTTAGCAATACTGCCATGAGTGACGAGCAGATGGAATCCAAACGCCCAAAGACAGCTCCATCCGAAGGTAGCGACCTAATATCACCAGATCGTGCCTGGCAATTGAATGACTTGGAACGAATAGACATCTCCCAAAAAGGAATCCTGTTTGCTCTGAACAAGATTGGAATGGACCAGTCAATTGCATTGGACGTATCGGACTTTTCACTGTGTGCCATGATGGCAAGTATGCTGGGATGTCCATTGGTCTATTCCATGGAAAGTAGTAGCTCCAACAATGTGATTCCTCTCACATCGGCACAAATCGCGCAAATTTCCAATGGTCTCCCGTACCAACAAGACGAAACCCACGATTTTCAAATACTCCAATGTCATCCAGAACAGATTACCACTACAGTCCTCAATGAAAAGAAACCCAATCTAGTGATTGCAGAGCCATATTATGAAATCTTGGAAGGTTGGCATATCCAAGAAGCTCTCAACTATTTCAACATTGTTTCGGCCCTCAAGAAGCGTGGAGTGCTCCAAGAGCCTTTTTACTCGGTCCCGGCATGTGCATCCGTCATGGTATGCGCCTTTGAATCCAAAGATATTGGTTCTGCCTATACCAGTTGTTCCGATAGTAAACTTTGCGGCTTTTTGCACCATGCCATTAATGCCGAGTCACCCTTGAACGAGTATGAAATCCGGATACCGTCGTGGCAATATGATATTCGTCACTTGACCAAACCAGAGGTGGCTGCCACCATTGATTATCAAGCAGGAACCATACGCGAAGAGCAAATAATGGTCAATTTTGAAACCAGTGGGACGTGTCATGGAATCCTTCTTTGGGTGGATTATCACATTGCCATTGGTGATGATCAAAGTAAAATTATTTCGACAAGCGGCCGTGGTCACCAGCAGATTGTGCGAATGCTTCCATCTCCCATTGACATTACAGTGAATCAAGTGGTACCAGCAGTAGATGGCAGAGCAAGTCTGAAATGCAAGAGCCGCCTACAAGAGAAGGAAACTTCGTTTGTCGACTTTGAAATTGTAGTGGAATAGAATACTAGTAATAGAGAGCCAAAAAATGCGAGTATGTACATGACATGCATTTATTGCTACATTGCTTCCATAACTACCAATCAATGATCCATCTAGTAGAATGAAAAATAGCTCGAAAGCAAAGAATCAGTGCTGAAGCAGTGCTGTTGGTCTTTGCTGCTGGCATTGGTCTGCTCGGAAAAGACATTGTGCTCGGGATTTGCTAATTTCTTCCAATCTTGATTCTTGACACCTTGGAGTTTGCGGACGACGTGTTGTTGTGAACCAGAGCTCCATGAATCATCACGACCCCCCATGTGATGAAAGTATGGAACCGCAAAGGCCAAGAGAAGAATAAAGGAAAAGGAAGTGTACTTCGTGTTTGAAATGGGACGGACTTTGGCCCATTTGGGTGACAATGGCAGATCGTCAATGTTGTCGTCACCGTTATCATGATCATCGTCCAACAAGAAAGAAGATGTTAGCTCCTCCTCCTCCTCCTCTAGAAAAAGTTCATTTGGAGTGAGTGTGGTTGCGGGAGGATCTCTGTCGAAGAGTTTTGCATTGACTTCTGGACTGGTCGTGCGGCGAATCGTGGGAGGATCTTCAATCAATTCTACCGAATTGTCAACAACCTTTTCCAACTTGGCATCATGTTTCTGCTTCTTTGTCAAAACAGAAGCAGCAGGAGAAGCATTGGAGGGTTTTGGAATGCAGGATAGTTTCTTTTGGACTTTTTCGAGATGGTTACGCGAGTTGCCTTTCTTTGAAACAGTAGATCGCTTGGAGATGGTGCCAATTTTCTTCCTCTTCTTGTTGTTCGAGGCGCTGCTGCTGACTCGTCGCTTTCGCTTCTTGGCCGTCACGACGGCTGCTGGAGGTTCGTCATCTTCACTGGACGATGTAAATCCTGGAAAATGAAATTTAGATTGACGAGCAACGGTTTGTCGCTGGTCTTTCTTGGACTGCCGTGTGTTGTGGTGTTGTACATGCATGGTGGGCGGGCAAGTTGTTCGATGATTGGAAACTGGAACGAAAGAATGAACGAATTTTGGGATTTGATGGATTCGCCGGTCAATGGCGCGGATTTTGACATTTGAAACTTTGGATCCCATTCGACTACTTCGATCGCGGGCCGTCCTCATACCCGGCTGGCGTCACAAGTGTCGTCCGTCGTTTTCAAAAATGAGGAAGCAAATGAAATGGTGGAGTTTGATAAACAGTGAAACTATTTCCAAAGCACATTCATTGACATATCTCTCTTGCTCTCTTACAATGACAGCCAGCCAAGAACTCGATCTCGCGTCGTCGTCTCAAGGAATCGAACCATCCAATCTAGCACTGAATGAAGGAGAAGCTCAACACGACGACGAAACACAACCTCAAGTACCACAGAACGTGGTGCCAACGTCACCAGCAGAAGCATCAGAACAAGACGCTGCTGCCTTTGATATGCGGTCCATTCACGATCACCCAATAGGAGGAAAACCTCCAGTGGACGCCGCCTGGGATACTACCAAGCAGGATGTCTTTGACGAGGCAACTCCCGCCGCCTTGCAAAATGTTGTGGTGTTGAAATCCCAAGCCTTTTCACCAGCGGAAGAAAAGAAGGAACAAAACGACGATTCACCGTTACCAGATGATTGGGAGAGTGTGGGAGCAGGTTTCGGAACTGGAACTCCAAATGATACTGATACTGATCACGCTGAAACCAATGAAGCATCGGAAGATGTACCTGAGGAGGCGTTCTCGCACCTGTCCTTGGCGGGTATGGACGACAGCGGTGAACCAATCGTTACAATGGATGATGATCCAAATGAAATGGAGGGGGCCAACAAAGACGAGTCGGAGAATATGAAACTTCGAAAGGACGACGAACCATTGCTTGGGAGACAATCTAGTAGTTCTGGTGTTCTTCCTGAGGATGAGGAGTCGTCTGGCAAGCCGATTATTCCAGTCGAAAAGAGAATAGAGATGTATTCCAATATGGAACGCGACGAGGATTCCAGTGTAGACAGTGACGGGGCAAACGATGACGACGACGACGAGTCAGACGATAATGATCAACCAGAGGAAGTGGCCTACGTGAATCAGAATTTGAATGAGGAAGAGGAAGCACCAATGCCGCAACAACAGAAGGACAACAATGACGTCCAAGAAGTGCCACAAGAAGACACGGAGCCCGAAGAGACTGTCCGCAGGGAAGATGCTCCTACGTTTGAACCAGCAATTGTCGCCGCCATGAATGCGGATGCATCCGGACCGTCATTGGCTCCAACAACGGCAGAAACAGCTACGACAAAGGCAGATAGTCCTGCAAAGAAAATCCCGCTCATTGCTCCACCACCAGCAGGCAAATTGGAAAAGTGGGAAGAAAGCAAAACTCGGGGTCAAAAGTATCTTGCAGCCAAAAAGTACGTAACACCCGAGAAAAAGGGATCTCCCACGCCGCAGACCAACTCGAATCGATTTGCGACTCCCGAAAAAGTGAAATCACCAGGAGAAATGAGCATTTCTCCAAGTAGCGGAGGTTCAAACCGCAAGGATCAAAGAATGGCGGAAAAAATTGCACTCGCTAGTTCTGCGGCGGCAGTGACCTTTGCGGAACAATACCAGCCCGACACCATTATTGAAAAACCAGAAGCGGAAGAAGAACAAGAAGGTTCGTTTGTACAACAGTCGAATGGGATGCTCTGTGGGGCTTTCACTTGGGAATCGGCAGATTCATATGGTCAAGATAGTATAGCCAAGACAATTCGAATGAGTACACAGCAGCGTGACCTTTTTGATGAACATTCCAAACAAAAAATTGAACATTGGTTCCTGGAAAGAGTGTTGATGGTCAAGAAATCGTCAGAGGAGTCAACCGAAAGTCTCCCTTTGCGAACCCATCTAGATGACAACTCCAACTTTAATGCCATGTGTCAATACATTGCCGACTGTTGCAATGGTGTTACGGTTGAACTTGGCATGGCTTCCCCTACGGATATGGCTGGTTCCACAGACTTTTCCGGGTCATCGCCAAACAGTAGAGATAGCGATTCGTCCATGGGAGATGGGATTGCACCAAAGCGTCCATGGTTGAAACCAATGAAATTGACCGACACGCTTTGGAATACTACTTCCGGGACTGTTGCGGCTGCCAATTTTGTGAACTTCTTGTTTCTGGCTGCCAAGTTGTCCAAAAGACCTTCTCCTTTTGGCGATCGAAATCCGTTCATTGACGATCTAGTCACCAACTCACTTACTGGAACCGAAGTGGAAAATACCATCAATGGCAACTTTTCTCCGCAACAACTCATATTCGAACACCCACGGGGACACGCTGAGGATATTGTTCAATTTGTCTACACGGTATCTCTCAGTTGCGAGTCGCAGAAGGAGAAGAGTGCGTTGCTCAAACTCAAGAGATCGTTTGCGTCGTCGGAATTGGGCATTCCGCCGAGGTCCCGAAGTGATTCTTTGACTGGTTTCCTCCGGGCGAAAAGTGGGAGAAAAAGCCGTCTGCTTATCGTACCGGAAGGTCATCCCAGTCCTTTTGAAGCCAGTGTATGGAACTCTCCGAGAATACTGGCAGCTTTCCTCTCCTTCCTGGGCAATCCTGTGGCCGTTTGCCGAATGAAAATGGTCAATCGATTTTGCTATAGAATCATCTCTGAGAACCAACATGTCATTATGAAGGATGCGGTGAGAACCGGAGGAATCAATATGAATGTTCGCCCTGCATTTTGGATGTGGGTGACTCTCCAGCAATTCAACCAAGGCCAATCTCCCCCGAAAGCGAACGACAGCGCATATCAAAAGTGCAGTGAAGAAGAGTTGCGTGAACTTTCGCAAACAGGAAAGGATGGAAAGTGGCAGCATGTCATTGAACGGGATGTTCTGCGATCCTTTGGAAATATGCCACCGCACAAGTCGGTTGCTAGGTTACAAAATGACTCGATTGTTCGAGCTTTGGTGACCTGGGGACAAAATAGAATCATGACTCGGGGTGTCAAAGGTGGTGGCGAACCTCTTCCCATTCCCCATCTTGGATCGAAGGAGCAGCGCAAGAGTTTGGGCAAACCACCAAGAAGTAACACGCCTGGAAACGTCAGTTCGCCTCCTTGGCTCTGCTCGGGGAACTTTGAAATGGATGAAGATGCCTTGCGCATTGACACTGCTGTAAGTGACTGGAGTGGTGTCTCACCGGTGCCCAGTTTCACCGGTAGCCATGCCGAAAGTTTGGAGCGAACGAATAGCCGACAGTTCTCGGATACTGGGCAGTTACTGCCTTTGGATGAATTGGCGTTGGGAGGCAATTGTTTGAAGGGTGATATGAAGGCGAAGTTACAGGACAAACTCCGGTTTGTTCTCCACGCATTGGCTACGTCTCATGAAGGCGTGGGATATTGCCAAGGAATGGACTATGTTGTAGCTCACTTGCTGAGGATATTGCAAGACACTGTCATGTGGAAGGCTTCGAAAGGAACACTTCCTTCAGTAATCAGCTCCGCGCCGGAGGTGAAGCGAACGTCAAATATGGAATTCCGAGATCAGCAACAAATTATCCAAAAAGTTGAAAACAGCCTCGTCGTTGAGGAGGTTATTTTCAAAGTGATGGACACTCTCTTCACAACGTACAGTTTGAAGCACATTTACTGGCCGGAACTTCGTTGTTTGAAAACATTCTGCCGGGTGTTTGAAAGGCTGATTCAAATCAAGTTACCAGTCCTTGCTGATCATTTTGAGCACCACGATCTGAATGTTGGTCTATTTGCTCTCGGGTGGTTCCAAACTTTATTCCTGTACTTGCCATCGATGCCATCGGCAACGGTTTGTCACATGTGGGACATTTGGCTGGTGGAAAGAAGCTTCAAGATCTTCTTCCGCGTGGGAACTGCTATCCTGTTTCTGAGTCAGCCTACGCTATTGAACAACGAGCTTGAGGGAATGATGACATACCTGAATACATTTCCAGATGCCACTCTCTTGAAACCAGATATATTGATCCCATGTGCGCTGAATATCAAAGTGACAAACCGACTGCTACAAAGCCTAGAAGCTGAAGTTACTGCTTCAGGAGTATAAAAAACGGGGGTCGCTCTGTGACCGTGTAATATATAACTATCGTACAGCAATAGAGCAGGGTGAAAAATGACTCTAGATGTATTTTCTAGTTGTACAGTAACTTCGAGCAGATGTTTGCCTGGTGCTCCTGCAGTCTCGCAAGTACTACCAATTCTAAATAGACCGAAATGATGTCCATGCAAAAATAAACCCATTATGATACTGATTATTGATACGTTTGAATACAACAGATACGATTGCTACGCTCACGATTCCTCTGACTCAGCATCGCTTTCCTCGTCAACTTCTTCGATCTTGCTTTTGGGAACTCTTCTTCGCTTAGGTGGAGAAGGCGACATATCTTCGTCGTCAGAATCCCCTTCTTCTTCTTCCAATGGCGACAAGTTGCTCTGAGTGGACAAACGAGACCGTTGACTGCCGGCCGTAGAGATTCTTCGGCGGGAGGAAGCAGTCGAAGACTTCGAAGGACTTGGAGTTCCTACGGCACTTCCATCGTCTTCCGATGATTCGTCGTCTTGGCTTACAACTTGGGCGATTTCGACCTCCATACCGAGTGATTCTTTGAAGGTACGGAGTGCTTTCAAGTCATCTTCATGAACGTCATTGAATTCAGGATGAGACTTCAACACTTCCTCTTTTTCAAGGATGAACTGCTTCAAATCCTCAAGGCCATACTTATTTTTCTTCGCCCAGTTCGAGTACTTGCTGAGAACCATGAGGAAAGGAAAGCGGCTACCCAGAACCATCTCATCTTCAACTCCGTCGTCGCCGTCGAACGCGAAGCGTACCCCTTCCTTCATGAAACTTGTAAGGGCACGAAGCACACTATCGTTACTGAGCTTTCCAACTCCAAGGGAGCGAGACAAAAGGCGGGCTTGTTGTTCGATATCCTGAAACTATTGACTCGTGCGTTAGCAATTTGTAAACGGCACCACACGAATATGCGGTTCGACTTACCATTTGTCCATGCAGATCTGCTGCTTCTTTGTATTCTTGCTCTTCATCTTCTGACGGATCATCAGATATCTCGGGCTCATTGTCAAGCCATTTGTTGAAACCCATTCGCAAGCAAGCCATCTGTGCCTCAAGATAGCGAACTGGATTGATCTATGATAGTGGTGGCAAAAGAGGTTAATGCAAGTGCAAAATTTCAAATTGAAAAAGTACCCTGCTTTGAACATACCTTCTTCATCATTCTAGCCGCATCTTGAACAACTTGCCCGGTTGCTTTGCTATGTCCAGCAATGTATGCCAGCAAGGTTCCAGCCTCTTTTCGATTACCATCATTCCAATTGGCAGTCAAGCTACGAGCGATTGGAACTATCAAGTCAACGGCCAACTCATCATTTTCATCTTCGTCCTGACCATCGGCCTTCAACTGGAAATTGGGAAGCGTTTGAGCAACGACCGGAAAATATGAAAGTGCCTACTCCATCAACTTACCTCTTCTTCTCTTTGATGGAGATATCTCACAGACCCACCAATCATTTGTGTATCAGTCAGAAGTGCTAGCTTGTTTCGCAGGCTGTCTGCAGCATCTGCCCAATGCCGAGGAAACATACATCTCACATCGCTTGATGCCTTAGTGGCAGCTGATTGCACCGCATTTGCGAATTCAATCTGAGCATCCGAATAAACGATCCCGTCGCTTTCGTCGATATATTGATCAAAGCACAGCCCCAAGAGTTTTGCAAGTCGATCTCTCATTCGAAGGACCGCAAGATCTTCTTCACCGACATCCATGTCGCCCTCGGCCATATCTTGATTCTCGAACGTCTCTAGAAGTGTCCAAGCCACGATGGAGAGAAGGAGTTGTAGTGAGTTTTTTATAGAGCTACCAACTTCCGCGTGGATGTCCATATCGGAAGTCTTCCATGCCGATGCCATAGTCTTGGTATCGGTCTCCATTGAATCATCATCATTGTCGTCGTCGTCCTTCTTCTTGGTGATAGGTCTTCGATCTTGTAACCGTTTTGCCATTGCCTCTGAGATGGTGTTGTAAAAATCCTCAACTTCGCCTTCGTCGTCGTCGTTGGAGGAGTCTCCGAATAACAAGCCAACAGGGCACTGCTTCAAGAGGACGCGCCAGCGCAAGAGGCACAAGGACAAAGAGTTTTCCATCTCCGCTTCAGGGGACAGTGTCCCGATGGTAGACCTGGTACTTTCACTAGCTGATGATCTTCGGGAGCGTCGTGACGACTTTGACTTTTGACTTTGGCTCTGAGTTCGGGTACCCTCTTCGGTTCCGTCTTCTTGCTCTGTTGATCGGAGCAATTCCATGAGTCGATCTTGCAAAGTCATAGACAAACGTTTGATCTGCATCTTGACATCGCCAACTCGAACGTGGCCGCCATCGGAAAGGGTCAAGAGACCATTGGCCACATTTTGTAAGACGGCTTCGTCGGTGGAGTCTTGAAAGAGGCGGTTGAGATTCTTGAGTAATGCCAGGAACTCGGTCTTGCGTGCAGGCAAACCAAAAACTGAGGGCATCAAATACTGCGGCAACATGGTCAATGATCTCAAAGCGACAACATCACCCTTGTAAGCAGTCAAAAGTTGTGGAAGATTCTTGAGCAAAGCTGCAGAGAGCGCATCCGCGGGATGGGTGTTGGCGGATGATCGCTTTCTCTTCTTGGCCCTGCCTTTTCCTTCGGTCGGTGTAACGGAAGAGACTTCTTGTTCTGCCGCATGAGCAAACATACGAAGCAAGACGCGTTGTTTCACTGCTTCTTCTCTGCCAGTGTTGCGTCCTTGCTGAGGATTCTCACTACGAATGGCCTTCAACATGGCAGACCAATTCACAGCTAAGTGTCGGTGCTCCTTCATGCCACGAAGAGAATCAATGACATAATCAGCACGCTCGACTCGAACGGAGCTCAATTCGATTGGACCATCCACCAATTTGTTGGCGATCCTGTTTTTGAAACAAAAACGAGTGTTAGTAACAGTACAAAGTAGCAGCGATCGAACACCAGCCATCACGTCAACCTTGACCACTTACCAACTAGCAATGCTTTCAATTTGTTCGACTTGCTTCTTCTCTCCCAAGCCATGGCTCATGGTAGATTTTCCATCATTTCCGTCATCTTCCACATCGAAACAATCCATTTGATCAAGTACAAAGTACAGAGCGTCACGGCGGACGTCATTGGAGGTATTTTGGTCAAGGGCCTTGAGGTTGACTTGATCCCAGCCATCGTCATCGTCCCACTCGTCCAAAAACTCGTTTTTGAGCATGAACAAAAGCAGTTCCATGGCGGCTTCTTGCACTTGCAAGCTCTCTGCATCTTCGGTGCAGTCCACAATTCTTGCCAAAAACTTGAGACAGACACTTTCCATGTCATCCACATCGACTTGAAGGGAAGATTTTTTGCTGGCAGTGTCCCTTTTCGCATGACGAAATGGACCGAGCAATCCCTCAAGAGCAGCAACACGAACAGTGGACTCCTTGTCCGAGGCCATCCATCCAAAATACTTGAGGAACTTGTTTTCCAAGAACAAATCTGGCCGCAACAAGGTCAACCTGGAGAGGAATTCCATACTGCAAATACGAATATTTGGGTTGGAATCGCGGTACCGGTTAATGAAAACACCTTGAAAGACTGCGGTCTGCACAATCTCTTCGAGTTCCGCCTTGTGGCGCTTCCACGAATCCATGGACAGCTTGATGCCTTCCAGCTTTTTCGATTGTCCCTTCGCAGCCTTGTACTGACGAGTCGCCACTTGAATCTTTTGTTCCAATTCTACGGATCGTTCCATGCAGGCACAGGCCAATTCCCAAATGGCCGCGGTGGCTCCGTATCGCAAATCAGGTTGGCCCACTTGGACCAATTCGGTGATGCGAGTTACCAAGTTATTCATCATTTCCACTTGGAAAAGACTGGACGAAAAAGGCTGCGGCTTTTCCGATTCTTCATGAGAATCCATTTCATCAAAGGACAATTGTTGTTGAGAGTGGGTCAATATGGCATTGCCCAAACGGTACCAGAATTCCTTGTAAATCTTTCGGTACTCTTGGACGCCAATTTTTTCTTCCGGATTGGCCGTCAATAAACACTCCAAATCGGACTCCCGCATGACATCTACGACCTCCGTCACCAAACCATCCCATTCCTCGTCACTGAGTTCCTCGAGATCTGTTTCACCCTTCAAGTTGGTATCCACGGATCCACCGACGCTGCGAAAGAGTAGATTCAACAATTCAATGTGAAGGCTATTCGACTCGTGGTTTTTCAACAAATATCGAGCAATCCCAATGAGCTGCGGGGTGTAATGGGTAGCTAGTACCTTGCTGTTTCGATTGTTGCTAGCGTGTACGGAATTGATCCCAGGAATTGGCTTGGAAGACGCCAACAAGGCCGCCACCAGACTGGTCTTTGGGTTTTCGGATTTGTCCAAAACGGTTTTGGAAAGGGCATTCAATTGAGCGATTGGATTCTTTCTACCGCGAGGAGCCTTGGCTGTCTTGGTTCCCTTCTTGGCACCTCCCGTCTTGACTTGTATGGTTCTTCCCTTTTTGGGTGGCGATTTGGAGGAAGCCCGCTTGCCTTTCTTCCTTTTGGATTGCTTGTCATTATCATCACGGGACTTCTCATCATCGACATCACCTTCAGCGTCGGTGATATCAGAGTCCATGTCACTTTCGAAGTTCAAGACTTCTTCATCTTCTGCTTCCGAGTCACTGTCACATAGTTTTTGTTATTTTTTTCAATCAATTGCAATAGAGAAATGGTCAGAAACGAGGCATGAAACCAGTTGAAATTTGCCCTTGCCATCAAACACTCACGATGAAACGTTCTCGGTCGCCCGTTTGGATTTCGTATTCTTTGCAATTGCTGCCAATTCTTGATCGTACTCCGAGATAGGCTTCTTGCGTTCTCGACCCGAGCGTCGTAATGGACTGGGGTCGTTGGTGGACATGGTCTATTGCCTTGCTGCTTGTTGCAAAAATGAAAAACATCGAGCCAAGTCGAAATCCTCAGCTTGTTTATTGTCGTCCTTGGCGATCGTGCAAAACCTCGTAGAATTAACTACCGGGGACAATAGAGAATGTGGCGCGGTCTGTCTGTGACAGGAACTACTCTACTACGCTTGACGGTTTTTGTGTTTATCTATGGATAATAGCATTCTACCTATCACTGTATTTTTATGGAATCTCACGCTTCTTGGCCAATTCTTCTTGTCGATCCACCTCATCGTCAAAAATTTCCATGTCGATTGGTTCGTCGGGGAAGAAGAGACTCTCGTACACGACACCTGGGTTCTCAGGCGTAGAAACGCACTCCTTCAAAGTAGCAATGTATTCTTGTACCAATTCGCGGTACATTCCTCCAACATCCTTGTCTGGGTTGGTAGTCTCATCTCGCAAAGCTTGATCCAAACTGGCAAAAGTTGGGTTTTGATACCGAATAGCTCGTAGAGCTTCGTCCAAAGCATCTTTGCTAATGCCCAATTGGACCAATTCGTCGACATCGGCTGGGTCGACGTATTGTTCCCAGTTGTGGAGACTTTCCAACAGTTCTTCGTCGCTTCTAGTTTGACGCTTTTCACGATTCATCTTGTCCAATTCCTTGACGCTTCGTACCACAACGCTGGTGGGACCCAAATTGCCGGAAGTAATCCGACCACCACTTGCCTTGAGTGCCTCAAAGGCGGCTTCTGCTTCGCCTAGTTCGTCAAACCCAACATAGGCCTTTCCAGTGGGTAGTCCCTTGTGGCAAGTGACAAACTCGACGGAACCTTCCAGGTCGCGGGCAAGGGTGCAGTAGGGTTGAAAGAATTTCGAAATGTTTTCCTTTGTCACGGATGGATCCAAGTTTCGGAGCATTAGAGTACCAGCATGAGACAGGAAAAAGTCCTTGGTTGGCATGTCTCCATCCACAACCATCCGAGAGCCAAGCTTTCTTAGCCTGTCTTGACCACCAGGACCACCATGGAAACCAGAATAATTCAACTCTCTTCTGGCCTTGCTGTAGCGGATGCGATGTTGGCCAAACTCAACCAGGCGCTGTTGTGCGATATCAGAGCCGATTAAATGATCGGCAACATCTTTAGACTCGTACTTGACAACTGCAGAATTCGGTGAAAGCATGACAATATCATTAATATCAATGTTGCCATACAATTCTCCGACTTCACTGCCAGTTGGGAAAAGTGAATTGGCAATGGTAAAAGGTGTGGTTCCAGACGGAAGCCCCGAGAACAACACTAGAGAGCCTTCAGCACCATCAAACATAGCGAACTGCTTGCCGCTGTCTGGGGAGTACTGGGACATTGTGACAGGGCTCTCAATCATGTCTTGCATGGGGCCAACAGCAAGAGTAACCCGTTGATCAGCAGCAGTAGGGAACCCAATAAATGCTGACGATAGACTAGCGGCACTGACATCTTCTGGCGAGACATCAAACAAGCCTGCAACAGTCTTTTGGATCTCCAGGGAGTCAACTGGATTCTCGATATCTCCAGGGTTTCCATTGACTGTGAGTGGAGGGAGTCCCCAAACATAAATAAATCGCACATTGGCCTCCAGAAATTCTTTTGACGGATTCTTTCTGGAAGGTGGCATATCAGGAAGGGGTTCCCGAGTACTTTCAGGATGCTGGGCATTGTATCTAAGTTCTGTGTATTTTGTTGGATGCTTCAACATGGCCTCCACAAAATCACTCATGCTAGTGCCTTGCACGTCTAATGGAGTCACTGCATCATACTCAGGACCAGGTGGTGTTTTGCTGAATTCAATTCCCAGTCGCTCCATTACAAACTGAAAGTTTGGATCATTGGCAGGGTCTCCGAATCCTCCTCGTGGCCGCTGTTGTCTATCGTCTTCTTTCTTGGGCTCGTCTTTGACCTCATCGAACATCGCAAACACATCATCCTCCACTTCAACGACAAGGTTGCCATCGGCATCTCTTGTTGCTTCGGCCATCAATTCCTCGAACTTTGCGTGTTTCTTTGCCTCATCCGTTTGGTCGTAATCAACCTCGTCCCAATAGTACTTTTCTACATCTGCAGTGTTTCCAAGCGCATGATACATGTTGATAAAATCCATGACTTCCTTGTTTTCCTTTGGGCTAAGTTCTTCAAGTGCACTGCCCTTGGCAATGCTTCCGCTCTTCGCAGGCTTTCGCTCTTTTCGCTGTGATCTAAATTCGACAGGTGCTGCAATATCTCCATCCTCAAGGCCCCATTCCTCCTCTTTTTCTGGCAAAACGTCGGCCCCCTTTACACTGTTTCCCTTGGGCCTTCGTCCTGCCAACTTGGGAATGCCAGACTGGTGTTTCTTCAATTCCCCACGCGCAGCAGGATCTAAGAATTTTTCATTATAACCTTGCTTCTTTGGCCTTCTTCCTTTTGCATTGCCTTGGTTATGGTTGTTATTTTTATTCCTGTTTTGATTTTGTTTGTCACCTCCATCCTTTCCAGAGGCAAAGTACCGACAACTTTGGACAGTGCGTCCGGTACTCCTCAGTCTTGGCGGTAATTGCAGTGATGATGACGCTAACAGTGGTCGTGCCGATCTTTTGGCGGCAGCAACGTAGGACCACATGCTTTGATTGTCGATGTGCTGGTCCAAAGTGTTGATGAAGATGATGAAGCTGAGGATGATGATGGACGTCTGCCCGTACGTCGCCACCATACATAGCTGCAAAACGATGTGGCAGACAGACGACAGTGTTCCATGTCACAAAATGAATCATCATGAAACTAGCTAGTTGTAACAATGGATGCTTGACCCTTTTCTACGATTTTATTTGTTTCTGAAAGGATAATTTACTCGTAAATCCAGTCAACAGAGTGAGAAGTCCAGTCCAAGACCTCGTCGTCCTCGAACCAGAGCTTGATCTCCTTTTTGGCGTTCTCAACAGAGTCGGATCCGTGGCAGATGTTGCGACCGACTTCGACGCAGAAGTCTCCACGGATTGTTCCAGGGGCAGATTCCAATGGGTTGGTGGCACCAAGCATCTTGCGACCGGTGGAGACAGCTTCCTTTCCTTCCCAGATCATGCAGACAACGGGTCCACTGTAATTCCAAAACACGAGCGCTTAGTACATTTTCGTTGACATCATGTCGTTTCTTCCATTCCAGAACAACAACCTACCTGAGCATGTAGTCTCTCAACTTGGGGAAGAATGGCTTTTCAACAAGGTCCTTGTAGTGTTCCTCCAAAAGTTCTTTTGTGGCTTGCTTGGTTTTCATGGCGCACAACTTGTATCCCTTTTGTTCGAATCGGCTGACGATGTTTCCGACGATACCACGCTGAAGGAAAAAGAATTCTGTGAGATTCAGGATTTCTGTTGAACAACAAGAAAAAGCTCAAGGAAAGCTTACTTGGACACCATCGGGCTTGATCCTTTAGTTTCAAGTAAAAGAAGAGGAAAGGAGTCAGAGTTGTTGCTTCCTCAGTCGGCGGATTGTATACAGTATGCTGACTCACATGATGTAGGTCTTTTCGTCGGCACTCATGGACAGCATGGAAGATCCCCGGCTGACGCTCATTTGGTTGGTGATGAAGGAAGACGAAGGGGCGAATCCGAAAGCGGTTCCCAGAAGGGCGACAAGGCAGATGGCAAGGAAGGACTTCATGGTAGATAAATTAGACAGGTAGCTGCAGTCTGATGGGTATTGTGTTGGTTGACATGTTGGAGATGATTCAACGACCATCCAAACGTCATAGGGTTTGATCAATCCGAGTGAAAAATCAGCCGCGCTCAGCTTTGGACTCAGAACCCAATACGAAACCAAAGCAAACCGCATTTTGATTGTCCAAACAAACTCTCACCATGGCCGACGCAGCTGCATTCTTTGCGAAGAAGAAGAAGAAGAAAAAGGCATTCAAATTCAATGCCAATAATATTGATGCCGCGACTGTGACTCACACTGTCCATGTGTATGTTTTCACTTAGATTTATGTCATTATGTTTCTGCAATGCGATCCATTTCTCATGTTTCCCTGCTCTTATTGAAACCCACAGTGATGCTCCAGCTTTGTCCACAGTCAATGACCCAGCTGCGATAACAGACTTGCCTAACGCTGCCGAAACTGTGGTCGCGGAAACCAACGAGTCCAATGAACACTGGGACGAAGAAAAATTGGCAGCTAAAACTACGAAGAAGGCAGCCGTTGCCACTGCCCCTACAGCCGAGCTCCTTGATATGAAGGCGCTTGATATGAAGGGCAGTGAGCAAGATGGTATTGCTGAGAAAATGAGAATTGAGCAGACCAAGGCGCAGTTGGCTGCTGCCAAGGAAGGAATGGAACGAGAAGCTCAAAAATTGAAGGAAGAGCGTGAAAAGAAGGAGGAGGACGGAGCCACAAGAAACAAACCACGATTTGGTGCCGCTGCTGCTGGGTTGGCTTCAAGTGGTAGTAAATGGATTCCTCGTCATATGAGAATGGAACCTGGTGCTATGCCTAGAGGATTGGGGGGAATGATGGGAGCTCAGAACCGAAAGCTCGACACTCAAGATGAACAACTATTTCCCGACCTTAAAGCTGCCGATGCCATACTGGAACAGAAGAAAGAGGAGGAAAGACCTGCTTATTCTGCTCCAAAGAAAACGCCCGTTGGAGGAGGTGCCACTTGGGGATCTAAACCAAAACTAAAGAAAGCTGCAGAACCGAAGCCTGAACCAGCCAAAGCCGAGCCAGAGCCTGCAAAGGAAGAGCCTGCTTCTACTGAAGAAGCGAAACCAGATCCAGCAGCTGCTGCTGCGGCTCTGGCAGCAAAGGCACCAATCAAGCCAAAAAAAAAGAAGAAGAAAAAGGATCTATCGACTTTCAAAGCCGCAGCCTAATTAGATATCTGTTTGGAATAGGAACAAATTTGCGATCCGTGGTGTCTAGGTTAGATTCTAGTTGCATTTCGAGCAGAGATAGCACAAGCATTTCGCATTAGAGTTCATCGGAAGTACTACTGGCATTTTCTGTAACATCATCGACGATTTCATCTCCATTGCCGTTTGTTTGGTTTGAATTGGCACATTCATGCGTATACACAAGCCGTTTTCTGGTGGCAGAGAAGCCCATGTTCGGAAGCACGTCTGCTTGCAACATGAAGAAGTTAAACTTTACCAGTTTACGACCTGGTTTCTCCTCTGCGTTGTTCTCCCAATCCCATTGCTTACAGAGATAGCCCCAAAGGGCCTCAGCATCTTCTCCTTGTAAGTCTGCGATGTAGGGGAAGGAGCGCCATCTGCCAGGCCGCGATGTCGAAGTACAGGGAGCCCCGGAACCTGGCATGGTCCAATCGACATGATCTTTTCTCCCCCACACATCAACAACTGATCCGTCCGCAAGCAAACCAGGAGCAATTTCCCAGGTTACATATCTGAAGAGCGCGCGAGAGAGAGACCAAAAATAATGAGATAAGGGGCATATAGAAAGTGCAGCGATCAAGAACAATCATTACTGACTCTTCGGCTCCAATGAAGACATTCCAACGATTTTGTAACAATGTACTCCAGATCTGACGAAGGCTGCTTGTGGAACAATCTTTTCCGATGGTCTCAAACCACACATTGCTCGCTGCCATTCCTCCAATCATACATGATGACACCAGCAGACCAAGCAATGTCAAGACTGATCTCTTTCGAACTTTACTACTCTGCATAGTTTCCCAGCCAATGGGGAGAAAGACGCACCATGCAGAACATGCCACATAACTCAGAAGGTATGAGTTCCGAATACTGAAGGATATTCCAATGTGCAAGCTCAAAATAAGAGAGATAGCCAGTTTCACTAGAAAGGTAATCCCCAAGTATGATCCAACCAGTGCTAAAGGACAAGAGAGAAGTTCAACCCATACAACTGTAGGAGTCATCAACCTTAGACCCTCGGGCCCGAGGATTCCGTACAGATATCGTGCAAAGACAGTATGCCTGGTGTAGGTATCCAGGGCGGGAAGAGGATCCGCATGGTACGTCCAGCCTTTATTCGGGTCCATAAGCTTGCCACCTCCCGCATCTATGTAAATCCACAATATCAAAGCTTTCAGGCCAATCTGCATTGTAGGTATCTAGTAAGCACCAAAACACACAAAATTAAAGAAGCGATGGAAAGCAAAGCCACCTTACAGTTGCAGGATTCAGAACCAGTCGGCTGGGTTCTGATTTATTTAATGGGCGAGATATTGACCACCGCTCATCCAATGGTAGAAACATGGACAAGAAAAGCAGGTAATAAAAATAGCGATCCAGAATAAAGTAAAGCCATGTGCATCGAAGAATCAGACTTGTATACATGTACCATGAGATAACAGACATGACTCTAGTCTTGTACCCAAGTGTCAAGAGAATGGAAACAAAGACTTGAATAGTAAGCAATACTTGCTGCTGCCATAAGTCGCCAAAGTGACAATGTAAACAGACAGCCTTGTACAAGTCATCGATCCTCGGCAACAGTAGATTCAACGGCATCGTTCCTTCATCAGTGTAGAACACATGAAGATATTGAAATCGTAGAACGAGCTCACATGTCAGAAGGAATCCAAGTGATATACGAAAGAGAGCAAGAGCCTCCGGCGTGGAACCAAGCATGGCTCGCCATCCTTCGACTTTCCCTCCCATGTTGTTGTGCAGATGATATCTTCTGAGAACCGTGTCATCTTTTTTCTCGTTTCGCGCGACGAATTTGCGTGTCAGCCCATCAGTTCGAGGAGTGGTAGCTACGGGTACGATAGAGTACTACTGGTACCTACTGGTAGGTGTTCATGTGCAGGATCGGGGATGGGACGTCGAAAGCAGCTAGAAATGAAAAGTGAGAGCTATACTTTAGCTTTCTAGAACCTCTTCTATATCCCAGCATTCATCTTCTCCTTTTCTATTGATTTCGTGTGCAAGCAGCCGGAAATCTTGCTCCGGGTAGAATCGATGTTGTGGACTGTAGTTTCGCAGACTACCAATGTTGTTCATGTAAAGATCACAGTATCGTCGCAACGAGTGTGCAAATAGGGATGGCTGATACCGCGCCCGGAAGACACTTCCAAAGGGGTTGCCGAGGAGAGCCGTCTCGCGATCCCTCCACCTACTTACAAGTTTTTCAATCTTATCCAATACAACCAGATCATTCTCAGTTCTGCGTGCTGGACCCATCTCATCCTGAACACGTCTAAGCGCTTTGATCAATAATTCAATTGTCCTCTCCACCAACAGGTAATCCGCTTGCGCCTGCACACTAGTTTCGAATCCAACTTCGGGAGTCACAGCGGCAGTAATCCATCCATATTCACGCTTTGCATCGACCAAATCAGCAAACAAAGAATCACCAATGTAAAGAACATTGGACGAGGCCAAAGAAAGAGCTCCTTGGTCCATATTCGAGTCCACTTCATCTCCCACGCGTTCATTCCATTCGAGAAGGCGTGCGAGTTCCTTCAAGCAACCCTCGGTATACACGGAACCAGGAATCAATTTTTCAACCTGAAAAAGGCAATTCTGTCAGGACAGACGATCCAAGAAAGAAGTTCAATTGACCTACAAGTCCTCCACGTACCTTTTTGAAAGTGACTCGACTGTTGGCCTTGTCGACTTCTCGGAACGGCCGCCGTAATTCGGTGTAAAATGCCGGTTTACCAGCACTCACAATGACGGCATCCCAGAGATTCATCCAATCGTCACCAAGGACGTACTTCATTCCCGCGTCGACATACCAATAGGGAGAGTTACTCGCAAAGATGAGTCGCTTCCCAGCGTCTTTCAAATTCTTGAGCACAGTTTCCAAGTGTGGACTTGGGTTGAAATACTTTCCTGGATCATTGGCCACAATGCGGTGAAAGTCCCCGGTTCGATGCGTGTCTCCGATTGCACCAAGAATATCATTCACCACATTATTCGGGCAGAAATCGATACCCTTATCCTTGAAGAATTGGATCACGTCGGCAATCAAGCAACACTCGGCCATGGAAAACAAATCGTTCAATGGTTTCAGACGCTGTTTTCGTTCCTTTGGATTGAGAGCACGCTTTCCACGGTACTCTTTGTAGAGCTGTGGTGTCGAAACCTTTTCTCTTCCATCCCACGCAACCGCAACTTTATGTGTATACGACAAGTGGCAAATCCATCCAGTCTCCTTGTCGACGGCCAGCCCTCGAATACTAAAGTAAGGATCAAATGCCATTCCTGAATCGAGCATTTCTACTGGATAATGTCTGTCATTCACTAGTCGCTTCAAGGCCATATCATAAATGAGTTCGAGCAGTTCTTCTGTATAAGTCACCAAGGTGTAATCGTAGTCAAAGCCAACGTATTGAATTTTTCGAAAGTCACAGTAGGTATTGGCGTGGATTGTCTCATCTTCCGGCCCTGTCATTTTGGTAGACCGACTCAGATTCTTTCGGTCCACATTTGTCGAGTGCTTGTGCAGTCGGCGGATCAAATCTTCGGTATCGGAAAGAATTGTACTAACGGCTTCGCTGGGATGGGATGGGAACGCAAACATGCTCTCAGGCAATGTATTCTCCAATTTCTCCATTCCTTCTTGAGGAGTGAACAAGGCACTTGTGTCATTGGATTGATTGAAAATGTCAACGTCTAAGGAAGATGCTTGCAATACTTGATTGGAAAGAGGACGAGATTGAGCCATGGGCACAACAAAGCCGGAAGAGGATTGAAGGAACGCCGCTGCGGCAGTGAGTTGAAGCGTCCTCATGATTGTAGTATTATAGGATGGTTTACTGTCGGTAATTTTCAATGGTTGATTCTATTCTATGCTTTGAAACAGTGGCTTTCGAACTAGCTCACACTTGAAGTACCTGGCAGACAACGATCGAAAGATGAATGAATCTCGAGAATGATATGTAGATTCTGAACCTTCGCTTCAAGCTACTTTGAACTTGTCAAAAAAATTCCGGCTCGAAATTTATTTGTTGTCAGAATTCTGAATCTGAAACCCGGAGGTTTGAATGTTAATTGAACCGACGACGGAATGACGAGAGCATATTCATTCGATCGAGAACCCAAGCGGAAAAAACCTGAGCGACGGTCAGAAGAATGAAAAGAACGGGAGGCATTTTCTGCATGACAAACAAGGAGACGAATGAGACGGGAAGTCATTTTATTTTTCTGAAACTATTACCAAAGACCGGTAGGATACTGGAAACATTGAAGAGCAAGTTATAAAATTCAAATGGAAAACGCAAGAGATCAATATTGGTCAACAGATTTCAACGTCGCTTTGGGCAATCAACAGAAAAGTTTCAGCAAAATTGACAAGAAAGATTTCGATTGGAAGAAATTCGACGCGAAGTCGTCGTCAGTTGGAAACAAACAACAAGACACCGAAGTCGACGCTTCATCATTCGGGTAAGTCATTTCCCCTGTTGTTTCGATTGCATGGGCTGGAGAAACGGAAAGCATTGGGTGCATTGGAGCATTGGAACCTGGCAATCCATTCATCCATCATTCATCCCTTCACCCATCACCGAACGGTCAAATCAACATTGGAGGGGAGAAGATCGTGCGGACCTGCGCACGGCTGGAGAGAAGATGAGAACTCGAACTCGTTTTGATTTGAAACGAAGCGGTCTGTACGTCGTATTCCGCGAATGACGAGACACGCCGCCGCCTGCCTCACGCTGCTGTTACGAATGGTTGACGACTTGACATCATCGACATCACTAAAATGTCTGTTATTTTTGAAAACCCGAAGGAGTCGCGCTCCTGACGTGTTCGGCCCAACCCGCCTATCACATCCTCGCATCTTCGACTCCAATCGTCCAAATCCACTCAATGCCCAAAGTTTGAAAATTCAAGAAGATCACGCAAGAGACGCACTGACTCACCCATCATATATCTTTTTTCTCTCTGCTGCTTCCAACCATATTCTCACCGAGACAGCCAACAACATTCTCATCAAGACGGTACAAACACGAGTCGAAAACGAACTACAACACTCGACCAGATTGCTCAAGACATAAACGGATTGGACAATACTTCTGTCGAAAGCGAAGATTCAGACACAAACAGACGACACACAAACAACATGAGGAAGAGTTCGATAGAAAGACAATGGAGTCTGGGCAGAGTATCTGTCCTACTCTTGGTATTTGTCAGCCTGACGGATGTGATAATACACCTTGCCGATGCCAAGATGGATTCACTAGAATCCATTGAGGAATACGATACTCTAAGTTCGGAAGTGATTCGGCCAGCATTTCAATACACTTCCGATTCAGCAGCAAAAACGGCATCAGAGGGCAAACCCTTTTCCTCGTTGACTTTTGTCTTGGATCCGATAGTATCTTCGGTATCAAGTGACAACAGCTGGCTGGAAGGAGTGGTCGAGTCGTTCACTGCAGCAATGTACTCGGCTCGAGACACCTTTTGGTTATCCGGTCACAGCAGCAGTGACTCTACTGCATCCATACTGAATACAGCCCGAGGTGGTTCTTCTGCTTCCACAACGACATCCAAGCGACCACGAAAAACATTGAAAAAGTCCCATCACACCTTTACGCTCTCCAGCTCGGAACCCTTTGTTTCCTCAAGGGACATTGCACAGTTGACTCTTCGCGATGTGGCCATGGCATTTCGCTATGCATTGGAAAGCACTCGCAAAGAATTCAATAACAACAAGTTCATATCCAAGGCCTCTCCTAGAGTCAAGAAGGTCTTTGCACAAATGTCTGCAGCTGCAGCACAATCACGAGGCAAATATGTCAAGGTACCAACCACCAGGTCTGGATTGTTCTCCGGCGATATTGATGCCCTGCAGTTTTGCGCTGCCATGCGCATCTTTGCCGAATGGCGAGTAGTCCGACAAGTACCAGAAGGATACAAGGGTTATGCCGTTGGTATGAGCTTGGGACAAAAGGACATTGTTCAGAACGTTGCCAAGATCGAGCACGCTGTCCACACTCTCATTGAACATAGGGAAAATGAGCTAGCATCGCAAGAAGGAAGTGAGGAAGAGGAGGTGCAAAGTCCCACTCTTCGAGACTTGCTTCAATTCGAAGTGGACACCAAGGTTCACGGAAGTAAACTTCCAAAATTGAAGGAAAAGTCTGCAGCCATGGGATTGCTTTGGGTAAGGCGACAGTTGCACTACCAAACAGCATTATTCAAGAATGTGATCAAGGTCCCGGAACAGTTCGAGTCCACGGCAGCAGCAGTGACAGCCGCTTACAATGAAGTTTACGATAAATTTCACGGTTGGGCTATCCAAAAGATCTTCAACTACAGTTTCCAAGCAGCACCTGATGCCAGATTGATCTATAGTTACATGAACCCAGACAAGCTGAAGGAAGCTACCGAAGACGCCCGGACTGCAGACTTTAACGGACAAGTAACTAGGCGACAGCCGTCTAGTATGAAAAAAAAGAAGGAAAAGGAGAATCCGTTGGATCGATTCGGAAAGCACATTGGCAATGAGTGGGGAAAACTTTCCAGCTCTGTCATGCGACTCTTTGGCAAGTCCGAATCGAAATCCATGAGCTCCAACGATATGGTGGCAGAAGAGATGGATTCCAATAAAGCAAGTGCTCAAGACTATATTGACGACGTCATGATGACGGATGCCCATGAAATGATTTTGGAATACCTTGAAGTTGCACAACCTCTCTTGCTAGATCTTGCCAAGCTATTTGACGAGTTCAATATGGATGATCCCACCAAAGTGTAGAATATTATTATTAATTCATAGCCTATTAGATTTGTACATTTTCTCAAAATCTTCTTCCCGTACTGTACATGTGCATAATATACCGGTATGTTGTGCTCCGTTCAGAACTATTTCTAACGCCAAAATCATCAATAGCATGGATGACAGACACCTCAGAGGTCGCACGCTACCATCATTCAACGGTTGGCGATGACCCAATCGCTCGAATATTTGACGTCAGTCGAAAAGAAGGCCACACGCACAGACTAATCCCATCACAAAAGTACCGCGCTTTTGGAGGAACCAATTCTTTATCTTGACACACATGTTGTCACCTTGTTGAAACGCAACACCTTTCTCACAACAACCACTTTCACCTGAAAACTCAAACAAATTCAAATTTTATCAGCCAAAAACGGCCAAACCCATTCAAATCCAAACAACAATCGAACCCTTGACGATGTGCCTGCGGTTCGATACGAACAAGAAACTTCAGAACAAATGTGCCGATTCTCAGAACAAAAGCAGTCTTTCACAAATGTTTCCATCCGTTCCAACGATTGCACTGAATCTCCTAGCAATCATCTTTGTAGGGAGACTACTTACGATTGATATCGTCTCACGGAGTGTGACTATGATTTCATACCTTTTGATTTTCGTTTGCTTCGTATCACTTTCGCCTCCCTTGGTCACTTCGTTCGTGGAGACGTGCAAAGGCATCCGTTCTAGATGGAGAGATGGTTCAATGCGTCGCAGCATATCAAGAGATGCATTAAAATCTCTCTCTCGCATAAAGTCGAGCGCAGCTTTATCGACCTTACGAAAAGTACCTTCCAGAGCAGCTTTCAGAGAATTTTCCAAGTCAATCCGAACATCGCTCAGCTCCTACGCCACCAGACGATCAGTGAAGGCGATAACTGGGAAGAAGTTTTTTGTCCGTCGGAGCTACATGGACAAGCTTTCGATCACAGATATTGCGCTGCTATATCGCTATGCCAGTGATATGAATCAAATCGATTTCAAAAAGAAAGAGTTCATGTCTGACCAATCTCAGTTGATCAGATCAGTCATTACTGCCATTGATCTTGCTGTCAAGATCTCCCGCGGTGGCATTTCAAGAGGTCCTCTTCAAGTGAAAGAAAGAAAAGTGGGAGACATCGATGCTCTTTGCTTTGTGGCAGTGAGTCGTATATTCGCAGAGTGGAGAACGATTCACCTTGCCTTGGAAGGCAAAGGTTACAGGAGTTACACTACTTCGATCAACTTTAGTTCTCGGGATATGATCCAGAATCTCTCCAAGATTGAGGATGGAGTACATCTATACTTAAAGAAACTAGGATTGGAGAGATCAGCTGAAGATGCAACCATTCCGACTCCAACGATTCGACAACTGCTTCAGTTCGAAGCAGAGAGCGGGATCCACAAGAAAATGCCTCAACTTGAAGAAAAATCAGCTGCGTCAGGACTTCTATGGACAAAAAGGCAAATAAGTTATCAAGTCGCAGTTCTCCGAAATATGCTTAATGTCCCTAGCGAGTTTCCGAGAGGAGAAGATGCTGGGCGGGCTGCGTACAATGAAGTCTACGCCGAATACCACAACTGGGCTTTGAGACAAGTCTTCGCTCGAACTTTTGGATCTGCTCCTCCTGTGGAACAGCTATTTCTGGCCTTGAAGCTTCCAGACGATCATGAGCTTGCTGATGATGCAACAACTCCAACTTTGATGAGTCACCTATCTGAAGAGGATTCTTCTAGAGACGGTTCGAAAGAAGGAGAGAACGACGAAAATGAGTTGCTCATAGCGTTGGACAACTTTGGCAAGGATGTGGCCGAGAAATGGGAGGATTTCCTTGGTCTATTCAACTGTATAGATGACAAAAAAAAGAAGACCCATCCAGATAACATCCTTCAGCTCAGTGAGAGCTACGTGTCAATTCATGATGAATATGATTATGATGCCTTGAAGCCACCCAGTCCAAAGCCACTGGAAACGGCCAAGCAAGCCGTTGGGGATTTTGTGGAAGACATGGCACCCTTATTGAGCGATTTCGAGTCTCTCATCAATAAATTCAACATGAACGACCCATCGCGAGTTTAAGCTATCGCGAAAACTGCTATTGCTATTATATTAAAGTTAAAACTAGAACTGTACATATCTCTATGAATCACACGCCACATTGTTTATGAAGTAGATAATCACGCAACAGGAGTTCAATATAAGCGTTATGTGTTATGTGTTATGATTACATATCTACTCGGTCCCTGCTCTAGTTGTTAAGAGCCCTGGAGGAGGCCTACTATCTCGCTTTCTTGTCATGTACTCGAAACACACCTCCCTTCATGAAACCAATGTTTGGCGCAGGGCCATATAATTTATAGGTTGAGTCGGCCTTTTCAGTGTCTTTGCTTGCCTTTGGAAGGACAATGCCAGCTTCTCTAGCCTCTTGTCGTTCCTTTGCTTCCCGTTTCGCTGCAGCTTTCTTTATTCCTCTCAGAATAGGGAGTGGTGTTTGAGGCTTTTTCTTTTGTCTCCCAGTGAGCTTGAGGTACTCTTCATCCTGATAATTTCTTTTCTGTTTTCCCACGAATGCGGTTGCGCCATACGCCCGGATTTCTTTCGCTGTGTCATCCCAATCTAGAAGTTTCGATGGTCTTCCTGAGTTGGTTTGCGGTTCCTCATTTCGTTCCACAGTCGCCTCTCGACCCCTTTTTCTCGCCCTTGCAGTAGTAGAAATTGGAAAAGCGCCGGGAGCTCTTACAATCTCGATCTGGCGTTTTGGCTTCTGTCTTTTGGTGGCTTTCTTTGGCTTGCATTCGTCTTTGGCCATGTTGATGTTTTCGGTTGTATATTTTGTGGCCTGATTGCAAATTTTAAGTGCGCCAGAACGGACAACTGACGGACCCTCATCTGCTGATCAATCAAAATATATGATGAAATAGGAGATATCAACAGAAAGTGTTGATAAAGAAACTATGAGCGGAAGAGGAAGATTTAGCGGAAGGGGCGGTCGCAGCCCTGGCAGAGGAGGACGTGGTAGAGGTGGATTTGGAAGGGGAAGAGATGAAGGACCACCTGACGAAATCGTTGGTACGGCTGATTATTGATGTGTATCATCCTTTGTTTTGGTGTTGTCTCATAACGTTGGCCCCTATTGCTATCAGAGGTTGGTCAGGTTTTGCACGATTGCGAGGCCGAATTGGTATGCCGCTTGACTTTGGATGATAAGGTACCATACTTCAACGCTGGTATCTATCTGGAGAACAAGCGCAAGATCGGGAAGGTTGATGAAATTCTGGGCAAAGTGTCCGAGATTTTCTTCACCGTAAAAATGGATGCCGGAATACTATCCAAATCTTTCCAAGTAAATGACTTGGTGTACATTGGAACAGACAAACTGCTCCCATTAACGCGGTTTACGAATCCTGGGTACGTGATGACGCTATTGGGGAATTTTTCTGACATGATGTCTGAGCGAAACGACTCATGATATTGAATCTTTGTCTTTAGGGCTCCTTCAGGTGGCCGTGGTCGTGGCGGTGGCCGTGGGGGTAGAGGCGGTGGCCGTGGTGGAGGTCGTGGTGGTGGCCGTGGTGGCTTTGGAGGACGTGGTGGTGGCCGAGGTGGCTTTGGAGGTCGTGGCGGTGGCCGAGGTACGTGAACGAGATGGTATCAGACACGTTTGATATCAGAATCAATCTAAACTTACTTGCAATTCCTCTGTAGGTGGTTTCGGACGTGGGGGTGGTCGTGGCAGAGGTAGAGGCCGTTACTAAACGCCGTCTCTTTTTTCCATGAAATCAATGCTGAACTTAAAACACGCATTCGGAGCTAGAAGCCTCTTCATTGGAACCACAATCCTTTCGAGGCACATACCACAATCACTATGTTTCATATTCAATTCAATTATTATCTTTGTACGGAGTACTCATCTATTTCTAGTGACATACACTAATTAGTTAGTCTCTCAAGGTGTTTGCTGCATAGGTGTGCTTTCACATTTAGTAAAGGTCAAAAGGGTTGCCTTGTTGCGGCTGCCCTCCTTGAGCTCCAGCTTGCATTTGTGGTGCACGTTGAGCATTTGGAGCCATCTGTTGGTTCGGCATCATTTGCTGCTGCCCCATTTGTGGCTGTTGCATTTGTTGGTTCGGCATCATTTGTTGCTGCCCCATTTGCTGGTTTGGCCTCATTTGCTGTTGTCCCATTTGTGGCTGTTGCATTTGTGGTTGCTGCATTTGCTGGTTCGGCATCATTTGCTGTTGTCCCAGTTGCTGGTTTGGCATTTGTTGCCGCATTTGTTGGTTTGGCATCTGTTGTTGCATTTGTGGCTGCTGCATTTGCTGTTGCGGTTGTCCCATAGTCATCTGCGGCGCAAGGCCCATCTGCCCACCATTTTGTTGAGGCATATTCTGACCTGGCATTCCTGGCTGACCTGTTTGTCCCATTTGATTTGGAGGCAATCGCGGCCGATTCGGGGTTCCCATGCCAGCCTGATTTCCTAGCGGAGGACCTGGGATCTGGTTGGCCAATTGCTGTGGAGAAGGACTTGGGGCTACAGCTTGATTGCCCATCTGTTGAGGCTGAGGACTTGGGATTCCGCCCAGACCAGGCTGTTTTGGTTGAGGGCTGGGGACGCCACCCAGACTTTGCTGCTTTGGTTGCGGACTCGGGATTCCACTCAAACTAGGCTGCTGAGGATTCTGCTGCTGTATCGAGGGCATGGCTTGGGTTGCCATGTTGTGTGCTGGTGCTGTATGCATGGATATGTTTGGCATTGCTTGCTGTTGACCCATCTGTGGTTGTCCTGTAGGCATCATGGGACTCGGAGCTTGGCCCATGTTGGGTGCTGGACCGTTGGTCGGAGCTGACAACGGTTGCGATTGGCCTGCTGGAGCTGGAGCTTTTGATTGCACGCTTTGCATAGTAGATAAGAACTGGACAGTCTTCGCCATGTCTTCTTCGGATAGTTGAAGAATACTCTGAAGCACGTTTTCAAAACCGGCGGAGATCTCTTGCAAATGCGCATTATCCGTTTGTTTCTCTTTTCCAAAGTCACGCACGATCGTGTAGTATGGTTTGAGCTCATCATCTAGATGAACCTTCTCGATTCTTGCTAGCGAGAAGGTTCCGTTGCTCTTGTAGCAAAGCACTTGCCCTGTCTCATACTTTTTGTCCTTATCATCACTATCATTACCCACAGCCTGTGATTTTGCTGCACCGGACAGCTCGGATATTGTGCTTTGTGCATCACCACCACCACCACCACCAATACTCAAACTATTAAAGGCATCCATTCGATCACCAGATGGAGCGCCCATCATGGATCCTTGTGGAGCTGGAGGCTGCTGCATTGTAGGATTGGCTATGGTCTGCGGAGCCGTTGCTTGCATCTGGGGCATGCCTCCGGTCATTTGAGCACCAGGCTGATTAAGCTGCTGTGGGTTCATGCCTCCAAACTGATTCGGGTTTTGGGGTAGAGCTTGCTGCTGCGGCTGTCCCATGGTCATGTTCGTAGGTATTTGGTTCGGAGCCTGCTGTTGAACCATTTGTGGGTTCGGCTGCTGCTGCCCAACACTAGGCTGTTGCATTTGCTGTTGTGGTGGAGGTTGTTGCTGTCCACCAAAGTTTCCAAATTGCTGCTGCTGTTGAGGAGACTGGCCCCCAAAGTTTCCAAATTGCTGTTGTGGTGGTGGCTGCTGTTGCACCTGCTGTGGTTGAGGTGGTTGTTGTTGCATCTGCTGTGGTTGGGGAGGTTGTTGTTGTCCGCCAAAGTTTCCAAATTGTTGTTGTTGCGGAGGAAGTTGTTGCGGTTGACCAAAGTTCTGCTGTGGTGGAGCCTGAGCAGCAGGTTGAGGTTGACCACCACCAAAGTTAGCAAAGTTTTGTTGTTGCTGCTGAGGAGGAGCTGGTGCAGTCGCAAAAGGATCATTTGGAGGTTGGTTGGCTGCATTGGATGGTGAATTAAAGTTGGCAAAGTTGCCTTGCTGTTGCGGTGTTTGCTGCTGCTGCTGCTGATTCGATCCACCAAAAGCATCCCACCCACCATTGTTTGGCGGCTGTACCGGCGGACCACTCGCGAATGGGTCGTTTGGTGGAGCCTTGGCAGGAGATCCACCAAAGTTGGCAAAGTTGTTTTGCTGTTGCGGTGGTTGCTGGTGTTGCTGATTCGACCCCCCAAAGGCATCCCAAGAATTATTTGCTGGTTGCTGTGGGGCTGGAGCCGGGGCAGGAGCACCAAAACCTCCTAGAAGATCTGGGGTCGCAGCCTGGTTCGCAGGAGGCATTTGTGCCACGGTAGCTTGTGGTGGACCTCTTTGAGGAGGTGCTCCGCCTCCACCACCACTGCCTCCATACCAGGCTTTCGATAGATACTTTTTACGAATCCAAGCACGCAGGTGTTGCTGATCTTGGTTTCCTCGAGGAGCCTTCATTCTATCACGGGCAGGATCGTAACGTGCCAACCAAATGCGATTGACCTTGTCATTGTCGGTTTCCTTCATCTTTTGCGCTTCCTCTTCAGTAAATGAAGAGTGGCCTAAACCCTTGATTCGGCTATTGAGCTCGCGGTGAACACCAGCACAAGACATGCAAATGAATGTCAGATGCGTCAAGTTCACACATTGTGGAAGTTTGGCATCGCAATCGGCACATCGTTTGTTGGGAGGATTGCGACCAATTTGTCGCAATAGCTCGTCTGGCGACAATGCTTGGGTCTTTCGACGATTACCGCCATAAGCCTTTCGTGTTCCACCAGATCCAGGGGGAGCTAACATCCTTCTTCAAGCTAAGTGGCAATGATCTAAGGAATTATCCAACTTTGATTCGTGATGGGTGCGTATTAGGAACCGTGGTGAGAATGTTTCACGTGGTCATTGAAATTCAGAAAACTCAACGCCAGATTCGAAACACGTAGTTTACCGTGATTTTCGTCGCAAAGTCTTTCAACCAGGACTGATCGATTAGGACGATTGGATGAACCAAATTTTTTTGGCTACCGATACGGAACTCAAAATAGAACTGAATACATATTATATTAGTTACAACAACAAGGAGCAATAGAATATTTGCCACGATGAACAGCCAAGAGACCAAAGACCGTCTTCGAAAACTGACGGCAGTCGACGGCAACACATCTTGCGCGGATTGTAAGACTCCAAGACCCACATGGACATCATTAATCGTCCTTCCAAAAGGAGAAGAACCTGTGGAAGATGAATCCATACCAAACATGCTTGGCATATTCATCTGTTTTAAATGTTGTGCTGTGCAAAAAGGAATAGGGTCCCAATTCTGTAAAGCAAAATCGATGGCGTTGGACAAGTGTAAGATCCTGAAAAACTTGAACCCTGGACTGCGCAATCCGTATGTTGTGTCTAACTCTTTTTTTTTAAAAACTCACCAACTACGTATCAACATATTCTGTCTTCCCGATGAACGAACAGGGACAGAAAAAGAGTTGAAAGCGCTCGAATTGGGAGGAAACAATACTGTAAACTCAGTTTTTGAAGCGAAGGAAGTGACGGGAAGACCGGAACCAAAGGCAATGATGAACCCCAGGAAAGAGTTTCTGAAAGAAAAATATGTGGAAAGGAAGTTTCTGGATATGGATAAGCTTGAGCAGCTTTTGGAATGGATCTCACTCGCTCAAGCACAAGAAGAAGAGAGTAGATTGGAGGCAATGAGGCAACAAGAGGAGAAACAATCTGATGAACTAAAAAACGGTGGTATCGACAGTTCGCTGCATTTTGACGACGGCAAATTTTTCCCGTCGCCACAAATTACCCAAACAAAGACTGCGTCAACACCAGCTGACAACAATCAGGATAGTAGTGAGTTTCCTGAGGATTTCCCCAACTTTCCAGACTTTGACAGTTCCCGACCAGATTTGACCAGGGAAGTATCGCAGATGGGAGGAATGGCTGATGTCCGCCAATCTTTCCTGGCTACCGTGCCGGAGACAAGGTTAACAGGCACAAAGGAGACCATGTCCCTTGATGAATTCAGCGCTGACTCATTTGGTGACGAGAACGGTTCTTCACATGACGCTGGGGAGTCCCAGTCGTCCAAACCACATGCCCCAATTGACGATGATGATGAGTTCAGCGAGGACGATTTCGATGACGACGGAGTGGACTCTTCATTTGCGGCCGCCAAAACCTCTGCAAAACCAAAGGATATTGAAGAACCCAGTGAATCTGAAGTTGGAGGCGCACCAGATTCATCATTCGTGGCATTTACATCACCCCCACAAATTTTAATGGAAAGTGAAGAACCGAAACCGGCCGAGGATGACGAGTCATCATCGCACTCTTCACATTCCTCTCACACCTCCCCAGGACCAAAGGCCGTAGAAGAATCCAATGAATCTGATGTTGATGACGCACCGAATTCATCATTTGTGGCCGCTCCATTGCCCCCACAAGTTTCAGTTGAAAGGGAAGAACCGAAACCGGCGGAGGACGACGAGGCGTCATCGCACTCTTCACACATGTCGCATTCATCCCATTCGTCTCAAACCTCTCCAAACCCAAAGGCTTTTGAAGAATCCAACGATTCTGCAGTTGGAGACGAACCGGATTCATCATTCGTGGCTGCTCCATCACCCCCACAAGCTTTCATTGAAAGCGAAGAGCCGAAACCCGCTGAGGATGACGAGTCATCATCGCAATCTTCACACAAGTCGGATTCAACCCACTCCTCTCACTCATCGGCAGAAGAGGGATTTAGATCAATCTACGACGCAGGTGAGCCTGATTCACAAGACCCTTTTGGCGAAGAGCTAGCATTTCCAGAGGAGCCATTGCCCCGAGCAAACGATGTTCTCGAATCTTTGGATGATCCTTTCAACGCAGATGCCCCCTTGGATACGCAGAAAGCGACAAATACGGATCCATTTTCGAATGACGAAGGTGAGACCGATCGGAACGTTCCATCGACGGATTCAGGATTCGAGGCCTTCAAATCGAATGCTTTCAGTGAACAAGACAACGCATTTGGAGATCCTTTTTCTTTCAATGGAGGAGACAATGCTTTTCCCCATGGCTCGAGTAATGACGAAGATTTTCAATCCATGCCATCAGCCTTCAACACGAGTTCTTCCGATCAGCAACTCCCTTTTGACACCGACGCTGCATTTCCTGACGATTCAGTACCATCATCGCAAAATCCTGGTCAATCGCCAGAGAATGCATTCCAAACTGACGCTTTTGGCGAACAAGCTACGGCAGAATCATTTGCCTTTGACAAACCTAGCAACAGCAAATCGTTCGACGAATCGTTTGGGGAAGATGCGTTTGGCGCACAGAATGGGGACCCATTTGCCGCTGATGGAGATGGCGATGATTTCTTGGGCAGTTCAAACAGCGATGGAGGATTTGGAGAGCCCTTCTCATCGACTTCATGATGATTAATGGATCATCTTCATTTTTGCCAATGCTGATAATAAATATTCTACTCATTGATAATCATACTTCACTAAACTAATTTCACTAAATTACTTGTATATACTTGTCATACTGGCCAGGCAGCAGGAGCCTCACGTATAGCAACAGATAGCACGGAAATGCGACACATACCACATGCAGATATATTTAAGAGAGAGGACTTCAGGAATCCTCGTCACACTGCATAAACACTATACGTTCCGATTGAACGCTTTGGGAGCAAAATGAGATGGGTGCTTATAGGTGTTTCCAAGCTGATCAAACCACATGAACAAATGTCCATAGTTGTACTTGAAAAAAGCATGATGAACATGATGATCAGCAGGTGTTCCGAAACCAAATATATGGAATAGGTTATCCCACGGAAAGGTGTACTCGGAATGAATCAATGTAAGCCAGTTGGCGTACATGCTTCCAAAGGCCATGTAGGTCCAGACATTGCAATGCACAATGTTGGCTGTAGCATAGAGTGGAATCAAAATCATGCAAATGGTATCCAAAATAGAACCATTGAATGCATCAAACAGCCGCGGATTGGTAAACTTGTGATGCGGTTTGTGGGAATACTTGTAAAACGCGGGCGAGGCATCATGTTCCAACCGGTGCATGGCATACTGGATGCCATCTTGTGCCACCAAACACCCAAAGACTTTGACCCATTCTATTCCACCTTCAAAGGAATAGTATGAATCCGGCATTAGTTTTCCCATCCACGTTCCCGCAAGGTATAGAAAGAGGAGCACAAAGCCCTCTGGCTGTGCCAAATGAGTCATAACACCCTCCGAAAATACATAGGGCCTCGCTCCTTTGGTTTGAATTGACAAAGGTTCCTGTCCCATGGTAAAGTAGCCAAACTTGAATCCCCCAAAGACACAGAGTATTAGTACTTGCCCCACCGCTACTGCTAGTAGTCCCAAACTCAACCCAAGTGGCTTTGGCATTACGTCATCTGTCGAGGGATCGTATTCGTACCAACGTTTTTGGAATATTTCCGAGTAATGCAATGGACTTCCGGGAGTTGTCATTGCCAAGGGCACTGCTAGCATGCATGGCCACACTATTGCGCTCATCCACGGAAGGATCATGTAATTCGTGGAAGATGGATATGATTCTGTAGTGTAAATGGATGGTTAGTTTGCATTCAAATGACGGACAATGACAACGGCGATTGATTCTTCTGCAAACGTGAACTGGTTGAAACAGGCAGATTGATTCTTGAATTCTTCACATACCATTAACATTCAGATTTTTTCCCATTTTTATTTCACAACTATATTCGCATATCTTGGTAGAAACAGAACCTGGTAAACTCTTGGTCGGTTAGTCTATTGTGCCGTTTCCAAGGTTTGTTGAATTGTGAAGTGATGTCGACAACACCAACCCGAATCAAACCAAGAAGAAAGTCGGTTTTGTTACAATATGGGAAAGAATCGTGTGACGCAGAGGCGGCAGATTTGAGTTCCGCGCCGGCAGGGCACGAAGGAAATTGTAGTCCAACGTATCAATGATTGAAATACTGTACAATATCAAATACAGTAGGTTCTGTAGGAAGGTGGCTGCAGTGTCATGTGTCATATTATACCGGTACTAATGAGTTTGTTCCAGTTCGACAGCAGAAATTCTCATTGAACCATTCATTGTAACCCCACTGTACACGATGAGTTACAACTAGGACTATAGTTGAATGAATATAGAAGCTGGATACAAAAATCAAAGCGTCGTTTAATTAACTATCATGTACTGTCCTACCGTGGTGTTACACCAACTATAACTACTTTTATAGCGAACCAGGATTCCAAAGGCCTTTCAATATTTTGACAGGAATCATGCGATATTTATCATCTGCAAGAAAAATTGCTGCAGCTACGACTGCCCAGTAGATTGGAAGTGGAACCCAACCTCCTCGAGTTGGTAGAATGCCATACCCAACCTCTTGTCGATACTCCCTCGACAATGGATCGACTTCCACGCTATTTTTTCGCGTCAACGAGTAGCTCTTCTTGTAGCCAGGGGCACAGAGAATACCAACAAATGCTCCACCAACAAACCCACCGACTTGGGAAACAGGATTTACGTTTTCAATGAGAGTTCCAATCAAGAAGACTAATCCCATGCCCTTGATCACTCGAAACATGCCTCGTGAAGTTTCCATTTTCATTAGTTGGACATACATGAGTCCATAGATTCCCCCGATTGCACCATTGGCTCCCATCGATATTGTGCGATCGAACGGATTCTTAATGTACCATTGTTGTGCTACATTTCCAGCCACAATGCTACTCAAATAGGTTGTAAGGTAGAGTGGTCCACCGAGCCCCATGGCTAGCCATGATGGCTGATTTCGAATCGCTATCATATCAACAAGAAAATGAATGATTGAATGATGCACAAATCCTGATGTGAGGAAACGATGAGGTTGTCGGTTTCCCAATCCGTTCGAGTACAAGAAATCCTTCTTGTATGGCCCACCAACTGACTTCCCCAACAAAACATCAGCAATAATGGACAGTGCATGCTTAGGCCAATATGAACGGTGACCCTTGCGAATGACATTGACAGCTGTGACCGTTTGGTACAGAAAAAAGAGCCAATGAACCGTAATCAGGGCGTTCTTTGTCCGACTCGTAGAGATCGAGATATCATATCGTCCAATGCGGCGTCTCAGACGGGATAGGAAACGAATATCATCCCCATCCCACTCGGGTAGCCATCTCTTTCCATCGAGACGTGTAGAGGCATATTTCGGACATCGAATTTGGATGTTGGAATCTTGAGTTGAGAATGAGCTGCTTGGACTCTGCCTGATGAAAATTTTCTGCTTTGAAGGCTGGGTGAAGGCAGATGCTCTACGAATCAGAAAGATTAGGAAGAAAAGAGTCTTCATGGTGACAATGGTAGTATTCTGTTTCCGAGCGGATGTTTAGGGTGGCAATAACCACAGAGTTGCAAAACGTTTCAAAAATCTTGAAATTGAAGTTAAAATTTTAAAAATAAAACAGCTATCTCAGTACTAAGTCATGGTGGATGTAGAGTAATACCGGTATGTGGCTGTCTAGAACGGATGGAACTCGTATTTACAACGTCTAGCCTCTATAATCCAGTTAAATGCCTTGAGGGCGATATCTACAAGTCTGATCGCGCACGCATTATATTCTTTCTGCCTGGGACTTTAGGAGGAGCCTTCGTGTTCAGGCGTCCTTTTGAAACCTTGTCGCTCTGATCATGAAAAAGACACAATCCACCATGGAGTGGCTGAGGATCCAGGACATCTGTATCTACCTCACCCTTTCCAAGCCGACCAGATTTCTTGCCAAATGAAAGTACTTGCCCCGACCGCATCAGTAGAATGGAGCTATCATAACCGGCACAGACCTGAACACAAGTAGTTGAATCATCAGCAGATCCACTATGGTTTCGAGAGGCATGCTGCTTGATATCAATTCGTTGCGGTACCCACTCGATGGCGAGGGTCTGCGCACCTTCTCCTGGTCCAAAACTACCGAAATCACTGACGCGGAGACCGAGGCGTCCATCCTTATCGACTCCCCAGGACCAGGTCCCTCCGTCTGCTGTGGTGCAAAGCACGTGACATGCGCCGGTACTGAGTGCTACTATTGTGTTGCTAGCCTCAGAGTCGCCCTGTTGAGGAAGAAATATCTCTTTCGGTTCACTCGTATGCGTCATTCCAAATCCTTGTCCAAGCATACCTTCGGCACTGAATCCAAATGACATGCACCTGCCACTTGACATGAGAACAAATGAGCAGTATCGTCCAAGAGCCAACGACATTGGGACACCAATTGTTGAATCTTTCGTCGTGTACGACAAATCTTCTATCAGAGTAGGATGCGGAAACACAGTTTCCACATTGGACACTGGTTTCTTTCCAATTTCGCCCGTCACAACAACATTTTTACCATTGCCATCAAACTTTCCAAGCGCACCCATACTTGCATTTCCCCACATGTATACTTCAACATCTCCTGTGGGTCGTCGCATCAGGGCAGCTGAGTGCTCTGCAGATGCAGCAATATCAAAAATTCCTTGAGGCGGGAGCGACCCCTTGGATGCCAAGTTGTCCTCTGGCCAGACAGTACAATGTAAAGCGACTCGGTGGGGCAATAATATATCTTCATCTTCATTCGCAAAATCACTGTCTCCTTCTAAGGATGCATTGACTAAACCCACCTTCAAAAAGTCATTGTGTCCAAAACCATAGACTTGGTGGTGTTGCACCGATTCGTCCGAAACGTCCAAGTCATCATCTTCAAACCGCGATGGCGATGACGTCTGTCGTTTCAACGAAACAATACCATCATCCGAGTGTTCATCACAGTTTCTCTTTATTTTTTGCAACCGCCTCCCCTCTGTTGACACAACAACTAGTGAGTGGTCAATACCAGCTGCACAGTTGATCGTCTTCCCACCATTCTCCAACAATGGCGTAACAAGGGTTGGTGATGTGACGAATCCTCGTGATCCATCTTTGAGACTTGATTTGATTCCAATCCCTAGTTGGCCATGATTATTCAGACCATATGTTAACAAGAGCGCTTCCGCTGATATCATCAGGACATGTGCCCCAAGCGGATTGGCTGAAACTTTGGTTATTCGAATTTGTGATAGAGACGTGAGAAAAACAGGAACGCCGTGGAAAAATGGTTGGACCTCTGCTATAGCAGTGTCGTCCTCTTCTTTCTTTTCCTCAAACGGCGATTCATGAATGGTTGGGGGCAATTTCTTCATTCGAAAGTTAGGAGGAATCATATCGTTATTGCCCTCGTGTATATGCGAGTAGTCAAAGCTTGGCATTGAGATAATGCCGACTGTGTCACTCAGTTCCGAATCCTTTGAGTCCATGCTGGAAAATACCAGTTCCACACCTGATTCTTTAGGAGAAGTCTTTGTTGGTGGGTCCTTGATTATTCGTTTGGGTTCACTTTTGCTAATGTTCTTCTTTCTCATAACCTGCTTGTCAAGTTTTTCCCATTCGTAGGATGATACACCTGACGCGACGCTTTCATCACCTCTTGGAATATAATTGTCTGCACCACCATTGGTCAATTTATTAGACCATGGAACATCAATGGTAGACATAAAATCAGACATGGCTCCGAAATCAGATTCAAAACAAATGTTGGGTTCTGACACTCCGGCAACATTGGTTAGATAAGGAGTCGACGACCGCCGGCATCTAGACACCATTACATCTCCTGTAGCGGACACAAGTACAGATTCTGTTCTTGACATGGCAATGGAGCAACTTTCTGCAAGTGTTTTGACTTTCTTGGCAGTTTTCGTCACAGGTTTCTTGTTCTTTTTTGGAGAAACCGGAGGTATTCCTTGAGATGCGGACCTCGGTCTTCCACTTGGAGGCAAGGGCACTGGCTTTTCACGGCCCCGTGAATGAGGCGCTGAACCTGACCTTGCCGTCTTCTGCATTTTTGTTGTGTGTTTTCGAAATTAGACTCTCCTGAAGAAGCTTGTTTGACAGATTTAGATATTCATTTCCTTCCAGGTTTGTGTACTTTTATTGGTGGTTTTGAAGCTGGAAACTCTTGATTGCCAAATGGAATTATTTGCGCAAAATCCTACGTCCAAGATTTCAAAATTTAAAGTCTACAAGTGATGTAATGCTTCCTGGAAGCTTTGTTGAAGGTTTCGTTTTTTAGTTGGCTCTTTGATTGCTCTCACAAGGTGAATTAGATTTGATGTGCGAGAAGTGTGCGAATTTATTAGGTACATACAACACGAACCGCCCAGCCGTTTTTAAATTTATGGGATTGGTACGCCGGGCTTTACTGGGATAACGACTAACGACCAATGCTGGAGGTAGGGCAAGCTACAGTACTCGATTGATTCCTTCGATCAAGCTTCTTCGAAAATCGAAAAACGACAAAAAACGACAACAACGACCAAAACTTGCACAAAGTTGCAACCACATCAACATTAATGGAAAAGAAGACATCTGTTATGGAGGTATAGTAGGACCGGCAATTTCATTCCTCGAAATGGCAATTGATTTTTCTAACATTTTAAATTCTCAGAAATGTAGTCTTATTTGCCACCTCCTGACATTTCCAATAGGATTGCTTTACTCTCTGTGGATCCTGCTGCCTGACGAAGACTTGGAAGCCTTGTAAGTCTTTACGGTCTTCACATATCAAAGAAGACGAAACTATAAAACGTGATCTGACTATTTCACAATTCATACTAACATATCATATCCTGTATTTTAGGAACATAACTTACTATCCACCAAAACAATGGGCCTTCAACATACCTTTGGTGGCATTGATTCTGTTTTTTGCAATACCTATAGCCTACGTCTGGTTGAATTCCCTCACGGTTCCTGCCACGACATCTTCAGATTTGCTGGAAGATCAATACACTCGAAGACCGACGACTACGATAAAGCGTCAGAAAGGGTAGGTTCGGTGATGCATATTTTTAGCAAAAGACTCGTCACTCTCTCAGATCTTGGCGATGATTCATTCCTTGCTAACCATCACATGTGTTCAATATTTTAGAATTGCACCACATTTGCCGCTTCCGGAAATCTGTGATTTGGATCCCGCAGGCCTTGTATGGTACCCAAACAAATCAGACTAGACGTCAACCAGTTTTCCTTTGCGCAGGTACTATATTTCCTCGTCAGGAACAATCAATCAATCAATTAATTAATTAATCCATGTTACCACTAGCAGTAAAATATCAACATCACAGGTTACAATACAAGTCCATTTCTTGTTCTAAATTCTATTTGTAAAACATGTATATTACATGTTTGCTCCCAATAGGCCAGCTTGGCTACGGAGTAGGTCGTAGACAACATTGGCTCGCCGGTTCTCTTGTGGAATTGATTCTTTTCCGCCCGTGTAGGTTGCTTTGCAAGCTTTGCTCAACACAAGAGGCCAAAGCGACTCTACATCATCTGCTTCCAAAAGTCTTCTTCCGCCCTTGTTCAAATCCGCAAAGTGAGTAATCCAGCTCGCATACACGCAACCGCTAGAAAGAATCACTTGTTCTATTGATGTGTTCGAAATCATTGCCATGACAAATTCTTCTCCCCCCCCTTCTGGTTGTAGTCTAAAGCCTTCAATATTGAGATACTTCAGTCCCCTCATTCTCGCGATCCATGGAGCTATTGACAGGATAAGGTCGTCTTCTTTAGAGGCCAGAAACGAAAGATCCATTCCCGTGATCTTTGTATTCGCGACGGCAACTCTTCCCAAATAATCCATGTCCTGTGGATCGGCCATTTTTGGCGTGATGCAATACGAACAGCTTCCCTCAGATGACAACTTGTGAAGATTAAAATGATGGTCGTCAATCAATAGATTCAATCTTTCAATGTTGTTTTGGGGGCTCTCTGCTAACTGTCGCAATCTGACGACCATTTTCTTATCCAGGCAAGGGATTGCCATTTCCAACTCCTTAATCAGTGTATGCGTCACCAGACCTTTCAACAGCATTAATAGCTGTCGGCTATCCAGCTGGTTCTTTCGCAAAACCAACTTGTTTAGATTCGGTATTTTGGGCAACACTTCTGCCAGTACTCTACCAACCCTATTCCCGGATCGGTCAATTTTTTGTGCCAAATTGAATTCCAGATGTTCCAGTGATGGGCAGTTCTCAAGACCATGTCTTAAAGCATCAGGAAATTGCCTTGAAGCGAGACAGCCGTGTAGGTGTAGTCGTTTGAGAGTGGTTGTGACTTCTAATCCCTTCCCCAATGCCATGGCAGCTGAATCGTCGAAGGAATCGGGAATGAACGTGTTGACGACAAACTCTCTTATTCTCATCTGTCCAAGAAAGAATGATATTGCCGCATCCATCTTACCCCTACACGAAAACAGACATATCGTCTCAAACTCGCGAGAGGAGAGATCTTGTAATCGTTCGAGGACCTCGTCAGTAAAGTCCACATAGACGAAACGAAGATTTGAAACCTTGGTATCTTCGTGCACCGTTGACAGGTCGGACAGAGTTTCATCTTGGGTGATCCACATTGGGACCTTTGAAGCCTTCGTCATTTCGTCTACAGTTAAAGATGAAAAAATGGATGAAGGCCCTTGCTAATACTCCTCTGCGTCGATCTATGGTTTCACTGCAAGGGTTTTGTATGTTTGAATTTTTCGACGCGTTCTAATGCATCACAACAAAAAGAGAAACAAGCTTGTACGGAAAAATAAAAAAGCTTCCCTTCGTCTTGTGGGCGATGAGCGAGATCGAGCGAGTCGATATTCGAATCAGTCGATTAAAAGTCGAAGTGGCCAAACCTTCAAAACACCGATCATTTCATTTCAACGATTGCGTTGCCGATTGACAACACATCCATCTGCTGTTTCATTGAAATATTAATATATAATGAGCGACGAAGAAAGAGACGAAGAAAGCGGAGGCGAAGAGGAGGAAGTCCCTCAAGTCGTTGCCGATCTGGCGCAAGCCAGCGTTCCAACACAGCTCAAAGGAATTCGATCTTGCAAGCGATGTGGTATTTTGAAGACTCTAGATCAGTTTATGAATGAGGGTTGCGAAAACTGTCCCTTTCTGGATATGGTATGTTGTTATACACTTTATATTGATATCGACCTGTGCATGTCGTCAATTTCCGTGATCACGATTGGAGATCTAATACACTTCGTTTGGTCATTTGCAGATTGACAATCAAGACCAGTGCAATTCCTGCACCACTGCGTTTTTCGAAGGACAAGTAGCAATTATGGACCCTAGAGAAAGCTGGGCGGCCAAATGGATCCGCGCCGACAATTATCTGCCAGGAGTTTATGCTATCTCGGTTATTGGAAACTTTGACAAGGAAATGGAAGATGATTTGGAGTCACGGGGAATTCGCTGGCGCTGCAGGCCGCCTACCTAACTCTTCTCCGATACAATGGCAGGTCTCAATAAGTGATAGTAGGCTTGGGTTTGGGAATAATAATAAAAGTTGTTGGGACATGAAACGCACTAAGGGTTGTCATCAGACACGTTTTTAAAAAGGGTGGTCCTCATGATGATTCATTGCGATGCTGAATCAATCTCTTCTCGTAATCCAGCTCTAGAAGCAAACAGTATTAACAAGATGATTTATAGCAAATCAACAAAATCTATAGTAGTTTCATTATCCGTTATTGCAATACATGTCTAGTCCTAGTGACAAGGTTTATTGCTTGAAATAATTCTCCAGGTCGGGGATTCCGCAACTGTCTTGAAGGTAACCAGACACCATCAGCTGTCCCCATGCTTGACTGAGTGCGGGACCGCCACGATTTTGACAGAGCTTGGTCTTCTTGACCAATTCATTGTACTTTCTGTAACTTCTTCCGTATTGGTCTCTTTGGTCGGGACCAGCGGGAGGGACCGGTTTCATTTCAGAAAGTCCAGTGACTCCATTCAGAAGAACCAAGAATTGATTGTACGCAAGGCGACCGTCTTCCCATCCTTTTAGGGCATTATCAATACTCGAACGAGGAACTTCTACTGGTAAATCCTTTCGGTAACCACCAGTGGCCTTGCTAATCTGTTGCATGGCAGCTTCAAACTTGAATTGGGCTTCTCTCATTTCGTCCGAAACATCTGGTGGCATACTAAGCAAGACAATTCTCATGGGATTCACAAAGTCACGCTCAATTCTGGAAGGTTGACCTTGTCCACCACGGGCATTATTGGACGCGAATAACTGACCAATGTTGCCCCACTCGTCCAGATTGCCAACCTTTTCTTGGAGCTCGAAAATGTAGTAATCCGCTGCGAGTTGGAGAGGAATGCGGTATTGGTAGTAAGATTTGGCAGCATCTGGGGGAAGATCGTCAAACGCAGCAGCTGGAGTCGCAAAGGCTGGTTCAGCGCCCCAAAAGGCAGCGCTTTGAGAAGCCACTAGAGCAGCTGGCACGACCGTCAGCAGATTTCGTCGTCCTGTATCCAAACTTTCTACGTTGTGTCTCTCATTTTTCATGGAAAAACCAAGAGCGTCATGCGACAGCAAAGCCATTGTTGTGATAGCAAAAGAAACTTTCATGGTTGTATATGATTGAATCGTAAGCTTACGTTTCTATTGTGTCTGTAGCGGTGTCAAGATAAGAATGAAAAGCAGATGCAAGAGATCCAAACCACGTGTTGAGTTTAAAAGTATGGGGAGGGGACGGTTTCCTCCAATTGGTGAAAATATGAAGATTATTCCCCCAAATCGAACAAGAAATTGTCAAGTGGAACATCAAAGATTGATTCATTCATTCATTCATTTCCATTGCAATCCTTAGGTTGCCAAGAAATACCGCAATGAAGCTTACGTTGCTCCTATGGTGTGCAGTATTGCTTCTGCAACAACCATTCTGTGCAAGAGCGAGCGACATTGAAAGTGAAAATTCCCATAACAGTAGCCAAATCGACGATGCTGACGTATCACCCATTGAGATGAACCCTGATTTTGAAGAATATTATGGATCCGAAGACAGCGATAGCGATAGCGATAGCGATAGCGATAGCGATAGTGATCTATCAGATGATGAGGCTGACTCTAAACTGAATCCAAAGAAACTCGCCAAGTCGTCCATCAGTGCAGCCTTGAAGAAGAAAAAGACGCAAATAGCAAAGAAACGGACCATTATTACATTGGCTTTGGCTGTCTTTGCCTTTCGCCGGGAAATTTTATACTCAATTCTTCATTTCCTAAACAAGCTTTTCGTCAATCCAAGAACTGGAAAATTGAATCTGAGTCTAACGCAAATATTGAAGCTCGTCTTGTTCATCGACCTAATGAGGAAACTCCAAAACACAAGTGGGATGAGAAACGGCAGTTGGATGAACAATTCCACCAACACGAATTCTAAGCATGCAATCGAAATGCTAGGGTTAATGAACCCACTTTTTGGGATCCTAGTAAAGAGCTTGATAACGCCCAACCCTGCCTACATTCCATCGCTGTATCAACACTACACCTTTGAAAGAGTGAACGAACGACATCTAAAAGATGGACTGGCTCTTCACAAGGCAATTCATTCAACCCATGATGAATTCAAGTGGCCATCTTCTCAATCTCAAGTATACGAAAATATTGAAAGACCAATAATAAAGATGCCGGACGGCAAAAAATCGAACGAAACGGCCATCATCTTGGATCTGACAAAGTTGGGCCCTAGTCCATCCGAAGACATTCGAGATAAGGTTTCCTTTGTGCTAAGTCAATATCGTCACGCCGCAATGATAACAAAAGACAATATTTCAACCGGTATTGAAATTGTCGTGATCCTCGAATCGCCTGGGGGAAGTGCTGTTGATTTCGGGTTGGCAGCACAGCAGCTTCTACGTTTGAGAAATGAGCCAGGAGTTCTTCTTACAATTTGCGTCGACCGCGTGGCTGCTTCTGGTGGTTACATGCTTGCATGCACCGCTAGTCCAGGACGATTGTTTGCTGCTCCCTTTAGCGTTGTCGGATCCATTGGAGTTATTGGGCAAATAATCAACATTAATGAACTCCTGGAACGATCGGGTGTATCACCAATAGTCTTTCGGGGAGGAAAGAATAAGGCCCCACTCGGTCTGATTGGAAAGGTTACCAAACACTCTATAGCCAAGACTCAATCAATGGTCGATGACACGCATAGGGCTTTCAAGCAGCATGTCGTTGACTCAAGGCCAATACTCAAAGAGAGGATTGAAAACGTTGGGACTGGCGATGTCTGGCTCGGATCGGATGCTATTACGCTCGATTTAATCGACCGCATCACCACTAGCGACGAATATATCTCAGAGAAAGTATCAAATGGAGTGAGAGTCTTGAAAATGATCAAGTGTCCTCCTCGTAGCTTGTTATTTGGGAGGCAACTACCCCCCGGGGCGACAAGTATGCAAGCCGGCTCAATCAGCGCCTTGGTGCAAGGTTTTCTCGCCTTTGTGAAGAACACCGTTGCCATGAATCAAGACCCAAGGATATTATTTCGAGAGGGAATGGATTCGGAAAAACTTCCTATTGCTGCATCAACTATGGACACACCAAAAATGAAGCTTTGATAGAACTACCAGGTCCTGTATGGGTTTCTAAACTAAATTTTGGTTATTCTACGGCGAGACATATGATGAAATGCTAAATACCATATTCTTACGAGCTAGCCTTAGCAATAGCATCCACAACCTTTGAATATTTGGATCCTTTCACGACCGCATAGTTGTTTTGTCGTTCCCGAAGCATCGGGAGGGATCCGGTAGGCTTCCCGCGTGCAAGCTCTTCACCGTCGTCGTCCACCAAAACAAATGTATCAAATAACGCATTCGGGACCCATACGAGTTTGAATGCTATTCTTGATCGGAATTGAACATGAGCGACGTCTTGCGGTGGGTCTCTGTTGCAACCCAATATGCAGGTGCTCCAGGAGCCTCCAGGTCCAAGCTCAGGGAGAGATGCGACACGAATACCATTTCCCAACCGATTACCAATAGCAATTCCCTTCACACTTCCATCATTTTCATTGTCAGATGTTTCGTCAGCCATGCAAGTAAGATCGACGTGATTGAAATCATTGAACGAATGACCTGTATATCCCTGTCCCGGGATTGCGTCGGGAAGATCCTTTAGGCCTCCAGCCCAAAGAATACGTCTTCGGACATTGTCCCAGTCGCCATTTAAATCTTCAGTTGTTAATTCCTTCACTCTAGATCGAGCATTCATCATCCGCTCGACAGCGGTTCCGGGATATTCGGGATCGAATTTAGCTGACATATTTGAAGTTGTGGCAATGTTTCTGATTCCTCCGAATGCGGATACAACAAATGCGGTCTCGTTCGCCGAAGCTCGTGCTAACGATGAAGAAACTGCCAACGAAACTAAAAGTGGGAATCGTGCAGCTTGGATAGGGCGAGTCCACGACATGTTTCTTTCGAAATATGACCTTAGCACAAAGGCGTTGTCGATCTTTTATCGAAACACCGACCAAACATGATGAGTCATTTGAGTCTAACTATGTACTTTGTTCGACCCGTTGGATCCTACAGTACAGTACCTACAACTTTTGAATTTGAAACCACTTTTATTTGACTTGAATTCAATCGGAACATACCGGACGACCATCTCAACGGTTCTATCCCATTAAGATTTAAAATCTGGGATTCAACGCGAACCAATTCATCACACAATACAGTGTTACAACTATTAAACTCTCCCCCATCCTATTAACAACATGAAGAGACAGCTTTGTATTACATCTGAACTGCCAGAGCCACGAAGACGGAAGCGTTCCGCTAGAATGCATCCAGCATCCGTGGTAGACATTTCTTCTCTTTCACCAGATGTTTTACATACAATTCTTTCGTTTCTAGTTTCAGAGAGTGGATGCGTCGATTGTGAATCACTCAAGTCCGCTTCTCTGGTATGCAAGAAATGGAGAGAAGTGTCATTATCACGATCCTTGTGGTCGATTCCGACAAATCTTCAGGGAAATGGGGTGCATAAAAAGGATTCCATTAATATTTCTTTATCGATATGGGATTCCTCTCCCTATGATGGCAGAATAGGTGGTCAAAGCTTGATGGGTTTCATCAAGATCTGTCACCTTGAGTCATCGAAGGAAAGTGACGCTACACGATTTCTCGCGAAGGAAAAGGCAACGGGGAAAGATTGCATCTTGTCAATTGCCAAGTCAAAACAAAAATCAAGCAACATGATAAAAGAGGTATTTCGTGGGCACCAAGTGGAACAACGTCACTTCCTTTGTCCGCACTTGGAATCCTTCGACCGAAATGTGCCAAGAGGAATTCGACTTTTGAATGACAGAGTGGTCCGTTGGTACGAAAACAACACTGTTCATCCAGTGACCCCTCCTGCCACCTCGAATCCTCGTTGCGATGCTGACTTTCAGCGCAATGATGATAGTCCCATGTCTCAAATGTTCAAGCTCCAAAGTACTATGGGGGAGCAGAATCCCTCAAGACAACGTCTAAGATCGGATTCGTGGGCAATGATCGTTGACTGGATCGCTGAAGTAGCAGAATGTTTTGATCTTGATGATGAAACCATTTTTCGAACCATGGATCTTGTGGATCGTGTGGTCACCGCAAGCAAGTACACCATGAAAAAGCAGTATTATCAGCTAGTTGCTGCGGCATGCTTGCAGATTGCTTCAAAATGTAGTAGCAAAGAAATCAGCGGCTCAAATATTTGCATGTGCTCCGACAACTCGTTTACCGTCGCAGTTTTGGCCAGAACTGAAGAGTACGTTCTGACCAAACTGGGATGGAAGCTCGCGTTCCCAAGTTCACTGGACTTTTTGAATCAGCTACGAGTCATCCTTGATCTAGACAAGGACAGCAGAATGTTTCAGGTGATGCGATACGTTTCAGAGTTGGCATTGCAGACAAAGCTGTATGTTCACTTTGAGCCGTCCATGGTTGCTGCCACCGCTGTGGTTCTTTCCAACTACAGTCTAGACAACCAAGAGCTATGGTCAGACGAATTGGAAGGGCATACCACATATTCTTTGGAGGATCTTGCAGAGTGCACAATTGCAATGTCAAGACTCTTGCAGGATGTTCGTCACCGATACCCGAACTTGATCATTATTGATCAACGATACCGAAAAGCATCGAGAGGATGCGTGGCTGAAATATCAATTCCAATCATTCCATCATTTGCTTCCTTGGTTTCGTATCAACAAACTAGATCTCGACAGAACCCTGATGCAGTATCTCCTTGAAACAATAAATAGTTTTAAATTTTAAAATGAACTACAGTATATGACAGAGTAATGCAACATTACAACAACGAATTTACAATTATACTCTTAGAGGCACTGAAGACAGAGAACTTGCAACCGAACTACTAGGACTGCTGCTATCCCCATTCATTCTCACAATGCTTCTGCAGCTGTCTTTAGATTCACACCAATTGCCGCCATGTCCTTTTGAAATATTTCTCCCGATTCTTCAAATCCTGGTACTGACGAAGCACAATCCGTCAATAGGGTAATATTTCCATACTTTTCCTTGGGCCATCGTTCCACAATCGAACGTAACGTATAATTCACACAATGACTCATGGCCTGTCCACATACTAGTAAATGATCAGACTCTTCCAAACGCTTTTGCAAGGATTCATTGAAGGAAGTTCCTTTTGTGACTGGGACCTCTGCCTCCAATGCCGAATACGACTCTGTAATCAAGTTTTGGCCCTTCAAGATCTGCACCAATGTGAATTGTGTCAGCACGATCGCAATTAGAATCAAGTCAGTCAGTCAGTTAGTCAGCAGTTATCGGCATACTATCAACGATTGTTCCTTTCACAGATAGATGGATATATAGTTTGATTGATTGATTGATTGATCGATTGATTGACTTACATATTCGACACTACCACCAGTCGTCATGGACCATTCATCAATGGCTTTCATAATGGGATCTACCATGCAATGTCCCTCCTTGCCCACCAAACAATGTTCGGGCCAAATGCACAATTGGAATTTTCCCTTTTCTTCCAGTCGCTTGGTATATTCAATGGAATACTTGAGCAAGTCAATTTTACCATCAGCGTCCACCACTTTGTCAAGTCCATGAAACACACTGCCGTCTATTTGATCGTCTCCCAAGTCCAAATTGAGAGTGGACCGAGGTTTCCATTTGCCATCCACAATTTCTTGCGACGAAATAAGGGTGAAGGGCGTTGGTTGCGTTTTTCCATCCGCACCAGAAACCCAAAACCCAGGATGTGCAATGTGCAATTTCAAGTGGGAATCCATGGTGGCCACAATGCGGGTAATTTGGGAGCCGTGGGTTTCAATCAGTTTGGCAATCTTGTCGGCGTCGTCGTTGGCAGCGGGAATGGCCAAGCTGCCGCCGGGATGAAAGTCTTTTTGAACGTCTACGAGGAGAAGCGTGGTTATCTTATCGGTCATCTTGCTGTTGTTGGCTGGAGGTACTGTAATTAATGGTATGCGTTTGTGCTAAGAAAGAACCTTTGATTTTGTACCAAGAAGCGTGATGGGACGATTTCACTGTTCTCATTGTGAACGAATGGATCTTTCGCCTTTTGATTTTTGGACTCCATCCGGGTTCTTTCTTCTGTGGTCAGACAAACAGACCTCCGATCAGAGCGCCGGTCTGACTGCATCTGACTCATGACATCAACATGGAAACTCGAACTCAAAAACAAAGAATCTTCAATAAAAATCTCGTCTTCCGGTCTGTCATCCACGTACGTGGTCATCCGGTACTTCTTCTCAAATTGAATTCTACCTAGCTAGAGCGCGGGTGTCAACATCACTTGTGAATACGGGAGGAAGGCACAAAAGTGGCACCACCTTGCATCCAGTCTTACGACCAAAAGGAACGTGTCCTCTGCTGACCTACAACACACCACAAGTACATCCACAAACCTCACAAGCTATCTAAAAATCCAGAGCTGAGGCACTAAGAACCACAAATACAATCGCCATCATGACTACCAACTGGATGATTCTTCATCTGTTTATACTGACACTATCCATTGGCAACAACGTTATTGAAGGATTCAACACCCGGACCATTTCTCCTTTTTGCTCAAGATTATCAACAGAGCGATCTTTTGGATGTTACGCAACAACCAAGGAACGAAAAGTGGTGGAAGATGATACCACAGCCGATAAAAACCGAGGTGACACTGTCACGAATGGTGCCATGGAAATTGTCAATGGAGTGAACGGCGTAAAGGAAGACAAGAGTAGTACTAGTACTTCTGCTCAAGAATCTACCACTGACTCATTGACAGCCTACAATATTACCCAAATGATGGACGAAATCAGCCGAAAAATCAACGACGGATCCATGGAAGTCTTTGAAAACATTACCGATGCCATGGACGAACGCTTTCATACGGTTGCCTTGACGGAGACTTCGGCTCAAGAAATGTCGGAATATATTACTGATCTGGCCAAAAAGATGCAAGTGGCTCAACAACGGGAACTCCAATTTCAGTTGGAAGAATTGAACAAGAGATTCTTGGAACCCATTGAACAAATTGCCTTTTCGGATGCACCCCTCTTTGACATGCCATCCACTCCAGTCAAACAGAAAAATGTGGACGAGGATGCCGACGACAAGCCACTAAACATTCTATTTGGTCAGAACTCTACAATCTCAATGACTTCTCGCATGAAGACGAGTGAGATCTTGAATAATTTGAACGTGGCTCCACTCTACTATTCGGTAGCCTTGACGCTGAGATATTTGCGCAAGGCGTCATACCCCTCTATTTGGCTACTGTCGACCTTCAAGGGCTTGGCAAATATTTTTAAATCGGGATCGCCCAAGGCCCGTACAAAGGGAAAGTTGTCCTATGAAGAATACATTAAAGATGCCGCAGCCATGCAGTCGGGTTGGAAGCGAACAGGGGAGATTGCCGCCAAGGGTTCCGTGGCCAAGAAATGGGCCATTTTGCGGCGATCTCTTGAGGTTTGGGCCTACTTTTCGTCGTTTTACTTGAAGGACAGACGGATTGCCCGCAAGTTCGAAAGTGGCAAGTGGTCCGAGGAAAAGTTTAGTGAAGAGCGATCCAAACTGGGAGCAGAGATTACACAGAATCTTTTGCGACTGGGACCCACATTCATCAAGGTTGGACAGCTGTTCTCTACAAGAGTCGACTTGGTACCGCAAGAATACATTGAGCAACTCAAGTTACTGCAAGATAATGTCCCACCCTTTTCTGGAGAGATTGCGGTGGATATCATTGAAAACGAATTGGGCAAGCCCATTGACCGAATTTTTGATACCTTTGAGAAGAAAGCCATTGCGGGTGCCTCGCTCGGTCAAGTCCATATTGCTACTAAGGGCGGCAAGACGTTTGCAGTCAAGATTCAAAGACAATTCTTGAAGGAATTGTTTGAAGTCGATTTGGGGCAGCTTCGCCAACTTGCTCTATTTGCGGATGCCATTGATGTCACTTCGGAAGGAGGGCTCTTTGACAAGAATACTAAACGAGATTGGGTTAGCATTTACGAGGAGAACAGGCGCCTATTGTACGAAGAAATTGACTACACCAATGAGCTCAAGAACTGCGAGCGATTCCGGTAAGTGACAAATGGTAATCTCGTTCTTCATTTTTGCAGTACGCATAAAATTCTCACTGTTTCGCCGTCACTTGTTCAATAGCAAAAACTTTGATGCCCCAAGGTTCAAACATATTCGTGTTCCAGAGACTTACCCGGAATACTCCAGCGGAAAGGTACTCTGTATGGAATACGTCCCCGGAGCCAAGATTACCGACATGGAGAAGATCCAGGAATTGGGTCTCGATCCAATCGACATTAGTATAAAGTCTGCGGAAGCCTTCTTGGAACAATTGTGCCGCCACGGCTTCTTTCATAGTGACCCTCATCCTGGAAACATTTCCGTGGAACGGGCAGAGGATGGCTCGGCCAGGCTAATCTTTTACGACTTTGGAATGATGGACAAGTTCGGAGTGCAAGAGCGAAAAGGATTTGTTGACTTTGCATTTGCTGTATACTATGATGCCAACGTGAAAGATGCTGCGAATGCCTTGGAAAGAATGGGAATGCTCCGCACTGGGGCCGACCTGGATCGAGTAGCCATTGAACGTGTTGGTCAAGACTTTATTGATCGATTCCAATCCACTCTCAGTAGAGATGCTGGATGGGAAAACGAGTTGGATCCTGAGGAGCAAAGGAAAATCAACCGCGAGCGAAGAACAGCTTTGGGAGAGGAGTTCCTATCATTGAATCGCGATTCGCCATTCATCTTCCCTCCGACTTGGACATTTGTCCTTCGTGCATTCTTCACATTGGACGGAATTGGAAAGACGCTGAATCCAAAGTATGATATGACTCGTATCATGCTTCCCTATCTTAAGGAGCTGATTGATTTGAAGGACGGCAGTGCTATCAAGACTACGTTGTTGCGAATCGGGAAACGTGTTGGGTTAAGACCGGAAGATATCAATCAATTGGTGACACAGCCTCGTCGTACAGCAAATATTCAGGACGTGATCACGAGACTGGAGAAAGGAGACTTCAAGCTGCGCGTTAGAGCTTTGGATGTCGAGCGTCAAAATGAGCGCAGCAAAATTGTCCTGAAGAACACATACGAAGCGATAATACTTGGTCTACTTTTCCAGGGTGGAATCAGCATGCTCACAATAGGCAGTGGACTCAAGGGAGCCCGCCCATTGAGTCGAATACTTCTTGGGGCAGCCGCGTTCCTGGCGCTGAGAGTACCATTTAATCTCAACAAGCTGAAAAAGCTGGACAAATACAACGAAAATTACGGGATCAAAGCCTAGACCAAGCAACCTGCTACAGTAGCTAGAAGACTTGAGTGTCCAATTTGAGTTATGGAACTCTATTTCAGGCGAAATTACGATCGGCACTTTGCCTGCTACGAAGAAAAAAAGTATAGAAGTTTGCCCTCAGCATAATTGACATAGAATGATGCTGTATACCTATTATGATATATAACACCGTATTGATGTATTGTAGGAAAAAAAGTGTCGGTTGGAGTCCACCTTTTCAAATCTGGTGCCGTGCACGCGCTCGAACGGATTCTTTTCCAAAAGCAACACCAAACAATGAAACGAAACAGCGCTCGCAACATGTCATCCCCAAGAACCCCTAGCAGCGATGGTTTGAGCAACCGTTACAGCTCCTACCAGCAAAACGGCTCCTATGTTCCTCCAGCACAACAGTACGCAGAGAAACAGACAAACACAATTTCAGATACGGTCAAAACGCAGTATGAAGCTGAAAATACTGCAAATGCCGTTCTGCAGCAATTGAATGCCCAACGACAGCAAATTCAGGGCGCGAATGAGGATGTGTGGGATATGCGAAACGCTACAGACGAGACAAAGAGAGAACTTCGGAATTTGCGAGAAAAATACCGGGCGAGAAAAAGAAATCTGTACATTTACATTGCGATCCTTGGGACTGTCGATCTACTTCTGTTTCTACGACTTCTTCGATGCGGGGGAAGTTTCTTTTGCCGACAACGATATCACTAGATTACATTTATTCTCCAATCCTTCGCTGTGGCAACTCTGGAAAAATTGAGGTTGAAAAAAATTGAAAAAAATGATCCCATGACAATGACGCCATCTCAAATAAAAGATATAATACTGAACTCCTCTATTCTAATCATATGTTTCTGCTTTTTAAAATGACTGGCAGCCATTATTTATTAGTTGCCAGCTTCGAAAATGCCATCCCAGAACATAATTTCGTACTGTTGCAAGAGCCGCACTGGCTCGATGATTTCTTCATAGGTTGCATTCTCTTCATCAATGATTGCTGCAGCCATTTTGTCCAAGTCATCGATGGGCGTGGCAAAAAACTTGACGAAAGCTAAAGCGTCATCGTCGTCACCCTTGTACTCCTCGTAGGCCTCGCCATCTTTCAGTGCATCCAACAGTTTACGGCACATTTGGCCCCAAGCAGGAAAGTTGACAGCACAAGCAGCAGCTCCAGCCGCCCGATTTCCCGATAGTGCTAGGCGGGCCCAATACGAAGGATATGCCTGTGATTTTGCGTTCAAAGGTGCCGATTTTTGGAGTGCATCCTCATCAAGCCCAAGTTTCGTTGCGTAGTTGAGGAGCAACGGTGCTGCATACACTTCACCCCCAAGGAGGAATTGAAATAAGTCGACCTTGTCACGTTTGGCTTCTGGGACACTTGCACCGGTAAGAGTCGAAGGTGCAAAGCCTTCGTGGCCTGCCAGAACTGCAAAAGATCTTGCGTCGGACAACTGAACATGATACTGCTCTCTAGCAAAAGCTTGTCGCTGAGCAAGCGTTAGGATCCCATTTTCGGCAGCTTTAAGATATGGATGAGAGATGAGCTTTTCATCTGTTTCTTGATTGAAGGCCTCTTGCCGAATCTTCGAAATTATATCCAGGCCTGACATGTTGAAATGCTGAAGTCATGGATGTTTGTACCGTACCGGTATGTATGCAAGGTGGATATAGGTCGACTAATATGACTGCCTCTCGAATGGTGCCGATACCACCAGATTCAAGATGCTGCGCTGTCGGTAAACTGAAATTCATTACAAGTGTTTTACCGCGGTTTTCGTTGAAAAAGTGGTCTGGATCACACACTCCAGTGCTTTTCCTATTTGGTTCTAGGGAATTTTGTCGCCCCAACGACAATTTTAAATTCCAAACGTACACACAGGAGGCCTCCAAGGTTGATCACTGATGACCGCGTCTAACCGCAACATTTATTCAGAGAAAAGATTTCTCTCACAGAAATCATTTCTCTAGAAGACCATGATTCTTGACAATGATATACTTTGCCGCAGAGGTAAAGGCGGACACCCAGGAAACTCCAACCTTCGGGGGAAAACCAAAGCAATGTTCGTTGAGTATGAAGCAGGTAACAAACAGACCAAAAAAAAGATTGCGGATGACCTCGTATTGGAAGTACAGGTCAATGGCGGGCGATTCATGGGATGGGACGAGGACAATCCACGCTACTTTGAGATGTCCAACCGGGACGCTGTGAAGGTTGTCAAAACAGGATTTGACAGATTCAAACACAAACTGAGTAAGGGTCGAGCTAAGCAACAACTCGCCCAAAAAACCAGTAGTGCCATCAAAGATGTTGGTTCTGGTGAAGCCCCATGCAAGAAGAAACCATCAAATGGTAACGAGATTGCGACTCTGGAACCAATTGACGAGGTGATGGTTGATTCACTGGGATCACTTTCAGATAATTTGTATAGAGAGTTACTGCAGGATCTTTATGGTCCCTTTGAAGACGAGCTTGCAGTTCAGAACAAACCGTTGCGAGATGAAGGTGACGATTCGGCAAGAGGTAGGCTGCTGGCCCTTTTATCCGATGAGGGAAGCGAGCAACTCGCAGAAGCTGTACTATCCATCGTGAACTCATCAGCAGGCCCAGATATAGCAACATCAGCTACACGCAGCAGCATTTCTTTGACCTTGGACTATCAAGCACAAACTACTCTAAAAAAGGCAAAGAAATCCCTTCAGCAGCCACAATGGAGGCAGTCGAAACGTCCTAGACGAAATGCCCCAGGGATAACCAAAGAAGATGGAGGCAGTCAGCCAGACGATGCTTTGGGTAAAGTTGGAGCATTGAAGGACGATTTATCGAAATCCATTTACAGCTCTCAATTAGTTCGACCCTTAACGACCGAACGAGTCATGGCTAAAATCAAAATTGAGAAGCAACTCAGAGTGGGCAACAAGAACGACAGAGAATACACTGGTTCGACTCTGGAGGGCAAGCCGCATGGCTCGGGTTTCATGATCTTCAAGAATGGTAAAATCCTTTGCGGGAACTGGTGCGTATGGACTTTCATTTGCCTAATCATTCGGACTTCGGATCGTCAATACCCACTCATCGACGGTTTCATTTCTCTCTATCAGGCTACATGGAGTTTTCGAAGGTCAAGGATGTGCTCTCTATGAGAATGGGGATACATGCTTTGGATCATTTCTTGAGAACAAGGTGCATGGCTATGCAACCTACAAGACAACGTTCACCAAGTACGTCGGTCAATACCATATGAACAAAAGACACGGAAAAGGAGTGCTCAATGACATGGAAATGGGCATATACAATGGTGACTTTGTGGATGGTAAATTCGAAGGCCTAGGAGTGCATACACCCATTAGTGGGAACATCCAAAAATTTCGAAAACTGGAAAATCAAGAAGGGCAATGGCAGTGCTGAAGACGACAAGAAGGAATTCAGCATGAATATCCCCAACGACAAGGAAGAGAGAGCTTTGCCCCAATTCACTTCCAGTACGCGATAAATTAAAAGCGAAGTATGGCAGAGGAAGTTATTATTACTTTGATGAAATACACTGTAAACTTATTTATTTTCGTATTTTTCAACTGCTGCAATCGACCCAAAACTGCCGCTTCGGAAACCTCGTTCCACTGGCTTCATGTATCATCTGGAGGCACATTGTCATAATATCCGACTACATCCGCCTCTTGCTTGCCTTGACTGCGCAAGACGTTTCCCATCAAATGGTATATTCCAGCAGCCGCAGGATGATCCGGTCCAAGTGCCTTCAATTCGATCTGTAGGGCCTTTTGGTATTGTTGTATTGCGTCCTCGTATTTGCATTTATTGAAGAAGACGTTTCCAATGCTGCAATATGTTGCAGCAGTCGAGTCATGTTCCGATCCAAGTGTATTCAAAAAGATCGCAAGCGCCTTTTGATAGTGTTGCATTGCGTCGTCGCACTTGCCTGGTCGGTACAAGACTTTTCCAATCCATGATATGTTATAGCACTCGAGGAATGATCTGCTCCAAGTGTCTTCATTCTGATCTTAAGCGCCTTTTGGTATTTCTGCATGGATTTCTCGTCCTTGCCTTGATCGTAAAACACGTTCCCAGTACAATGGTATGTTGTAGCAGTCGAACTATGCTCAGATCCAAATGCATGCAAGTTGATCGTAAGCGCCTTTTGGTGTTGCTTCATAGCTTCTTCAAACTTGCCTTGTCTGTTCAAGACCATGGCAAACTTTCTATACGTGTCTGCCATTTCCGGTTCATCATCGCATTGAAGGACTTTCTTCTCAATTTCCAGCCTCTTTTCAAAAAGTTCGATGGCTTCGTCCCATCTTGCGTCTTCGAATAGTAGGTACGCAAGCTGGTCATACAATTTCGCCACCTCTGGGTCCACCAAACCTTTTTCCACGCCCTTTTCACCCATTTTTATCGAAATCATCCCAGAGACGTCTTCGTTTGGTTTCGAATTTCTCTGATGCAGATAAAATAGATCGAGGGCGCTTTTGGCACTTTGAAGACGGCTCTCCACTAGTGGAACGTCGATTACCGTCATCCTGACTTAGGGAGCTTACTTGAGAAAAGCTTTCGTGTCTCGTCTGTTCCTTTGGTGAAGCTGAGACTTCAGTACGGGCCGGCCGACAATCATCCTCCGGCCTTGCGGTGCTTGCTTGAGAAATGCCACTTCCTTCCTTTGTCTGTTCCTGCGATGAGTGTCCAGTAATCCTTGATGCTTCATCGATTTTCATGGAATTATGGATGTCCTACCATTTCCATTCCTGAAGGGATCTCCTTCGCTGCCAGGTGCAGCCGTGCCGTCTTCCTCGTCTTCGAACATACTAATGCCATCCCAAGCCTGATGACTATCTTTCAATTCGACCACTGAGGTCACCGGTATACTTTCTGAAGAAATAAGAAATGAAGTCAGTTGTCACCAAGCAAAATCAAAAGACTAGTTATCACCTCTCAAATGTAATCGTACCTGTGTCACTCATTGGACTGTGTTCCTTTTGATTTGCACAAAGCTTTTGTTTCTCTTGCTTTTTGAAATCGTAATTGTGGAGTGAGTCCCAGTCGCGAAATGCAACTTTTTAAAATAGAAACACACACGGCGAATTCCAGAAGGGCTTGTTTTATGGTGGTGGGGTCTTTAGTGAATTTTTAGCCAATAAGAGTTAGTCGATTCACTAAAGATGAGTCTATTATTAGTCGTATGAGCCAATCACAGCTCTCTATCTCTAATGATAGATTCGACTAACTCTCTTCCACACTAAATTAGTACTCTCCACAGACTTCAAATGATGTTAGGGGGATGTTAGGTCCAAGCTCCATACGGCCATAGCAGTTTCTCTTTGTCTTATCAAACAGCTAAACATCTTGTCTTAAGGAACAACCTTAGCCCTCGATCATGAGGAAGCGCTGTAGATCCCCTAGGATCACTTCTAGCTGCCCTGAAGAACGGGGTGGTAGGTTGTCAACTGAAATTGACTGGTACTACATGAGGTAATAGATAGATCAAACAATAGACCCTGACTTTTCAATCTTGCAGATAGAGTACTACTATGCATTATCGAGTATCGTTCAGTCTTCCTCTCTGATGGCAGATTGAAATCAACTGCTGATACCGGAAGAGGTAGGTAGTGGGTAGTATTCTCTTCACCTTTGGAATCAAGTCATTGTCTCAAACGGGTGCAAAAAGGTTGATTGTATTGCCATCAGAGTAGAATGTACAATACCCGAATCTGAAAGCATCATATATGACTATACTGTAACAGACTTTCCTATCGCGGCTTTGGCCAACAACAGGAATCATGAAAGGTTTCTGTCTATGTTTTCGCCTGTGAATCTTACTCAAAACCAGTTGATTGTTGCATGCCTTCAATCGTAGAACATGTATTTACTCTCTTTGCGATGAAATCGGGCTTTGTAGTGGCCCTTACCCATCTTGCTTGGTTCCCTAAATATTGAGTCCATTGAGGACACCGCCGATTGTCTATCGAATCCAATACTGGCTGGTTCTCGCAAGCCTCGCATAAGTAAGCGTTTCAATAGTATCATAGCAATAATATCAGCTGCTAGAGTCGAGCATTATTTCATGCCTTGATTCACCTTCCTTCCAAATGGTTTGTTGTCGACACAAGATCGGGCTGTGCTCTCTTTTTATATACACTGACATCACTTTCATGTTTCCAATCTTGAAGTATTCGAGACACCAAAAATCGCGGCGCGATGAGCCTCCGAGTCTCAATCTATTCTTCGATATGTAGGGACAGTAGATATTGTTATTGGCTTAGAGGTGCTTGGACATCATTTCAATACTGCAGGCGGTTCAGACGCATCGATTATCACATCAAACATTCATGGATTGTTACCTCGTTCTAAATCCGTCTAAATCGCGTATGTCATCTTGCGACGCCATGCATGAAACCAGCACTGTGTTGTTGAGCCCCTTCATTGCAATCCTATTGCTTTCTCCTCTATTTTCTTCTCTTCGTTTTTTCTTTTCTTCTTCCTCTCTCCCCTTCTTTTCTCCCCGGGGGATCTAGTATAAACTGCTCCACCAGCATAAAATAAAAACCTCCAGAAGAGCAAAGCAGGACCCCCAAATAAATCGTCCGTCGATCGACGGTGCGGTTTTCTAAATTTCATAGCTCGACTTTTGAAATTTTCAACATATAGCTGTACAGTACCATCGTACCAGGTACCGTACCGGTACCCCGGAGCCTGGATTTTCTTGTGGAAAAAGTATTATTTTGACCTGTTTCATGTCGGCACACGTACAATAGCAGTGACTGACCAGTTTCGATTTCTGGTTTCAAAAGGTCGTTTTATAATTCGTTCGGGGTCCTGCTGATAGGGAACAACGTAGCGCCGATGTTGATCCGCTCGATTGACGGACGAGTTGCAAGGGTCCAGACTCCAGACTAGCTGGTCACCGGGTATTTTGGAAGTAGGGCTTTCGGCTTGCGTGGCAGAAAGATTATGCTTTTTTCATTCATCAAATGACTTTGGAAGGACTTCATGGAATCTGGCATCTGGTTGGGATGACCAAAGCGACTAACGTGAACGTACGATAACTTTGACCACATCAGCATTTTCAGAATTCACAACTCTTCTCATGCCTACAGTGAATTTGTTCAGAATAACAACACAAACAAACATGACATCTGAAAACAGTTCTTGCTTCCTACGGTTCCAGAGAATAAGAATATTCTTCTTGCTCGCATCTTTCACTTTATCGAAAAGTTTTGTCCATCGGTTGCCATCCAATTCCGACTCACGACAAGTGCAATGGAAACTGAGGTCAGAGCCTTCGACACTTTCCGATGATACAGCAGTCAAAAAGTCTACCGATATTTTAGCGCTAAAGAGACTTGATCAATGTGCATCTGGCAGTGCAGCGAAGGCGTTGCTTGAGGATTTTACTGGAGACGGCAGCTTGTACCGCAGCATATCGATACCTGCTGGTGCGTCCGACCGTGGAATTAGTGATGGCGACCTGGCTATTCAGACGAAGATTCGCAACAAAAAGTATGGAATTTTCGACCTTATTGACCTCAATGGTAATCGAGACGCCGATCGTGCTTCAGCGGGCGTCTTGGGAGTCTTTCTTGCCAGCAGCTTCTCCGCAATCGCCGCGAACCAAAACCTTCCTGGACCAGAGATTTTTCGGTTTGTTGTGGTATGGATTCTATCCTTTGCCCCACTTGCACTTGTCGGCTATGGAATTGCAACTCCTGACAACCTTCAGGCCTTGTTAGTCTCGATTCAACGGGAGTTATTCCCAACCTACCGTAAGCGTATGATTCAGCACGAAGCAGGACACTTTTTGATCTCACATTTATTGGGGTTCCCGATCAAAGGATACTCCGTGAATGCTGTCAAAAATGCAGTCGAGTTTTATCCATTGAGTGATCGAGATGCTGGAGTGCAGAGAGCCAAACAACTTGGATTTGATAAACCAATCAACGAACGAGTAGAAGACTTTTTCGAACCACCGTCCGAAGATGTTCCCTACTTTAGTAAGGATGGTAGTGGTGGATCAATCGTGGAAACCCAATCCGTCTTTCGGAATGCCAAAAACTACACTGACAACCCATTCCTCCGGCTTTCACCTCGAGACGAGCCCCGAGAATCCTGGCCATTCCGAGGCTTCAACCACCAAACCATTGACCAATTGGCTGCAATCAGCGTCGCTGGAGTCTGTGCCGAAATCTTGGCGTTTGGAAATGCGGAAGGAGGTGTGGCAGACTTTAGCCAGTTGCGTCAGATCTTTTCTAGTGCAGAACCGGAGCTCACCGAGCGGGAAATGGAAAACAGAATACGCTACGCGGTTGGTTACACCATGACGCAGCTACGACTCCACCTTGGTGCGTTGGATAGCCTCGCGGAGGTCATGGCAAGAGATGGCACTGTGTCCGAATGCGTCGCAGCAATTGAAACCTGCGAAAACGTCAGTGGCGCCGATGCCATTTTTGGCGACTATGAACTTCGGAGAAGAAAGGAATTCAAGAATCTTGGCGCAGGAATTATCGAGAAACTCTTTCTCGGTGAGAAGAACGCAGATACCGAAGAAGACCGCCTAATTGAGGGAAAGGGTGGTGGCTATCGCAAAACCAAAGAGCCCTTGATCAAAATTACCGGAGACGATCCACTCTACATTGCACTAGGGATATCTTGCCTATTTGTGGCATGGGCCACAAATGGAGGTCTTTCCTTGCATTAGTTCTGAGCTTAGATTCGATCAAGTTTTTCAGGTTTTAGACATGTTCTAATGTCAACTACGTGCTCCTTGGCTTACAAATTGTACACTGCAGTACTATGGGCATCTATTGTCGTCAACGTGAGACACTTAGTCTTGGATGATCTTCAAGACTTTGTTGGATCGAGACTTTTGGAAGTGACCTTGGACAACTTCCCATTCGTTGCCATTTTTGGCGAACTCGTTGTCGTGCTTCTTCAGCAAGAGTGCTTTCCAGCAGCGTTCACTCTGACGACCGAGTATCTGATTTTCAACTGCATCCTTCGTGGCGCTCTTGATGTGTGGGAGAGATCGATTCTGGCATACTTGATACCCCGATGCCAGGCGCTTGAAAATAACAAGTCGACTTGTACCATCCGTCCGAGGAGCAAGATCGTCCAAGGATGAGAATAAATTCTTCTTGACTCGAGGTGCATCGTCAATCTCTCCGACCTGTTCTTCGAACTTGTTGACCTGCGCAACGAAAGATTCCCACAGTGGCTGAATGGCAGATCCCTTGATCGCTTCGGACCCTGCATCGTCATCCATGATGGCTCCCGAATCCACAATCGGAATGTATTCCGCTTCGACAGAAGGAACACAGGTATCCTCGTCGACATTCTGGCGTCCAAAACATACGGGCCAGCTCCATTTGATCCAGTCTTTCTTGTGGATATGAAAGGTATCGCGAAGATCTTCCTTTTCCTTGGTGAGTTTCTTCATGACTGCAAAGCGTTGCTTCAAGGCGGAGAGCCGTTCCGCCTTGACCGTATCGAATCGGTGTTGGAGGATTCTTGTGGCAAGATCAAAGGGATCCTTCTCAAAGGGACGAATCATGACAAAGCATTCTTGTTTATCAAAGATTGAAAGCTTGTCCCTGTTGTTTTCGCGAGCTCCAGAACTCTTTTTCCAACGATAGCGCTTGGCCTGCTGGGGTGTGCATTCGGAGACATCCTCTTTGGGAATGTTGAAGTAAAGTGCTACACCTCTCACGGAAGGATCCGAATCAGGACCAAAGGCGAGTTCTCTGAGGAATGGAAAGTAAGCAAGAATGCAAAAGAGGTGAATCTTTATCCGACTGGATTCGAAAGGATTGCAAGAGCCAACGTACCGAACCAGAATGTGTCCCGAGTGCTCAGCCTTGTACTTGTTCAATGGTATAGGAAGTGCCGTGCCCGATTTCTCCAACCGAAAGGCCCTCTTTTGTAGCACCATGCAAAGAGTACCACGAATAAAATGCTGTGGACGATACTTGTACATCCAACCCGCCTCTCCTCGCATTTGCAGTGCCATGGATAGCTTGTGAATTTCGGAAAGGTTGTTGCGCCGACGCTTGTTGCTACTGGTATTGTTGCAGATCAATTTGTAGAGATCTGCAAAATCGTCCAATTCAATGGAAAACTGATCCCCAAAGGGATTCCCATATTGAATGGAGTGCAAGCGCTTTTGGTGCAAGCCATCGACATTGATGTCCGTGGACATGCTGTTGCCTTGGGTTTCCGTGTGTGGGAGCCAAGAAGAGACAGTGCCAGTAGTGCGAGGATCGTGAATGCTACCACAACGTCTTCCAAATGGACTGGACAAGAGAAAACAATAGCACATAATGAAAATAATTGTAGTTAGATGATGATTGATTCCAATAGCAAAATAGTAACGATTGTGTCTTTGAAAGAATACTTACCAAGATCCAGTGGCAACGTAGGTCCAGCAAGGCTTGGTGCGATAGGTTTCGGCATCTTCAATGAGTCCGGCACGTTGCATGTCCATCAATCGGGTCAATTGGAGCTCTTCTTCTCCATGAGCATAGGTGCACTTTTCCCCAAATGGACAATCGTTGCCTCTGCGGTGATGCATGCAAAGTTCCGTTTTGATGCGTTGTTTGCGATTGGGGTCGTCCATGGCACTTCCGACACTGGAGGCCGAATTGGGTGCTCGACGCTGCTTGGTGGGACTTCGACGAGGAGTGGAAAAGCCAGGAGGATTGGCATTGGCATTGTTACTGTTGTTACTGTTGTTACTGTTGTTGTTGTATTCATAATTGGACGTGCTGTTGTGATGACTGGTAGGGGTGGACGCTCGAGATCCGTGGCGACTGTTTGCGTGAAGAGTAGATAGATAAGCTGGTGGTGGTGACATTGGCTGGCAGTAGGGCACTGCGTCGGGGCTCAAGGTAGTAATTGGAATAAAGTATGGATTGTTTTGGGTAGTGCTGCTGTATACCGAAATATCCACTTCAGTAGGAGTCGCAGTCATTGGTGCCGTAGTTGCTGTCATCATGGATGGTGCCGGAGAATAGAAAGCCGATGGTGAATGGGGAAAGCTGGTTGGAGATCGAACGTAGCGTTCCTCCCAGCTCTCGACAGACTCATTCCATCCTTTGGGATACCGAGACGATGGCTTGGAAGGACCCTTGCGATGCAATCTCAGGTCATTGTAGTTGAGTGTTGTTTCGTCAAAGTTACTTTGGCCTTCTGGAACTTGAAACAGAGGCGGAGGAGGAAGACCTGCCGCGTCTCTGCCACCAGCAGTACGAAACACACGCTTGCGGGGAGAGGGTGTACGTGGGTTCATGATACTCTGTTCAATTGATACAGAAGAGAGATTGCAGGAACGAAGGATATCGACATTCAATTCTCCTCTTGCGCCCAGGAAGTGAAGTTGCAGTTGCAGTGCAAGAACACAAATTGTGAATGAACAATGTCGGCAAACCAAAATTCTAAAATTCTACTTATGGACAAAATCTTTACGGTGCATAAACATTGGAATTACATATGGTTTGAAAGTTTGGCCCGCAGAAAAAGCAGATGGACCCATGCTGGAGAATTGCAACGAACGAGCTTTTTCTCGCGTCCAAGACTGGAAATATATCATCATCAAAAAAAGATGGACTGGATGTGCCCTTCGTCCGATCTGAATCACGCTCCAACGAGCGAGACAAGGAGGATGTAATGGTTTTAATTTTCATCAGGACCCTGTTTGTATCAACTTGCTAAACATAATCAATGAAATTAACTATTTGGTTTACCAATACAACATGCAAATTACTGTAGTCTATTCGGCTCGTACATGTGCGTGCACCTCTGTTGCTAATGGAAGAGAGGTAGAAAAAGCCCTTTTCATACATTGAAGTGTATCGAAAGTCTCAAACTCCATTAAACTATTCTTTCTTGCCCTTCTTCTTCTTCTTCCCTTCGCCTTTCTTTTTCGTGTCCTTCTTCTTGTCTCCCTTGCCTTGAACTCGATCAGCTACCAATTGGGCGATACTCAAAAAGATCAAAAATGGTATGAAGACACAAGCCTTGTCAAAGTACACAGGACCGTCTTCCATGCCAAACTTTTCTACCATAAAGTCGTGGAATGCTGACACGAATCCTGGGAGCTTTCCTCCAAATGGCAGTGCAAGGATTGGGAGGGCAATGCGTCGGGCATTCGAAACAGGGGTGGTGAAGATGAACTTTCGTGCCACATAGGCGGGTCCTTCAGTACCTGCCATCATGGCATGCACAGAACTGAGATCCATATTATGCTTGTTGTCAGTATTGTGGTGGACAATAGCCATTCCCTTTGTGGGGGTGATTTCCACTGGCTCCTTGGCGGAAGGAAACACAACGGAACCTCCATTGTCTGTCAAAAAGACAGTAATGGTAGCCATGGGGATCAAGTAAGGGTGTGTATCGTAGTGTGCCTTCCAATGCACTCCAGCATCCAGTCTATCAATTACAAAGTCACTGTGGTGCGCTGCTGGAAAGCCAGTCACCTGTTCGATTCGTTCTTCCACTGCCTTTCGTGCAGGCGATTGCAACATTCCTTGCCACACAACTGTTCGTTGCACGTTTTCAAAGTTCTCCTTGTCATTGCTGAATTGTAGAATGTCGTCCGTAATTGGACTTAACTTCGACTTGGCAGATTGCAACAAACTATCTGCTTCTTCGTCCGTCATGAGGTTGTGAATGAGGTACAGCGTAGGATCGGTTGGCTCGACATCTTCAAAGAAGGGACGATCGCCTCCGGCATATAACCTGACTCTATCGGGCATTCCATTATTCACAATATCCTCTTTCGCCATATTTGCGGTTACCGTCGCTGTAGTCAGAACATTGGCGGAATTCAGTGAAATCATGACTACGGGGATATCGATATCCTCGGCATCCTCGCCGTCCATCACTTCGAGGCGGTAAATGTCATCCGGTCTCTTTTCATCGATATTGACTACCAAAAGTGCAGCTGCGCCACTTAACTTGGCAACTTTGGCCATGCCAACTGCAGAAAGTCCGCCGTTGTCGGTCATCACGACCATATTTCCGCGGACATCATCAGCATTGTCGAGTTCTTGAATTGGGAGATTTCCTTCTTCATCCTCCTCCCTGTTGCCGACTCCATTGAGAGGTGATGCAAGAATTGGCATACATTCAACTTCTAACAAGGCGGCCTCAGTCGTCTGTGGTCCAAATTGTGCTACGGAGGCGTCAAGGGCCGAAATGATGGCCGAGTGTCCCCATTCCAGTACGGCGGCTTCTTCCTCGGTTCGTTGTGGATATACAATGTAATCCAAGTCATGAAGATTTTTGTTGTCTACGGCACCTCTCGCTAAGGACAGAAGGGCCAGGATGCAAATACAGCACAGGGATAATCTATGCGTAAGAGTCATGACGGATTGACTTGGGCTGAGAAGTGTTGCGGCGCTTGTTGCTTTGTGATGTGTGATCTTTATTGATGGGTTATGGCGACACGTGGAACGTACTGACATAGCTGTAAATCGATGGTGGTGTCTCTCTAGAGCATTACATAAATCTATCCTTTAGCTCTTGCGGTATCTCTTCAAACAATGTCAGGTCCTGTTGGCACTGGAATTTAATTCCACTGCAGTCATCTTGATCTACTGAACAACAAGTGCACGTATCCAGCTGCAATGCGCCACATTCATTCATCGTGGAGTCGGTGGAAAAATCCAGTTGACACTCATTACTCCCAATGAGGGTACCAGCGAGGCCCGTTTTGGTAATGTCAAAACATTCTAGTAGGCTAAGTTAGTTTCACACTACAACAAAGAACGAGAGAATGTGACAAGATGCAAACGAACTTACCAAGGGATTCCAAGCCGGACAAATCAATGGTTGCATTTCCGCTGAAGGCCGTTTCTGCAAGATCAATGATTTCTGGGTAGTAGTTTGTTAGTTTCAAATTTGAGTTTTGTCTTTAATCAATAGACAGCCATCCCAACCGTACCTAGGTTTGAGAGTGTGAAAAGATCTAGAGGGATACCGCCACTGACTAACAAATGGGAAAGGTGGAGTGATGCTGTGGCCAAAAGTGGTTAGGAAGGATCAAAGGATCAAACTGAACCAGTCAGTCAAGTCGTCGATAGTTATGCACTTACTCAAATTGGACAAGGAGAACAATTCAACTGGAAGGTCCTCCTCAATGTCTGTTCTAGACAGTGAAAGATACTCTATCAGAAAGAAAAAACAAAGTGTTCGTTTAGGATCAGAGTCAGTCACTCTCGCACACAAACATGACCACTCCAGTCGAGACGATGTAGTGTATCCACGTACCTAGGTATGCACAGTTTGCAATTTGATGTGGCAATACACCAGTGAAGCTGTTTCCTTCCACAGAAAGCGTCGCTGTCGAATCAATCAATCGAAAAATATAGCCTGTGAGCAAGTCATGGGGTCCGGTAATGCGAAAACCGATTTTATCAATACATCTTACCTAAGCGTAAGAGACTTCCAATTTCTGTGGGCAGTTGGCCCGAGAATGCATTATTGTCCAGAATAAGCATGTCTGCAACAACAACAAAAAAGACAATGAGGGTTAGACATGGCTTCTTCGATATCTCGTATCTCGCATGCAATGCATACGTACTCAAATTTTGTAGGAGACCAATCTCGCTGACCAGCTCGTCAAAGAAGTCATTGTTTCCGAGATTCAAGTATTCTGATACGAGCAAAAATGCATGATTCAAATTGAGCAGTTGATGACACATTGGCATACAAACTAAATTCTAGGATTGACTGTACTTACCGAGGTTTGTCAGATTGAAAATCTCCATGGGAATTGGGCCATTGGCGTCGGTCTGTCGAGTGCTCAGAACTACTAGATTGACAAGCTCTCCAATCTCGGAAGGAAGATTTTGATTACTGGGGGCTGATCGAGCAACGTCAAGGTACTCCAATGAGCTCAATTGGTTAATGGATGGCGGAGGAAAGGTTTCCATTTTGGGAAGATCCGAGAGGGACAATGTACCTGTGAAAAAAGAGCAAGGACTCGAGTTAGCAAGGAGATCCAGCTTTCGTAGAGTGGAGATTGCTAACTAGCACCACTTACGTAGCTTGTCTAAACGGCCAATACTGTCATACGGAAAGGTTCCAGACAGTTGAAAGTTGTTGCTGAGGTCCAGAGTTGTTAGGCTTGTGAGATTTCCTATTGTGGCTGGCACCGACCCAATAAAGTTGACACTCAATTTAAGGGAAGCTGAGAAGGATAAAAGTGGGGTGAGAAATGAGAAAGAAAAAGGACCATTTGAAACTAGCTTGTCACGTACTCAGATCGGTAAAGAGCCCAATTTCCGATGGTATTGTAAGACTTTGTTCTGTCATGTTTTTAAACATGCTCCAGTCCAGTTCGACTATTTGCTTGGACTCGTTGCAAGAGATTCCCATCCAATCACATTCGGCAGTATTTGATAGCCACTTGGTTTGCTCGCTCCAGGTATCACCCTTCCAGGAAAGAAATAGAATGGCGAGCAAATAGCGGTTTTCTGCCACTTGGAAGGGGGATGACGATGCTTTGGACAATTCATCGCTCGCTAACCAGACCGATGCTCGGTGGTGCGCAGAGCACAAGTCTTCCAACGCATTTTCTGGGCTGGTGTAATCGGGCATTATCTTTTGCACCACATTCTCCATTAGCAGATTGTATTGATCCAAGGTGTCCACATCCATCATTTGCACCAACGGATCAATATCACCAAAGTCGGAGCAGTCTTGTATCGGTAGTGAAGATGGTGCCGTAGTGGTGGGCATTGGCATGGACGACGCATTCTCCTTGGCGGCAATCTCTTCTTCCACTTTCAAAAACAGTCCCAGTACCACACCCAAAATGATTGCGACAATTATAACAAATACGCAAATTGCTCTGGGGACTATCGAATCTTTGGGAGTATCTTCTACCAAAGGATCATCTGGAATGAGGGAAACGTCCACGGAATTGCTGTCGATGGATCCATTCCCCCCAAAAGTGACATTGTGCATTGGTCCAGTTGGTTCCGACAGGGAAAATTCGGCCGAAGCGACGGATGCCACGGCGTCAAAGGGCTCCGCCAAGTCAATGACTGTTTCTTCGAATACATTGTGATTCACGGCTTGTGGCGAGGGCGGCCGATGCCAGGCGGGCAAGTGACCAAAGGCTCGTTCTTGCACCTCGACAGCTCCGACCTGTTGGCCATTCGTCAAAGGGGTGTTCTGTTCCTTGCCATTACTGCTGTATTGTTGTCCCTCGCTGTACATGCTCCGAATTGAAGGTTCCCGGGCCGATCGTGGTCCGGGAGTCTGACTTGAGACACTGTCAATTCGCCGTGGCGTCGATATCGATGGAACGCTGACCAAATTCTCCACCACCACATCGTCTCCGACATGCACCCCACCGCCGGTTTCATCGGGTATCGTGACGGACTCCTCATTTATTAACGGCACAGCATTTGCAGCGTTCTCTCGAGCAGCCCGCATTTGTGCTTTCAATTCCTCATCTTGTGCAGTGTTCGTTTGGTTGTTTCGTTGTCGTCTTGGAACTCTAGGTTGTCGTGCTCGCCGAGCATTGGTCGTTTGACTGGCAATGCTATCTGCTGTCTGTGAATGCTCATTGGATTCGGATTGCGATGACTCGTTATTGTTATTGTCTTCCGTCGACATTATTGTTGTTCTTCCACTGACCTGCGTGGTGATTAATGGGTGCAAGATAGCTGCAAGATGGCTGCAAAAGATGCGGGTTACTGATCTTATTTGCACCCATGGTGTTTTTCTGGCACGGAATTTTGCCATTTTTTTCCCTTTTGACTGTCCGTTTGTCTGTCCGTTCCTATTCGTCACGTCACGCCTTATTTCCACCAATAAACCAAATCCCTCACAAAATTCAAAATCGAAAGAAAACACAATGGCAACCTTTGGACTCGGACAACCCATTCAGACGCTGCCACCCAATAGCGAAATTGATTCTTCCACACCCTGGATGGCGGCTTCGGAAGGCAATTTACCCCTCCTACAACACTGCATTCAAACCATGGGACTCAATGTCAATGCAGCCGACGAAAACGGTTACACTTTGCTGCACGCGGCCTCCTCCTACAATCAAATGGGGATTATGCAATTCTTGTTGAGCCAAAATGTCAATGTTCACGCGGTCGATAGTGATGGGGATTCTGCCTTGCATCATGCTGGAACCGCTCAGACCACCCAATTCTTGATCCAAGTCGCCAGAACCAATCCTTCGTTGCAGAATGCCGAAGGCAAGACTGCATTGCAAGTCAAAATGGACGAAGTGAATGAAATGATGCAAGACGAAGACATTGAAGATGATGATCAAGATTTGGAGAAAGCCAAGGAAATTGTGACCTACCTGTCCAACCTTTGAAGTTGAAATTGGCAGTGAAAGTCACAGATCATGGTGGTTGGGGCGGCGGGTATTAAGAAGAGTCTCACTGGCAGAATACTGAAGAGGATAGATGACACGACCCAACTGTATCATACGCCAGAATCAAATCAAATGAAATCAAAACATGTGTCTTCTGATTCTAGGCGCAATTCAGAAAGCGTGAAGAGATCCATGGAAATTCAGGAAAGTAGAGTTCTTGGTGTGCCAGCCACTAACAAGAACAAAATCAGATGCACATTGGACTAGGGCATACTCTTTGCTCCTTTGTCATTCTGCTGAATAGACAATTTATAACCAATGGATTCATTTGAATGTATCTTATCATGTAATATGCAATTCTGGTGCCAATAAGCGGAAGGTGTCCGTTGGCTATTTTCATTTGAAACAAACAACTTCGCGGGACTCAGGACTCGGGACTTATCATCGACCATCAACCCATCACCAAACCACATTTTTGGAACGTCATCATCATACCAGTAGAAATGCTTCCTAGTGCTGCCATTATATTACTTTCTCTGACAAGCTTGAACTCATGTGATTCTTTGGGTGGAAGGAAATCGCCTTGTACGCTACACGAGTCTTCCGAACCCAGTATATCTGCTCCAGAGACAAACGAAAAGCAAGGACTAGGAGGTCCTCGATCTGCTTACATGGCGATTGACAGCGATGGAATGTTCGAATCCGAATGTCAGGAAATTGCTTCCAAGCTATCCGTCCCCCTGTCCTCTAAAATAATTGATTCCCCTGATGAAAGGTATACACACGAGCTGAGTCTTGTCCCATATGAATTCCAAGAGGTCTCGACATTTGCGCTTGCCATTGAATCCATCACCGTCGGCTCGGAGGATTCTTCCAAAAACGCGAAACGACGGAAACGACCCAGCAAAAAGCCAAAATCAAATCCCCATTTCATCGACTTTTGTCCACCCAAGAATAGTCGGGCGGGAAAACGGAGCGGCCAAGAGAGTGGGACGGACTTACTGGTAAAGGCAACGATACCAAAGAAATCAATCGGGAGCACTGTCGTCTGGGATTTGACCGCTGGATTTGGACAAGACTCGTTGATACTGGCACTGAATGGTGCCTCAAAGGTCCACATGATAGAAAGAGATCCATTTGTATTTGCCTTGCTGGAGGATGGACTGAGACGGCTACGACAGCTCTCAAAAGTAGGACTTGAGTTTGCTCAGGATCTAGAGCAGAGACTCACACTGGGAGCTGGGGATGGGGTGGATGCTTTGCAACAAGTACTATTGGAGGGCGACAAAGCGATACGACCTGATATATGCTACCTTGATCCAATGTTCCCGCCAAGAACCAAGTCGGCATCTGTAAAGAAACCAATGCAAATTCTACATGGTTTGCTGAACACCCAAGAGGAAGCAAAAGAATCAATTGAAGAGAGACTAGAAGAAGAACGGAAATTATTAGAATATGCTCTAGAAGCTGCAAAGTGTCGCGTAGTTGTAAAGAGACCAGCAAAAGCGCCTCTGTTGGGTGGAGAAAGTGGGGACGGTCGGAAGCCATCCTATGCTGTCGAAGGCTCTGTCAACCGATGGGATGTGTATATCTTAAGCAACAACAATGAATGAATAGTTGCTAATCTCAGTTTGATGCACAAGTGTTCGTTCCATTCATACCGGTATATTAGAAAGTACCCAAAACCAAAACTCCCGAGATGCCAAGTGCAGGCTGTTTCGAAGGAGTCGGAGATTCGCTTCTGGTCGTGCTATTTTGTCAGCTGGCAAGCATTATTTAACGAATTTTCGATGTGCCGACGAAGAAAAGTGACAACACGACAATTGTACAGTACCATCATCAACTACAAACTGACACTCCGTTGAATGAGTCGGGTAAGGGTACTGTAGCAGCAGCAGTACATCTAAACTTGACGAGCTAGATGGTAACAGGAAATATGCTGCCTGATGCTCGAAACGCTAAAGGAGAAGAAGGAATTATGTATCATGGGGCAACGCGGGACCGAGGGGAAAAGAAGAAAGTAGGTTGGAAGAAGACCATAAGCACTTCGGAATCGTCTAATGATGTAGAAGATCGAAGTCCTAACTGGGACAGCGAAACAGGTATGTCGTAGGCACTCGATTTATTGCCAATCCTTCATCACATTATCGCATCTCTAACACCTCAATTCTTTTACGTGCAGGGAATATGCTGTCTTATTTTCTTGGGGACCCCATGTCTGGAGGTGAAAACTATGCTTCGGCAATGGCAGCGCATCAGAATCAAAAGATGGAATATGACATTCCACCAACGCCTGCAACGAGATACTACTACCATCACCCAGATTCAAAGCCAAAGGCTTCATACGGAGAAAGTATGTCATTGAACAATCCTCTCATGAGGATGAAAGTCTCAAATAGTGCTGATAATAGCATCCATGCTGGAGATCAACCAATGGGGGGTGTACTTTCTCCAATTTCACCAACGACAATGTTTGGCCTTGGCCAAGAACCACTTATGTTACCTCCTCCGCCCAACAGCCACAATGAAGCCTACAAAAATCATATTAATTTGCTTCAGATGCACAATGTTGCGAATGAGCAGCAGCGAGTAGAAGAAGCTCAAAATATCTCCAGTATACCGCCACCGCCAAACAGTCAAAACGAAGCTTACAAAAATCATATTGGTTTGTATCAGATGAACTCTGCTGCGAATGCGGGGCAGCGAGTGGCGGAAGCTTCCACACGCGAAGCTCAAATTACCAATATACCTCCACCTCCCGGGATGTCCATGCCACAGCCACTACACTACACTGGTGTACCTTCGATGCAACCAGTCAATCTTCAAACGGTCGTCAACCCCGCCTTGTACAGTCACGCTGCACTAATGCAACAGCACGCATCGTCCGCTGGTGAATCCGAAGAGAAACGTGCCAAGCGGTTGGAACGAAACAGAGAATCGGCACGAAGGTCTCGTAGGAAGAAGAAGGAGCGCTTGTCGTCGTTGGAAGAGAAAGTTTCAAATCTGTACCAGCGAATTGAAACAGAAAGAAGGAATCAGATCAATTGCATGGATGATGCCTTTGAAGATGACCTTAAAGATAGTGTCGCCACCATGAGAACACTTGTCGGCCACACTGCCGAGCAAGACCAAAAAGCAAAGCTGGGGCATTTCCTTCAGTCAACAGGGATGAATTCAAAAGTTCGACGATCGGTCCTTGACTTTCAATATACCACATTGAAGCAAACTATTCTTCCACCTTACCACAAGTTTCTTTTGTGGATGACGCTGCATCCCGATAAGTTTTTTACACATGCACGAGAATCGCATGTCATTCAAGACACCAAAAAGGTTCGTATCTTTTGCACTGACAGCGGTCAATTGGTTTTCTTTTTTTCGTAAGCATCGCTCTAATTAGTTCGTTTGATATGATAGGTTCGACCACCACCAGGAAAGCTCAGTTCAAAGCAAGTTGGAGAGGAATTGGCAAATATTGACAAGGGAAAAACGTGGAGCCAATCAGCTCAGGCTGTTGACAAGACGCGGATGTGGCCATTGTTTTGCTTTGAGTTGAGTGTCAGCGTTGACCAAGAGGAAAAGATGCTGCATACATTGAAAAAGTAAGTTGAATACCACTCGTTCACCCCTTTATTGGATTACAGCCGATGCTCATCTGTCTCTTTTCTTCAGAGTTCGGCAGCTTCAATTTATCAATGAACGCAGGTCACAGATGGAAAGTGCAACGAAAATGGCAACCCATTTAAAGGAGGCAATGATGTACCAGAGTCATGCTGTATCAGTGCGAAGCGCAAAAACTTTAACTGATATTTTGACACCACAGCAGACCTTGAAATACAAAGAATGGATGGGATCAAATAGGGATCGTTGCAAGGCACATTTTGAAAATCGAATGAAGTTGTCCAGATCAGCTTCTTCACAACCATCCGACAAGACATCTTTGTCGGATGTATGCAGAAAGCTCGAGAAGATTGTGATATCACAAGAAATGTCATGTACTGATAATCGACCATTTCCTATTTGAAATTTGCTGCGAGAAAGTCCTCTATCGACATTGAGCGGCGTGTCTATTTATACAATGCACATCTACCTAGGACTACCGATATCAATATCTTTAGCTTTGCCACTTTGAAAATAACTCCCATTTTGACCCCATCAGTCACTCTAACTTCATTTTGGATTCAAGCTCACAATATAATCGTCATTCCATCCCCACTATGACATTCTATGTCCCAACGAATATTTCCCGACCTTTTGTATCTTACGTAGTCTTTGCCCTTGGATCTGCTCCTCCGGGAGGGTCAGTTCTAGGTGGACCTGAGTAGGGTGGATGCTCTTGAGCCGCCATTCGATGCTGAACTCCATAGGGAGGTGGAGGTCCATTATGTGGATTCATTCCCGGTGGTGCACCCCGACCGTGATAGCCTCCCCATTGTGGATGGTATTGTGGTGAAGGCCCTCTACCAGGTATTTGCTGACCGTAATCTGCAACAGGATGTTGGGGATGACTTCCGTGGTAGTAGTGTGGCGGATACCCAGCATATGGCGGATACTGAGCACGAGCAACTGGATATGGCTCCTCCGTTGTAGGCGTCAAAGTCGGCACCATCACCAAAACCTGCAATATGAAACAACCGAGAATCGTGAGAACAAGTCATGCAAAAGAACTCAAACATGGAAATTCAATTAACTCACATTGTCATTCGGTGGGGCGCCGCCTTTCTCTTGAAAGCTCGCAATTATCCGTTTCCGTTCTTCATTTTCACTGTGCAGTCTCCTCATCATGCGCAATGCCCGACCTATCAACTCCAATCGTGTGATGCCTGATGCATCCTCTCCCCCGTCCGACTTCTTGCGCTTCTTCTTAGCATCTGCATCTAGATCCCCACTTTCTGGATCAACCTGAACTATGAAGGCGGCTAATTCATCAAACGCACTTGACAAGTCGCTCCGTCGTTGCTTTTCTCTTTGACGCTTTCGCTCGGAGCGTTTTGTTGCTTGCTGATGGTCTTCGGTCCCATCGTCAGTTGCTCCGTTGCCCTCGTTTTCGAGGGACATTGCGACGACTGAAGATTTTGATTGTGGATGTGGGCTCCTTTGGTTGATGTTATCCACACGCACCCAAGCCAATGCTATCTTTCAAACTTCTCAGTACCGGTACAGTAAGCTAATCAACATAAACATCAACTTGCTAAGGTGTGCACGTGCGCAAAGGAGGGATAATTGAGCACGTGCTCCATTGGCAAGAAAACAGCTGGGGAAAACAACAGAATGCTGCACAGGACCCCTTGGCGACTGTTAAGTAATCTATTTATACCGTTAGTAAAAATCTAAAAATTCTTATTTAGCGTTCCGAAAACACCACGGACCTCGTGCTAGGGACAAGTGATGTCAAACCCCAAAAAACGGGATCAAGAGAAGGCCTCTTATCAATGAGGTTCATCTTGAAATCCTACCGGTCCTGAAAACGAAGGTGCATCACGAAGACCAAAGCGTGCGGAAGTACTATCTTCGATGGGAGTGTATGATAGGATTCGTTTCCCACACAAGCTGCCAGTCACCAAGACATAGGCGGCGATGGCTCCAACGATAGCTCCCAAGAGAATGAGCGAAAAGAACATCATTATCCCCCTTTTGGTATTGACCACAGCAACTGAACTCATATAACCAGCTTTTTGCTTCGCTCCCGAAGTGCAATCAGTCGCACGGGTAGCGAATGGTTGGATAATTTGCATTAATGTCTGAAGGTCACAAAGTTCAAGATCGGCATGACAGCCAGGCACTTGCCCAGTCAAGACCTTTCCATTGTAAATCATTCGAAAGGCGTAGCGAGATTCGAACAGGGTTGTATTCCAAGAGTCAATAAATTCATGGATCTAAAACATGGCGCGCTTTTTGGTCAGCCGTGTCATATATGATAGCAACAAAAGCAATACCAGGAGAACCGCCCTTACCTCGAACAACAGCATACTTGCATAAGGCGCCCACTCAGTATCGTTCCATAGATCTGGGCTAATGGACGCGAGAAGGGGCATGATCGTGGTATCATGACCTGAATACAACGCTAATCTTGGTGGAACGGTTCCGTCTTCGCCAGATGGATTCTTTCCACGCTTGTCACGCCTCAAGAAGAGTTCCCAAATATCTTTCATTTCAGCCCACAATGGACCCATTGCGAGCCTTGAGTGTTCTTTTTAAAATAAAACAAAACAAATGGATGAGCATTAGGATAAAAGTATCCCATTTCTGTCACTCACACCAAACGTACCTGAATTATTGTATTTCATCACCCTGTTGTACTCCTCAATGTCCAAAGCTCCGATCCTCTCAAACCAGCTATCTGGCTTCCCATAATCATTAATCACATCGGGTAGGTCTCGATCATTGCACATGGTAATCATGAGACAGTCCAGTATCTTGTTATCGTCCATTCTACCAAGGGTGTTGTCGAGGAAATAATTGACTTCCAACGATTCCTTCGAGTTATTGAAGGTTTGATACTCGTCTGATTGCCTCGCTCGGTTGGCAATCTCATCAAGCCTTGGACAGACCTTGGCACTTGGCCCCATGATGTCACGTTCTCGATCGGCTATGTGTAGTGGAATCGTAGGGTACTCTCCCGTGTCACGAAAGTACGCCTCTGCTTCGTTTTCCAGCAGACCTCTCAACAACACTTGCCCCGACATGATTGTGCGCTGATCCGCATCCGCTCGAAATCGCAAATGGTTCGGATCCCATGCAGAAAACTCGTGGAACGAAAGTTCAATTAGTCTCATTCTCTCATCATGATCCATAGTGTCGTATGTGTAGGTGTACGCATCTCGGAGAATCGCCCCATTCTTCAACTCCTGTTCGTATCCCTTTAGAAGTAGTTGTCCAACCTGACAAGTCCCATTGAGCTCGTTGCTCAGTCCGTCCTTCAAGTATGGCAAGGCATCGTAAAACTTTTCAAACAAGAAAAAGGAATTGTCCAGTCCTTTCGAATCATCGCCAAGCCCTTCTTCCTCACCAATAGTTAAGGAACTTGGTGGTGTCATGATCGTCGTCAGTTTGCAATTCCATTCTGTGTCAGTGATATCAACAGGAAATTTCTGTGATGAGCACCATGACAAAAAAGGCGAGAGATGAGTATACACTATAACAATCCTTGACACTAATAGTAGATGATCCAACAACCGAGACGAAAAACTTACAGGAAAACAATTTTCATTGCTGGACCAAGGCGTCCTCGCCCCATGACGAATGATGGCGCTCACATGCTGAATTCTGGTTTCCCCATACACACTTCGACTGACTTCTGGCAAGGGAGGTACTGCCCGGGTTTCCATTTCTTTGGGAATCGAGCAATAGGGAGGATAGTGTTCGTATTTCTTGTACCAATTTTCGGGTCTCTGATTGTCATCGTTGGCGGCCAAAACAAAGGAGTCGCAATGCCATTGGACTACTGTTCCCCACAACACAAAGTATTGCAGAGTCTTCAACCCCCCACTATATCTCGTTTGTCCCATCGCCACCGCCTTGATTTGGATTTGTTTGTTTCCGATGTCTCTTTTGGAGTCCCGAGATAGCGTCAGTCGTGGCGCACCCACCAAAAAGACTGCTGAACACGATTGCTTCGATCCTCCTCCTCCAACAAAATAACCTTGCGGAATGTTGTCTCGATTCTTCTCAATGAATTCAGTGTCCGATACAGCACTGCAAAAGGGAAGAATAAGGTGGAAGATGGCAGCATACCAGTTCTTGACTCTGATCTTGCTGATACAAGGGTCTTTGGCATCAGAGAATATGGACGATCATCAGCGTTCTTGGTATCAAAGATACGCCGATTATCCACCATATTGCTCGACACCAGAACAGATGACCCAACGTTATATTCCAAAACTTTACATTCCCAATGGTACTAATTTCGGGGTTACCAGGCTTTCCCATGTGACTACGGTCCTGAATCACGGAGCTAGAACGACACTAGGTCCGGAAACAAATGGTCGGTGTTGGGACGGATACTGGGAGGATGAGGACACGGGAGTGTGGAATTGCGACATTAGAACTTATCTATCACCTCCTAGTGAGAAAAGGATCGAGGAAGAAGAGGACGAAGTTGCTCGTGGAGGAATACCTGTTTCCCGTGGAGGAACACCCATGTTTTTGTTCGATCTTGTATTCGATGCCTTGAAGCCACCGTTGTCGAACACACTGAATGGGACTTGTCAAGAGGGACAACTGCTCTTGCGAGGGTATGATCAGCAACTAGAAAATGGGAAAATACTGCGAAGTGCTTATTTGTTCGACCCTAAATCGGAGGAATCAGGCAGATCTGATTCAAATCCTCATGAAACAATGACATTGTTTTCTCTTGAGGGACATGCTGACGGTGAAACTGTGTCACCGCCATGGGACCCGCATTACCTTTATGTACGCTCTGGTGATAGCCAAGCGACCATGATGTCAGGCCAGATTCTCATGCGAGGATTGTTCGAACATGAGCTGGAAGATCATGGCGAAAGAGAAGAGTTTGGATTGGGGTCATTCCCTTCAATCCGAGTCCACACTGCAGACAACACGATGGATATTCTTGGGGGCTTTCAAAAGAATTGTCCGAAGCTCGATGGATTAAGACGAGAGAGTTTCTCTGCCAAGGAGTATAAGGAATTCTACGACAGCATAGAGTCACAGCAGGTTCGAGCTTTCATGGCTGACCAACTGAGTTACGGTCATGGCTTGTTCGATTGTATGATGACTACCATTTGCACGGATCGAAAACTTCCAGAACAGTTCGGAGACTACGAAGTGGATAAGAACACTTGGTTCAACCGGATTGCTACCTACGTAAGAATGTCGCGTTGACGTCGAATGACCCTGGTCGCTTCTTGTCGCTGATACCTTTTTATGTTCCGTTATGCAGCACACAAGAAATCATACGTTCCCTCTTCGTTACAATGACGCTCAATTTTCCAAGCTAAGCATTGGGCCATTGTGGGCGGAAATTTTGGACCATATTGAGCCATCGATCGCTGGTAAAAATGCAACAAGAAGTGGAAGGCACCCACCGGCAAAGCTTGCGATTTATTCAGGATATGACAGGTAAATCCAAAAATGTATCCCAAAAGAGTAATTTTGTTTGTGATGCTTATGTCGACCTTTGTTCAAACTTTCAATGCAGTACAATTATGGAACTTCTGGCTTCGCTAGGAGAAAACGTGTGGGACGGATTAGTGTGGCCCCCATACGCAAGTATGCTGATAGTGGAGGTAAGCAACATTGTCTTTCCGTTTTTCATTCAGACTACGATTCGAACTGGATTCTTACGGCCATCTTTAGATCCACGAGTTGCTTGATGAAAATCGCAATAAAACGTTGGTTGAAAGCAACTCAGCATTTCGATTGATCTATAATGGGGATGTGTTGACTGATAGGGTACCTGGGTGTCAATTGGACTTGGAGCTCTGTGATATCAAGTTTCTCATGGAGCGAGTGGACCCAATCGCAGTGCGAAAAGTAGACTGTGACGACCCGACCGTACGCTCTGCCAACACTGTACGGATCGAGAAATCGGTCCTATCAACGACATGGGGCATACTATCTGCCATTCTAGCGATAGCCACAGGAGCGTTCGCTGGGGCAACGATTGTCATTTACAAACTAACAGGAAGTCTACCAGACAAACTGAAGAAGAATAAAAATTTCCGATCCAGGAACGCATTTCAACATTCAGGAGTGTCGCACCAGATTGCGATGGAAGGTCCTGCCGATGCCAGCCCTGCATTCATGGATCCTCACGACGACCCAGGCCTAACCTAAAACCTAAGTTTTATTCCGTTTCCGGGTTACATTCATGGTACATAAATGTAGTAGGATTCACCCTGTAGCTTTGTTTTGGCAGGCTTCATGATGGGTTGCCTCATCATTTGTTGGCGCATGATAACATGTGGCAATCACGAGATGTAGCTCGAGAGGTGCCCTCAGATGTGGAATCATCTTTCAGTGTGTCTTCAACGTTTCGACACACCGGAAACTATAATCCACCTCAACATCCCCATCCCAGACATGCCAAAGATGCGGAGCACAAACCTAAGACACACGGGTTATTCGGCGTCATGGTCGTTGGATTAGGTGGTGCTAATGGGACAACAATGCTGGGTAGGTAGAAATGAAAATTTGGTAGTTTGGTATGTTTCAGTGAATCATCAACATCTAACTCGTCTCGTCTGCATTTTATTGCCCATAGCTGGGATATTGGCAAATCGATTGAAGATTGATTGGAGGGGACCAAGAGGAGAGCCAATGGGCCCGAATTACAACGGATGTATCACACAACTCGACCAACGTGGTGTCCATGGTGGTGTTGGATACAGAGACCTTGTCACTGGATTGGCGGATGCGTCGATGGCTGCCGTAGGAGGGTGGGATATCCGACCTACAAAACCGGGCGATGCTCTCTTGGAAGCACAGATTTTGGACTATGATTTGGTCAGACAAGTGAGAGATGAAATGAACGAAGTTAAAATGTTTAGAGGTCTCTTTGATCCTCGCTTCATTGGAACATCCCAACATAACACGGCAAACTACATTTTGACAGAACAAGAAGCGAGAAGCGATAGCGATGCGTTAAAATGCTTAAGAGCTGATATCCGTTACTTCAAATGGAAGAATGGGGTAGTTGGTCACACAACAGTCATTTGGAGTGCTTCTGTCGAACCGAATTCAGAGGTAGTTGAGAGCATCCAAACTGCAGAGGAATTGATGATGTGCATTGATATGACAGAAGAAGAGCGAGGCGGTCCACTTCCACCTTCTATCTTGTATGCCACGGCAGCAGTGTTGGAAGGGTGCTCATTTGTGAATGGGGGCAGTCAAAATACTCTTGCTTGCCCTGGTTTAGCAGAACTCGCTCAACAACAACTTGGTGTGTACTGTCTCGGCACCGACTTCAAAGCTGGTCAAACAAAATTCAAAACTGCAGCAGTCGAGTACATTCGAACAATGGGATTGGAACCAAGGGTTATTGCATCATCAAATCATTTGGGTAATAACGATATGCGAAATTTGGCGTCTGCAAAAGCAGCGAGTACCGCAAAGCTTAAGGTAAAGCATGATATCTTCGCGCCTTGGGAAGAAGAAGACTTGGACCACAAGGTCAGCATCATGTTCACTCCGTTTATCAACGACGAAAAGAGAGATTTTGTTGAGTACACTAGTTTGGGTTTCCTGGGACAGCCGCATACTATGGTGACATACACAAGGGCATCAGATTCCGTTCTTTGTGTGCCCTTGATGATTGACGCAGCTGTCTGGTGTGATTTTTTCTCTGCTCGTTCATGGTCTTTCGAACGAGTTGCCAAGGCTTTGGCCTACCTGTTCAAGGTTCCTGAAGGAGCCGCGAATGGTGTCGACCCTGGTTTCTTCAGACAAATGGATGTGCTGAGATCTGAAGTATTAGCAGCGCATGAATCGAAAAAGAAAAGTAAACGACGAGTTCGCATCATTGACGAAGAAAAGGCTACAGAATGGGCAATTCCTCATGATGCGAGAGTAATATGTGCTGGTCTAGCTTGCGTCGACATGCAACTTAACAACTCAACAGGTGGTGATGGCGGCGAAGCGATCGAGACTTTTGAAGGGGAAAAGAGTATCGGTGGAGGAAGGTGGGTCACACTGCTACGATCAATATATTGTTCACCATATCTCACTCATTAGGATATTTCATACATAGCGTTTCAATGGCTTGTAAAACTCTTGGTCGCCTATGCCATGGGGAGCCAATGGACAGTGGTCATATGCAAACAAGCCCACCAGTTGTCACTTCAGTCTTACCACTATGTATGATCGGGAACGACGACACCGGCAACAAGCTGCTTGCGCTCTTAGAGAAATGTGGAGCGACATGCCGAAATGTCGACACGAGAGTTTCCCGAACCATCCGCTCGGACAGATCAGACATCCGTACAGCCCTTTCTGTTTTGCCTATTTACAGGGATGGACGTCGAGGGGTGAGTCTCCTTTCAGTTCATTGCAGTGCATATCATTTATTTTCAGATCTCCAGAAGCTAACAATTTGTATCTTTCAAGTGCTTTTTCGACGCAGCGAGCAACGACACGTTCACACCGGATCAATTAATCAAAATGTTGTCGCAGCTCTCGACAGGCACGAATGTGCGGACTCTCCAAGACACCACTCCTGTCTATGGAGCGCTTTTATTTGGATACCCACACTTGCTCCCCCTTCTTCAAGGAGAAGCCCTTGCTCGGGTATTTTATTCGTCTAGAAAAGTGATGATGGAAGGTGGAATTGTGGCCCTCGACTTAAACGGTGTTCCAGAAGCTCCTTTTGTCAGAGCAGGATCATTGCGCGATGTCGAAGATCTTCGAAATGATGCAGTAATAGGTGCTGCACTTCAGCATGTCGATATTCTTCACATGAATGAAGAAGAGTTGGAAATGTTGACTGGTTGTGAGCTCTCAAATACAGCCGATTTGGCACAGGATGATGAATTTGCTATTGCGAAAGCAACCGACCTTTTCTTGAAATGCGGCGTTGCTGTTGTAGCAGTAACAAGAGGAAAGAAGGGTAGCTACGTTGCCTGCAACAACGGGACAAGATTCCAGGAAAGTCCATTGCTGTAAGTATTCATTTGATTCTCTGTGGTGTCATGTTATGCTAGAGATGCATTCTCACGATTTCCCACTGCCCAAACCAGTCCAACATCATGGGTGAACTGTGCGGCCCACATTCCTGCAGCTCTATTGCCTCCAGGCACTGTGCTGAATACCAATGGAGCAGGCGATTCTTTTGTGTCAGGACTACTAGTCGCAACCATGCTTCGACATACAGGAATGGATCTACCACCAACTCCAACCAAAAAGGAAGAGGTCAGTAGAGTCACGGAGGAACTTATTACCCCTCCAAGGACTACACCCCCTGGTAAAAAGGCAACTCCGTACAGCCTCTACATTAGAGAGAACTATATGTCTCTGAAGCAACAATACCACGATGACAAAAAGGCCATCTTCGAGAGATGCCATCAAATGTGGGAACATGAAACGCCCGATGTGAAGTACATGTTTGAACGTATGGCTCGAGAGGAGAATGAAGAACCCTCGGCAAATGTAAATGCTCTGGATATGATGAGTGATGTCGGTACTATGCCACCCCAGATGGGCGATTCCCAGAACGATACAATCGCACGTCATTATTCGACTGACGAATCCCTCAGCCTCGAATCAGCAGTCACTCTTGCGAGTCTAGTTGCTGCGCACCATGTGGATATGAGTACAAGGGACCTTCCACAGCTCGATATACACAAATTGATTGAAAAGGCATCTGTTTTTTCTCATCCAGGCCGAGGGATGAGCGAAATCTAGGTGAATCTATTCTGATGACGCTTTCAAAGCGACAGCTGTTCGTTTCTTTGAATTCTGACTTGAGAAGTGGTATTTTCTAAACGAATAAAATCCTTCTCTTGTACTACTCCTAGTTTTGGGCATGTGTTCGGGTCGTTTCGAAGGGCACGTTGCTGGAAAACGCGAGAGAAGAGGGTGAGAAAGAGATTTTACTACGGTAGGTATTACGAGAGTCTAGTGTTTGGCGTTCGGATGCGGGGGTATTTGTGAGCGAGGTATACTTCCGGCAGGCCGTTGACACACATCAACAACGGGTTCTTATAATTTTTGCGTAGGTAGATTTTATGGGGTGGTGGTACGTAATCCACAACGAATCCGAACACTACGACATCAACAATCGAATGAATGCGAATCGTCGCATCTCAAACTGAAGAGCCTTACTCCGACGAAGGTTGCAAATCCAAGCACATTTCACCTTGAATAACACAAAACGTTGCACAATCACAATGGCAACAAAAGGTGAAGTACAACGAAAGACTTCTAACGTCGAAAAGGGGAAGTGTGTGGATGGTACGGGACGCGACGGAAGCCGCCAATGGGTCTGTTGACGTCATTTTGTAGAATCACCACTGACGTTTTGTATTCTGTCATCATCGCGTATCATTATCAAAGGTAACTGGGCTGCGGCACATGTATCCTACCGCACCAATGATTCCGCATTCATCTTCCCTATTACCCCAAGCTCTCCAATGGGAGAAGAGGTGGATGCTTGGGCTGAACAACATAAAAAGAACTTGTGGGGACAGGAATTGAAAGTCGTCGAGATGCAGGTAAATTTTTGCACGACTGCTGTCGTTCATTATGCATGTTAAAAGGATTCTAACCTATTTTGTTATTTTTGCTGTAGAGTGAAGGTGGAGCTGCAGGTGCTCTACATGGCGCCTTGGTCTCTGGCGCTTTGGCAACTACCTATACGGCCAGTCAAGGATTACTTTTATTTATTCCGAATATGTACAAGATCGCTGGTGAGCTGCTGCCTACAGTAATACACGTGGCCTCTCGTGCTCTTGCTGGGCAGGGTCTATCAATCTATGGTGATCATAGTGATACCATGTTGGTGCGCGGTTGTGGTTGGTCGATGATGAGTTCCTTCTCGGTCCAAGATGCCCACGACATGGCTGCAATTTGCCAAGTCGCTACTCTGAACTCTCGAGTGCCATTTCTGGTAAGTTCTACATTCGTAGAAGAAATGTTGAGTGCTTACCATTGGCATCTATCTAATCTAATCCAATCCATTATTTCTTTTTTTCAGCACTTTTTTGATGGCTTCAGAACAAGTCATGAGGTCAACAAGATTCAGCTGATTTCTGACGAGCAACTTTTGGAATTGATGCCGTTTGACAAGATTGAGGAGCATCGTCAGCGCGCTCTATCTCCGATGCACCCAAGGTTAGTAGCATACTTCGGCACGTTTTTTCAACCTGTTGGGTCTCACCGTTTTCTTCACAAACCACAGTCAAAGGGGAACAGCACAAGCACCCGATGTATTCATGCAAATGGTGGAAAGCAGTAATCAGTACTACGCTGATGTTGAGGGTCACATTGTGAAAGCAATGGGTGATTTTCACCGTGTAACGGGTCGAAAGTACGAACCAATCGAGTACCGATACTATGGTACAACTGCACCAAGAGTCGCTCTGATTTGCATGGGTTCTGGTGTAGCTGTTATTGACAGTACCTTGAAGCACCTGAAGAGCGAATCTGCTTGCTTGATTGGCATTCGAATGTTCCGTCCTTGGAACAGAAAACGATTCTGCGATTTGATACCCAAGTCGGTCACGAGACTTGCTATTCTTGATCGTACTCGAGAGGGTGGTGCGCAGGGTGAGCCCTTGTATCTCGATGTTTGCACCTCCTTGATGCAAGAGGGCAGAGGCAGCATCTTTGTAGCAGGAGGACGATACGGATTAGGATCAAAGGACTTCACTCCGCGAATGGTTTCCTCCATCATCCAGAACATGTTGCGCAAGGATACCAATGACGTCCAGCGACCATTCACAGTTGGAATCACTGATGATGTGACAAATTTATCACTTCCTCTCGGAAGATCATTGAATGTGCTTGATCCGAGTGTCACTCAATGTGTGTTCTGGGGATTTGGCAGGTACGTTGCCCTTTTCTCCAACTCGATTCGTTTTCGTATTACCTCAACTCCATTTTCCTTTCAGTGATGGAACTGTCGGTGCAAACAAGGAGGCTGTCAAAATGATTGGAAACTATCATGAGGATATGGAAGTCCAAGCATACTTTGAATACGATTCCAAAAAAAGTAGTGGATGGACCACTTCCCACCTTCGTTTCTCTTCCGATGTTTCCATTCAAGCTCCATGGCGAGTTGAGGAAAATGCTGCGGACTATGTCGCCTGCCATAATGAGTCCTATGTCCAAGCGAACAAGTTCGATGTTATCAAGTATCTCAAACGAAGAGGTAATTTTTTCCTCAACACGACAGCCGCTGCAATTGATGATCCAGAGAAGAGACTTGAAGCACTGGAGCATCTGGTATCACCCAAGATCCTTCGCAACATTGCGATGAGGAACATCAGTGTAAGTGGACAATCGGTATTATTTTGGAGCTTGATGACTTTTGTTTGCGAGTGAGGTCTTACTGTCCATTTCATTTCAGCTCTACATTATGGATGCAGTTGGACTTTCAAGAAAGTTTGGTTTGGCTGGACGTATCAACATGATCTGCCAGGTCGTGTTTTTCCGACTCTCGAATGTGATTCCTCTGGATGATGCTGTTGCTCTCTTGAAGGCAACCATTGTCAAGGCCTACTCTCATAAAGGAGACGATATCGTGAAGAAGAATATCGACCTATTGGATGCGGTTGTCTCTGATCCAAATACCTTGATTAAGGTTGAAGTTCCAGCCAGATGGAAGAAACTTCATGAGCACAATGACAAGCCATACGAAGATCGTCACAATAGGCTTCTTGATGATGAAAAGGTGCGCAAGTTCATGGCTGAGATCGTTGACCCTGTGTCTCGCCTTGAAGGAGACGACATCCCAGTGTCCAAGTTCCTCGAAAACCATCTTCTTGGTGGTGTCATGATTCCTGGTACAACCAAGTTCGAGAAACGAAACCCCAATCCAAGTGGCAAAATCCCGAAGTGGAACTTCGATGATTGTACTCAGTGCAATGCTTGTATCTTCATATGTCCTCACGCGGCAATTAGGCCGTTCGTCGTGACAAAAGACGAGGCTTTGAACGCGCCCTTCCCCAAAGAGTTCGACACAATTAAGGCAACTGGCGCTGAGTTTGGTGGAAAGAAGTATGCGATTCGGGTGTCGCCATTGGATTGCACAGGCTGCAATGCTTGCGTGGAAGCTTGTCCCGAAACTCCCAAGGCACTTGAGATGCAAAGCATTGAGACCAACAAAGAAGCAAACGAAAAGAACTGGGAGTACGCTTATGACTTGCCCGAACGTGGAGACCTAATTGACAAGAAGACCGTCCGGGGATCTCAATTCCAGACACCATTAATGGAGTTCTCTGGAGCTTGCTCTGGTTGCGGTGAGACGCCTTACTTCAAACTTCTCACTCAGATGTTCGGAGAACGCATGGTCATTGCAAACGCTACTGGTTGTAGTACAATTTGGGGAGGTTCTTTCCCTTCGAATCCATACACAGTCTCGAAAAAAACAGGCCGTGGCCCAGGTAAGGAATATGACATTCCAAAGAAAGATACAATGGCTGCCATTACTAACTTATTTGCCTACGTTCATAGCATGGGCAAATTCATTGTTTGAGGACAATGCAGAATATGGACTTGGAATGTTCGTTGCCATGCGTCACCGTCGAGAAAGATTGATAACCCTAGTCGAAGATTACGTACACAGGATGGAGTTGAAGGATGCTTCTCAGAAGACCGAAACTGAATCGAAACTCGTCCATTACCTCATGGATTGGCTCGAAATCAAGAACGACAAGTCCGATAAGTGCACACATCTATTTGACAAAATGAAACCACTCTTCGAGAAAATCATGGGAGAAGACAGCACCACTGGTGTTGCAATTCCACTTATCAATAGGATTTGGTCAGACCGCGACATGTTCCCGAAGCTTTCGCAATGGATTGTTGGAGGAGATGGTTGGGCGTATGATATTGGCTTTGGTGGCCTTGATCATGTCGAAGCATTTGAATCCAACGATGTCAACGTCTTGGTCGTCGATACGGAGATGTACAGCAACACTGGTGGCCAGTGTTCGAAAGCAACTCCTGCTGGTGCCTCTGCGAAGTTCGCTGTCGGAGGAAAGCAACAACGAAAGAAGAGCATCGGAGAGATCTTCATGACTTACGAACATGTGTATGTTGCAAGTGTCTCCCTGGCGAATCAAGCACAAGTACTCCAGGCCTTTATTGAGGCAGATAAACACGATGGTCCATCATTCATTGTCGCCTATAGCCCTTGTGTCCAACAAGGTATCCGCCCGCGTGGACTCGACGATATGGTTGAAGAATCAAGATTTGCAGTCGATTCGGGATATTGGCCACTCTATCGCTACAATCCCGAAATGATATTGGAAAGCAAGAATCCATTCATTTTGGACAGCAAGAAGCTTCGTAAGGACGTTACGTCATTCCTACAACGCGAGAGTCGATTCATCAACTTGAGGAAGAAGCATCCAGAAGTTGCAGAAGGATTGATCATGAAAATGAATAGTGATGTGCACAATCGTATGGACCACTTAAACCAACTTGCATCTGGATACAAGGCTTTTGATCACGAAGACGATGCTTCTGTGAAGGTGCTCTTTGCATCAGAAACAGGTACCGCTGCTCGCTTGGCAAGAGACTTTGCGGATGCCTGTGTCTTGTCACACGTCGCAGATGCCATGGATGATGTCGACGTTGATGACATCGATGGTGGCACAACGGTCTTCTTCATCGCAACTTGCGGACAAGGAGCCATGCCACAGAATGCAAAAGCATTCTACAAGCAGCTCTGCGCCCGAACCGACAAGTTCAAGGAGGGTACACAGTTTATGGTGATGGGGCTTGGAGACTCGTCATACTACTTCTTCTGTGAATCTGCCAAGCTTGTTGAAAAGAAAATGATCGAGCTTGGGGCAAATAAGATTGTTGATCTCGGTCTTGGAGATGATTTTGCTGAGGAAGGCCTCGAAGGAGGACTTCACGATTGGTTGGATGATGTTTGGCCCGCTCTTGATGTGCCACCACCGGCCGAAGTTCCTCATATTACTCCTGTCAAGGTTGAATACAGTCCAAAGGCCATCATCAAGCCATCGGACGAAGAACGTGTTCTTCACATGTACTACCAATCCGATGACATCCATGCCAAGAGTATTCCAATTCTAAGTAATGAAAAGATGTGCGGTGAAGACTACGACCGTGATTTCCGCACTATTCGTTTGAACACGGGAGAAGAAATGCCATATGAACTTGGAGATGCGTTGGAGATCTTCCCACACAACGATCAAGACAAGGTTGCCGAGTTCCTGCATGAGTATACCCATGACTTTGATGAGCGGACTGTTGTCAAGATCCATGATTTCGGTATTGAAGGCGAGGTTTCACTTGGTACCCTCTTCACATATGTCCTTGATCTCTTTGGCAAGCCATCCAAGCACTTTATGCAACAGCTTGCAACCTTTGAAACAGATGAGGAAGAGAAGAAGACCATGCTCGATATTGGATTCTTGGTCAAGGCAGGAAAAGAGGCAGGGCTCACAATGGCAGATGCGTTGATTCGCTTCAAGAAGGCTCATCCTCCACTCCCTGTTCTCTTGGCCATCATTCCAACCATCAAACCTCGCGCCTATTCCATCGCGAGTGCTCCGTCGACTTCCAAGAACATCACAGAGTTGTTGGTATTGATTGATAGTTGGTGGTGTGAAGCAGGAACGCGATACGGTTTGACATGCGACATGCTTCGCCAGAAACTTTGTGGCGATCATTTGTGGTGCCGCATGAAGGCTGGAAGCATGGATCCTCCTGAACCGGGGCAACCCGTCCTCTGTGCTGGAATCGGCAGTGGATTGGCTCCCCACATGGCCTTTCTTCGCGACAAAGTTCGTGCTGTCCAAAATGGAGAGAAGGTCGGCAAGTTCTCTTTGTACTTTGGAAACCGCAAGAAGGCACACGAGTATCTTTATCAGGCCGAGCTTGAGGGCTATGAGAAGAAGTACGATTGGTTCACCCTACATGCCGCTTTCAGCCGGGATGACCCCAAGAAGAAGGTCTATGTTCAAGACTTGGTAGGCAAGACCGATGATGCCCGTCTCTTGCTTCACGACACCCCGGATGGTATGATGTATGTCTGCGGAAATCGAAACTTGCCCAAGCCATTGCAGAAGGCGTTGGTCCAAAGCTTCTCCAAATGGAGTGAAGATCCAAAGGAAATTGAGAAGGCTAACAACGCCATGGAACAAATGTACGTCAAGAACCGCATTCAACAAGAGGTATGGTAGTGTATTTGCACAATTCCATTATGGAAGTACCCACGGTAGAAAAATATTTATATAAAAATCACACATGTTATTGAACGGTGTGCCATCTGAATTCTTTGGCGTAAAGGTTATTGAGATTCTTGTCGTAGCTGTCATCCTCGCCATGTCACCATGTGTCTCCTGCTGGCAATTTGGTGATAGTCTTGTAAACTACTGTACCTGATATGATAGTTGTGGACAAAATCAAATAGTCGCGTGGGTCGAGTTGCACGACTGGCGGATGCAATGCACATGTAAACTATCGATGTTTTTTTATAATTGTCGAGAAATAAGACTCGGAACACAAAAAGAAATCTTCATTGCATTTGCGGAGATTCTGAGTTTAGGAGTTGTTTGACCATGGACAAGCACGAAGAAAGAGACGAGAAACGCAGGCATAGACTGTCGCTTCTTGGAATTCAATCAGATCGATCCGACGACTCATCAGATGACGGTAGAACAGATCCCATCAACAATCAAAATGTGGCTACCTCGGCATCACTTCCACCAGCATCACAGGCTAGCACTAGCCAACGAATGGAGAAGCAGGCTAGCCGCCCTTCCATGTTTTCAATGAGAAGTCCATTTCTAGTTGGCGGGGAATTGAAATCCCGGGTATCAAATGTTGCTCGAATGCCATCAAGGCGATCCATAATGAGTGACGTTGAGAGTGGCGGTATCTTGCGGGAGAAGCAACCGCCACCTTCACCTCGACCGAGAAATAGCGTCGTTGGCAGTCTACAACGGAATGAGAGTCAAATGACTATTCCTGGGGCGTTTCGGGTGCATGCAAATGGAATAATTGACGATGATCCAACAGTTTCCAGTTTGAACACGAAGGAAACTGGCCCATTTGTCATTGACCATGCTTCATTGATTGAAAATCCAGATCTGCGCGCCCATCTTGCTAGTGGAGGAGCTATACCAACCGATCACCCATTGACAAATGGTGCAACTGGAGGACCGGCTCCAGATCATGGAGCCTATCCAATGCCAAGCTACTCACTCAACCGAAACAGGACGCCAACGGCCATGCCTTCGCTTACCTCGTCTGCACCGATTGGAATTGGTGAACCAGTATCAACTCGTCGCAACCAAGATGGTTTTAGCATGAATCGTCGACAAATTCGGCTCATGTTCTTAATGTTAGCTGTGGCAGTTGGAGCATTGATCACTGGTGTAGCTGTTGCAATCGACGGCAGATCCGAACCAGAAGAGTTGCCGGTGAATTCTGCAGTGGAGACCTCTCCTTCGAATGAGCAACCTTTGGATTGGAATGATGATGGCATTTCTCTTGGCTTCTCAAACGACTCGAAGGATGTTATGGACAAGTATATCAATGAAGATGTATTCCCTACTCTGTCACCTACAGTTTTGATTAAGGATTCACGTGCGTCAGTACCGACTGCAGCTCCAAGTGCCGCAATCACGTCCAAACCCACAATCGAAGAGTCCAGTTCGCCATCGCAATCACCATCCACTCCGTATCCAACTCCGCTTCCAACAACACCAAATCCAACTGAACCGTTGGCTACACCCGAGCCATCGAGTACTCCGACAGGACAAAGGCCATCTTCTTCGCCTTCAAATTCTTTCCCTTCTCTATCGCCAACCTTGATTTCATCATCTACTCCTTCTATATCCACCACTACTGGCATGCCGACGACTCGGATTTCATCAAAATGGCCATCACAAGTGCCAACACAGTCGCCATCACAATTTCCATCCACAGTCGTCACAACAGTGAAGCTAACCACGTCGTCACCAACCATAGCCCCATCCGAAACAATTTTCGAAATGGAGCGGACAACTGGTCAGAATGTCACCAACATGACAGAAAGTGATAATGGAGATATTGGCGAAAACTCGACCAACACAACAGGAAGTGACAACGGAGATGCTGCCGACCACCAGAATAGCACAAGCACCACAGGAGAGGGTGACGCGACAATGAATGAGCATAATGTCACCCAAGACTACTGGAGAGATCAAGTCAGCGTGGCGACTGCTGGCGATGTCACTCCCATCAACTGGTCTGAATGATTCATTCCAACGCAATTAGAGAAGGTAGCTTCGTGGAGGGCTGGATTGACAATGGCTGACGCATTAGACACCACAGACTTCGTTTGTTATTTTTATGGGTAATATGACAGAGTCTGGATTCTGTGGTACACATAGACTATACATATATTAGCATTTCTATTGATTCTTTTTATAAGTTACCATACTACTCTACACCATTGCTTGGTTGACCGAGGCCAACAATTTAGTCTTCTTTGTTTACCTCGTCGTCTTCCACCCCTCGAGATGGTCCGATAAATTTGCCTTCTTCGTCAAACATGTCTGGTGTGACCATTCGACGGTTTGCGGCATCTGATACAAATGGAATTTGATCAGGAGTCTTGCCAAGCAAGGATGTGGCAGAAGCATAGGCAATGGTCGCCAGGGTGCTCAATACCACCGCATCACTCAAGTATTCCGTCACAACTCCAGTTGCGGGCAGACCAAGACCAGATCCCACTGCGCCCAATAGGGCTGCCATCAATCCAGGAACGAACAATGCAAAATCCAAATAAATAGCTTGTTGCATGTTGAAGCGCACCAGGCGGTTAAAAGATAGGTTGCTCGAAAGGGTGGAGAGTGCGAAAAAGGCCAAAAGTCCAGACAAAGGAATGCTTCTGTACAATGTAAAGACCACGGCAGCGACTTGCGCGAAGACATTGTCTGGGTGACTAGTGACCCAGGGCCCTGCATACTGTAGAGAATCAAGCAGGGGAAAGAGGTAGGGAAGCACGGATACAACCTTGTCCGAAGTAGTCGGTTCACCGTCGTTGATTAGAGCCATGCGCATCTCTTGAATTTCTTTCTCGCTCTCCTTTTTCTTGGCCATCTTGGCTTCTTCCAAGGCGACTACCTTTTCTTCTCGTACAATGAAATCGAGTTGATTCTTGAGTCTGTCAACTGAAGCAAACTCTTCCATTTGCAGGACCCCATCACCATTGGCATCAAACCTTTGCAACAGCTTTTCGATACGGTTTTGAGGAATCTCGTTTTTTGTGGCCTTTTCAAGTCCCACCTTGAGCTCGTCTACGCTGACGGTACCATCGTGGTTGAGATCGAATTTGGCAAATGCCTTCATGGCAGCATCGGATACTTTGTGTGCTTGTTCAGCAGCCAGCGCAGCCGCTTCTTCTCTGAGCTGCTGTGCCATGGTGCGAAGACGCTGCACTTCATCTGCTTCACTGCTGTTACTTTGAGTTGGATCAGGAAGGGCAGAATCAGAAGTGGCAAGTAGGACTGATGCTGATGATGGCATGGCAGACGCAGGTCTTTCAACAGCAAGTCTTTGTGTTCTGAATGTTCCGCTTGATGGAGCAAAGGCCTGCGAAGACGACGCTAGGAGAAGGAAGGAAAGCGCGGATGTTTGCATTGAGATCTTCATGTTTTATGCTTGTGTGTGTTTTCTTGTTTTCGTGAATTGAAAGTTATGAGAATTATACTGTATGAATGTTGCAAGAATCCATAGATGTTGAATCATCCTGGATGTGGTGGTGTCAAGTGTCAGACATGAGTCACGTTGCCTATTGAGTAGACAAGTGGAAGTGTTTCGAAGGGCCACGATTGAAAATTGTCATCACAGAACTCTTTTCTGCGTTGTTCTGCGGAAACTTGGCCCCCATGTGGTCAGTTGTTGTTGCGACGCACCACAATCAATCATCGTTGAAAGGTGGAATGAGTGAGTGAGTCAGTCGTGCAGTCGTGGAGTCGCGCGTTCGTGCGGACGACTAAAAATAGAATGAAGAACAGGGACTACAGTACACGTGTAGGGTAGAATCCTGGTGCCGGTACCACCACTCTATTATTACCTTTTTATATATTGAACTGCGCATATGAATATCATTCGATCAGAATCTGTAACAGATTATGATTTGATTTCCTAGGACAAAATAGTTGCCTGTTTCATGTCTCTCTATAAGCTTATTGCCATGGATGGCGATCGGATGGTGATTCCCCACAGTAAAAAGCGCCAGGTGGCTGCTTTTGTTCAGCTCAGTTCGGAGCATACGATTTCACGTCGTTCAAAAGACACCGACAAAGCCATTTATCACTAGATCGTTAGTAGCCTCCGCTCTGTGCAGTATCGCATGGTTTTCGGGCCTTCCACCTGCTCCGCGCTGTGTCGTCCATTTTATGCGAAAAAATCTCCTGCTAGGGCAATAGATGCCCGACCTTGCTTCATCCTATTATCGGTGTTTGAAACTCTGGACGATTTGAAGTCGCTGATGCTAATTCCAACTGGTCTGTTGCCAGACACATCCTCCCCTCCGGAGGGTCGTATCGATGCACCAAAGATTGTACGACGAATGGCCCACCATCGAGTCTCTTGACTATAATGTCTTCGAATAGTGGCATACTTTGGACTTAGATAGATCAGCATATTTGCGCAGCTTTGAAGAGGAAAGACAAATGCCTGCAACACCATCAACCAATAATTGTTGTACGGTATTTCCATGTACTCTTTGTATGGTGGGACATTATCACCAAACCCGGCGGCAATCAAAAACCGTAACAAACTGGTTGGCGAGAGGATGAGAAGAAAGGTAATGACAAAGTATAGAGATTGAATTCTCAAGAGCTTTAGTCTGCGCCTTTTGCTCTCGGCCTTTTGGTTCTCCCTATCTTCCCGTCGATTTGAAGACTCTCGCGCTTCTGAATCGTCGTTCAGTTTTGTGTCTGGACCATTGGTATCTTCCGAAGATGTCGAAATTCTCACCGTTTTGGGGGAACCATTCACTGCTGCCATGGAGATTTTTCTTGTTTGTTCATGTTGGATATTCCTACGGACATGACCTCTGATCAGTACATTGTTGGCGGAGACAACAATGAAAACAATAGTAGGCAGCCATCGGCCAAGAAATGCATCTACAGTGATCGGTAAACAGTAGGTAGGGCTACCATCTATATCGTAGTCACATGGTCGGACCCAACAACCAATAGTTTCCTGGTGAAAAAGCGAAAGGATGAGATACGACGACGACTAAACGTTCCTCAAACCTATGGTTCACCTACCGATCGTTCGTGATAAGCATTGTAGAAAAGGCCAAGAAAGGAGGACATGAGCCCATACCCCAGGCATATAACGTGCATTTTCGTTTCATACTTGGAAGCGATAGTACTATTGTTCATTTCATATCGCGTCGTAAGCAGGAAGTAAAACGAGAAACAAGCCATGTACGGGATTGCACTTGTAAATGCAAATTGATTCATGAAGCCGACCAAAGTGCAAGTGTGCTCGTTTCCATACTGTCAACGAGGGCAACATGAAAGGGTGCAAGTCACATGGAATGAGGTGAGTCACTGTGAAAGAGAACGAGAGAACGCAAGAACGGTGCTTACAGCATAAATATGGTAAGACGTTTCTTGGTCATACAGGAAGTTTCCAGTAGCAAGCGTCATCGACCAAATAATGTTGCACAAAGTCATACCCGCGAGAAGGCCATGGTACGGTGTCCATTCATCAGAGAATCTTGAGCGCTTGATGGACACAAGGATTGCTAGCGAAGCACAGAAGGAGATGATCGCTGAAGGTATTGGTAAGATCGATAGCAGTTTCTGCTGTGGCACTGAGAGCGATTGATAATCTGGGGTTATTTCCATACTAGCAATGGCGGGCAGGGTAGCGTTGAATGAAAGTGAAATGGACTGATGATCAAAAATTTCCATAGTTTCAGTTTGTGTGTCTCATTACAGGTTGCGAAAAGAGTCATTCAAGATGCGAAACATTCTTCCGCCGTAGTCGTAGTCTTTTGGTCGCTTGGAGCGGGAAGCCTGCACAATGATAATACAATTTGAACCCATAGTTTGTCCGCTCTGTTCTCTCCGTTCACGATTTGTCTGACAACATATATTTGGTTCCTCATCGATTTAACTTGTTTTGAAAAATTTCGAAATTGAACATATAATAGATGTTTCATTTTTTGAAAAACCCGCTCTTCGTCTGCTACTGCCGAAATTTGTGTAATAAAATGGCTCTTTTCACATGGAAGATCAGGTTGCGGCTGCAAATGCCTTTAATGGCTGAAGTTCAATGTACCGGCGCGACCAATCATCTCTGTTGGACATGTCAACCGGACGTTTGAACCTGGCAGCACGTTATATATCATTGTGGCAGGCAGGTACAGTACCTACCAAGGTGTAATTCTAGCGGTCTAGTTCACGATTGGTCCCATTTATCAATGTTGTTCGAACCTTTCTATTCTGACTGCACGACAATCTACAGTAGTTCTGACCGGTTCTATTGGTTATATATTATCTTTTCATCTATTCGATTCAATTTGATCGACTCGTTCAAGTCAAATCTTTAGTTCTTGTTGTTCACATCCTTGTCTTCCACTCCTGGTCCAACAAACCTGCCCTTTTTGTCAAACATGTCTTTGGTGATCATTCGATTCTTGACGTAATTGGAGAGCAATGGGACTTGATCAGGAGTGTTACCGGTCAAGGAGGCGGCAGACGCATAGGCAATTGTTGCCAGTGTGCCCAGTGCCACTGCATCACTCAAGTATTCGGACGCAACTCCAGGTACGGGCGCACCGAGACCTGATCCCACCAAGCCCACTAGCCCAATCATCAACCCAGGAACGAACAGGGCAACATCCAAGATGATAGCTTGTTGAAGGTTGAAGCGCACCAGGCGGTTCAAGGATAAATCGGTCGAAAGGTAGGACAGTGCGAAAAACGCCAAAAAACCAGACAATGGAATGCTTCGGTAAAAGGTGAAGGCAACTGCAGCGGCGTGAGCAATCGGATTGTCTTGATGACTAACGATCCAGGGTGCCGCGTATGCCAGTGAGTCGAGCAGCGGGAAGATGTACGGCAGCACGGATACAACCTTGTCCTTGCCGGTCGGCTCACCGTCGTTGATTAGAGAGATGATCTTCGCTCGAAGATTCTTCTCGAAGTCGATTTGCTTGGCAAGCTTGCCTTGGTTCAAAACGAGTGCCTTTTCTCCTCGCAGAATGAAATCGAGTTGATTCTTCAGTCTGTCGACAGGTTGGAACTCTTCCTTCTGCAAGACACCATCACCGTTGGTATCAAGCTGTTGCAAAAGCTTTTCGGCAGTGTCTTTCGAAATTGAAGTTTTGGTAGTCTTTTCGAGTCCCATCTTGAGCTCTTCGGCAGAGATGGTACCATCCTTATTGGTGTCAAACTTGGCAAACACCTTCATGGCGGCATCTGATACTTTTTGTGCTTGCTCGGTGGCCAACTCGGATGCTTCGTCTCTGAGTTGTTGTGCCTTGGCGCGCAGAACCTGAGCATCGGATGGATCCGGAAGGGTGGAATTGGAACTGGCAAATAGGACTGAAGAGGATGTTGGCGCGACAAAAGACGGCCGGTCCACGTCGATTCTTTGCGATCTGAATGTTCCGCTTGATGGAGCAAAGGCCTGCGAGGATGCCGCTAGGAGAAGGAAGGAAAGCGTGGAAGTTTGCATTTGGATCTTCATGTTTTGTGTTTGTGTGTTTTATGTTTCTTTTCGTGAATTGGGTTGGAATCGAAAATTATGAGAAGGGATCATGTTGCAAGAATTGAGAAAGGTTGAATCATGTTTGCATGATCGGAAGGATGTTTGTAGGAACACGACATCTTTGTTGTTGTTGCGCCGATGAGATGGGTTTACTTTGCGTCTGTTCTGATGGGGCATTTGTCTCATCCGATCAGATTTCTGAACACGTCATACGTCATCACATCGTTTGTTGATGTACGAACAGTAGTCAAACGGATCATTTAGTCGTGAGAATCACCATGCTAGAGAGGCACAAATGACAACCACTGCCATGCGGCATCACAATGATGAGGTTGCAGCCACTTCATCGGCGTACATGGCTAACATTATTTCAAAGAACCTACTCTGTTTTAAAATATAAATACTTGTTATTGCTGCATTATAAGCTGCATAACTGTGTAAGCTCGACCACTAGGCGTCACATGCATAGGTGTATTGTATACAATTGCAAATTATGGAACAAAGGATCCAGTAGGCTTCCCAACAGAAGCAGTTTGTGGTAAACCATCGCGGTCATATTGCTAGCTGCCACCAGCCCCTGGTCTCGTTTCCGCTTGCTGCTGCCTCGGCTGTACTCCACCTTTGTTGAAGAGTAATTGATAGGCAAATGTTGAAGATACCAAGGAACCCAGTATTGGAATTACAAAAATACTCCAAACAAGACATTGGTCCAATGAGTTGGCAGGGTCTGGCCAAGAACTTTCCAATCCATCCATTTGCCGGGAAAGAGAAAAACTTTGTATTACTAAGCTGTAACCTTGAAATATTCCAAGAGTAGAGAACCAAAAAAGGGCCTCTCGAAATTCCAATTCGCTGCGGACCTGTTGGTTGTATTTGGAACAAGCCAATGCCAGAAAGAACAGCTTGCCTGACAGATGCAGACAAGCCATCGCGTTTTCCATCTTTAATGATTCGTACCAAGACGAAGAATCGTAGCATCCGAGACTTGTAAGCGCTTGCCATGATACTCCATGCATCAATAACCTCGCTGTCGCAAACAGCCGAGCATGCCATTCAATGAAAAGCCAAGAGATAACCTCACAAAAAGCGCTTCCCACAGACCAAAATAAAACAAACCCTAGCTTACGTTCATTTTCGGAGAGATCAGGTGTCAAGAGTTTCCGATAAGAGCTCCGAAAGCAACCAATTACAACAATCGTCGTTGTCAGGGCACCATAACGACATAATCGGGGGACGTCCTCTGTTTTGTCAAAAATGATAGCTGGAGCTGTGTTTCCCCAGAACAGAAGCACGGTCACGGCTGTGGCGCTGCCTCTCTCGGCGATGTCGAGGAGCTCATCCCGGGGAAGTGGCTGCAACCTCATCCTTATGATACTGTAGGACTACTGTAGCTCTACCCGAACGTCTCCAAGCAAGCGACGCGACACGACGAAATGACCCGTTCGACTGACATGACTGACCTATTCGACTACGTGTGATAAGAAATTTGATCGGATGAGACAAATGCCCCATCAGAACAGACGCAAAGTAAACCCATCTCATCGGCGCAACAACAACAAAGATGTCGTGTTCCTACAAACATCCTTCCGATCATGCAAACATGATTCAACCTTTCTCAATTCTTGCAACATGATCCCTTCTCATAATTTTCGATTCCAACCCAATTCACGAAAAGAAACATAAAACACACAAACACAAAACATGAAGATCCAAATGCAAACTTCCACGCTTTCCTTCCTTCTCCTAGCGGCATCCTCGCAGGCCTTTGCTCCATCAAGCGGAACATTCAGATCGCAAAGAATCGACGTGGACCGGCCGTCTTTTGTCGCGCCAACATCCTCTTCAGTCCTATTTGCCAGTTCCAATTCCACCCTTCCGGATCCATCCGATGCTCAGGTTCTGCGCGCCAAGGCACAACAACTCAGAGACGAAGCATCCGAGTTGGCCACCGAGCAAGCACAAAAAGTATCAGATGCCGCCATGAAGGTGTTTGCCAAGTTTGACACCAATAAGGATGGTACCATCTCTGCCGAAGAGCTCAAGATGGGACTCGAAAAGACTACCAAAACTTCAATTTCGAAAGACACTGCCGAAAAGCTTTTGCAACAGCTTGATACCAACGGTGATGGTGTCTTGCAGAAGGAAGAGTTCCAACCTGTCGACAGACTGAAGAATCAACTCGATTTCATTCTGCGAGGAGAAAAGGCACTCGTTTTGAACCAAGGCAAGCTTGCCAAGCAAATCGACTTCGAGAAGAATCTTCGAGCGAAGATCATCTCTCTAATCAACGACGGTGAGCCGACCGGCAAGGACAAGGTTGTATCCGTGCTGCCGTACATCTTCCCGCTGCTCGACTCACTGGCATACGCGGCACCCTGGATCGTTAGTCATCAAGACAATCCGATTGCTCACGCCGCTGCAGTTGCCTTCACCTTTTACCGAAGCATTCCATTGTCTGGTTTTTTGGCGTTTTTCGCACTGTCCTACCTTTCGACCGATTTATCCTTGAACCGCCTGGTGCGCTTCAACCTTCAACAAGCTATCATCTTGGATGTTGCCCTGTTCGTTCCTGGGTTGATGATTGGGCTAGTGGGCTTGGTGGGATCAGGTCTCGGTGCGCCCGTACCTGGAGTTGCGTCCGAATACTTGAGTGATGCAGTGGCACTGGGCACACTGGCAACAATTGCCTATGCGTCTGCCGCCTCCTTGACCGGTAACACTCCTGATCAAGTCCCATTGCTCTCCAATTACGTCAAGAATCGAATGATCACCAAAGACATGTTTGACAAAAAGGGCAGGTTTGTTGGACCAGGAGTGGAAGACAAGGATGTGAATAACAAGAACTAAAGAGTTGACCTACTGTAGATCAACGAAGCAATGAAATGATTTGAAACGAGTCTTTCAATATACATAAAAGATTGAACAGCTAGCTAGTAGAATGATAATACCAATAGAAGCCGTAAATGACTATATTGTGGTGCAGCCAGAATGATGTAGAAAGGTCTCGAAGTCATGGGCGGCGCACTGACCGTCTGATGTATTAATAGCACCTCGTATTACACCGTATCCTATGCGTGCCATGTTGACGGTCATACGATGTAAAGTCCGGTTGACATTGAACATTGTACGACGAACAAGATGCGCTTCCACGCAGCCCGACCAGCAGTATAGTGTCACTTGTCCATCGGATGGTTTGGTGAGTTTGTGAGACTGCGAGAGATTATTTAGGCTCAAATCCTATCTTTGTGGCTGCTGGCTTGCGACCAAACCAAGGCATCATCGAAACCAATCCATTTTTGAAACGGTGCTATTTCTCATGGTCATTGTCCCTTGGTGAATCATCATTACAATCTGCTATCGAATCAACAATTGAAACAACTCAACAGAGTCTGAATTCAGTGGGCACAAAATGATGACGGAAGAACCGTCGAACGGTGGCGACGTGGTCATGGACGATTCTGACCAAGAGATTGTGGAGTCTCCTTCGCTAATCATTCCAATCAAATCGGCACCGGGCAGTGATAACTTTGTGGAGATCTTTCCTGAAGAAATCACAGAAACAGCGTCCTCTAGTCTACTACAAGTATTGAAAGATGAAGATGCGGATCTTTCAGTATGGGCTGACGCTGCCTTGCTCTACGTTCAACACAAACAACACGCTCGTGATGCCTCGACTATTTTGCAAGCTGGTTGCGAACGACCTGGGGGATCTGATGAAGAACGAGTCCGCCTTTTTGCATCAGCTGGAATTGCACACTTGACTCATGCGCAATTAACCGCGGGTAAGAAAGGCAGCACAGCCAATGATGACTTGAGCAGTATGGCAGACAATCACTTTACAAACTCGAGTAAAATTGATAATCTGTATCCCATGACTTGGATGGGAAGAGGAATGCTGAATCTATCCGCTGGGAGATTGGATCAGGCTAGATTTTTCTTCGAGACAACCTTGAAGGAATACGATCGGGTTCTTCCAGCTTTGTTGGGACTCGCTGCTGTCCTCTACTTGGAAAACAACTTTGTAGAGGCACAACGCACGTATGCAGAAGCGATCCGAAAGTACCCTCACAAGAGTGGTGCAGCAACTCGTGTCGGCTTTGGCTTGTGTTGTTACAAGCTTGGACAGGTAAGTGCAATTGCTTCAATCACCAAGTGTGTGATGATTCTTAATGGAGTGAGCTCAAAAGTGTTTGCGTCGGGTGATACAGGTTGATCGTGCAAAAGCTTCCTTTGCTCGTGCATTGGACATCGATCCCGAGAATGTCGAAGCCATGGTTGGGTCGGCTGTTTTGGATATGGCCAGTCTGGATGAATCCGATTCCGAATTCAATGTCACCATGGAGAAGGCTATCAAGATGATGTCCATGGCCAACTTGTTGGATCACTCGAATGCAATGGTGCAGAATCATCTCGCCAATCACTACTTTTGGAAGTGGACCCCAATTCCAGGATCAGCAAAGGTAGAACAAGGATCGAAATTGGTGGTGGGAACCCAACCGATTCCACTCGACCCTGGAGAACGCATTCGAATCGGAACCGAGTTTGAAACTTACGTGGCAGAAGATGTTGAAGAGGACGAAGAAGGAAAGTCCTTCCGAATGAAGGACGAATGGAAAGAAGCAACGACCAGTAAGTATCTCCATCATGTACTGCATAATGCTATCGTTTACTTGTTCAACATCATCTTATCATTTGCATTTTCCTAATTCAGGTGGGCTAAAAGTCTGGAAGAAAGACTACGACCGCGTGGAAGCACTTGCAAAGGGAGCCTACAATAGCACAAGTGTCCAGGATATTCAAGCCGAATCGCTGTACTTTCTTGCTCGTGTTCATCACGTCCGCGGAGACTTGCAGCATGCCAATCAATTCTATGAGAGAGCATGCAAATTGTCGCCAAGTTTGGGCCCAGCACGATTTGGTTTGGCACAAACGCAAATTGCACAAGAACAGTTTGGACAAGCTGCCATCAATTTGCAACGTGTTTTGGCATCATCCAATACCGCAACAGATGCTCTTGCTTCATTGGGTCTTTTGGAGGTCAAGAGTGGGAAGAAGATTAACGAAGGTTTGGGTCATTTGAGAAAAGCCATTGATCTGGACCCATTAAACCCAGAGCTTGTTCTTCTGGAAGCCCTAGCTTTGCAACAGCACGAGAGCAACTATCCCAAGGCGCTAGACCGATACAAGGGAGCAGTCAAGTTGATGGAGCGAAGGGGAACACTGATTCCACCCGAGATTTACACCAATATTGGAGTCTTGTGTCATGAAACGAAGAAGTTTGATGAGTGCTTGGAAATGTACAAAAAAGCGTTAGACTCTTTAGATGGAAGTGATGAAGACAAGATTGTCACCATGGAGAACACTGGACTGAAGGGTGGAGAGATCCGCCACCCTGACAATTACATGTTCCATGGTTACGTCGACACCAACTTTGCAATTGAATGCTTAGAAAAACAAGAGGAAATCAGCAAAGTGAATATTGCCGATTCGCAAGGCAAGACAGAGGCTGATGTCCCAATTGTTGTTGGCGATCATGTCAAGATCGGCGAATCCTTTGAATCTGAGGTGACTGCAATTTCGAAAGAGGGCGACTCTATTGCCATCGAATTGAAGAAACCATTCACAAACACGCCTCCCACAGAAGAAGAGAAATCGGAAGAGAAAGAGGATTCTGAGGCGAAAAAGGACATCAAGCTCCCTGTTTTGGTGAAGCGTGAAAACAATCGAATGAAACGATCTGCCACAATTAGTATCGCCTTCAACTTGGCGAGACTACACGAAGCCGCAGGCCGTACGCTTCCAGCTGTTGAACTCCACAAGGCAATCTTAAAACGAAACCCTGCCTATGTCAACAGTTATCTCCGTCTCGCGTGTATCGCAATCGATTGTGGTGCTTTGGAAGAGTGTGCTGGATGGCTCAAGATTGCAGCGAAGACTGCTCCTGGAAACCCCGAAGTCTTGACACTGATTGGAAATCTGCACCTTTCGCTTTGTGATTGGGCTCCAGCTCAACAAGTTTTTGACGGTCTTCTGGCGAAAAAGGTTCCAAATGTCGAAGCCTACGCCATGTTAAGTCTTGGAAATATTTACTTTGCAAACCTGGATACTCCAATGAAATATGAAAAGTATCTTAAGTATTCGGCAGACTACTACAAGATAATCCTTACGAAGGACACAGCGAACGCGTACGCTGCTAATGGGCTTGGTACTGTTCTTGCAGAAAATGCTGAGCTCTTCAAAGCAAAGGAGGTTTTCAATCGTGTCCGAGAAGTTAGTGGCGATGTCATTGCTGATACACATATCAACTTGGGGCACATTTACTTGGCGCAAAAGAAGCACCCTGAGGCACTTCAGATGTATCAGAGCTACCTGAAGAGAACGGAAGATGGAACTGCACCAATTTCGTCCAAGAGTCGTACAGATGACAAAGTCACTGTTCTTCTGTACATTGCATTTGCGTACTTTGACTGGGCGCGGCAGGCAGAACTGTTCAACAACCATAAGGCAGCACCAGCAGATGACAGATACAAAAAGGCGATGGAACATCTTGAGTTGGCAATTTCCGAGAATACATCGAAAACGGTTCTGTTGACATACAACTTGTGTATGACAAAGTTGCAAGCTGCTAACTGCGTTTTGCAGAAGCTTACACGGAATATTCGGCGGACTGCCAAGGAAGTTGAAGAAGCATTGAATGGTTTGGAAAAAAGTCTGACTACTGTTGAAGAGATTTTGGCAAAGAAGAAAGATGGGTCGCTCAAGGTACCAATTGCGACTTCGACGTTGGATGACTTCTTGAACCATTGTAGAAGCAATATTGACAGTGCCAAGTCACATCTGGAAGAAGAAAGAAGGAGAGAAAAGGAGGCTAATGAATTGAAGGAATTGCAACGTTTGGCTTCCGAGTCGTCACGAAAGCAGCAAGAGCTTGAAGAGCAGTTGAAAAAGGAAACGGAGGCGAAGAAGCAGGAAGAACGAGACTCAAAGGTAAGGGTTGTCGGCCATGGACTGAAGGTACTGATGACTTCTCTAACTTTGAACATGAAATTGTAGGCACGCGAAAAAATGGCCAAGATCCAAGATCTGCAAGCAGGTTGGGAAATGGAAAAGGCAGCGACCGAGCAAAAGAAATCAAAGAAGGCAAAGACTGCTGAAGCACCACCTGCGGAAGACGTTCTCTTCCCCGAGGAGGAGGAACCTGCGAATACTAAAAATCTGTTCGAGGACAGCGATGATAGTGACAATGAAGCAGAGAAGCCAAAAAGCGACGAAGCTCCTGCTTCCAAGCCCAATAGTACCACTCAAGAAGATCTTTTTGGCGAAGACAGCAGCGATGACGAAGATGCTCCTGCAAAACCGAACAAAGAGCCCGAGAGCAACAAGAACACCACTCAAGAGGAACTGTTTGGGGATAGCAGCGACGAAAGTGACGAGGAATTGCAGCCTTCAAGTGCAAAGAGATCAGCAGAGGAGCCTGATGAACAACCTCAGAAGAAGCAGAAGATTGCAGAAGATTAATCTATTTTAAATATTGGACATTCTAGGTGTATTAAAAAAAGATTGCTTCTCGGGTATTTGCTCACATTCGGAAGCTCGAAAACACGCAAAACTGATTGATTCATCCGATCAACGTCATTGGCATGTCATCAGCCTTTGTAACTTTAAAAAGTAGAATCAACGGTATGAAAATGATGGTAGGTGATAGCAGTTACCTATTAATAGCGCTTATGGTATATATAAAATCATGAACTAATCGCACATCAACACTAAACGAGAGTGCACATTTATTCTCCACTTTTTTGGTGTTCAAACTTGGCAAGGAGATCAAGGGCTCGGTCGATTTCTTCTCTTGTGATATCGCTCACGACGACGCTCTCACCGATACCTGTGATGAGAGGAATTCGTTGGGCACCATTTCTGTGTTCAATGGCGTCTTTGCAACTTTGCCATGCAAGATCCGGCTTCATGTGTGACGACGTTGTTGGCAATTCCAGAGATTGCATACACTTGAACACACGTTCGACAGTTTCCATAGTGACGTAACCTCTCAAGAAACTAATGAGACAGCAGAAGAATCCGTCAATATTTACGGCCTCTCCATGCATGATATCGGCCCCAGGAACCATCTCCAACAACTTGGAGAATGTGTGCCCATAATCGACACAGCGTTCGAGGTTGTATTCCCAAAGATTGGGTCCAAGTTCTTCCAGCATGATTTGAATCGATAGGTCAATAACACGTTGGCTGACTCCATCAGGAATGGTAGCGCACTTAGTGAATTTGGAGTCGATAAGGCCTTTTCCGTGAGTTTCAAGAATTTCGAAGAGATCCTGCGACCGGACAAGTGCCAATTTCATAATTTCGCCAAAACCGTTGGAAATATTTCTGTTGTCTTGGGAGGCGATAAAGGCAGTGTCCAATAGACACGAGCTTGGGGCATAGAAGGATCCCACTCGGTTCTTGAAGCTTTCGTTCATTGGGGCACAGCAGTAGTCGACACCATTCTTGACTCCAACACTGGCGTCAACGATAGACAAAAGTGTGGTTGGAACACGAACAAATGGGACACCGCGACGGTATGTGCATGCTGCCAAACCGGCAATATCCAGAACGCATCCTCCACCAATGGCCAGGAATGGTTCACGTCTGCGAAGCTTGTATTCGCACATGGCATCGAGTAGTTTATCAACGGCCTGTAAAATAAAAGGAAAGAAGTCGTGAGAATAAATGTTTCAGAAAGATCAGATGCGTGTCGAGAGAGAATGGTGACGCACCTCTGGACGCTTGTCAGCCTCTCCACCATTGATAACAGTAGTATGAAGTTGAATTCCATGGGCGGTGAAGTAATCCCGGATTCTTTGGCCGTAAGCGGCTTCCACAGCGGCGTCGACGACAGCATATCTGCGGTTGTAGCCCTCGGGGTGAACTCCGGTGGCTTCGAGCATTTGAAGGTTGGCAGGGTCCAGAAGCGACCCATTTTGAACCATGTTAACATCATAGGAGATGGGTAGGGTGAAGACATTTCTCCACCCCTTTGTCGTCGTAGAAATGATGGTCTTGGTAGTGACTGTCGATGCGGAAGTCTTCTTAACTTCAGTGCTCTTTTGAGACGTCGTTTTCGTAATCTCGAAAACATTCTCAGGAGCTCTTTCCAAAGGCGTCAGCACAGTTTTCGTGCCTGCTACCTTGTCCTCCTCGACGATGGCGCCAGTTTCAGTTTTGTCTTCGCTGTCGCCGTCACTGCTACTTGTAGTGGATGTAAAGCTAGAGACTGACGACACCTTACTTGGCCCAGGAGCGTTCATTTCATAGGCAATCAAGGCTGCCTTGACCTCAGGTGTCAGCGAATTCCATTGTTGGATCATTGACTCCGGCAGCAAGGGTGATGGCAACGAGTTCGATTCCTCCCTAAAGGTGCATTGGAATTGGAATTGTTAGCATGCGAGCCGAATTGGTCGAGCCGACTAAAACTTGAAGTTTCAATAACTTACATTAGAGCAGAAAGGGCAACTTGAGAGGGATTCTTTTTTATGGGATTAATCGTCATTGTGATATATTTGGAGGGAAGAAGCAAGAGCGAAATTGAAAGGTAGAGGTCTTTTTGAAGTGATAAGAGATAGAGGTCGTCAATTTGTGGAACGAAAAAACAATTCGTATTTCTATCGAGAGGCAAAACAATCGGTGGCAAAAGTGTTTCATGAATTCTGATTGGCTAATACCTTTTAGCATGGCCGGCCATTTCGAAAATTCTAGATTCCAGATGGAGGTCAGTACTAAACTTGCCGTAGAAATGAGCATATGTACAAAACGTACTATCCCCAACGCTAAGCAACTGACGTAAGCGTCACCCCTGTGATTTTGTTTCATGCACTTTGAGCCAATTTTTGTCATTTGTTTTCTCAGGGGTGGAGAAGAAGATACTGCTACCGGCACGTGATACCAGAATATCCTCCCCACGTCATCAAACGTCACGCAACTTCCTGCGTTGAGAATTCCGGAAATTGAAATATTTGTGACAATCGAACTCGAAAGAAAGAAAGTTTGACGTTTCAAATGATGTGTCCTACTCGAATGTGCAGAAATTTACAGGGAAGTTGTTGATGGGTTGATATTACAGTAGTTCTACGATGATACCGGTGAAATATGCAGCGCACTACAGTACAGTACAGTACAGTAGAATTTCTTAACGCTTCTTTGAGAATTCACTTGTGCTTTCCTTGTGGATCTTTTCAAAGACGGCGCTGAAATCTTCGTCGGCGACTTTCAAATCAGCATCTTCCCGAGCAGCTCGGAACATCTTTTCTGCTTGCTCCATAACGGAATATTCAACACCAGCGGTCTTGGCCATGTCGCATGCCAAAGCCATATCTTTGTGGGCGTGTTTCAATGGGAAGTTGGGAGAGTGATCCTTCTTAATCATCTTGGGTCCCTTCAAGTTGAACATTGGACTTTGGATTGCTCCTTGACCAATGACTTCGATCATCGTGGATGGATCCAATCCGACAGATTCACTGAGGGCAATTCCTTCTCCAAAGGCAGCCAACATGGTTCCCATGAGAGAATTGACTACCAATTTTGCGCGCTGTTTATCAAAACGTCAATTTTTCAGAATTGGGATGATGTTAGGATCTTGTTGACACATTTTTCATTCAATCGCCGTCAGTTTGGACTTACAGTACCGAATCCAACAGTATCTCCAAAGAAGTGGCTTGCCTTTCCCATGGCTGCAAGTCCAGTGTCCTTGATTTCATCAAAAAGATCCTTGGAACCAGCGCAGAGGAAAATAAGGACACCGTTGGCGGCAGGAGCCTTGGATCCACTTACTGGAGCCTCCAAGAATCGGCTATAAAATAATAAAAAGAGATTGAAACTATTGAGTATCATACGGAAGCACTTCGATTTTTCACCATAGTCATCGTCTAAACTCACCCTCCCTTTCCAGTGACAGCAGCGTTCATGCGAATCATGTCGGCTTCCGCTAAAGTGGCACAGTCGACGATAGACTTTCCAGCACTGACACCAGCCAAAACACCAGTTTCTGCCTCGAACACAATCTTACTAGCTTCAGGAGTAGACAAAATGGAGTAGGTGACTCCACAAGCTTCGACAACTTCCTTGGCGGTGGCCTTGACAATGACTTTCTTGTCGGGGAATTTTTCGGCAAGGGCAGTGCACTTGGCTCCGGTACGGTTCCAGATTACCAAAGGATTATCCTCACTTCCTGCGACCCCTTCAGACAAAAGGCGTGCAGCCATACCTTCACCCATGATTCCGATTCCAATAAATCCAGTAGCTGACATTTTGATGGTGGTTCTTGTTGTTGTTGTTGAAGTGTAGGGAGAGTTGGTAGAGCGTGGAAAGGTTTGCTTTCTGCAGACACGTGACACAGAGAAGAAAACAAGGAATGATGAGACTTTTTCCTGTTGAAGAAGACAGCTCACGGACGTACCCGCCACGAATCATAGTCTTGACAGGCTGAAAGCCCTCAACAAAGAAAATAGTCGTTTGGAGAGCCACCAACACCGTCAACAATGCAAGGTTCATCATGGTTCCGCTAAAATATTCCCCTGTTGTGGTCTGGAGTTAGCACCCATGTGCCTAGGAAACCAGGATTGTTCAGACAGGGTGGTGATCCATCCTAACTTACCTACGGTACTATTGCAAATGATGTGATGCGGTTTGCACTTTCTCACTCTTCTCTTTGCAATCAAGCAATCGTGGGTCGTGGGACGTCGAAAATGATGACGTCAGCTCATTTTGGTACACGGACGATGGCCAGTTACAGGACTAAATGTCGTTTTGAATCACGCTTCTCCAAAAACTGTTAGCGGTTGTGATTGAATATATTATTGAAAGGCTTACTACCGGTTGACAGGTACCGGTACTTTGGTTTTCCCAATAGAAGCGGCCACGATGGAGGACATGCAGGATGACACAATGAGACTATCACTTGATGAAGCTGCTGATGTCTCATCGAACTACATTCACAGCCGCGTATTTGATTCCTTTGGACTTCTGGAAACCATCCTTTCCTATGTGGATGCCAAAGAACTCTTGCAATCCACCATGGTGAACCGCCGGTGGAAATTGGCAGGTCGATCCGATTCTCTGTGGAAATCCCACATTCAAAAGTTGTGGGATGACAAGGTTGGGTTTGCGCATCTTTGTGAGGAAGACCAAGACTGTGCGATGGATGGAACCAACAACAACAACAACAAACAGCCACCAAAACAACAAGATCCAACCAAAAAGCCTCTAATTTTTTGGAGATCTTTGTATACTGCCGAATGTGTGCAAAAGATGACAAGTTCCCAAATAATGTCCATCTTTGATCACCCACTACTAAGAGATAAATTTCTTCAGCTGCAACAGCTTGCCAACGATGAAATTCAGGTAAAGAATTTTTTCAAAATGCACATGTTGGACATCATGTCGGTATCCTCGCAGTTTTGTTGCTTTCATTCCGACATTTGTTTTGGATCCTATGCCTCTTCATTGCAAGATTGCAAGAGAGACGTAATTACTGATTTGGAATTATGCAGTCCAATGGGATTTGACATGTACTTCAAAATTGCACGAGATGATGTCGAAGAAGCTGATCAAATCGAATTTGCGCCGTACGAAGAATCCGAAGAAATATTGTTGTATGAGTATGGGGGTGGTTTCTTTGATGATTCGTTTGATTTTCGAATGACTTTGCGACAAGATGTGCACAGCCATCATCCAACAGGTAAGACGGAAAACCAGAATTTGTCTTTGTGTTGTTTCACGACCACATTCCAACATGTCTTGTTGCCCTTGCTTTTGCAGACTTGACATGGCAGTGGTTGGATCATGGGAGGAGGCTTCAAGTCGCCTCTTATCCTCCATTAACAGTGAGCAGAACCAAGAGGTGGGGATGGAAATTGGAGAATATACATGCCATTCTCCTCATGCGCAACACCTGAAAAATGAATGATATCAACTTCCATAATGTGTATCCATCCACCCATATATAAAGTAAGAATGTAAAGTAGAAGATCAACATGTTTAATTCTTATTCGAGCTGAAAATTTAGGAAACAGACAAAAAGGCTTCGCATCACTTCGACAATTTCATCTTGTCATCACATCTTGTCATCATTTGAACAACCTACTTTTGCAACACCTTGATAAATTGCACAACGCCACTGCTGAACAAAGCAGGCGTAATGCTATTGCAGACTTTTTACATCCAGTATAGTACCATATGATCAACATCCTATAGTTCCGAGTCTCGCTTTGGAAGCCCCTCAGTGTGTTTTCGTGTCACCTTGGCAGCTTGTCGTGGCATGCGAGGCAACGTGATGGGTCGGTGGGTCGTATGATTCTCAATAAAGTAGTAGAATACAAAGAAGCTCAATACAAAGGTGATCATGATCATAACTGGTGGTCCATACAATTCCCTCCAGCTCATTTTCTTGTCGGCCGTCTCGGGATCTCCATGCTTCAGGAGAAAACTGACAGGAGGGACTGTCTTTTTGCGTTTGTAACCCTTGGGAACTGGCTTTTCCTCCTTTTCTTCGTTGCTATCAGCCTCGCTCATGATGATTTGTGATGTGAGTTTGTCTAAATCGTCTGATTTGTATTACAAAAATTGAAAATACAGTACTCAAGAAGATTGCTTTTCTGGTGGTAAAATCGTCGAACAAATGCTGTTGCAGCTGTCGGAGGCAGGCGAGATTATTCTTTTCTTCAACTGACCAGAAGTACTGAAAAAGGCCGAATGGACGGTTTTCCAATTGAAATTGTTTATTTTACTATTGGCGCGGAAATTTTGTTTTCCGTTTGGCCACAACAGAGACAGCTGCACAAATCATCATCCAAGCTCAACTCAACGCTTGTACCGACAGGCCCATCGACCTACTTTTACCATCAACCAGAGGAAATCAATCACAAGCAAAGCATACTACCATGTCAAAGAATGAACAACAACAGAACGAGAACGTAGACAAACAACGACGACACCAAGACGAATCCTCCTCCTGGAATCATGATACCGTGTGGCATCCTCGAACAGATTTGACCAAGGACCAAGTTTCCGAGCTCCAAACTAAGTTGGACTTTGTAAAAGAAGGAATTGTCAAGGTGAACATGATGATTCTGACCTGTTCCGTCCTCTGGCAATCCTGCACCTGGAACAGTCATCCAGAGTCCAAGGATGCCATGTTGGAATGCGCCGAAATCCATTTCTTGGAAGTGACCAACGTCTTTCTTGATTATCTGAAAATTGCCTATTATCCTCCATGCATTAGGACTACTGATTCGCCATTGGATGATTCTATATTTGACGAGGAGCCGCCCAAGTGTGAAACATGGATACTGTAAATCACATCCATTGATTCGTTCATTCATTCATTCAGGCCCACCGTCGTCAAAGAAGGTAAAAATCTAGCTATTGTACCTCACGAATAGTAGTAGCAATTTATGTTGGTCCTTGTTGTAGAAGGCAAATGTGTTGTGTTCATCCAGTAACGTTCTAGTGCCCATTGATTGTTCTGCATATTGCAATGATGTGGAGAGACGGATTTTCCAAACTTCCCATTTCATGCAATCATTCGAAGGTAAAAGAAAAAGCGACTTTCTAAACTATGGGTTTGATCAATACGAATCGTTTTTTGACGCCACATTTTCCAAAGACAGAAAAACACAACTTTTGGAAAAACACCTTTTTTGATTCGGTTCCCCTTGTTGTTGCCGTATATCCCCATTCCATATATGTACAACACAACTAGTCATATCATTGTCATCCTACCAAATGTATACATCAAACCAGCTGCCGCACAACCATCACCAAAACTCATCCACCATGAGCAGCGGCACCAACAACAACAACAACAACAATGCTGCCTTGATGATTAATCCTCCCGACGGTTGGCGTCTTCGAAATGATCTGACAGAGGATGACATGATCAAGCTATTGAATATGCGCAACTTTTTGCAACATGCCGTGTCTGCAGTAGCCGCCATGCGAACCGGCTTGACCATCTTTCAGCAGAATCAAGTCTTTCTTTCTCGATTCCAGCAACCCCACCGAAACGTGGTGGTGAACCATGCTTTGCAAGAAATCATGACCACAACTTCGATGCATTGGCATTACGTGACCATTGTTTATGCAGAATACTTGAGACTAGGTTTTTGTCCTCCTAGTAAAACGGCTGGTGATGCTTCATCATCATCATCATCTCCTAGTACTACTACCAGCATTGCTCCTGCTCCTCCTCCTCCTGCAAAGAAAGCAGCAAAAGCAACCGCAAATCATCATGTCCTCTGAGGACGTTCAATGGTGCGAACTTGCGGAAACAAATATATGTAAATGAAGTATAGGTATTATTTGTAGATAGTAGTAAGCGCAGGAGGGTTAGCTTTATCCAGCTAGTATCAAATACTACTACTGTACTGTAGTCAAGATTGCAAAGGGATTTTCCGTCCCAATCAACCCGTTCGACCAATGCGAGCACAGATCAATCAATACACACATATATTTGTTGTCATTTTCAAACTTCCTTCCAACCATTGACAAAGCAACGAGAGAGCTACTGTACACACAAGTTTAGGCCATTTGAATTGTCGACGCATACCATGAATGAACCAAACCAGCATCAAGGAACCACCAACAACAACGACAATACGACGACCGCCATGGTGCTAGCGGTGCCAACCATGATTCCCGCGGAATGGTCTCCCCCTCTTCCTCCTCTTGAAGGAGCCAGCAGCAGCAGCAGCAGCAACAGCATGGCAAACAAGATGGCGGATCAGATAAAGTTGGAAAACATGCGACTCTTTGTCAATGAAGGTATTACAAGAGTATCTAGTATGCTAGACGCCATTTGTATTTTGAACGAGACTCGAGTCCAACAGCATTTGGCACAATACCAAACTCCATTGCAGGCAGCCACGACGACCCATGCCATTCAAGAACTGCAAAATTATACCCAAATGCATTGGCATCAAGTGACTCTGGTCTATCAAGAATTTTGGAACATGCTGGGATACCGCGGCCCTCCTGTTGCTGCTGTTACTACTGGTGGTGCTCCTCACGATAGTACTACTCAGGATAGTGCACCACCAACAACTACTATCAGTATTATGGACGAAGAATCATCATCGTACGAGGATGCCGGTAATGGTGGTGATGGTGGAATCATTGTCGAAATCTGAGGAAAGAGATTTTCGATGACAGTAGTAGCTAACCAAAGTATCCAATATATATATTGACTCCAACACGTAGGAAATGACAAATAGAAGAATGATACCATATTGTGTATTTCATGCATATAAAAGACTCGGATGTGTTCCTCTATCAACTTATTTCTAATCAAATGTACGATCCGAGACAATCATTTACTCTTGGATGGATTGATTCATTCGTCGCCGTTTTGGGTTGTTGTTTTTTGTTCTCTATGGTAGCGTTGGCGATGAGTTCCTTGTTTGGCATGGCTTGGGTAATGGACAGTTATGTAGCCATGTCCATACCTATATATATCAATTCCATTCCAATCAAATTCAATGCAATACACTACAAATTTACTTTTCACTGGTGCTTTCGACTTCTTTCAACTTGTCATTCAATTCTTCCTTCTTTTCATCCAAAAAGGAAGTGGCTTGTTCGAGACTTTCCGAGACACCCGCCTTGGAAATACTGGCATCCAATGCATCCTTGGCCTTGGATGACAATTCGTATTGTTCGTTCAATTCTCCAGCCTTTTTTACCGTCTTTTCAATGAGATCGCCGACCACTCCCAGTGCGGTCAAACCAGCTCCGACCAAGTCGTATTCGTCATTGACTTCGGTGATTTTGGTCTTGGTTTGGGACAAGGCCTTTTCGACCTTTTCAAAGGTTTCAGGATCGACCGACTCGCTCGTCTTGAGCTTGGCGACGGCGTCATTGAGGGATTTGCCAGCCTTGTCGGAAACTTCATACTTGGCATTCAATCCCAACAAGGAATTGTACACTTCAATTCCCGACTTGGAGACTGTACCTACGACATTGCCCTCGGATTTGGAGGCAAAGTTGGCCGCGGCAGCGGCAATGGCAGCCAGATAAGGTCCTCCCAACACGAGGCCGAGAACAGCGCCAATGACACCTGCGGAAAACTCGATATTCTCTTGGGTAATGGCCACGAGGGCACCAGCTGGTTCTTCCTTTGCCGCTGCTGATGCTGATGATGCTGTTGCTGGAGAAGAAGTAGGAGTTTCTTCTTCCTTTGCTACTTCTGCTTCTGCTTCTGCTGCTGGTGTGACAATTTCGGAAATGGGAATCGTAGCTCGGACAGCCCCTTCTGGAATCTCGTCCGCAAATTCATCGGCCATGCGCAATGGCAACGTGGTGGGGCGCGATGACACCTTGGAAGGTGAAAAGGCAGAAGCTTGGTTCCAAGCCAAGGCCAATGGAAGGATGGCGCATGTAATCTTCATTGTTACGGGGGGTTAGAGTGTGTTTGTGTGTGTGTGTGGTGTGTGTGTGTGGTGGGTGTCGAATCGGGGGTTTAATTCGATGCAACCGGCAGTCCAAGAATGAATCAGGGTTGTGACGTTGCCACCTTTTGTTTTGAGAACCCTGCTTGTCTTCAAAAAGATTCCAACCTCCGGGTTCGTCGGATTCGTTTCTTTTCGAAGGTCCAGGCGTTGAACAGACGCCCACACGACTTTGAACCAAAACTTTGAACTTCAAACATAATAAAACACATCATCATCAACATCATCATCATCATAATCGTCGTCGTTGTCGACTTTGAAGGTGGAAGTTATTTAAGGGTAAAAAGAAGAAAGGATACAAAATGAGGACAGTCACCATACTTGGTCGTCGAAGCATACAGCATGGAATTCGGTCATGGAATCGACAACAACAACAACAACAACAATCTGCATTGTTATTGCCATCCTCCATGCTCACCAGCATCCAACGAGTGCAATCCCTACCAAGAAAATTCTCCACCGATCCACAAGATGATATGTCCACCACCACAGCAGAAAAATTGCAACGATTCGAAGACGCCAATCCCGATCGGATTCGAGACATTCAAGTCAATCCAGAAGGAATTGGAAGTCAAATCTTACCCGGCAATTTGGTCTACAAGAAATACCGATTCTCGGGGAATACTCGCAAGGTACCTCTCGAATTGGTCCACGGGTACTTTTGGATGATGTGGGATTTGCGCAGAACGGGACACAAGACGACCTTGAGCAACGAGACCCTAATTCCTGCGGAGCAAGCCCAACTATTTCCAGTCTTGCAGGGAGTCCAATCCTTGAACGACACTAAAACCGACTTGCCCTTTTTCTTTGTCGACGATTCTCCCGCGGCGAAAAAAGTGACCTTGCTCAGCATTGCCTTTCGAGATTCCGGTTTCAAGTCCATTCCTTCCTGGACCGATCCCTTTCAAGAGGCCTTTGACGACAATGAGAAAGTGGGAACCTTGAAATTGTCCATTACCGAACGCCTCTCCTTGTATCCCTTTCGAGGACCCTTGACCAGGGTCATGAAGAAGAATACGCCAGAAAATGAGCATGATAGCACACTAGTGTATTTTGGGACCGATGTTGATGACTTTCGGGATGTTCTGCGCATGCACAATATCATGACCAACTATGTCTTTTTGATTGATGACCTTGGTCGAATTCGATTTGCTGGCTCGGGGCCTGCGACAAAAGACGACGTGGCAAAGGTGATACAATTTGCCAAAGAACTGGCCAAGGAAGAAGAGGAACGGTCGTCCAGAACTGCCAAACGATCCAAGAATAAAAAACGATAGTAGTAATAAGAGTGAACTATGAATAGTAGTCCTATTGTACTCCTATTATAGGTAGAGAAAGAAGTAGATTAAAAAAACAAAAAACTAATAGTTACACGTTCTGGTGTTTACTGTGCACTGCTCTACACCCATATTGATACCTTTCCTTGTGCAATGTCTTCCACGGTTGCCAGTGCTTCCTTGGTCATTTTCGTCTTGGGATTTGCGTCCGTCAAGTGCTTGGTTTGCCACTCAATCACCTGTTTGAGACAACTTGCGGACTCGTCGAATTCCAAGTCCTTGGCGAGAAGACATCCAATCATTCCCATTGTTTCCGTGTAGTGCTCACTATCACTGCCAAATCGTTCTTCTTGATGTCGCAGCATGTTTCGAAAGATTGGTAACGATTCGGCAAATTGGCTATTCTTGGCAAGCACAAGTGCCATGCTCTTTAACGTTGATAGCACAATGTCATGATCCTTGGGATATGCAGTCGTTTGGAGCTAAGCAAGAACAAGTACAGTGTTTATAAAAATAGCAAGAAAGGAATAACAATAAACAAGCAATGGTGAGTGAGTCGACTGCACTCCACTGAATTGCATCCACCAACCAACCAACCAACCAACCAACTTCATGTGAAATCATCACTTACCACAAAGGCCTCCTCAAAAACTGTATAAGACATTCGGAAAAGAGCTTGTTTGATGTACAGTTTCCCCATATTGCACATGGTCAATGAGGCATCATGAACAATATGTTGCCGCCGGATTGGACTCCCCAGCATTCTTCGCTGGATTTCGAGTGCGGCTATAAAGGCATCGAGGGATTCTTCATAATTATCAAGCTGATAGTGGACAACTCCAAGATTGTTGAGAATCTTGGCTCGTGTGCAGTCTTCTATCGGAGACATTGCAAGTGCCCGTTTCATGGATTCCAAGGCGTCTGCAAAAACTCCAAGGGCAAATTGAGCTTCACCTTGTCGAACTAATGAAACCTGAGATAAGTAGGTGCGGTGTGAGTGCTGATGAATAGAGCATGACAAAGATGACAGTCAAAAAATATATACGATTCATCGACTTACTGCAACCAGTGGGTGATGGGAAGCAAAGAAATCAATCCGGGCCTCCACTGCTTTTTGGAATGACAGCAGTGCATCTCCAAAGTTTCCAATGCAAAGGTGGACTAGTCCAATATTGTGATGTGTTGCCCCCACCAAGTGCTGCAAGTTTGAATTTTGCCCTTGGTCCAAACCTTTCAGTAGATTTTCAAACACCAGCAGCGCACTATCAAATCTTTGAGCTTGAAGAGGTATCGTAACCATCTCATGAACTGACCGTAAGTGGTCCGGACTATCAATGATAAATGTACCTTCATCTAAATCCACTGGAACCGAACAAGCTGCAGCGATTTCAAGCAATTCTTCATGCGCATTTGCTTCTGGCCCTCCTGGAGAGCTCGGAGACGCAAGAGTAGGTGATGGCGGTTTATTGCCCCATAACTGATTCCACAAGCCTCTCAATGGGAATTCGTTATCAGTAAGAGTAGAGGACTCGTCATCATCATCGATCGGTTGCAATCGTGGTACAAAGCTAGAGCTACCGGTGGAAGAACTCGTTGGTGTCGACGGCGTTTCGTTGAACCGTAGTGTCCATCTCTCATTTGCAAAGCCTTCCAAGACCAACTCTGGCTGCTCCATTCCTCCAGCCGACCATATGGAATCCGAAACAATATCAGAAGGATTCCACGATTTCGAAAGTGTCGTAAAAGACAGCTTCAGTGGATCGAAATCAATCGACGGCGGAGCAGCACCCTCCGTCGTCTTGTTTTCTCCCATATTCTTATTTGAGAATCTAATGGCACCATCGTCAGAGTTGATTGGAAACGATGATAAATTTGCAGGACCCAAAGATAGCGGATCAATCCCATCCATACGTCCAAGGATGGCTACATCTAATTTGGCATTCCGTTGTTCCGTGGAGACGGCAATGGGTTCCAATTTTTCCGTCTTTGTTGACTTGACTCCCACCAACTTCTTAAACTTCTTCCAATGCTTCGTTGGTTTCTTTGATTTTTCTTCTTCTTTGATCTTTTCTGGTCGATTGGAAGCCTTCTGAGTTGCTTGACTGTGCAAAGTGGGTGCCACCGATACGGCTTCGACCGACTGCTGGCCGTCAGCACTTTGAATTGTCGCATTGTCGTACTGGACGGCCAAACTCGATGTTTCACCGTGATGGTCCCTCCCCTTCGGCGGTTTTGTTGAAAACAAATTGCCTATCCGCTTGGCCATACTAGCTTTATGAGGGTCTCTGGAAGGATTCTTGGGTCGAGTGGTGTTGGATACGGATTGAAAAGGTATCAACACGGCTTCACTAGAAGAAGGGGCCTGCAAGAGATTCTTGTTCCTTCCAGGGTTTAAATCGTCCATTTCTTTTCCCTTTCTCGGATCGGAACTTCGGCGGTGAAGAGGTTGGTTGGATGACATTGGAGTCCTGAGTATGGGCAACACACGCTATAGTTAAAATTGTTTCTCGGTGTCGTGAAGAGTACGAGTACGCAATATAAAAGCAGCATCTGATCTTGGGTCTTCAAATCCAATTTCATGTGGAAACAAAGGACGCCGGCCCACTCGACCAGGTTGACTTCAAATTTCGGTTTTTCGGATCACGATTTTGACCGTTTCCGAAACATCGAGACGGTTTGCAATCACAACTCAAACCTCGTCGTTCGTTTCACTTTTTTTCATTTTGAATAACTTGCAACCGCTTCTTTCACATATTGACAAAGGATTGATTGATCCAAATGTTTGATACGACTAATCTTTCGCTTGAAGCTCGCACTAACTTGACTGCGCTTCTCCTCGGAGCCACCATTGTGGTTGTTGGCGCCATTTTTCGTATACCCAGCTTTGTTGAAAACAACGCTCAACCGGTGTTTGGCCTTGCATTCATGTCCTCGTTGATTTTCAAATTTGGGAGCATTCATGCATTTGTCATGCACACGATCTTCCCTGATCATGACGACTCCCAACCCAAGGAGACCATGAACAATCAAGAAGAACCCACCACCAAGAACGAAACCACTGCTGCTTTCGTCAGTCCTGCTGCCAAGGAAGCGTCCATTCCAAATCACGATATCCCTACTACCCATTACCAACCCAACGACATTATGAATCAACCCATAAAGGAAGCCCCTGTCTACAATATTCCTGTTGCCAAGAAAGTGGTGTCTACCACTCCAAACAAACTTATCAAGAAGGAGAAAAGAGAGGCGGCCATCAAACGTGCTAAGGAGTCTATGAAAAGAGACAAAGAGAGAGTCGAAGCCGTTCTTGCAAAAAAACATATCAGCTAGACTGATCCTTCGACTGCATTTTACACCGAGGGGAACATGTACGGGACTATCTAAATTACATTGCTAACAATAACTATCATAATTCAAACGATTTCTAGTTGATATAACCAAAAACCATAATGATGGACTTTCTTTTGGGTCATTCGGTTTCGCACCGACTTTGATTTCTTTTTCTATTGGCGACTGGTTCTATGCATGGACAACCAGCTCCAAGGAATCGAGACACCAAATGAGAAAAGGCATCTGTCATTAGTCATCGCCCCTATAATGAGTGATATTGCCCTTGTTGTTTCCACTGTTGTTGTTGGAGAAACCTCTTCTTCCTTCATTGCCGTTGTTTTCGTCATCGTTATCATCACTGCTCTTTGTTTGTTCAAGCGATAATACGCGGCTCCTGCACTGGCGCTGACCAAAATCAAGAATAGTAACAGGCATAACTTCAACTTTCGATTTCCCTTTTTCGCTCTTGTGGGTTCATGAAAACATTTCTCTTGCTTCGCCTGCCCTGTACTTGACGTTTGAGCTTCCACATCCTCGAGCACACCTTCCATTTCTGCTGTATAGGAACTTTGGAAATAGTTGCTATTGGTCGGCTCTGGCAGGATTTTGAGGGACGTCGAGCTTGTTTCAATAGCCGCCTGCTCGATACTATCCTTGTCTTGCAAATCTCCAATAGGTACCATGGGGCTGTCTGAATTGCTGATAATATTTTCAGGAACAGCTTCAATAGTTGGTTGGACTTTAGAAGTAGTTTTTCCAGGATTAAGATTTTCATCAGCAGCAGCTTCAACAACAGGATTTTCGTCAGGAATGGTTTCCAGAGCGGGCATTTCGTCTGGAATACCCTTCAGAGTAGGCTTCTCCATCGATTTCAAAGCCTTCTTCTTTTTCTTTTTTGGCTTCTTTGCTGCTGCTTTTGGATCGAAGTTACCAAAATCGATTTCAATTCCCATATCAGATACTTCTTCTTCACTTCGCTTGATTCCAAAAGCGCTGTAGATATCGCTGCTTGTGGTGGATGATACTGTGATTGATGACACTGATTTTCTTTGTTTTGGTTGGAGGAGTTTGCTCACTTTGCCACTGCTGGGCCGATCAACTCCAAATGCACTGTAGATGTCATTACTCGTGATTGAAGACACTGTAGCTGATGACGCTGAATTTCTGTGTTTCGGTTTGCCTTTCTTACTTTCACCTACAACCGAGCTCATGGTGGACTCGTCGGCAGCATCAGTTGGTACATTTGACGCTTTTTCGTTGGATATGCTCATTCTTCCTAATGCCTCGCTTGTTTCTGGTGCTAAGTACAATCCAATGGACAAGTTTATATGTTCTTAGGGTTTGTCCCGATATGAAGATACAGTATAACATTATGACTATTCACAGACAGCAGCATCATTACAAAGTAGTGAATCAATCAATCTTGGTTGATGTGTGACTTCGTATCCTGCTTTCACGAGCGTGCCCATCTTGGCATCAAGTTTTTGATCACGTTGAAGTTTTCATCTCATCCTGATGATGAGAACAACGAAGGTACAGAAGACATTCTTGCAACGCCAGTATTCAAAGACGATTCATATAATATAATATAATAATATAATATACTATTCATTTCAATTTATCTCTCTTAATCATTGTCGTTGCCACGGCCGTTCCCTCCGTCTCCGTCTCCATTCCCGTTTCCTCCTCCTTTGCTTGGACGTCTTCCGTCATTATTATCGTTGTCATCGCTGTTGCCATTGCCACTCCCATTCCCGTTACCATTCGTAGCTTCTAGAGATGCTGTTGAAGTACTAAATTCGTCTTTGCAGAGGAAATAAAAGACTCCACCAAGTAGTCCAACAAGGAGCAAGCAAAAGAGGATCATGCAGCAACGAAACTTTCGTTTGTGTGTGGATTTCTTTTTGGTAGGAGAGCTGTGAAGAGCATCCGGAAAGGTTCGTGCCTTTACAATTGAAATCTTAGTGCTTGGTGCTTCAACATCTTTCATCACTCCGTCGTTTTCTTCATCGTCGACCAGAGCTGCCTTGGGTACTACCATGAAACAACTTTCGCTATCATCATCGGAATCACCACTAGTGGTTTGTCCACCGTCGTCACTTTCCGTGTCACCAACTCGATAGGCACCTGTTGTCGAGAGCTGAGGCTCCATTTTTCTTTCTGGCATTCCACTGGGCATTACTCTGCCGTCGTCATTTGCTCTTGCTTGAGGACGTGGCGCTCGTGGATCATGGATTGCTGCCCATTTCTCGGGATCCATTTTCGAATTCTTCTCATCATGAATCATATCAAATATGCCATTCGTTTGGTTGCTCATGGTATCTACAGTATAGACTGCACAAGAGACCTTTTGGAATATTCTTGCTGCGATTTTTGGAACATTGGTGCCGGTGGTGAATTTTGTGAGATTCGATGTTTCGGTCACAGTTTGGTACGTAATTTCGGTGTCGAAACCAAGATTCCGATGATGCGTTAATTAACTATTTGTCGCACCAAATCAGAAGTTCGAAGCCTGCCAACAAGGGGATCGTATCTAATTTGCAGCACTCTGAATTCATCACATCAAATCTCCTAATAGTGTTCCTTGTGGGCAACTCTTGTAGATAATGGCATGGTGCCTCTTCATTTTCATCGGTCCCCTCAAGAGGTGATAGGCTAAACCCGTCTTGTGACCGAAATGTTTTCCCCAAAAGTCGTAGACTTGCTGATAGTATCCCTTGTCGCCTTTGTAGTGTGATATAAAATGTGGATCAGAGCCATGAAATAGCTGAGAGCCAAATGCATCAACGCTGCGATTTCCAAGAATGCCAAACTTGCGGAAGCACTCTCCAATAGTTCTATCTTCGGCATGTGTCTGCAGCTTGGGCCTGCACCTTGGAAAAATGTCCTTCACCAGCATTCGTAATGCTTTCTTGTTGAGTAGATACCCTGCGCCCCCTCCGCAAAAATAGTCACCTGTTTGCCCACTAATATCAGGAATCCAATGGCCCAAATAGAGTGGCTCGCTTTTTGCTCTTGGACCAAGCGATTCAAGATAGGCTCTTAAGTTTTCCACAATCACATGGGTGTCATCACCCGCCAGATAAAAGTAGTCAAAGTCCTCGATATAATTGTCATATGCATAAGCCCATATCGATCGCACCTTCTGCCACATGTTTTCATACTCTTCCTTTCCCTTGTGTGGTAAATCAATGGCTCCAAGACCTGGCTCCGTGGGGTCCGTCACCGTTGTGGTAGATGCAGCAAAGAATCCGTCGCATCGCCAGCCCCAAGTCTCTCCAATGGCCTTGACTGCTTTGTGTTTCTTTTCATACGTGTAAATTGCACACAGAAGCTTGCTCCCAGGTGGTAAATTTATGGACGGAAGTGTCGTTTCGTTCACTTTCATGCGACGTAGTAGCCTCCAACCAGCTTTTCGTTCCAAGGATGGTTCCCTGGGCTCTGAATTGCACACTGTCTCCAACTCTTCCGAGTTCAAGGGAAGGTATGACATCACGTCAATAGTATGTTCTTGGTTGGAGTTTTGCTCCAGAGACTTGAGCATTTGCTGTCGCACCATAGTCACGTCAGCAATATACCCATACGATCCATTGGGAAATCGAGCACCTGCATGAGGATGTTGTCTCGTTGTATCCACTAATGATGTTGATGACGCCTCATCCTCCTTGCTAGGCTGTCCTACTGTCTTTGTGATTGGAACGTCAAGAGTGCTCCATGACCAAAAATCGGCATTATTATTGTCCAGGGGAGAACCTCCATTGAATGATTGTTGGAGTAGAAAGTGCGAGGAAACATAGAGAGCAATGCCAACACACAAGAAATTTCTCCCTTGCATCAGAAGGTTCTTGCGGTATTGGTGCAATCCAGCATCGTGTTGAGGTCGCGAGTCGGAGTCAAAGCCATCACTTCACTTCGCTTCGTGCAGAGTTCGATCGACGGACGCACACGCCAAAGATTTGGAGAGGTGGAGGATCGGTTAACTCGTGGGCATTGAGCACAACGGCCACATTTAATCGATTTTTGGCGGAGCCGTCTTGCTTTTGCATGTGAATACATAGAGAAATCGGAAACACGTTTCAACCATGATTACTGGGACAACCCAACTCACATATTGACGATTCCGACCATTGATGAAAACGCATCTTCTGTTGACTCAAGTACGATTGGGATTCACATGGATCGGAATCATTACCAAAGTACACAACGGAATTCAAATAATGATGACGCTCCAACTGATTGCATCCCACCAAATACCCAATTTCGTGGGTTGAGTGATTGCTTTTTTGCTGGGAGTTTTCTAAGGACACTCCCAACGACACCTTCAACGACGCGATCGTGGACTATCCCAATAGTTTTTGAAAAGACTCTCATAACTCGATCATAAAATCAAAAGACTCTCTCATTATTCAAAACAACAAACAACAAAAACACACAGCCATGAAGCTTCAACAATACTGCCTCGCCCCTCTTCTTTGCGCATTGTCCGCCAACATGTCAATGGCATCTCCAGCACCATTTGAAGTCAAACTCGATGAACCTGACAACCGCGATTATGGAGAGTTTGGTCGATCGGTGAACAAGCCGAAGAAGAGACGAGTCGCCAAACATGAACCGACCGAAGCTGATCAGTAAGTATAACGACTGTGGACCATGATCATTACTAAATCAATCAATCACTTTTGCAATTTCTAATATCTGCTTGTCCATCCTCCTCTCCATCACAGCATGTATCGCGAACTCATTGAAGATGTACAACTTTTGGACTTTGCTTCCATGTCGATGAGTATGGGCATGTCACTTGACGACAATGTGGATGCCCAAGTCGACACCACCCCAGCGCCATCCGCATCCGTCCCTACTGCCGCACCCACTGCTCCACAAACGTCTGCACCAACAGAAGCCGCTGTTGCAACCAGTGCATCTTGTGATGGGCAACCTCAAGTGTTGATTAATATTCCCCTTGAAGTTGACACTGCCACTGATGATACGGAAATTGAAACCTTGATTGCCGAAGCTCTCATGGAGACTCTTGCTGATGAATACAACTTTTGTGGGAGCCGCCGTCGTCTTGAAGATGGATCGATTGTTGTGGAAGACTTTCAATTGGGAACTATTACTGTCACCAAGGATGCCAATGAAACTTGCCCTCCGCTTGATCCTTCCACTAGTTGTCATGTTGCAAACGCTGCAATCGTTGTCTCTGGCGAAACTGATGGATCCGCAGCAAAACTTCGAAACTCTCTTGGGTTCCTTTTTGAAAATGATGTCAAGTTCATTGAGGAGCTTCCACTTTCGGGAGTGATTGAAGTCAGACTGAAGGAAGGGGGCGAGGAATCTGAAGCCAATTCTGCAAGTGCATTTGGGAATGCCGCACAACCAACACGATCTGCTGTCGTTGCCATCTTGTCGACTGCAGGAATTTCCATTGTTGCTGCTATTATTCTCCGAGCCAGGAGAAAGGAGGCCAACATGGCTGCTCATGACAAGTATTGTGATGAATCTGATAGTGAAGGAGGCACTCTTCCAATCAACAATGCATCTGGCAGTCATTAATTGATTGCTTTGATGCTGTGGCGTTGGTTCACCTTAATGGTACATACCAATCTGCTAGAGAGCAGATTTAGACATAATGTAAATTTCCATAGTATAGATTCCAACAAATTATTATACACTTTAGTGTTGCACTGGTATTCTTCTTCTCAAAGAATGCGATTTGGCTGGTGAAGTCATGATGGAGTGGAGCGTAGCAAGTTGACCGATGGTAGCTTCTTGACGTCTTGCCATCAGAAAACTGAGAAGTTTGTACAAGGAAAGCACAAGGGATGGGTTCGATTTTTCGATTTCTTGCAATTGGCTGTAGGGCAAATGATGTAGACGGCAGTCGGTAATTGCAACATGATCCCCGCCAAGGCGAATGCCAGAAACATATTCCAAGGTGCCAGCCACCCATCCAGGACCTATCCGAGCTAATCGAAAGGTTTGGGGATTCTTGTCAGAATCCAGCGCAGATGATGGTCCAATACTAGGGCCAAGCGCTCCAATACTACCAGTGGAACCACGAAGGGTTCCCCTATTCATAGTAGCAGTAGTCGAGTGCTCCACCTTCATTACACCGCTTTCGATAAAGAACAAACCCCTTTCGATATCATCAATGAAACCATACAAGCTGTCACCTGATTTTATTTCGATGACACGGGTGAACCGTTGCAATGGTAGAAGATCAACTGCAAAGCCTTCCTTGTGCTGAAAACAATATTTAGATGAGACGTCGCTTCTGTTTCAGGATAATAGCATTTGCATGTCAAAACTTACCTGCTCGTCGATTTGTCGGAGTGCAGAACGCAAACCATTGTCACCCTCGCTCACCATTCGGCGATGCCCGTAGGCACCAGAGTTCTCTTTTTGGTCAAACTTTCTATCCAGCAGAATGTCTTCTGCTTTTCCGAGTGCTGAATCCAAACTTGCAAAGAACCGCAGTTGTCGCTTTGACCTCTCTCCAGTGCTGTCTGCCTTGAAACCACCCAAAAGAAAAATTGTGCGAATGTCCGAAGGTATACCCGCCATGAAAAGCTTGCAATTGTTACTGGCACAGAGGTTTTTGATGTCATTGAATATGTCGACTGTACTAGTATCCATCCCAGTCACCAGTGTCATGTCCAAGATCATGAAATGAGGGTGCCGAACTTCTTCATTGTCGGATTGAAAGAGTCTTTCAGTGTAATTGTATACGGAGGTTGCATTGCCAAAGAACAGGTAGTTTTGCAACACCAATACTTGGATCAAGTCTCCATTGTGATTCAGCCACTCGGAACTGTTGAAAGGTCTTTCGATAGTGGAATGAATCGTCATTCCGTTCGCGACATATTTCACAACGCCACTTCGGAAGAAGGAAGCGACAAAAAGGAAAGTGGAAATCGCAATTCCAAGGAAGACTGCCGAGAGCAGATCCAGGACAAACGCCGCGACCACAATGATTGGGACAACAAGCCACTCGAGTTTGTCCTTCGTTTTGAAATAGGATTTATAGAACCACGTGTAGATCATGTCGATAAATGCAAGAATCAGCATGGAAGAAAATGCAGGCTTCGGAATGTACCCAACCAATTGAAAGTCTGTTAAGTAGAAAATGACAAGCAATAGAACGGATCCAATTTGCGGTGCGAGGCCCTCTGCACCTAACGAGTACATGGTAGAGCTTGCAGCAACTGACGGTGTAATAGGGAATCCTCCAACGAGTGCTGATACAAATTGATTGTACCCATATGGCAAGAGAATATAACCGAGAGGGATGTTTGTCGGTTTTGCAGAGATCATTTTCTGTGGTTCTTCTTGAGTTTCACTGGGAGCGTTCATGACAGTTTCAATATCCACTGCCTCGGAGAATTTTCGTGATTTAATTGGCTTTGGTCTCATAAGTTTGGGGCTTTGCATTGGTTTGTTCGATCGACCCTTTTGCTCGTTCGACTTGTCTTTCCGAGTCAAGTTGCGGATATTCTTTTTCAAAGCCGTTCCATGAACAGAGCACCGGATAACATAGAGGAACGCCATTGCCATAGTAGTAGACAAACCGTTTCGAATAGCTCCCCAGTGGACCTTTCCTTGAAACAACGTATTTATCGAACCAAAGGGGGCAGGACTAGCCCAAGCATAGAATCCAATCTGTCCCGACAAGAATGTGTGCATTGGAATGAAATGAGAGAAAGGTACGAAGAAAGGTACGAAGAAAGATAATCATACAAGCCACTGTAGCTTACCGGAACTGCAGCATGGTACACCAACTCGTCGTGTGACCAAAACCATCCGTTCTCCCTAGCCTCGTCCAATGAAACCCCCATGATAAACATAGTGGTATAGAAGAGAGCAACCGATGAAACCACAATCATAACAACAAAGAAAGGATTCTTTGGTCCCAAATACTTCATCACTGCTGCAATCATCACTCCTGGGACGTGATGGATCACAGCAAACGAGACCAATTCCATGTCTCCGCTCGACAAAATGGTACCAATCGATGTCCCACCCGTATCCACTGCAATTGCCAGGGTCCATGTCAAAATACCAACTGCAGCAAAAAATCCGCAAATGACAGGAAATGGCAAGAAGGAACCCAGGTTGGCTAGTCGAAAGACACTGGACAAAAGCAAGAGCAGTCCGGAGAAGCAGGTGCCAATTGCCGATAGGATTGCAAACGTGGCTAGAAAGGTAGAATCATTATCGACTTCTGTAACAGCAGGATCATCCGCCAGCGTCTGGTCGACGATCTTTGCCAAATTCGCCAGAAAGGGAGCCAAGAATAGATCCACTGTGGGATACAACGCTGGAACCTCCGAGCCAAGCGTCACCCTGAATATCGAACAGACCGAAGGAACAAGAGGAGGTGAGTTATTGGTAGATTTGAGTGACGAAAACATGTGATACAAACGCAAACACTATGAACAAAATAGTAGGACCCACCAATAAACAAAGGAAGATGAAATGGGTCCCAAGGCCGCCATCTTGGTCATCAATCCCAAAATGGAAGTGGGACTGTTGGGTCGATTGATTGCCGCTCCTATTGCCAGACAAAAGACAATGTGATAGAGCAAGTACATGAAACTACCAATCAATGTGGTTCCCTTGGTTGCCTCTTTGGCGAATGCAGATAGAGTCTTGCAGGACAGCTTGCCCTGCTGCTTGTTGCTTCCGGAACCAACTGATTCTTGAATGGATGGCAGAGGGCCAGTTGCCGACAATCTTCTAGTGGACGTCAAAGGAGGACCGACATCAGTCGACTGCTGGAAACTGTCCTTCCAACTGGATGCCAGAGAATCCAGCGAATATGCTGGAACAGATGAAGATTCTGACATTAATGGAGTGCTCTCTTGGTTGGATTGTCGCTCAGGAGAAGATCGTGCCACTGGAGCGAAGAGATTCATGAGATAATTGTCGGATCCAAGATTGGGATCTGCTGTCGGAGTTTCTCCTTCCTCATTTCCGTCATTGTCCAATTTCTCAACAGCAGTAAGAGGATTACTGAACAAGTTCAGTAAGTTGCCTGCCTTGTCTTGTTCTCCAGCATTGGACATGGTCAACTACAACCAGAACTAGAGTGGAAATCCGTGGATCCAGCTGTTTCTAGCTAGTCGTTGGATGGATTTGAAGCTTCAGATCGGATGTAATTTCAGTTCAGTCATGAGTTCGCAGTCACGAATTTCAGGAATCATTGCACAATCATCCATCGGATCAACGAAACATCCAGCGATCAATCTCATTCATTCATCGCCAGATTGACTGCAAATGTTACGTCGCAGGGTCCCTTCTATTTTCTTTGCTGCCACCGCTGTATCTTCTATATTGACACGATCCATGTCGACCGCCCTGAATCTCGGCAAAGTAGTCCCCGTTCCACAAGCCATCGAATTGCATTCCTCCAATGCAAATGTCAAGTTTGTGGACGGATCTTGGTTCCTCAAAGATCGCAATGGTCGAGAAGAATTTCAACAAGGTCCACGAATTGCTGGGGCAACCTTTTTTGACATTGATGACATTGCGACCAAATACGATTCTGGGTTGAAACACATGATGCCATCGAAAAAGTTGTTTTCAGCAGCCATGGATGCGATGGGGATTTCCAATGAGGATCATTTAGTGATTTACGCAAGCAAGGATTGCATGTTTGTGCACCGTTCTTGGTTTCAGATTCGGAATATGGGACATCCCGACAATCAATGTCACTTTTTGGATGGTTCAGTGGAAGATTGGAAGAATGAGGGTGGACCGATTGAAGAAGAAGGTACTGTGCCCTCCAATCCAATAATTTCGGTGGCAGATTTGGATTTGACAAAACCCACCAACTATCAAGCAAAGGATGCCATGAATATTTTGGATATGGAAGACATGAAGAAACAAATTGAATTGGGAGACAAGGCAGACTATGACATTGTAGATGCAAGATCGGCAGACCGTTTCTTTGGACGAGTGGAAGAGCCACGACCTGGAATGCGGTTAGGGCACATGCCTGGAGCCAAGAATATCTTTTTCTATGATATGTTGAACCCCGAAAATCCGCTTCAATTCAAGCCCAAGGAAGAAATGGAGGCAATCATTCAAGCTAGTGGGATTGATGTCACTTCGAACAAAAAGGTAGTGGTGAGCTGTGGAAGTGGAGCTACTGCTTGTGCCGTGGTGGCAGCATTGGAGTTGTGTGGGAAGAGCCCTGAGGAATGCTATGTATACGATGGCAGCTGGTCCGAGTGGGGGGCAGTTCCGGATACTCCAATTGTAAAGGAGGGCTAGAGGTATGCTGGTGTGGATCTCAATGGTACAGTAGTAGATGTAAGATGGAGAAAGAGACAGGCAAGGACTGCAAATGAATTCTGGATGAAAGAACTGCGGAAGTATTCCATAACCAATTGTCATACAGTAAGTATGCACAGTACATTATGAATTGCCGCAACTTAGATAAACAGATCGAATGTATTAATATAAAATAGGAACAATACTGCTACAATTACCTAGGACCTACTGTAGGATAGCATAGTACAATCAATACGGTACTGTACTGTACCTTGTACGCTTTTTCACAATTCGTACCAGTCAGAAGCTTAGAACATAATTAGCTCGTTGAATGATTCCGACAAGAAATATCAGAAGTTCACTACTCCTATCGGTACTGGTACTCTCCATAAAAGACTAACAGACTCTTCCGAACCAATGATGTCTTGGTCAAGGGACTATTCACCCGGGAAATTCAAACCGGAGTAAGTGAGTCGTTTGCTGTGGAATCGAACGTTCGCAGGTTGCCGTTGGCTCTTGTACGCGGACGGATTTGGCGACTTCCTTAGTCGTTTTGCGAATACGTTTCAGACTCGTACAAAGACTGGCTGGCGCGATTTTTTAAAAGAAAATCCGTTAGCGGTTGAACGGATAACATGAATCGTTGCGATCTAAGACTTACTTAAAGCGCACGCGGTAACGGTTGATTTGAAGACCATACAATATTCAAAATGAATATAAATTCAATATCGCCGCCATTTCCGTTCCGCGCAACGCACGCATGCTAAAAGACTCATCACAATTTGACTGTTGTTTGTCCGAATCATCTACTGTATTGCGAGGGATCCAACAAAGGGCCACACAACACTTTAACTTGTACATACCATACAACCTCACTCACTCTTTCACTCCATCATAATACCAACTGGCAACAATGCCTCATCATTCATCACAAAGCTCTGCTAGACCCGCATCTGAAATGCCATCAGTGCACTCTCACTCTCTCTACAGCCCACAAGGCATTCCATCCGAGGCAATGAGAGGCCACACAGTCGCTCACATCATGCGACCGAATAATTCACATGGACCTTACTCCAGTCCACCGTGTTATCATCCCACTGGAATGGTCACACCAATGAAGCAAAATAGCTGGATTCACGGTGCGCCAATGAGCCGTTCGATGCCCACTCTTGAAACACCCAAGAGTGCAGATAGCTTGGATCGCTCTACTTCTACCAAACAAGATGACAGCACAGTTGCAACGCTTGCTACTGAAAGCGACGATCTTGAAAAGCGTGAACAAGCTACTGCATCGGCTCTCCTCATGGTTTCCGGCAAGGTTAAAATGGAACCACGGACTGAAATATCCAACGCATCCACTACTTCCACCACCTCCAACGTGCCTCTGAAAAAGAGGAAAAACCTCGGCTTCCTTCGACCAAAGACGGAATCCGTCTCTACTAGCAGTCATGACCCTTGCCACATTAGCCCTGTTTCCCATTCATCCTTGGAAAGCGGCGGCCGAACCATTAGCAAGGAAGAGGGATCGCCAGAACGAACACCTGCCTCCACGGTGCGCACTGAATCTTACGATTCCAAGGAATCGCCGGTAGGAAACCTTGCCGCCGCTCAAACGCTATTGGAAACTTCCAAGATTAACAGCACCACTGAAATTGCACCTCCAACGCACGTTTCAGTGCCACACTTTCCAACGGTTCTGCACCAAGTCCTTGCGGATGAGGCCTGTGCGGGTTCCGTGGTCCAATGGACGGAAGAGGGGGAAGCTTGGAAGGTGTTGAGATGGGACGCTCTTCGCCGCCAAGTCCTTCCAAAGTACTTTGCTGATCTTACCGATGAGCACGGTAGGGGAAGTGGAACCATTGATGCTTTCTTGTGGCACTTGACTGCCTGGGGATTTGAAGAAAAGCAAGATGGTTCCTACCGACATGACTTTTTCATTCGTGGAGCTCAAAAGCTCTGCAGCAAGATGAGATCGAGTGGCATCCCAGGTGTCATTCAACAGGGTAAGGGGATTCTAAAGGCTGTCTCTCCTCTTCGCAGTGACAGATCCATGCTGGAGGTTCCTTCTCTCTCTACTTCTCGCCCTCAACTCGAGAACACTGTGGCCAACCACCCCAACAAGCGCGCAAGATATGCTCTTGGTGGCTGGGCTCAACGCCCACAAGAAGTTGTTGATGCTTCCGGCTGGGGAAGATTTTACCCGGAAGCCCAACAAGTGGGTATGAGACATGTTGCTGGCCAATACATTAGCTACCCAATGGCACACCCTGCCACTCCGTATGCTCCACCTCATCCACAAGTTACCAGATCTGGAAGAGGCCGAATGGGAATGAGCCGATCAGCTGCTGCGTCTCCCATTCCATCCACACCAATTGCACGATCTGCCTTTCCAGTTTCGAACCGGGGCAAAGGTCGAAAAGGTGGCAGCGTCTGCCGCTCTTCTCTTCCAAGCCCTGTCACGGTTCCTGCTGGACGCGCATCTCCATTGATCTCGTACGAGGCACCCGACAATGCATCAGAAGCATCCAATGCTGCTGCTCGAACGAACAAGCGCAAGCTACCTCTTGCACAAAAGACTGTCATGAAATAAGTAACACTACAATATTTGCTCCAGCAAAAGGAGCAAAATAGTACCAATATGTAACATTAGAAAACTGGGATTATTTTTATGATTAGAATACAATACTTCTTCCTCACTACACTATTACCTTCTAGCATACTAGTATAATCAAGGTACACAGTAAAACCAACTGGGTACGCTTTTGTAATAGGTACGAGTATGCGGTAGCGAGCGGGATATGGAAAGAGGTTCGACTCAAAGGAGTGAATGAGTCGCAACTTGAAACTGACTTTCCCGCGATGTTTGTCTTGTTTGGATCTTGCATGCGTGCGCGATCGGATGATAAAACACCGGGTATTCGACTCAAAGGAGTACGTCGCTCATCACTGACGAAAGTGACTTGCTGCAAAATTATTTTCGCACTCGAAAGTGACGAAAAGTGATGAAAAATCGGTCCAAGTGAAAAGGGGAGGTTCTCACAAAATCGAAAAACACAAACCAAAACAACCCACCAACTACAACATGCAAATTTCCAAATTTACCCTCATTACCATGAACAAGCGCAACATTAGCAATCACAGAATGTCTCCACGCGACGATTGTAGTGTCGAATTCCAATCAGCCGAGGGCGACATCTCCTGTAAATTCAACTATCTTCTTGAACGAGACTCTTTGCATCTTGTCAAGAACGTACGACGACTTCAGTTGTCACGACTTCTCTGTATTGATGATGCTAACTATGACAGCGAATCATCGGAATTTAGTGATTTCGAGGATGGGGACAGTGAATGGTTCGCCATAAATGTGCAAGGAATTATTGATACACCTACCATCACAAAACGATCCTCTCTATCGTCAAAGGGAGCAGCACCAGTCAAGAGAAGATCCTCAGTCAAATACACCGCCCCATTGAAAGAGGCAACCAAAACATCAGAAGCAACTCGATTGAACAGACTCTTGAACAGGAACATGACAGCGGCAAAGCAAGATTTCCGCAAGAGAGTACGAAATACCATTGGAAGAAACTCTATGGAGCTGAATCGTGACCGCTTGCAAAAGAATGCAGTCAAGGCTACACAATAGATAGAAATAGATTTTTTGAAACAAATACTACATAGAACGATAGAATGATAAAACGATAAATGAAACATCTTCCTGGTTAGTCCTACTTCTATCAAAACATACTTCTCTTTTTCTCCTCTACGGAAATGCTTGTAGGTAAGGGACGCATGGTTCTCTAATTTTCTCAAGTACACAGATATAGGGCTACAAAGGACTGACATCAATCTTTATGGACAGTCTACTACTAGACCCAAACAAGAGAAGAAACTAAACGTAAAGCTTTTCCGTGCTCATGTGTCTTTTGGAGGTTGATTGATTGCAATAGTTCCACGGAACGGCCGTTGTTCTGGAATGTCTGAAATACGTCGAGTCCCTTGGAAAGGCTCTCCTCCAGTTGGCGCACTGTCACCAGTGACCGATGAAATTTGTCGCGTGCCTTGGTTTCCGCCAGCGGGGTTTGTTGGTTGGATGGCTCTAGTACCTTGGAATTGTTGGTTTGCATCATTGGGGGCAACTGGCTGAATCGCTCTAGTTCCCGAAGATGGAAGTTGCCCATTCCCTGGCTGGATAGCCCTGGTACCTTGTGCCATTCCATTGGCCGGCGGAATTTGCCTGGTTCCTTGGAATGACTGATTAGTACTTCCCGGTTGAATTGCTCTAGTGCCTTGGAAGGCCTGTTTTGCAGCAGAGGCAATTGCTTGGACGACTCGTGTACCTCGACCCGTCCCAGAAACAGCTGCGATTTGTCGTGTTCCCTGAAATGATTGGTTTGCATCGCTTGGGGAAGTTTGCGTGTTTGAGTATTGTTGAGATCCACCGGCCGATTGGACACGTCTTCTGCCCTGGACAGGTTCTACACTTCCTATGGCGAGCGTTGATCGTGGTGCGGCGGTGGTTTGCTCTACAGAAGATACACCATTTGCATACTGAAGGATGCGAGTCCCTCTTTGCTGAATGAATTCTTTCATTTCTTTGTTGTTGGCAATGGGTGTAGCAGCAGGTGTTTTGGTGGGCTCCGCGCTTTGAGGTTGTGCAGCAGGTTTTGGCTCTGCTTTCTTTCCATTCTCTGCTTCTGCTTTGGTCCAATCGGCAAACTTGTTCAGTTTCAAATTTTTACCAGTCTGCTTGGCATACGACTTCATTGATTTGTAGTTTGCCAAGAAAATCCCATAGCGATTCGCATCGGCTTTGACACCAAACTCGTTGCACCAGTCTTCATATATTTTGTATGTGTCAATATCTGATTCAGCAGTCAAAGCATCGTATTCCCCTTGAGAGAAGTCCCCGAATTCGTTGAGGTACATCCATCCAGGCGGGTTCGTTCCTTCTTTGAAAGCCTTATATTCCGCCTCAAAATTTGCAACGGTCAAAGTCTTGAAGTTTTGTTTGAAATTTTGAAACCGTTGGTCGTTGAAAGCTCCCTTTCCAAACTCTACGCGCCATTCATCATATGCCGTACGAATATTGTTCTCGTCGTCAAAAATCTTGACACCCAGATCACGTGCAGCAGTCTGGCTCGAAAGGACAGCTCCCAATTGAAAGCTACTGGAGTAATGTCTCTGTGGTGCTGGTAGGATGAATCCTGTTGCTGTTTGTGCTGCGAGAGCAGCGAGAACCAATATAGCAACTCGATGCATCTTCAAATGGAAAGTTACAGTAGATGGGCGCAACAACAAGATCTGACCCTTCCATTTCAGCGACGCGACGTCAGTCAACTGAAAACTGGGAGACTTGACATACGGGGGGGGGCCCTGGATGGATGTACGATACCCCATAAACGAATCTATTTGAAAGCGGGGAATTCGATATTTTAGGGGAACATCGTGAATCATTTGAATATGAATGCTATCGTGTAGCCATATATAGTCAGTCATTGTTCGTTATCACCTCTGGATTTATCATACATTATTATTATAGCTATGCATACAATCTTGCGAAGGAGTAAAGCGACAACTTCATCGCTCTACAAAAGGCGGTAATAGCTTCCCCCACGAGTTCGGACTACCCTTCCCGGTCCGATTGCGTCGATAACAGGCGAGGTTGTGATCTTGACACCATCGTTGAATCCCTTCTTCTTGCTGACGATTCCAGTGAGTGTACCATCTTTATTTACTTCCCAATCGAACAGCAATGCTGCCTTTTGCGTCTTCTGAAACCCATCAACGAAACCCATAAACACTTCAGCAGCTTTAGTTCCACCAACAGATGACGTTTCTTTCTCTCCGAGTTGGTACCGATTACCTGAAGCAGTGACTACGACTGCACCCTCGTATGCTTTTCCAATTATTGGTGATGTTGTTATTCGTACCCCTTTGTCAAAAGAACGTGATTTTTCCACAATACCAGTTATGCTGCCGTCTTTATTCTCTGACCACATTGTTACCGAAGCAAGAGTCTTTGATTTCTCGGCTGAAGGATTCTGCAGCCAGTCGAATAAGTTCTTTTTTTGATCTTGGGTGTTTATTCGATTCAGCACTTCGGCACGCTTTCGTTGCGCTGCCGCAAACTGCTGGTTCTGCTTGAAAGCACCAAGATTCGGTTTGCCCTCATTGCCTCGAAAGAAAGACATGATAGAAGGATATTTCGAATTGTTGAAATTCTCCAATTCTTGCTTCAGCTTTGCGGCCTCTCGGAGAGCTCTCTCTGTGTTCTCTTGCAGCTGTTTTATCCTGTCGATTTCCTCAGTATCATCGGTCTTTCTTTCCATTGCCTGGAACTCCTTCAAACGGCGCTCACGCTCAAGATTCGCAGCCTTGAGTGCTTTTGACCTCTTCTGAGCTTCTAGCAGCGCATTCTCTTCACGTTCCCTACGCTCCCGAGCAAGATCAGCCTGCTCCTCGAGCTGTTTCTGGATTCGCATCCACTCTTCAGCCTCCTCGCGGGCCCTTCGAGCGGCCACCTCTTCCCGCTGTCGTCTTGTGGACGAGTCAGTGGTATCTTTGATCTTTGTTACCTCGGTTACTGTGGTAGCTGTGTCATCCTTGATCTCAGTAGGCTCATTTACTGGAGTTTCAAATTTATTTTCAATCATCTCATCCTATAGGAGTAATTTCAGCGTCATGAGCAAAAGAAATGTCTACATGAAAATTGCAAAGATTCCGACTTACCTCCCACAGATCTTCTACCGTATTTAAGCTGGATACAACTTTCTTTGCTTCTGCTCTGTTTGCAACAATGGGCAATGAGCCGGTCAACGCGTCCAATTCATCGTACATTCTAGGTAGTTCTGATGGAGGCGTATCTTGCAAGCTCTCCAAGTACTTAGTTGAAGCTTCCAATTGAGCCAAGTATTCGGACCGTGACTCCCATGTCTTCGCGACAGCTCCCAAGTAAGATCCTGACAATGGCCGAAAAGCGACAGCTGGGGGGCTTGATGGAATTTCCGATGTTCCTTGAGATGCTTCTTGAGCTCTCTGTTTCGCTTCGATTTCAGCCTGGCGCCGAGCTTCCTCCCAAGCTTGTAGTCTAGATTCTTCCAACATTTGCTGTCGAGCTTCTTCTGCTGCGCTTAAACGAGCTTGTTCTTCCTCTTTTATTCTCGCTACCTCTCCCGCCTCAAGAGCAGCGACTTCAGCTCTCCGAGCTTGAATCTTGGTCTCTTCTTCCATCTCTTTTGCTTGGTTGAGTTTTGAAAAAAGAGCGTCCAAATCTTCTCCTTTTAGCTCTGGCTTCTCTCCAAAGTATGTAGCAAGGACCTTGCCTTTTGATATGCTGTCCAAATAAGAACCATTCGAGGACATGCCAGTATGCAAAGGAACTTGACTTGGAGGCTTCGAATCTGCAGGTGTTTGTTGCTGCTCGTTAAATGGGACTGTTGGCTCTTCCTGTTGCTGCTGCCCATCGAATGAAGGTGCTGAATATTTTTGCTGCTGCTGCCCGTTGAATGGGACTGCTGGCTCTTTCTGTTGCTGCTGCCCACCGAATGAAGGTGCTGAATATTTTTGCTGCTGCTGCCCGTTGAATGGGACTGCTGGCTCTTTCTGTTGCTGCTGCCCACCGAATGAAGGTGCTGAATATTTTTGCTGCTGATGCTGCTGCCCGTTGAATGGGATTGCTGGCTCTTTCTGATGCTGCTGCCCACCGAATGAAGGTGCTGAATATTTTTGCTGCTGCTGCCCGTTGAATGGGACTGCTGGCTCTTTCTGTTGCTGCTGCCCACCGAATGAGGGTGCTGAATGTTCTTGCTGCTGCTGCCCGTCGAATGACGCCGACAATCCACTTTGTCGCTGCCCATTGAAGGAAGCTGATTCTTTTTCCTCCTTCTGCCGTTTGAATGGCGCTGACAATTCACTTTGTCGCTGCCAATTGAAGGAAGCTGCTGATTCTTTTTCTTCCTTCTGCTGTTTGTTGATCTTACGTGAGCTGTATTCTTCTGCTGTGAGGTCGGCGTATTCATTCAGCTTTAAAGGTTTGTTGGTTTGTGCACAATATTCTACTGCGTTTGAGTAGTGTTCTGCGAATATAGGCAGCCGCGATTCGTCGAATGGCTTTCCTTTTTCTTCGCACCAAGCCTCATATATTAGTCGGATTTCGTACTCCTTGGCTTCTTCATTTCGTCTGGCTTCTTCAACTCGTATTTCCTTGTCGATCTCACTCTCACCGCTGTCAATATCCCATTCAAGTGGGTCCCCAATCGGCCCGTACGATGCAGTTGCTTGTTGATTGGGTGCAGTGCTAGAAGATGTTGGGTTCACATTCTTCTGACTGGCAAATTTGCCAACGGAAGCCATAATCTTCTTGTATTCTTCAATGGAGCAGTCCCCATACTCATTCAAACTCATATAGGATGGAAACCCCTGTGATCTGCCTTCGTGAGCTTGTCGTTCTGATGCAGCATTTGCATTTGCTGTCATTAGAGTTCTATAGTTGATCTTGAAATTCTCAAATCGTTCTGACGAATATTCCCCCTTGTTGAATTGCATTCTCCATTTGTTATAGGCATCCATAAGTACATCATCCCCAGGAAGTGTTGAATTGAAGTCCCCGCTTCCCAAGTACTCCTTCAATTCGCTCGAATAGTAAAGTTTCCTGACATTTGAGAATCGTGAAGTTGCTGAATCAGGAAATCGAACGATGAATTGGCGCGAAGGTTGAATCAACACAAAAATCCAAACAAAGAACAAGGCTCCGCTGACTGAACGTTTATCCAACATTGGCTGCAGTTCTTTGGCTCTTTCGCCGCTCAGCTTTCAGTGGTGTTGTGTTATCTTGCTGGTGTTGTCAGACTGACGTTCAGAGTATTGTGTTGTTGGAGGGATGCCTTTGTTCGGATCAATCAATCCGTTGCGGCACGCTCGCTATTTTCTTCGCCAACTGCGAACGAATGACAGAATTTGGTATGAGTAAGATTGTTGTTTGTCGTCTGAAGCTCTAGTACGGTAGTCTGTTTAGTACAGTAGATACCGGTAGACCATATCCATACAATAGAAATCGCTACGAATTATTAATTTACTTGACTAGCTAGCTCAATCTATACTTGCTACCAGATCCGGTTGTTACCACACTTCCGGCCTTCGCGCCCTTGCGAACTGCAGATGTTGTGATCTTGGTTCCATTCTTGAAGTTCGGAGAATTACTAATGACACCAGAGATGGAGCCATCAGCATTTTGAGACCATCGGGAAAGGACTGGGGTGTTGTCCTTTGGTGCTGGGGCAACCTTCTTTACTGGTGCCTTCTTTTGGACTGGTGCCTTCTTCACTGCAGCAGCAGGTGCCTTCTTTGCAGGGGCACCGCCTCCAAAGAGAGAGAATGCTTGCTTCTTTGGAGCTGGGGCTGGTGCCGGTGCGGGTGCTGCCTTTGGTGCTGGTTTTGATCCGCCAAACATGGAGAAAGCAGGCTTTTTGGGTGCGGGAGCTGGGGCTGGAGCAGGTGTTGGTGCAGGCTTCGGTTTGGGAGCTCCAAACGAGAAAGCAGGCTTCTTTGGTGCTGCCTTTGGTGCAGGGGCAGGTTGTGCTGCTGGTGCTGCCTTCTGGCCAACTGGCTTGGTACCGCTGCCGAAGAAAGAGAAGGCTGGAGCAGGGGCCTTCTTAGGTGCCGGAGCTGGAGCCGGAGCAGGGGCCTTCTTAGGTGCTGGTTTTGGTGCGTTAAAGAACGAGAAGGATGGAGCGGGAGCCTTCTTTGGAGCAGGGGCTGGAGCGGGAGCAGCTGCCTTCTTTGGTGCTGGCTTTGGTGCGTTGAAGAAAGAGAAAGCTGGAGCAGCAGCCTTCTTGGCAACGGGTTTCTTAACTGGAGCTGGCTTGGGGGCGGGGGCTGCCTTTGGAGCTGCGGTCTTCTTGGATCCACCAAAAATTGAAGACAAGGTTTCTGACACCGGATCACTAATATCAATCTTGGGTGCTGGAGGTGCCTTGGGCGCTGGAGCAGGTGACTTGGTTTCTTTCTTTGCTGGCGCGGGGGCAGAGCCAAAGATGGAATCCAAACTTAGAGTTGGTCTTGGCGCGGCCTTCTTTGCCGGAGCAGGAGCAGCCTTCTTAGGTGCTGGAGGAGTGGCCTTGGCAGCAGGAGCCTTGGTTTCTGACTTCGGCCCAGAGAAAATGTCAGTTAGGCTAAGTGTAGGTCTGGCCTCGGCCTTCTTTGGAGCTGGCTTGGCGACTGGCTTGGGAGCCGCAGCCTTCGGAGCTGCGGGCTTGGACTCTGGTGCCTTGAAGATATCGTTCAGGCTGAATGTTGGTCTGTTAATGGCTGCCTTAGCAGGGGTGGGCGCATCCTTTTTGGGAGCAGCAGGGGCATCCTTTTTAGGGGCAGGGGTATCCTTCTTGGGGGCTCCAAAGATTGAATCCAAGCTGAGAGTTGGACGAGGTGGGACTGGGATGCTCTTCCTTGGTGGGGCCTGCTTTGGTGGCACTGGGACCTTCTTTGGCACTGACACCTTTCGTGGTTCAGGCTTCAATGCTTCTTGTTTCTTTGCCCAAGCCGCGGCCTTTTGACGAGCAAGCTCGCCAGCTTCTTCTTGGATGGCACGGGCCTTGGCAATCGATGCCGCAGAGGCTTCAGCGGCAGCCTTGGCCTGTTGAGTTCAGAAAACGAGATATGGGTGAGTCAGAGCGGCACTATACATGAATTTGCCAACAATGGATCACTTACAGCAGCAATTGCAGCAGCTTCTTCAGCCTGACGTTCCTTCTCCAAAGCTTTAGCTTGCGCACTTTGACGATCACTCTTTTCCTTCTCGATCTCCTTTCGAATTTCCTCATCTGTCATGGAAGCAAGACGGGCCTTTTCCGCAAGGTACTTCTCTGCCTTTTCTTCTTCGGACTTTCTTTTGGCTTCATCAGCGGCCTTGATCTTGGCCTCCTCGTCAGCCTTAGCCTTGGCGGCAGCTTCTTTCTTAGCCTTGGCGGCAGCTTCCTCGTCAGCCTTAGCCTTGGCAGCAGCTTCTTGCTCGGCCTTGATCTTGGCCTCTTCATCAGCCTTAGCCTTGGCGGCAGCTGCATCTTCTTCTGGACTTGGTTCCACCTCCTCTTCAACCTTAGCTTCCACCTCAGATTCGAGCTTTTCCTTAGCTTCCACCTCAGGTTCGGGCTTTTCCTCAGCTTCCACCTCAGGTTCGGGCTTTTCCATAGCTTCCACCTTAGCTTCCGGCTTTTCCTCTACAACAGGGGCAGGGGCAACTCCATTTTTTTGGTTCACGTATTCTTCTTCTGTGTAATCAGCGAATTCGTTCAAAAGCATACTTTTTCCACTTTCCTTGGCATATTCTTCCATTTCCAAATAGTTGGACATAAATTGGGTAAACCTGGTTTCATCTGGCTCCTTTTCGTATTCCTTGCACCATTCTAGGTAAGCTGATCGTACTCGGGCTTCTCGTGCAAGATTGTCGTTCTCAAGTGCTCCACCATCTGGTGCAATTCCCTCCAACGAGTCTAGTGCTTGCTCCAATTCCTCAACACTTTCAAGTCCCAATTGTGCAGCCAATTTCTGTCATATCAGTACGAATTTCCAACAGATTGCATCAGCTAAATAATCTAGAATCAAGTCACAAAACAGGTTCGTAGACCTACCTCTTCCTCTTCGGCTAAAGCATCAGAAGCCTCTTGAAGGGCCGACGAAGCGGCCATTTGCGATTGAGCAGCTTCCATCGCCTGTCCAAGAACATCAGACGAAGTTGGAGGAGCTTCTGGTTCCTCTCCCTTGGTCATTGCCTCGTATTCTTCAGCAGTGAAGTCGGCATATTCGTTAAGGTTAAGCATAGAAGGGGAATCGTTTCCTTCATCGCGGGCCTTCTTCTTGGATGAAACATTAATGACTGCAATAGCTTCGTAATTTGATTTGAATGCTTCGTATCTGACTGGATCGAATTCTCCCTTTAGGTATTCATCCCGCCATTGGTCATACGCCAAACGGGCAGCTGCATCATACGGAATGGAAACATCAGATTCCGTCGACATGTCAACCGAAACAGCATTCCTGGCAACATTTCGCCCTTGGAATCCCGATGGGACAAAGGCCGCAACGTATTGTGTCTCAGCTAGTAGTGCTAGCAAAGCGAGGCCAAGAACCTTCATAATTGATGGGTAATCGACTAGAGAATGGTTGGATAGCTGTCGAAGGGATGGATCTCTTCGTGGTCCGTCGTCGAACAGAGGATTTCACTTGGTATTGCGTATCTCACAACTTGAACCAATACGTCACACAACTCATGCCGTAGAAATTACGGGGAAAATGTACTAAGGTTTTCTATTCGTAACTTCCAGGTGGCAATCTGGTCCAATAGGTCGAGCCAGTTCGAAATCTTGGCGGGTGACAGGCAGGCAACATCTGAAAAAAACCTGGACTGCTGGAAAATACATTACCATCGTCAATCTGGAAGACTATTTCTTGTAGCTAACTGCATATTCCTGTTCGCCCATTGCCTATCCATGTTGTTTTCTTCGTTTCGTATGATGTGCGCAGTTTCCCTTCCAATAGTCTTTCAAGCCACCGCTATATCGGTAGTAGTAGTATCCTTCTTTGCTTTGTTGTTCCTCATCTTGTTCCCCTTCCCTTTTGCTCCCCTCAATTCCAATCAAAAAGGGCTACTGCTGGTGCCCAGAACAACGGCAAGGCTTCCCTTGGTAACTTGACAGGAGCTTCCGTAATCTCCAAAGCAGTGATGATCTTTCCAGTATCAGGATCTGTCGTGTACATGGAACAACCCTGCAAATTGGGCAGTGCAACTCCATTGACTTCCAGGTGCCATCGGCTTCCAATTGTCGTTCCAATACTACTGACAGCAGCAGTAGCAGCAGCAAAATTATTACGGCTAGTATCCACCGCCAAATCGTCCAGCACAATCTTTGCAGACGCCGGCAAGACGTTTGCATTTTGAATCAAATGCTCTCGAATGTCCTCTTTGCCTTGCAAGGTCCCACAAAAGACGGAATCTTCGGTTTGGTAGACACAATCAACATCTAGACACTCCAAGGCAGCCTCCATGTCTCGCCGGTTCCAAGCATCAAAGTACCTTTGGACGATGCACGACGACGAGTCATCTTGACCAGCAGTTTTTGCAGGAGTAGTAGCCGTAGATCCCGAACGTTGTGTTGGTGCTCGAGACAACAAGGCATTGACGACGTCCCGATTGGGCTTGACCACCATTTCACTCACCCGGTAGCCACTTTGAATGAGACCGGATCTTTGGTCCAAAGTATAAAACGAACATCCTTTGGTAAACTTGACCGTAGATCCATCGCGACGAGCCACGTGCCATTGGGTGGCAATCTTGTTGGTTTCCACATTGTACGCCAAATGATCCAAAACAATTTGACAATTGCGAGGCAATAGATTGGCTTGTTGCGTAAAGTGCTCCTCCACTTGTTGACGATTTGTCATTGCGCCTAAATACTGGTAGTCGCGATATTCCAGATTCTCCTTGACGAAACACTTGGAAACAGCAACCATATCTCGTTGATTCCAAGCCTTGTAGCATTCTTCTACAATGGTTAGAGGTGACCAGGTATCATCATTATCATTCATGGTTTTTGGTCCCTTTCGCTTTTTTTTCTTGCTGCTGGTAATTTCTTTCTCGTCGTCATTCCATGGAGCTGGCTCACAAGAATCTTGGTAGGGAGTGTGCACTACTAGACATTCTTCTTCGTCGTCTTCTGCTAGTAGGAGTGGCAATAATGAATTGGACGATGATCCAGGAGTTCCAAAAAGAATTTCGGTTGAAATCATATCGTTGGAAGAAAAGGCAGCAGCTGGTGGAGCTCGTTGGTCCATCATCATGATAGCTTCGTCGTCGTCGTCCTTTTCACCTTCGTGCAAATACTCTTGCCAAAGCTGATGCAGACTGCCAGGACGAATCGAGGTTTCAAAGAATCGACCAGTGCGTTCGTCAAAAATGAGTTCCTTGTTGCTCTTGGTCGTAAAATGATACTTATCGAGGGACTGCAGCTGGGAGGAGGGGTCGACTTGTCGTTGTTGTTTGTCCACCATTTGTTTCTTCTTCTTCTTGTCCACCATTTTCATCGTGTCCTTGGTGTACTGCAAGTCCTCAGTCTTTACCATTCTATTGTCCCTGTCTTGTTTAATTTCCTTATCGTTCGACTTAGATCGCAGTTTATTCTTGGTGGCGTGAAGAGCATGTTTCGTGGTAGCCGTTGCTGTGGGCGATGGAACAAAGCCGGTGACCATACTTTCCGACGCCAGACACAAGAGAATGAAGACAAACGACAGCAAACGGTGAATCATTGTCGCCTTTGTCTGTTTCTGTTTCAGGATTTATCTTCGTGATAGAGTGAATGAATTAGTGTATTGTGGCGTTGTGTAGAATTGTTGTGTTTGTGTGTCTTCCAGCTGTTGTTGTTGTTGTTGTCGTTGTCGTTGGAGGAGTCAGGCTTCGTTTTTGCTCTGTTGTTATGGTTCTTCGTTGTTGTGATTGTGACGACGGTGTTCTCATCCCGCGTCAGCAAATTGAAAATGCCGCCACCACATCAAATCAATCGTATGAGTCGAAAGCAACAATCGTCAAAAGATCTTATCTTCGACCGCAATGATGTCATCTTTCTGCATCTCCACACCATCCATCATCCATCATCCATCAACGACCGGATCGCACCCCATCCACCATACATAGCTCGAGCCAAAAACAAAAGCAAAAGCAAAAGCACAGAAGAAAATCAACACAATATTGATTGCAGGGGCATGAAATTTCAATCCACTCTCCTGTTTGCCTTACTCAGATCCACACGAGCTCTTTCCAGCACCACCACTTGCGCTCGCCATCCCCGCTCAAGTCCCCTTTCCTTTGCATTAGCCAATCGTGGTGGTGGTGGTGGTGGTGGATTACTATCCTCTCAAAGACTCTCTGCCACACCTTCTCCGGACGACAACGACGAGCCGAATCGGATTCCCGCAACTGGTTGGAATCACAATCCACCCAAGGAGGATTCCAAATTTTGGCAAAACAACAATCAGAACAACGACAGCAACAGCGGCATCAACGGCGACAGACCTCAAGAGGAGGAAAAGCCCAAGAAATTGCGCACTGGTTGGTTGCACAATACAGAACCAGCCAAAGCAAAGAGTAAAACCTCGGACCCAGCAGGAGGAAAAGGAGGAGGCTCGACTACTACCAACTTGGCCCAAGAACGACTGAAACAAGCCATGGCGTTGCAAGAACAAAACCATCGCATCGTGGGACCACCCACCTTTCATGCTTGTGGAGATGGACGTCAAGTCGTGGTTACCGAGCACAAAATCTCGGTTCCCATTTATCGAAACCAAGAACGATCGCCTCGCATGGACGTAGCGTTTAGCGTAGTGGAAGAAGTCAAGGATTTGGACACCCAGTCTTGGTTTCAGTCTCTACTACAATCACCAAACCCCTTTCAACGAGCTACCCAATACGTCCAAAAAGCTAATTTGAAGGATGCCAAGGGCATGTGCTTGTATCTGCAAGGAGGTCCTGGATTTGGATCCCCGCAACCCATTGCTGGCTTGGGATTTTCCGCTGGCAGTTCTTGGGCCGCCAAGGCGCTCGGGACCTATTCGAGAATTGTCCTCATGGACCAACGAGGAACGGGCAAGTCGACACCCATTACCAAACAAACCTTGGAACAACGATTTCCGGACCTCTTTCTCTTTGATGGTAGTAGTGGTGGTGGTAGTACAACAACAACAACAACAACAACAACAACCACACAGGATGCCTTGGAATCCCAATTTGCCCAACGGCCCGAGGACCATGCCAAATTTCTTGCGGCATTGTCACAAGCCACCGAGTACATGGCCCAATTCCGAGCGGATAACATTGTCAAGGATGCTGAAGCCATCAAGTCTGCTTTGCTGGTACCACTCGAACCAGGATCACCCGCACCAGGACCATTGCCCTATGGTTGTGCCATTGGGCAATCCTTTGGTGGATTTTGCATGATGTCCTATCTGTCACTGATGGAGCATCCACCTACGATTTGCCTCTTGACGGGGGGTATTGCACCCATGCTGACACCAGCCTACGAGGCGTATTCAGGCTTGTGGGAACGGGTCAAGGAACGAAGTTTGCAATATTACGACATGTACCCAGGAGACATCAAGATGGTCAAGATGATTGTGAAAAAGCTACTGGAGGAGCCACAAAGACTACCATCGGGTGGAACTTTGACGGCACGTCGGTTCTTGCAACTGGGCATGGGATTGGGTGGTTCCCCATCGGCATTTGCCTCCTTGCACAACAAGCTTGCCAATGCCTTTGTGCAAGAAAATGATCAAATCGTTTTCACCAGAGCCTTTCTTAAGTCGTTTGATGCGGAACAACCCTTTGGTGATTATCCCATTTACTATTTCATGCACGAAAGTATCTATGCGGACGGTCCCGAGAATTCGCCCACCAACTGGGCAGCCAACCGGGCCTACCAAAATAAGATTCAAACGCCATCCGACTTTGATTACAAATTGACAAGTGGCATGGATTCGGATGCAAAACCTGTGATATTCTTTGGAGAAATGGTCTTTCCCTGGATGTCGGAGGATTATGCGGAATGTGGCGATGTGGGGTGCCAACACTTGGTCAATTCATTGGCCACCAAGACGGATTGGCCGAACCTATACAATGGAGAACATATGCGCCAAGTTTTAGATGATGGTCGAAGTCGAGCGGCTTCTGCCAGCTATTTGGACGACATGTATGTCGACTGGGATTGTGCCAAAAAGGTCCTTTCTCGAGGAGGGCCGTTGGAAAAGTGCAAGGCATATGTCACGAATGAGTATCAGCATTCCGGACTCCGAGATGATGGAGCCAAAATTTTTGCCAAGTTGCATGGGATGGCCATGGGAAGTGTTCGAACTCCTAGTTAATGTCAGCTAGAACTAGATGCAATGTTACGAAGCACATTCTGTTATGCAATGAATTAATTAATTGATTGATTAATGGGCTGGTCTGGCAACTTCTACTTCCAGCGAAAGTTCCTTTTGCAACTGAACCAAAACATCTTCAAAGCAGCGGATATCGCATGTACCAATCTTCTTCCCATCTATGGAAACGATCTTATCTCCAACTTTCAATCCATTCGAGTATCCAGTATCTGAAACCGATGCAACTACCAAATAGTGTGATTGATCCTTACCATCAACTCGAAGAGACATGTCCCATTTGCTGTCAGACAAAGGCCGTTTCAAGCGTACCATATGCCGCGGATCTGTCGCCTCGCACGACAAACGTGCGTTCATGACAACCTGAGGATCAAGCTCCTCTTCCGTCGACGATTCGCTTGCATCTGATGAATCGTCACTAATCTCGATTGTGTTTTCACTCGAATTGATGACAGGGACTGTGAAGCCCATTCCTTCATTCGATGGTAAGCTTACGCGCTCTTGACCGCTTGCACTTGTAATAGGCTTGAAAAGATCATGCCGGAAATTATTTGGATCTACATCCTGCTCTTCCGCAGGCTGCACTTCTTTGAATGCAGGCTTCAAATTCCTGTTTCGATGGAGTTTGCAAAGAAATGGCTTTTTGTTTTGAAAACTGCAACCAGATTCAATGGCGCACCCATAGTGGTATATCGAAGCACAGGAGACCTCACTGCATGTAATAGTAGCCCCGCCACGTTCACAACAAGTACAGGTTTTCGCCATGTCAAACGCACGAAAGACATTTCGATACTCTTTTCCCATTCTGCTGTGTTCCGCCTCAGACGTATCGATAATTGTGGTGAGTTTAATACAGTTTTCATGAGCGCAGATTCTGCGAGTGCCACATTGAAAGGCAAGCAAATCACTACTGCTGACAGCACTGTTGCCCTTTTGGCAAAAGGCGCAAACAACCGGAGACGATGAATTCTTCCTCAAATAGAACTCAAGTGATATTCTGTCGCATTGGTCGGTTGACTCGGGTGGTGGGCGATGTAAATCGCAATAAAATACTTTGCTGTCTCGATCGAAACGCCACCCAGTGTCTTCCGCGCATGCAAAGTGGAAAATTCGGAAACAATTTTCTCCTGTGCAACCAACGGTGGCCCCATTCTTCTTGCAGATGTCGCAGTTTAAAGCTTTTCCGCGATTTACGGCCTTGATCACATGTTTCCACTTCGAGTCGACGACTTCGACCTCGGGGCAGTTTTCGGCACAGTTGTTGTGTACTAGGACTTGCCTTGAACCGCGCTTGAATGCAACTAGTCGGCCCTCCCGTATTGTGCCACCATCCTTGTGACACAGGCTACATTTGAGTTCCGCCAAAGGATTTTTGTATCTGAAGAGCGGTTCTGGTATCAGTCGATCAATCTCCTTCTCAGAATCTGATTTGAATAGAATTGTCGAAATGACTTCTGCTGCTGCTCTCTGACCAGAAAGCATCGCCCCGTGCGCCATGCTTGGATGTAACGCCGTTGTGTGCTCTCCAGCAAAGAATACTCTCATGGTCTCGTTTCCTTCTACCCAAAGCGAATCGCCATTTCCATTTATTGGCGATTGTAGACTCTGGAAATCTTGATCCGTTGCCCCCGGTGGCAAGAAAGTGTATGATCCACGAGAGAACTTATCTTTTCCCCATCTAGTGATACGATGGAACTTTGGCTTCGGGAGCGTTTGGTTCGAAAACATGATTTGCAGGCTTTCCATGACTTCGGAGACCAAATCTTCATCTGAAAGGTGTTCGCACTTGACTGCTTCTTTTCCAGAAATAAGCGACATCAACATGGCTGGGGAGTCATCACCCTTGTCTCCAATAATCTTTCCAACATCAAAAAACATGTAATGATGGGGGTGTTTTCCAGTCACGTTCCCAAAAAGGCATTGGTCCCTGCTTTCAAAGAGACCCTTGGACCTCCAAAAGGCAGAATCGAAACATAGGTAGACTTTGTTCAATAACCCGAAGCCAACGTTTGTAATCGCATCAATCTTTGAGAATGGAAGTGCAGGCTGAAAGGACAGTGTGGTAGCGCTACCATCCAATGACGGATACTGCGTCGCTTCCTTCAATACACCCAAAGGCGCAGCACATATCAAGAAGTCAAAATACTTGGTATCCGTGCCATCTTGCTTTGAAACACTACAAGTATCAGACATTTCCACAAGCTTGCGACTTGTGCCAAAGCTATCACCTCCATACTGGTGCGTGGCTGACTTCCGCGCATATTCAACTTTTCCCACAGGATAATCCTTCACAAGTTCAAAATACTCCGATTGTGCTTGCAAAGTTTCCAGCATGTAGTCGACAGCAGCACCATATCCTTGCTTGAGCATGACATGGTCCCCTTCAAATGCATGGCGCTCATCGCTATCCCAAAATTTCATCGACAGGTCTGCCAGGTTCGATCCGAGCGCATACTCGACGTTTTTCGTATTCCATAGCAACATCCTGTGTTCCGCACTTCCCAGTTTCGAAAATTCTCTCAGCTTGTGTTTTGAGATTGCTTTTCCAATCTCATAGTCAACCGTTTGGTCAGTCGACTTTCGATGAAGTGGCACACCAGTAGGCTGCGGGACTTTCTCCGACTCGCTCTTTTCATCTTTTGGCTTTGCAAACACAGAAGCGTACCACTTGACTGCCTTTTGCTGTGAACCCGCGTCCGAAGGAGTCCAGCAATCCTCCGCCGCGTGGTCGAGTAAATCATCGAAGAGTTGCCCCATTCGCTCATCCATCTTTTCGTCAACCGTTTTGGCTTTTTCATCAATCATCACAACCTCTTCCGATGCGGTAACGAAATCAATATTTGCACGTCTACACATTGCGGCCAAAGGGTTGTGATCGATTCCATGAATCCAAGAAGCCCCAAGCTGAAACAGTCAATTGCATTATGTTGGCACCATATGCATAATCGTGTCAAATAAAGCTTTTCACTTACCTCCATCGGTACGGTGGATCCATCTTTTGGTGACACGAATTTCTCCGTGAAAAGACGGCCACCAACCCTCGACCGCGCCTCCAAAAGCGTCACCTTTGCCTTGATTCCTTCGTTTTTCAGGAGAGTTAATAACTCAAGGCAGCAAGACAACCCTGCGATACCACCACCAATTACTCCAATTTTGTAATACTCCCCCGACCTGGTTTGCATTGGAACTGACTGCAGCCGGGTTCCACCAGCAAGAAGAGCCGCTTCCGCCTCAGCGTTTGTTGTTGAGTTCTTGTCCCAGACAACATTTCCACTATTATCACGTTTCATGTTCAGCATACCGAGGACCCGATTATTTCCGGATTGGAGGTTGGACAATGGATAGAATGGAGGCAATTGGGTATCATTTAGAAAGGTACTCAACGACATGGATGCTCTCCACCCCTCATTCGATTCCGCCTTTTCTATTTGTGATGTCAGTGTTGCAGGTGGCACTTCATATTGATAGTAATCTGGTCCAACAAAATCTCCTCCACTTTCACAGGCATTCAGAATGCGTTCTCTCTTTGCAGAGTCTCCTTCACTTGCCTCATTCACATTCAGAAAAGTTGCTAGTAACTGCCTGTAATCTGATAGGCTAGATGATGTCGACCTCACATACTTGAATTTTTGGACAGATTGATTCTTCGCGGATGGCGGGAGCTCTGTCTTTTCCTCTACTTTTTGGCGCTTGTTTGGCTGCGAGTCATCTCCTTCCTCGGCTTGCTTTGCTTCTTCTTCTTTCTCCTTGTCCAGAATCAATTTCATCCTTCTATTGAGTTCCAACGAATCTGCTTGATCTTGAAACCATAGACTCGATGCCTCCTTGAGAGCAGACTGGTCGACCATGACACCATAGTATCTCTTGTTGTTGGATGTGGTAGCGCTCACATAACATCCTTCTCCTGACTTTCCCGTGGGCCCATGATGAAGTGTAAAAGACTCCTCTACTTTTACATTTTCAATCTCCTGGTGCTTCCGTAGCCCTCCACCACGTCGTCTTCCTCGTCTCTTTTTTTCAGCTGTACTCATCTGGAGTAGCTAGTTCACAACAGCATTGATGTTTGATCATAAAGTTTGTTGTGTTTTGTTTTGTTTTGTTACTGGTGCTGATGGTTCGACTACTTTGATTGGATCTTCCACCAAAATGTCCGTCCATCCGTCCGCCTGTCACAATAATCAACAACGAAATTGCCAACACCGTCATCATCAATACTTCATCCACCAACTCAAAACGTAGTCTCACTATAACCGCTGACCAATTCAACAGCATGGATTATTCGGCGCCTCCACCACCACCACCACCACCTCCTCCTCCTCCGCCGCCGCCGCCACCGCCGCCTCCGCCACCGCCAATGCAGCATCAGCAATTTCACATGCAAGCTCCACCACAAATGGCCGCTCCTCTCAACATTGTAAGTTTTCGTTTGCTTTATCAATAGAAATGATATCATGTCAATGAATGTATATCTCACCAATTCGTTGACCTCGTCTTATTCCTTTGGTTTGAAGGCTGTTGATCCAGAAACAGAAGCTTCCATCCGGGATGCCTTAGTGACGTCCTCTCAACTGATAGAACAAGCTCGATCTCTCTCAACGGAGCGAGAAGCCAATCACTTGTTAGCGTCATCGTTATTATTGCATGCTGATGAATCGGAAGTTGACATTTCAAAATATCCAGGGGGAGTCCAAGATGCTTGGGTGGTTCTTTCAGAGGCATCCAAACAACAATCATTACAGAAAGAAGCCATTGATTTACATGCTGCGACAGAGAAAGAACAAGAAAAATTGCCAATGGGAACGGGACAATTGGGCAAGGCCATTCAATACACGACAATTTCAGACTCGTTGCATAAAGTCGTAGCGTTAGATAAAGAATTGAAGCAACTGGAGAAGGACAAAAGCAGCATCCTGAAGAAAGCCATTTCCAAAGCCAAAACTTCGGTCCACGGCAGCATGGTCGCGCCAGTTTGGCTCAAACTCTTCGACGAACGCCTACAAGAAATAAGGTCATATCATGCTCGACATGATAGTGGGCGTACCAAGCGATCCCGACTTGGTAATCCAGCGGCGGATGGATACGATCTGGCATCTTCTGTTACGGAAACCATTCAACCCATCAAGGAGGGAACCATGTTTGGTGCCGAAGAAGTCATGGGGAAGTATCTGGATTTGACCAATGTATATGAAAGCACCGTGGTCCCAATCAAGCATGTGTTTGTAACTCCACCTGCCGATGCTACCGCCACCACCACAGACAACAACAAGGCAGCAGCCGATTTTGGGTTTGTCGACTTTTTGTCGCTTTTGTCAGCGGGCATTAACATGAAGGTGTCCGAGGAGAAAAAGCTAAAGGACCGGCGAAAATACGTCAAGTTTCTGGTTGCGATGCAAACTTACCTGGAAGATTTCCTGAAACGAACGCAGCCTCTTTTGGATCCCAAGGACGTCACTGGACCTGCAATAAAACAGTTTGAAGAAGACTGGCGACAGACGGGAGGATGCGATGGCTGGGAGGCCAAACCGGTAGAAAGAACAATGGTGGATTCGGGTGAAGCAAGCACCGATGCTGCTAGTGGTATTGACTTGTCACCGTACTCTTCTGCTGCCGAGCTGGAAAAGGGTGTCGATGGGGATGCACTCAAAGCCGAGCTTTCTCGATTGGGATTGAAATGTGGAGGAACCCCAGCTGATCGTGCGAAACGTCTCTTTACTACCAAGGATACGCCCATGGATAAATTACCCAAGAAATTCTTTGCCAAGAAAGCTAAGGGAGGTGCTACAGGAGATGGAGTTTCAGCTTCTACAACCAAGAATGAAAGTCGAGTAGATGTTGCAAGAAAGGAAGCCGTTGTGATTGCTCTTTTCAATCAACTGAAACCAACGCTAGAAGCTACATTGAAGCGACAAGAACGGAGAGAAACACAGACCAACAGAGAGCGAGAAAAGGAAATGGACGAAGATTTGCATGGTTCCGAAATCAAGGGACCAAAACAAAAGAAAGAAGGAGACGATGATGATGATAGCGACGATGAAGATGCACCAATTTACAATCCAAAGGGTGTACCGTTGGGATGGGATGGAAAGCCAATTCCTTACTGGTTATTCAAACTACATGGTCTCAATCATTTCTACTCTTGTGAGATTTGTGGTAACGAAACCTATCGTGGACGTAGGAACTTTGAGATGCATTTTGCTGAAGCGAAGCATGCGTTCGGAATGAAGTGTCTAGAAATTCCAAACACCAAGCACTTTCATGGTGTCACCAAGATTGAAGATGCGAAAAATCTATGGGAAAAACTAAAACACCAGTTGCAAAATCAAGAGTTTGATGGCTCCCAAGAAGAAGAGTATGAGGATTCCCATGGAAATGTGCTATCACGAGCGACGTACGAAGACTTGGCTCGACAAGGAATGCTCTAAAATTGTAGTTTACAACTTTCTCTACTTGCTCTATTCTGTGTTGTGTGTATAAATTGTTTCTGAAAATCGAGTCTTGGCCAAGTTCCTAATAATAGCTTTTAAATCCAATAAATCAGAATGATCTTGTTGATATGAAACTTGTCTGGCAGCACCCACCATATGAGTCATAATGGCGTGTAGTCCAGGAGTATAATGTGAAACTACCAAATACAGCAGTCCAACGTTCTTGGTAATCCAAGGTTCGTAGTGCCACCACCAAAATCGTGATGACATGGCCCTCACCATGAGCTGTGCGACTCGGTCAGGATCCATTAAGGAAACATCGTGTGGCTGATGCACATCATAATTAAGATTGTGCCACATGTTTGTCTTGGTCCCTCCGATAATGGCGACCTGGACTTTCAGCCACCCAAACTCTTCGGTACTCAAGGTTTGAAAGTAGTTCTTCAAGGCAGCCTTGCTGGCTGCATATGACGAACATAGTGACTGTGGACCCTTGGCCATGACCGACGCCGATACGACGATATGTCCATGACCCCGTTCCTTCCATTTGTTTTGTCGCATCAACTCCATTGCGAGTTCCACTGGTGCCTCATAGTTGACCCGAGTAAGGCGCCTGGTTTCGTCCATGGAAGTGTCAAGTGCCGGTTTCGCTTGATATATTCCACTATTGAGCATCAGAATGTCGATCTCACCATCACTGGCCATCATTATGGCGTTACCGACAGCTGTGGTTGTTTGATTGGAATCCATTGCGTCATACGGAACAATGACCAGCTGTGTTGAGGACGTTGGATATTTCTGTTGGCATTTGTGGATAACATTTTCAAGCTTGGCAACGTTTCGAGAGGAAATAATCACTTCTTTGGCCTGCGCTTCTACTAGAGTACAAACTAAGCTTGCGCCAATGCCGCTCGATCCCCCTGTCAACCATATCCGCTTTTGTTCGAGATAACTGCGTTGCGTGTTTGTGTTCACTGGAAAGATTAGATTGTGGAAAAAGAGGCTCGGGTTTGCATCCAATTGAATCCAACCGACTGAGAAGATTACAGGAAATAGAAGGAATACGAGCTTTGAAAAAGATCTCATCGGATCAATAATGGTATTCTCTTCTTGACAAGCAAAACATCTTTTGAATTTGGGAAATGATGACTGACTCGTTCGATTATAAGTTGGAAAAATTGACTCGTTCGATTAGAAGATGACGTGTCGTGTCACTCAAAGTATCCAGAATTCGATGAGAACGTAAAATGACACATCAGTCAGAACTTTGTGAAGTGGTATCTAATGGTGGCGATGAAAGGAGCCATTAAGGCCACGACAACCCTCTTCCTTCTCTCGAGTCTCTCGTCTTCATCAGCGTTTCAGAATTATGATTCTGTGATCTCGCCAGCCCCGAAGGAAAGCACTTCTTTCTGGCAAGTGGAAATCAATGAGTTCTTTAAGAAAGCAGTGCCAGCTCCTTTCCGACAATCCATATCTATCTTTTACGAAAAAGATGATGAATTGGATCCTGAAGATTTCATCACAATAATCACAGCAGCACCAAGTTCGCCTGGCTTTCCTCGGCCATTGTGGGCGGTGCTTATGGCCAGCATTCCCACGGGTCTTTTCTGGTATGCTTACTACAAATTTGCTGTCGAGGAGGAGCTACTCCAAACAGAAATCAAGCAGGGGAAAGAACCACGAGGACTTGGTGGTTACGGGACACTAGGTGAGTTGACTTTTTTACTTCTTTGAATTTTTTGATCTGTATGTTTGTCTCTCATCTATCATGATCTTTTAAAAAAATCTACCTATGCTTCAACAGGGCCTTTTACATATGGACTACTCTTGGGACCCATTGCTGAAATCTTAGATACACCTGGTGGAATGCAGTGGTCTCTTCTCTCGGGTGTATATTTGTTTTGCTCGCAAGTTTTGCTCTATGAACGTGTCAATGATCTCTATCACGAAGAAGGTCGTGAAAGGCCACTTCAGGCATGGTGGAGTCTGCCATTGTTTTTTCCATTCAACATTATTGTTGGATTGCGCCAAGTTCATTTCTTATCGCAATATCTTTCTCGGCAAAGGGGTCTCAAACTTGCAAAAGATCCCGTCTGCGATTTGTTTCCATTCATTGAGGTTGAATCTCTTACTTGGCAACAGTTCATGGTTAGCCCAAAACTGTGGTGCTCTTGGTTTCGGGATATTGATAACCTTGACCCAAATTTCCTGCTCCCAAAGGATTGGCAACCAGTAGATTGAATTCACGATGACTCAAGCTACAGCTTATTGAAGAACTAGATAGAAAGAATAATGTGTACTAGAGGCTGTAGCAAGTGTACAACTATATGCCTTACACCATGCGCGAAAAATGCCGCAGAAGACATAGCGTGTTCTTCATTTTGTTTTGTAGGGCTTCTGAAGAAGAATGTTGCTCTTTTCTCAACAGAGTGATGTATTTCACTGCTTCTTCTCGTTGTTGTAGTAAATAATCTGATTCTCCTTCTTTGGAGTCGTCCGGGAAGTCGTCAATTCCAGCAAGTGTGTTGGAATGCAAATGGAGGAAACGATGCAAATATGCGTTGACTGCTTCGAATCGTTCCCTTGACTTGCAAGCCTCAAGAAGCCATCTACACGCAAGAACCAGCAAAGGTAGCCCGCCTTCAAGATCGTGCATCCCACTGCAGAGTGAATTGAACGAAACGTCAATCGAGGAAGGACCAAGCGTAGCAATGTGGTCCGTCACTGCTTGGAATTGTTTTCCACCGATTGGCTTTTGGCTGGCACATCTATCCAAGAGTTCGGCAAGCTGAGATCGATAGTGAGTCACTTTGCGCTTCTTTGCAACCGTTGTATCAGCAGTCTCTATCTCTCGTTCTCTCTTGGCGTCACTCTCCGTGGGTGGCAAGCCATTGTCATCACCAAAACCTTTGTCGTTTTCATCATCTGACCATGCAGCGTTCCATTCGTCATCGTCACCTTTAACTGGTTCCTCAGTCTTCGTGGTTTCAGGGTTTAGCGTAGCTTCGCCATCGACAGCCACTCGCGGTCTCCATTGAAGGAAGAAAGGAGCCGTTGGTGGCTTCTTGGGAGCTTCCTTGGGTTTGTTGCGAGCCTTCACCAGCTCTAGGTGGAAGAGGTTCTTCCAATGGGCTGGCGGAAGACCACTCATTGTGATCAGACCCTTCTCTTTCGCGGTAGCAAGGCCCTTGTCTTCTTCGTCTTCTTCTTCTACTTGCTCTTCGGATGATGCATTTGCGGAAGATTGCATTCTTGCGAGCGCATTCTTGTGATCATCTTCAGAGTTTTCAACTTCCGCCAGTGGAGCAGGGTCGTCCATTTGGGCAGGAGCTTTCATAGCAGCAGCTCCATCGGCGTGTACTGCCTGATAGTAGCTTCGATCACTCCACATGCTGATTCCAAGCTTGCCATAATGTGTTGTGGCAAGGAATTCTCCAGTTGGACTAATGGTAAGCGAAGTTGGAGCAGTATTGAATCCAAGCCAATCAACGCAGGAATTGGTTGGCACATCCCAAACCCGGACTGTCCTATCTAAAGACGAGGTGTAGAGCGATCTTCCATCAGGGCTGAATCCTAGATCAGTGATTGGAGCAGTGTGGGAGTCCATACGAGCGCCGAAACCGAAGCGTCGAACTACTGAAAGGGTCGAACAATCGAAGAGCAAGGCCGAGTAGTCTTCCAATGCAATAGCTGCAAGATCAGAGTCTCGAACATGACACAACTTGGTTGCGGCTGCAGGCAAGGCATAGGGACTCTTCTTGTGTGGTGCATGCGTCTTGAAGTTCCAAAGAACCAATTTGGCATCTTCACCAACAGATATGACAGTCTTGTTCACTGCATCCACAGCGATTCCAGTTACAGCAAATCCAGAGTGTGATGCAACCTTAAGCTTCGCTTGACGGCGATTCTCAATCGCGGCTTGTTGAACGCGATCTTTTTCTTCCTTATCAATGTTGGATGCACGGTTGCTCAGTTTCATCTTCTTTTCCAAAGCTTGGAAGGTTCGTCGGATGTCTCCAGCCTCCTTTCTAATTCCCTTTTCCTTCTTGAGGCTAGCGGCCGCTGGGTAGGTTCCACGAGGGTTTCCACTCTGCACATTGTACTTGTATATTACTCCACTTTTGGTGCCTACAAGCGCATAGTTTCCGCAACTCGAAAGTGTCACAGAAGTTGCATGCTCCGATACCGGAGGAGGCACTTTCATGGAACTCACATTCCACCCATCTTGCCTCAGAATTGGACCAGACTGAGCGCCACGTTTGGAACTCCACACATAAGCAAAGGCATGATCCTTGTGAATCGTAACCAAATCTCCCCAGTCACGACTTCTTGTTTCACAAGATGCCAGTGAAGTTACTGGTGGTAAAAGTAGTTCCGTCTTATTCTCGAGCCCAAGTTTCTTGGCCCGCTTTTCCAATCCCTTTCCTTGGCTGTATTCCTTGTCCAAAACCGAGCGCACCGTCGAAAAGATGCGAAGCGTTTGGTCAGCTCCTCCTGTGGACAAGATCTGGCAAGCCGATGCATCGGTTCCATCGGATGTATTCACCAAGACGCCACCGCCCGCCCCAGCACCGGGATGCAAATATCGAATGTACTCGGGAGCAGCCGTATGACCATTTCGCTGACGCAAAATGCGCCCCGAATGATCCGGACTATCAAAGAGATGCATCACAATCTTGTTGGAATTCGTGCCGGTCGAAATGAGTAGTGGTTCCTTTGGCATGTATTGGAGCTTATGAACGCCACCTGGACCATGGGCCTTTACAATCTCAGACAAGAGCGTTCGTCCAAGTGAGTTCCCATCCCTGTCTTTGGATGGGGTCAAATCCCAAATGGAAATAGTACCATCCGACCGACCCACTGCCATGGGAGCAATGCCGTACTGTAAGGCTGAACCATCGGTTCGAAAACCAATACTGGTAATTCTGGGAGCATTGCCATTTTTGGATTTGTGACGAAGCGTAAACAGAAGCTTGTCGTATTTTGTGTTGATCAAATGAACCATTCCTTTGGAGGTTCCAACCGCGATCGTATCAATGGCAGGTGATTGTTGCAAGGAGGTAACATCGGCTGTGACATCTTCTTTGGCCAGACACTTGAATTTGTGAATCATCTTGCCACTTTTGACATTTACTAGCACCAGCGCCTCCTTAGATGTCTTATAATCGGACCCACCAATGACGATTTTGTTCACATAGGTCGGCGGATGGATGGCAACCCGTGGACAAAAGGAATCAAAGCTTTCCAGACGAATGCGTTTGTGCACCATCAATCCACTTCGGGAAGCTACCAACAAGACGATTTGACCTCGTGCCGACGGATCACTTTCACTTTTGTCTTCCTCACTGTCACTATCGGAACTATCACTATCACTATCATCGTTGTCGTTTCCTACCACAGGAACTCCATCATCTGGAAGAGGCTTGCCCATTGACAAAATGGCAGCAAGTAACACAGCATTTTCCTTCTTGCCTTCCTTTTCTCCCGCCATGGATTGTTTGATTTTTCCTAGATGCAGTAAATCTACTATCGTCCAATGTTTGGAATCACAGATCGCTTTGGTACTGACCGGTTGAGTTCTTTGATACATAGTTACATGCCTTGGTGCTGACTTGGGGCCATGCGCCACAATAGAAATACTGAGCGAGTTATCAGAAATCAAATGGGCGATCGTCTGCGGCCCCTTGTCTCCTGGTCCAGCTGGTACAGCGTGACTGACCAAGACAGGATGCAATCGGTCGCACTGGAGCATGTGAAATCGTTCTCCAATGGCGACACAGGCCATGGCATTCGACGAGTTTTGATTGGGAAGAACATAAAAAGGACCATGTGACACAATGCCGAGTGTTCGGTACGGCGAAAACAATCGCGAAACCCCCTGTGTTCCTTCTTCCACACTGGAACCCGCCGGCATGGAATCCTCGCTGTCACTCTCGTCACTGGACGAAGATATGGGTGTTGGGATTTTCTCTTCTTCCTTGTCCGATTCCGTCTTGTCGGCGGCCTTCTTTTTCATGGAGCCGGTAGACTTCCTCCTCCCTTTTCTATTTTTGACCATGGTGTCAGTGTGCGTTGTTTCACTTCTTTTAACAGGCACTGGACTGCACAAGTACAGGATGCAACTTTCTTGTATCGTTGTTTTTGGAAACCATCACTTATCGTTTCAGATCAGTGGCTTTGACTCCACGCAGTGAACGCGCGTATTTTAGGGGAAATAGTTGAATGGTACCAAAATTGGGGATGACTGAATGTTTACACCGTACCTGTAGTACTAAAACTCTCGTTCAAACTGGCTTCCCCGCAATGCCAACTTTCCCGTTGCCTGTGTTTTAGTTTAGTGACTACGAGTAGCAACAACAGCATTTCTTGGTGATACTGTAGGTCAACAAGACGAGGCTCCAACACTTTTTTGAATACGAAACAGCAGACACAACATGGCAGAAAACAGAACCACGGAATTCCTGAACTTGGCTCGCAGCTTACCAGAGGCCAGCATGCCACCAAAACCCCCGGCATCGGCCTCCTCCTTGGCTTCCAATGCCTCTGGTCGATATGCCCAAAGTGAATCCGCTGTCAATCAATTGAGAGACTTTCACTCAACAGCTGGTGTAATTTCTCGTGATATTGCTGGAACCTCTGCCATGCTGGGCGAACTTACCAAACTAGTCCGGCAAAAGTCCTTGTTTCACGATGACACCTCCAAAATCAATGATCTCGTAGTACGAATCAAATCCTCGATTGAAAACTTGAATGGACGACTGGATGATGCAGGACATCAAATTGCACAGCAAAAGAGAACTTTCGGAAAGAATTCTCAAGTTGGACAACAAACGACAAATTTGGTAGCACAACTGAAGGAAGAATTCGGACAAGCGGCAGGCGGTTTTAAGGCAATTTTGCAGCAACGAACCGATGTCATGAAGGAGACGGACGATAGAAAACGTCAAATTTATGGTGCAGATGAGGATGTTCCAGTTCTCAACCTAGAAAACAAGCCGCCAGTCTATGGTGAATCCAGCACTAGCATGGGAGCCATGGGATTCCCAACTCTTGACTTGACTAGTGGAATGTCCACTGGAGAGCCAACCTCAAGCGGATCACAATTGCCCCGTCCTCGTAAGTGCATTATGTTTACTCGTATGATGACAGTCGTGATGTTCCGTTGCTAATTTCTTTATTTTGGTTTCTGCTCGTTTTCTCATTGCAGATGGAACACACGGGTACGGCGATGGAGGTATGAGACTCCGCAAGACTCAAAGCGACATGGCAGCGTCGCCGTATGGTGGAACCCCGGGCTACTATGGTCGGCAAGACTCTACACCACTTACGCCCTATGATATTCAACGCATGGAGCAAGAATCAGGGCAAGATCAAATGATGCAACTCATTCCAGACCAAGATTATCTCCAAGAACGTGCGAATGCCATGGAAACAGTAGAGTCCAATATTGTGGAACTTGGAACTATTTTTAACAAACTTGCAGTCATGGTCAACGAGCACAAGGAAATGGTTCAACGAGTGGAAGACAATGTGGACGATGCAAATGCTACCATCAACTTTAGTCTCAACACCTTGACTGATACATTGACAAACCTGCAGAGCAACAGGGCACTCATGTTGAAAATCTTTTCGGTGATTGTGATCTTTATCATCACCTTTATCATTTTCGTTGCATAAGTATTCAATTTTAAACACACTACTTTGGCTATTTTAATACCTACTGTTCACAGCATCCCACATTTTTCAATCGAACGAGTCGTTTTTTGTGATGTTTCTCACATACCTACGACTCGCACAACCAAAACGATCTTCGCGAATATACCGGTACAATAACACCAACATGAGATTGTCAACTATCGCGACAAGAATCAGTTTCATCCTGCCTACTTCCACTGTTCTCTCTTGGATCCCACAAAGGACATCTCCGAAAATAAATCGACTTCAGTCTTGCAGATCGCAACGACTTTCTGTATTGCACTCGACGCCACCACCAGCAACATCAACCTCGGCTTCCGCCGATGATTCTTCAATATCCATGGGGACACTGGCTTCGGACTTTCGGATAGCAATATCTTCTTCCGTTGACACGCTATCATGGTCACTCTATCCTTTAAATGGCATGCCCGCCAAGGATGCACTTTCGACACCACCATTAGGAGATGCCGCCGCTTCGTGGACCATTACATGTCAACCGACAGAAAGCAAATCACTGGGGGTGGAAGTATCAAACAGCGATGCGACGGTTAGCTTGGAAAAAGATTTAATTACAGTTCTTCAGATTGTACTTTTTCAATCTTTCCTGAAGGAGCATCCAGCAAGTAACGAAGAATGGCACGTTGGAATTGATGAGAATCACAGTTTGAAGGTTTCGGATATCTTGGCTGGAGACGGTGTTGAGACACTATTTTCATCGCTGAAAGATAATACCTCTTCTGTAGAATGGGTCGACATGGTCACTGGGTCTGGGAAGGTGCTGGGACGAGTACCACGTCCTCTAGTGCACAAATACAATCTACTTCATCGAGGGATTGGTATGTTTGTTACCAAAGATAAAGCGATGGTCGAGGACTCGCAATACGCATTTCCTCCCTTGTACACGCACCAACGAACGGCAACAAAACGCATCTTCCCATCCCTATACGATATGTTTGTAGGAGGAGTGTCTCTAGCCGGCGAGTCGTCAGATTTGACAGCCCGTCGGGAAGTAGCCGAGGAGTTGGGTCTTTCTCTAGCCCTCGAATGTCCAGAAGCACTTTCTGATCCGATTTTGGATTGCCTCGTCTGTACACACTTAAATCGGTGCTTTGTCACACTTTATAGTTACACGATGAACACGGAGAAGGAGACTGTGTCCTGGCAAGAAGAGGAGGTAGCATGGGGTGATTTTGTTGCATACCCAATTATTGCAGCGGCGGCGGACCTTTCCATTAAGCGACTAGAAAAACAAAAGTCCTGGCCAGGAATATACCCTGCTATCCAATCTGATCTGAATGGCGTTGCGCCCAAAGATATTTCCTACGAGAATGGAGATTGGAATCAATGGGATTTCGTGCCTGACGGTCTGCTTGTTTGGGAGGCATGGTTACTTCAGTTACAAAATAAGATATAGTCAATTGCCCTTTATTCTTTCTAGCTTATCTCAAAAAGAGAAACGAAAGAGCTAATGGAATAGCCATGAGACAGTCATTCAATTTGAGATTCTTTTGTACCCATAGGATTGCCGCCTCAATCACAGACGTTGCCAACAAGAGACCCACAGCTTTATTTGATTGGGATTTGTCAAGATATTCAACGAGAGCTAGTAGCATGACTAGTCTTTTGACTGGAACAAAACTTGAACCACTTGACGTTTGACACAGTCCGACAGTAATCACCGCTGGCGCCAAGGCAGGATATCTGTCGCAGCGATATACAGCCGCCAAATACAACTGCAGACGTAACATTATTTTGAGGCTGGAGGCATTTCGCTCCACTTCCTCTGTCTTAGCTTCGTCGTGCTCCTTTCAGATTCTCCACTAGCCATGTGTGGTTTGCTCATTCCCTCTGTACCATTGCTTGCAATATGTCCACGGCAAGGTATTTTCATGGTGGTTGGCAACGCAAAGCCTTTTTTGGATCTTTCAGCAGAGCATTTTTCTCGAGAGGAAGCGGCCAATAACCACGAATGATTGCTCTCGCCATATTCTGAATTAGCTGGCTCTTTTGACACTGAAGGAGTTGGGCATCTAAACTTGTTGAAATTTGGAATCAAACTATCCTTGGGATACGGAGTCGGAAATGCCGCGTTGGAAAGACAAAGTAGCGTTGCCACAAGAGAAAGGCAAAATGCACACCGGAAACCAAAACGGAACGATGTGAAAATCATAATTGCTATCATACCACTAAAGATTTTTGACTCTTTGTTTCTGACTTTCCTTTAGTTTGCTTCTGTTTTGGCTTCGTCGTTTCGACTTTTATACTGCATCACGAAGAAAAGTATCTTCCACGATGATTTTATTTTGAGCGAGTTTTGCCACGATAAAAAGGTGGGACCCAAAGTAATTGCGGCATACTCGTACTGTACCAAAAATGTCCAGTCAACGATTGTCCGTTTTCAACCGTCATTCATGGTGCGCCATTTTTTCATGGACCAACAACATAAACCAACCTTGTCAATATGGATTATGGCTCTCTACTGGAGCACGCCTTGCAAAGTCAGCAACAGAACAATGAGAATGCTAAAGAGGCCAACACAATAATCCTCGACATATATTCAATAGAATCAAGGAATGACAGCAGAGAGAATTTGCTACTTTTGGCAGAGCTGGCAACACGATCCAACCAGTTTCTACAATCGCAAGACTACCTCTGGCATTTTGGTGGAGACGGTCCAGTCTTTGGAGTTCACGTTGGCACTGATGGAATTGTACATCTACGCGCTTACTGCAACTACGGCCCTTGTGTTCAGGACGAATGGATGGCAGTCGATATCATGTTCCGACTATCAGAACTCTTGGATCACGATGTCGCAATTTCTTGTTGGGACATTGATGATGGCCAAGTCATCTTGATTCAGACCGCTGATGTTTTACCGGATTGGCTGGACGAAGATCCAACAGACAACCATAGAAACGCTTGTTTCATACGGAATGGTCGGCTTCAGATCATTCAAAACCCGCATCTATCACTAAAGGATGCCTTGCAGCATCTACACGAACAGCCAAAAGCGCAACCCAGCTCACACCCAATGATTCATAACTCTATACTCCATTGGCTCGAAATCAATCGGCAACATGTTCACGTCCAGAAATGTGCATTTGTGATTCCACGAAAAATTGCAACATTGATTCGCGAGCGACCAGACCTGGTCCATTTTGCCATGCAAACCTTTTGCAAACACATTGAAGACAAACCACCATCGATACAACATCATGAAGACTGGGTATGGACAACCCACCGAATTTCACGAACGAATTATGCAATGGCCCGAACTATGGTCTCCCAAGAATGGAAGTCACCTGAATTGATGCCATCCTTGCCCGTAGAAGCAAAGCGCTACAAGCGCCAGTGCAACATGGAAGCCACTCCACACTTGAAGCATGCACTAGAACTTGGGGTTCGCTTGGTAGTAGGATTTGAGCTGCTTTTGCAGTCTAGTGTGGATCCAACCGCAAGAGAAGTCAAACTTGCTCATTGGACTCGGATCGCTCAAGAAGGAAATGGCTCGGATTCGTCCTCTTGGATTCTCGAAAGCTACCAACGTGGTCCACAGCACTCCAATTACGATCTATCACACATCCTCAAATGCCCGGTATTTCCAGAAGATAAGGACTTTCCAACCTTGAATTCTCATCCAGATGTATCCATCAAACAACAAATTCTCAATGCTCAAAAGAAAGTGGATCCAGACGAAGACTTCCCAAAGCCCCTTTCGGATATGGTCGACACTGAATCTTGGCTCGTTCTGGAAAGTGGTAGCGAGGGCGTCATTGATAGTGATTTTGAAGGAATGATATCCAAGTTTCGAGAGTTCATGGTTCAATCCTCTGGCCCAGAAGGAGTTGATTCTTCCAACGCAGCAAAGACAAGTAGTACTACAGAGATCCGGCCTCGCGTGTTCATGAATATACTTCTCAGTGTCTTGAAGGGAGAAGGTTTGTCCTTTCCTTCCGTCGATCCATACTTTTACCAAGAAGATTACGATTTGATGGATCAAGAAGAAGAAGAAGAAGGAGAGGCTACTGGTGAAATGAAGGATCTTATGGACGCAATGGACGCAGAACTAAAAGGGAAGTCGAACTCGCGGGCATTGGATCCAATTTCAGGCTTGGACATAGAGGGGGTTCAAGATGGTGATGATGACGAGCTAACCGAAAAGGCACACGTACTGAATAATCTATTGCAATCATTAGACGCAAGTGATGGAAAGGCCGGGCCTGTGAGCAACATGATACAAGAGATGAGTTGATGTTTATCTACTATAATCTTAGCAGAATATTGTACACTAATGGAACCTTTCCATATGTAATATAGAATAGTGCTCATGTGCATTCAGGTCTAAGTTCGAATAAAGGATATCATCGCGTTTTTCCCACGCATCAATCTATGGAGATATATCTCCAAAACTTGCATCTATGCAGGTGGTCGTCATTGAGGTATTTGCACTTTAGTTGGTTTCCTCTAGGTCCGGTAAGTCATCCAAATCACCATCGTCGTCATCATCGCCATCGTCTTCACCTCCCATGTCGCCCATTCCAGGCCTTTGTTCAAGTGCGCAAAACCAAGAGTGTGAGCTCGAATTGGACCCTGAAAAGGTGCCAGAGACTCCAAGAACTTACATTCCCCCTCCCATGGCTCCCATGTCACCCATTTGCTTCATCAAAGCCTCCATGTCCATACCACCGGGCATTCCCGGCCTATTGACAGAATCAAAAACATTTGTGGTCAGCAAATCTCCCAACCGACATGTCGATAAAATAGTTCCAAAAAAGTAAAACTCACATGCCACCACCGCCCATACCAGGCATACCGCCCATCCCACCCATCATATCACCCATGCCTGGCATGCCGCCCATTCCTGGCATACCGCCCATTCCTGGTGGCATGCCACCCATTCCCATTCCACCTTCCAAGTTGGACGTGTCAAAGCCTCCAGCTTCTTCCTCTTCGTCTTCATCAACATAACGATCCCAGTCAATCTTTACTTGATTCTTCTCCAATGCCTTATCCTTCAGCAAACGAGGCCAGAATTCTTCCTCTTCCTTGTCTTTCTTGAGAATCTGCATTTGAATGGATCGCGGCAATACCTTGTAGGTGGAACCTTCGGCGTCGACTGGCTTGAAAAACTCAATGCCGACCTTGTATTCCTTACCTTGACTCTTTCCATCAAACTTTAGCTCGGTGTCCGTCAAAACAATTGTCTCGTCCTTGACGTCTGAGATGATTATTTAAAAAGCGGTTAGGACGAGAAAAAAAAGGACGCGATTGGAACTTCCATCCAGTATTTTTGCTAAAAGGACTCACCTGGCAACGCAATTGTCAAGTACAGAGAGTCACTTCGTTGAGCGTATTTGATAGGGGCAGTATTGATACTCATTTTCTAGTGTTGGTTCGGAATCTAAGCGGGTTTGATTGTGCAAATCTTTGCTTTCGCTTTGGTGGGTCGATGTGGATCGATTGAGATCTCTAAATGCTGCTATCCACAGACAGACGTTCACGACTTGCGAGAGACTACATTAGTCCAAATAATGAAGTCGCATTAGTCTTTTTTGAACTTGGTAATACAAAACTACTAGGCCATTTTCAATTTCTATTGTAAGTTCTACTTTATATTATAAGTACTTCAGCGAGATCTGCTGGCTCGAGTATTGGAGTTAGACTCGCCAAATTTGTTCTTTGCTCCCATCCACCACCGTCAAATACCCCCGACCCATGTCTTTCTTCTTGGACTTCACCTTTTCCTTGACAATACGGAAAGAGCCTTCATTATTTACATACATGGAAGAACCACCTCGAAATGCTGCAGTGTCTTCCGTGACCATGTAATCCATGTTTGAATTGAAGTTCCATTTTTGAGGAAAGCGAAGAATTGTAATGTTGTCATCCCCATCTCCATCAATAGATCAAGCCCAACTTCATAGATGAGCCTCTGATCACAAGAATCTTGGACCATTAGTATAGGAGGTGCATCACAATCACGTGGCATAATGTCAATGTAGATAAGCGCATGATAGCATCTGTTTGCTGGGTTCTTTGATCGCTTGCTCAAATCCATATAGGTAGTCCGAGAGTTTCCCACAATACCTTGTATTTCTCCGATCTGCAAGAGCTTCGAACATCTCAATTGCGAAGGCAATCGCTTGGCCATAATTCACATATATTTGCAGCATACTATAGCATTTTGCCTCGTTTGTCGGATTCATCATGAGCTGTTCAGCGTGTTGGCACTCGCCAGCACCAAAATCCGTCACTAATCCGGTGAGGGTCTCCTCGAGATGCAATCCTCCCTTGTCTACTAGAGTGAGGTTTGCGATCTTTCTTCCCGATATTTCGTCTCGAGTGTACCTCGAAACATTAAGCATAAAGGTGATATTGTCTTTGCTGTTGTCCCCCGTTTTTCGTGCACCAGAAGTAGTACATCAATGCTGAGCAAGCAGAAAATGTGCAGAGATACGAATCTGGATCCTGAACAGAAAGAAAAAAGCTTCCATTGTGGATTTGCGCGAAATATTGTTATTGCGCTTGCAGCCTTCTATGCTTTTCGTCCTTGGACAAAGTTGGAATAGCTGGTCTCCAGAAATTGATTTTTCTCGGCGTCACAGTGAAGGCGGCGATCCCTTCCACGATGGACGAAGCTCATCATTCGTCTAATCTCCGACGACTCGGGTCTCAATACTCTGACGATCATCTTTGCTGCCTGATGTCTTGGATGAAAGAGGTTGTCTATCTTCTTTGCGATCATGAAAAGCATGAGGGCTTTCTGATCATTGCTGAGGTGATTGAACGTCTTGTTTCCGAACTGTGGAGAATCGGATAATTTGAGCAAGTGATTACACTTTTCCACTGTTACATCATCAAAGTTTAAATCATATGTAGCTTTTGGAGCAGTCGTTTTGAGATCATCGAAGATTGGTATAGACCGTTTGTCTTTGTGGCTAGCTGTTGGAGTTGAACAACCTGAACAAGAATCGTAGGAAGAAGAGACCGTCAGTTCTGATGCCGTCGCTGAAATATCATCTTCAATTTCCAGTTCCATGTTCTTAATAATCTTAGTATTGGATGCTATTACTTCCATGGTGGTTCTGTAGTGAGAGTGTGAAATGGTTGTGGTGTGTGTGTGAAACAAATGGGTTGTTGGGTCGGTGTTTCGTTTTTTTCCTCGCACACGATTTTGATGTGACTTGTGAAGTGTGACACATTTGCGATATTCCAACGTACGAGTAGACCGCAGGCACACTGTTCGATTTCTTTGACTACATTGTGTTACAGACGGACAAAGGCCGAACGGCCTTCGACCGTCAAAAGTTGTTGTCGATGCGCCGAGGCAATGATGCCCAGTTTATCGACTGAGATTGAATTCACCCACTTGTGTCGTGGTAATTCAATTTTTCTCTTGGTACCCAGCCTTTGTCTGCAAGCGAACGAAAAACTCCAGCTCCTTACACGCCGCCCTCATTCATTGCGATCGGCCAGCGTGACGTGCAGCTAACAACTTCCAACATCCCTCCTATAAGAGCTGATCGGATTGTCTTGATCTTCTATTCGCCTTCCACCGCTCCGAGGCATTGTTGAAACAACGAAAACGCGTTCTGTGCACCTGTCATCCTTCGAAAATGACATCCTTCCCCAAGTTGCTTGGTCCTGAAAGTCCCCAGATGGGAACTCAGTTTCTCTCTTCTGTCAGCATCTGCTTTTCAGATGATTCAATTCATCAAGCGATCCATGACAAGAAGAGACCCAAGAAATCGGAAATTCAAGCGTCCTTTGGGTTTGCCGTTCCTACTGGTAAGCCCTATTCGGTCTATGGTCGGGGTCGCAAGGAATCAGTGACAGCAGAGACCATTTCTGCTGATGCTATCCGTTTTAATGCACCTCAGATGCTCTCTACAGACAAGTTGCGGCTCTTGAACTCGTCTCGCGTCGGAGCAGTCCTTGGAGTATTTTTTACTCCGAATTCTCCTCCGGTTATTGGATTTGGCGCTAGTCCTGTTAGTACTACTTTCAATGGGCAAGATGCTGTCCATCGCGGGGCCCCAAAGTGGTCTGATTGCTTTGATCCCACTTTGATCCAGCAATACTGGCAGGGAGATATGAGTGTCCCTACTCATAGTCTGGTGGTTTCCCTCAGTGGGCGAACAAGGTTGAAAATGCCAGCGTCGCAGCAGGATTTTGTTCAAGCAACAAAGCCTGCAATGCTGGTTGGGGACTTTTCCAAGATCCTTCTGATTCCTGATGGATGCGGTGCCCCGGTGGGCCTTTATTGGCCAACTTCTATTTCTTTCGAGGACTTCAAAAATTCTTTGAGTGGACATGGTACTCCCTATGGGAGTTTCTTGGATTTATTGCGGCGTCAGTCTTCTATTTTTGAAGTGAGATTGGTCGAACGAATCGAGTCTATTACTCGATCAGTTCGACCCGCTTCACACCACAACCCACCAGCTACACACCAAGACAAAATACTACAAACACACACACGGAGGACGGCAGTAGGCTATCTTAGATAGTTGTAATTATGCTCATTTCCTTTTCGAAGTTCAAAATCGAAACGCCCAAAACGAAAATAATAACCACGGCAACACCTCGTTTCGAACGGAACAGTCTTCCTTTCATTTGCACAGATTCAAATTTAATTCACCATATTCTTGTCACGCAAGAAATCAATACAAACCCCAATAAGTCCTATTCACAACCAAGCCGAAATCAAAATTGGATCAGAGACTCGACAAAAAACCGTCACAAGAGCGAAAAACCTCATCACAATCACAAACAATCCTACAAATTCGCCACAGACTATGATGGGCGAAACTAGTATCAACGGCATCAACGACGTCACCGACATCAGTTGCTGCAAGATGGAGTCGATCACTGAAAATGATCTTTCAGTGTCAGCATCGGTGACACACTCCTCTTCGACCAATTCCGATGACGATTCGGATTCCATTCCAACCACGCCGCCCGCCAACTAACAACCATGCTGAAGATCTTCACGACAACAAAGAGGGTCTATGGAAACAAGAAGCCACCAAGCAAGCACTATATAACGAAGCATGTGAACGCTGTCTCAAACTCTCCGGGTTCACGCAGTCCTTTGACGAGCTCACAAAAGAGCAGCGATCTGTCTGGATTTTGATAATCTTGAGGAAGATACGTGGGCCTAAGTAGAACTGAGAAAGAGGCAGTAACAATAGTTGCTAAGGCTTTGGACACTACATCAAATGGACTCAAATGGATTTGAGCTTCATCCGTACAGGAGGGGGAAAGAATTGTATGACGACTTCGTGAATGCGAAAGCGTCATTCGGAATTCATCGCAAAGCAAAGCAGAAGCTCAATATTTGCTGTCGCCAAGAGAACAATGCCTTTCATCTACTGTCAGGATCCTGCTTCCTTTACCTATTTGTTTTGTACCAGTGCATCACTTTTGTACTTGACTTCGTGCAACTCGCGAGAGATGACCGATGAGGAGTCTTCTCTCGCCACGGTGAATCTTTCTAAGTATATTCGCGATGAAATACTGAGGTCCGGGATTGCAAAACTAGTTTTTGGAGAAGAGCATAGAATGAAGGAAGCCTGTCTCAAGAACACGCTTCGTGCAATGATGAAGAGCTTTGATGCTGATGGCAGTGATGACGTCAACGAGTTTGAAACTTGGGGAGATAATGAGTTGCTCAACTACAATGCGCTCTGTCCTTATTTGGTGTGTGGTCGATCGATTGCCTCTACGATTGCGGCTTTCCTGGCTCTTGAACACACCAACAGGCACTGATACTATACGAGGGACAACCCAAATCGCCTCCGAGCCGAAGGAACACCTCGATCGCTCCATGCCATTCTCCTTCTTGCGATCACGCCACGTAGTGGTAGTACGCCCCCCATCTTCCTGGTTCAAGATTTTTCCAATGAGAGGTCATTCTTCGAAGTCAGTCTTGATCTCTTGATGGCCATGGACATTGGCAGCCTGCAGTTCCGCCGTCCCTCCTAATTAGCGCTTTAAAAAGGACATGAGCTACGAAGTGGATGCAAAGAACCTAGCACAATATTGTGGCTCTCAACATTGCACCTCGATGAAAGAGGTAATATCTGTATTAGCGATAGCAAGGTAGAGAGAACAGACCGATCCAACCAATATCATGGCAACAGTCGATATTTGGATCTTGTGGATCCGAAAGAATTTCATATCAAGAACATGGTACAGTACAGAGATTGGAGCTTTGGGAGGTTTTTGCATTAACTCGAGTGGAACAATTTCAAGCACAGGTGCTCATAGACTAATAGTTCATTTTTAATTCCATTTCTATCGTATTTTTAAACATCAAACTAGACCATGTACAACATTGAACATGGATCGCCAATGAGTAGATGGTCGAGAGACACTAAATCAGTGCATGGCGGGACTCACGAATGACCCGCTTCCGATGGAGATGAGAACAACACAAAAGCGTTGCCACAAAACAGAAACCAGCACCCCCTTTACACGAGGGAAGCTTGCACCCAAATGATGGCAGCTATTCTACCTGCCGTCACGGAATCTGACAACAGCCAAATAGATGGTGACAATGCCTTACAATACCTGAATGAGAACCAAGTGCGTGGAGAACTCCATTGTTCTTCGATGTTTAACGATGATCAAGTCATTGAATTGGAAAACATTGTAAGAAGAAATCACTCGGCAATTCACTTGACATCTCTAAAACTCGCCAACAATGGTCTTACGGAAAATTCTACGACAGCGCTAGCCAATATACTCACACATCAAGTCGAAACCTTGCGAGATTTGGATCTGACGCAGAATCCCCTCAAACATTCTGGATTGACGCCCTTGGTGGATCAACTGATTGCAGGCCGACCAGTCTCACAATTACACACACTCAATTTGACAAAAACCATGCTTGGAAACCAGGGAGCATCGGCCCTAGCTTCACTCTTAAGGTTCAATACCAGCTTGCGACATTTGAATTTGAGCAGTAACAAATTGGGCAACAAGGGAATCAAGACCCTCGCTCCTGCTTTGCAAAATAATTCTCATTTGGAGACGCTCAATGTGTCCAACAATAACATCTCCTCAGTGGGAGGAAATTTCCTGGCCAAAGAAATTCAAGCGGCCAAAGCACCAGGAGTATCGAACATTATATCGAACTTGAGACACTTGGACATCTCGTTCAACAAGATTAAAGACAGTGGAATTCAAGCCTTTGCAACGCTTTTGCGTACAGAGAACACCTTTGAAAGCTTTTGCGCCGAAAGCACCAGTTTGGGACCCGACGGTGCCTTTCACCTAGCACCTGTTTTGGAGTTCAATCATGGTCTTCGTGTCCTAAAATTGGGTGGCAACCAAATTGGTTCCGAAGGAGTAGAAGTTCTAATGGAGAGTCTCCACAATAGTCAATCATCTAATTTGGAAGAATTGGATTTGGCATACAATGCTGTTGGAAGGGAAGGGGCCGAAAGCATTGCCCATGAGTTGGCCGAAAATTCCAATCTTAAGGTATTGAACCTAAACGGCAATACGATTGGTAGTGCAGGATGTGCACTGTTGGCTCAAGGATTGCAATACAGTCTATCACTGCGACATTTGGTTTTGACTAATAACAATATTGACAACCAAGGTGCTTTTGAAATGGCGGTCGCCCTTGGAAAGCCATCTTGCAAAATTGAGACAAAAAATGTGTTGTTGGATGATAATCCAATCACAGACGCTGGTATCACAGCTTTGGAGCGGGTACAAAAATTGAAAAATAATCAAAAGTACTGGCTTGGAAAGCTCTTGCAAGGGCTGGAGAAGGGGGTCATCTTTAGCGTGGACTTGCAGTACAAGGATATTGGGGACACGGAGGTTTTGCTGTTGCTGGAAGTGTTGGCCGATCACAATCCATTGATCCGCACATTCTTTTTGAATGGCAAGAACCTCACATCGAAGAGTTTGATTCCACTGTTTCAATTTGCATTGACTTGGAAGGCCAGAATACTGAGACTCTTTCTGAAACAGTGTTCGTTTGGACCAGATGTATCAGCGGCATTCCGACAGTCTCTTGTGGAAAACTCCACCTTGGAAGTCTGCTCTCTTATCGACTGCTCTATAGACTCCAACGGAATTTCTGAAATCGCTGAGGGATTGAAATACAACAAAACATTAAGACGATTGAATCTGGATCGCAATTGCATTCGAGATGATGGATTGGCGACAATGCTAAGCATCCTCCCCCATCCATCACTTACAGCATTGTGCGTATCAAAGAATGGTATTACAGACCAGAGCATGTCCAACCCTGCTTTAGCGCATTTGACAGAGCTCAACTTGAATGGGAATTTAATCACAAGCGTGGGTGGTGCACAACTCTCCGCAGCTCTAGTTTCCAGCAGAATGGAGCGCTTGGGTCTCTGGAACAACAAGCTTGGAGAGGACCAAAGGAATGCCATCAAAGCGTTTCTACCCAACACCCATTGCGAGTTTTGAGTTTATGGTACAGCCTCGATGAATGGTTTAGCGCTATAGTTCCTCGAATGCACTCTACTAACTGAAATACTAATCCTACTCTACTGCTTACGATGATGATGATTCTTTCTCCGCCGCTCGTTTGCGGGCATCCTCTTCGGCCAACCTAGCTTCCTTTTCAACACAGTAATCATGGTATTGTTGTTCCCAATTCTCTTCATCCTTTTTATCCGATTTGGGTTGAGAAGCTGCAGCAGCAACTTCGTTTTCTTTTTCCTTCGCACCCTTTTCTTCAAGGTATGCTGCATACTCGACTTCCCAAGAGCTGTCTATACCCTTTGATTTTGGTTTCGTAATCTCCATGACTTGGCTCACTCCTGGATAAGGTGGCATCTGAAAATCCATGCAAACAGGGTTGAGAAATGCACGCTTCCTAATGTCCTCAAGCTCAATATCATGGCGGCCTTACCTGCACTCCGTACTTCTCGGCCAAAACAGGCGGGAGAAATCTACCACCAACAAAGTGCCTTCCTGGGAAACTTCTTGCTGATTCTTTGGGAGCTGTGAGACTGATCAATACTGAGGGTACAAATCCCGTCTTAGCAACATCCCCTTCATCCACGTTCCATCCTGACGGAACATCGACCGAAATGATAGGAAATTCAGGTTTCTTCTTTTGCACCTCTTGCATCTTTTCCAAGGCAGTCTTGAATGGCTCACGAGGAGCGCCCTTGAAACTGAACCCAAAGATAGAGTCGACAATGGCATCGTATTCATTTGTGTGTGGAAACTCATCGATAAATGTGACGCCAACGTCCTCACATTGTTTGACCAAATTGACGAAATGCTCCTTCTTGGATTGTTTGGGATACATGATAACGCACTCGTACCCAAAGAAAACTAAGTGTCTGGCTGCCACCAACCCATCGCCGCCGTTATTTCCTGGCCCACAGATCAAAAGAATTCTTGGTTTACTTTCAGAGGAAGGAGGCAAAACTTGGTAGACAGCTTCGGCTACTGCCAAGCCAGCCAGTTCCATCAACTGCTCCAATGAGAAACCCGGTTGGGACATGAGTTCCACATCCAAATCATACGCATTATCAGCATTCAAGTATCCAGTTTCTATCTCAGTCGTGTAAGACATCTTTCCTGCCGTGCAACTTGTTGTTGAGGTAGTTTGTCCAAGAGCGGATGAAAGAGTGACAAGCCCAGAAGTTGCCAATATTGCCTTCCTCGAAGGTGTGCTTCGGCCCAAGAAGGCAGTGACTGGTCTACGTAAAGAAAGCAAGGTTAAACCAGATTTTACCAAGGAAACCATTGTTTGCGATTCATCGTTCATTATGTTGGTCGACCTGATGATTGACTGAAGCAGTCAGACTAGTCGTACATGCCATCAAAAACCACAAAACCTCTCACATCCACAACTTCGCACATTTTACACTTCCTTCTACTACTGTAAGCGAGGAGATCAAGCCCTCTTTGAAAAGATTTCTCTGATGCTATCAATGTTGTGCATGTGGTGGTTGACAATAACTTGGACTATCGCATTGATTTATCCCATTTTGACAACAGGATTTCAGCCTATCTCGTCGTCTCAGTACACGATAAGATGGAACTCACAAGTTGCTTGTCGGGGCAAAGCACGAGATGACGTGGATAGCATCGTATCCAGTCTCGGACTTGCTCAAGTTGAAAAGGGAAAAAAGAAGAAACAGTCACAAACTAAAACCAAAAAGAAGCCTTCAAGCACGTTATTAAGCGAAGAATCGAAATCAATGGTCGGAAGTAAGGTTGGGTTGAGAACGCAATTGGACTATTCGCGCAATGGACATGCGGTTCTGAGAGATCACATTGATCCGAAACTGTTAAAAGACGTACGGACGGCAGTTATGGGCCATGCCCAAATGGAGGAGATAAAATCTTGGCGTCAAAAGGTTCAGGTGGCACTCGATTCCCCAGAGATCGCTGCATCGTGCAAGACGATTGAAGATTGTCAGGAACAACTGGAATCCTTAGGCATTGTCGATATTCCATTCTTGCAATACTTCAACACATGGAGAACCCTTCCAGTTGTAAAAGAGCTCGCCTATGCTTTAGCAGAATCTGCCTCAATACTGCTCGATGTTCCAAAAGTTCGTCTCTACCAAGATTCCATCTTTTGGAAGCGATCTGTGGATGGGCCAACACCGTGGCACGTCGATTCCAAGATGGCTCCCTTCGACACCAGTCATTTTGTCACCTTTTGGATACCTCTGACTCCTGTTCCTTCGTCAGGCACAGGGTTGATGTTTTGTTCAAAGAGCCATGCTGACTTTGCATTGCCCTATTGGAATCCTGTTTCCGTATCCGGTAAAGAGTCTAGCGAATGGGATCGATTGGAACATCGGTATCCTGAAAAGATTATCGACTATATGCCAATGAAAGTTGGAGACCTTACCGTCCATTCGGGGTGGACCTTACACTGTGCTGGGGCGAGCGATCAAACTTCGGATCGAATTGCTTTGGCCATTTCGTTTGTGGACGCAAATGCCGAAATTCGACCAGACGCATTGGACACTACTGGCAAAGGTGATAACGAGGATCTCAACGGCTACCTCGAATGGGCTACGTCTGTGAAACCTAGATCGAAATTCGAGCACCCTATGGTACCAATCGTATGGCCACGATCATGGTCAGTCTGATCCCTTTTTCTTCTCACCAACATAAATAGATATAGAGCTTTGTCTATAATGATATCTCAAAGAAGCGCTAACGAAGCCCATAGGTAGGTAGTGTGCAGCTTTTTTTAGAGGAGGGGAATGGGAAACTTCAATCCAAAATCATGTGGTCTGTCCGCTGCTGCTACCCATAATCCTTCTTTTGACATCTTCCCCACCCCAAACAAAATCAACCCGCGTTGTGTCAGTAATTGTACCATACTCCACTTGTATCAATTGCAACTACATAGAAATGCTCCGATCCGCCGCCTCCCTTACCTTGCGTCATTCGCGTAAGGCTGTTAATACCTCGCTTCTTCAAGATTTATCGAGAAACAATTACTTGTTGTCGTCCCAATCCCACCTGCGCGTTCGATCCTCCGACTTTTTGCGAACCTTGAGCAGTCAAACCAAGAAGGAAGAACCACCGAAGAAGAAAGGGGGAGAAGAGGATGATGAAACAAAGGAGATTGTTTTGACGCCAGGTGAAACTGTGGTCGCAGTCTCACGTCTTGGACTATGGGCTGGAATCTTTGCCTTTGCATGTGCTTGCGCCTTTTACATTGGACGTGAGCTGATTCCTACAAAGATGAGCCCCAACAGTGTTTTCAATGGGGCTACTTCAATCATCCGAGATAATGCTCAAGTGAAACGTGTTTATGGAGATAAGTTGAAGTTCTATGGCAAGGATCATGGTGGTCACCGAGAAGGACGACGCAACTTTATCGAACACACGCAATATCCAAGCCCAGATGACGGATCCAACCGTACCAGGGTCCGCTTCAACCTGGAGGGTGAATTCAACTCCGCGTTTTGCTTCGCTGAAGTATCAAGTGGAATGTCTTCTGGCGAATTCGTCTACATCTTGGTTCAAGACAAGAGATCGGGAAGAGTGATCACAGTCGTTGACAACCGTGCCGCTTTGACTGCCAAGCAATTGTCTGGTGGAAATGCCGAAAGTTCACAGGCATTGCAACAACTACTTGGAGGTGGCAAGAGTTAAACTTTGTCTATTAAAGGAGAAGAAAGTGGCAGGGTTATGCTATGACGATAAATACTCACATCTATATTGCATTATTTCTCAAGTTTTAAAGTTTTAAAAAGATAGGAAGTCGTCGCTGGTGATGTACTGTCTTGCTCTTGGCTATCACTCGACTTGGATTTCCATAATATCGTGCCTAGAAATAATGTAGGTGTCTCTTGAAACTCCAACTTGGCAGTATGTACTGTAGAAGTTTTATTTCTGACTCCTTCGACTGTCGACGTCGTCTGTATATTGTACGGGTGTTCTCTCTAAAGATACAAAACTCGCAACCAGAATTTCTGATTGACTTTCTGCGACGCAATAGGCTTCTTTGTCATTTGGTTTAGAAAAGAAAAGAGAAAGAATAACAGATGGCTCAACCTTCAATCACCATGAGACTAACGACTCTATGCTTCATCACCATCCTTTATGTGGATCTGACAGCAGTGTCAGCGTACACCCCACATTTCCGTCCTCATCATCTTAGGAGTCAGGATATGACAGGAATTTGGAAGTTGACACATCAATCATCATTGTTGCCGAATGTCAAGTCAGATGACAACACTAGCGAAGAAGAAATACTGCTAAGTCTAAACGAAGATGGTACATTTGATCGATACGAAACTAGTTCGGAACTTCAGGATCAGGATCTTCACATGACATTGGGCCGAGGGGGTTCGTGGGAGTACCGTGACAACAAGCTGTTTTTGGCTCCCCAGCGCCCTGAGGACGCAGATCCCTCCAAGGTCCATGACACTCTATTAGCTGGAGAATTGAATATCAAAGTTAGTGATTCGCTAGTTTTGGAAGACAAAGTAGAATTAGAAGAAGGCAATGCTGATGGAGAAGTCAAGAAGGAGGACAACAACAATGCTGAGATTGATGTCCACTTGTCCATTGCCCAAGGCAATATTTCCGTTGGGAAGTTCATGTATCCTAGAAAGCACAAAGCTTTCTTTGATGACCCCATGCTTTTCAAAAAGTCTTCCGTCGGTAGTTTCTCAGCTTCACAGGTGCTAGGGAATCTGAATGCCAGGCTGAAGAGCGAGCGAGAGGAAAAGAAGCCTGTGGCCAAGTACCACAAGAAGGACTTTCACGGTCGCAAGTTTTACTTGACAGCTAATCCTCATCCTGTGGATCCAGCCTATGCAGAGCAGGACAAGCGTTATGATGAAACCAAGGTTCTTCATCATATGCAATTTCACACTATCGATTTCCACAAAAATAACACCTTCTCCGTCATTGGTACCGAAAAGATACTTAGAGGTCGTTTTGGACTAGCTGGAGAGAAGCGAGATCGACTATGGTTCCAAGTATCCTTGTTTGGTACTGGCCGTTCCGCTCCTGGATCCGTCTACAGCGAAGGACGTCTGCTGACTCATGAAGACAGGAGGGGCTATGTTGGTAAGGTTGAAGAGTTTCAAAAGAACAATTCCACTCGCTACTTCATCACTGAAGGGCTATACTATTATGGAACTGATTTGCAAAGGGCATTGAGACCCGATTCTGGAGGTGTCTTCAGTTTGCAAGAGATTGACGACGAGGCGAAGGAGGAAGAGGAGGACTATGGAGAGACGGATTCGGAGGACTGTGCTGATGAAAATGCATGGGATGAAGAGGATGCTTTCCAGTAGTTCAGTTGTCTGGTGTATTATCATTGTGCTTTATTTGTACCATTTTTTGGAAGAGTTCGAGGAGAGATGAGGTGAAGGATATGCTACAGTCGCGAACAGAAGTAGTTTTAAAATTTTAAACTGAAGAATAAAAGTCGAAGTAGTCTTTTCACTTGTGTTGCAGCATGCATACGACACGAACGAACTTGAAACTGAAACAATCATTTGAAAAGGCCATTCCTCAAACAGAGTTTGTCTCATTAATACTGGACAACAAACAGAGTTCCTTTGCGTCTATCTCATTGCTAGTTTAAAAAAGTAGAGGCAAAATGGATGAAGCTCCCATGGACGTGGATCCCGTTGATGATGGACCAAGGCACATGACAGCTCCCCTTCCAATGACACCAACACCTGCTACCGCACCAGCCGACAACATGTCCAAAGAGGAGGAAGCTAGACATTCCATTGAAATGTTAAGAGGAGATGATGTTTCCGCGCGTGTGGCAGCAGCAAGTCGCTTGGAATCTATTGCGTCGGTATTGGGAGAAGAACGAACCCGTCAGGTAGGTGATTTTCATTGTTGGTTGATGTACCTCTTTAATATTGATCTGTGTCGTTCACCTTTGTGACTTTACTTACTGCATAGGAGCTACTGCCGTTTATAACGGATGGTGCCGACGACGAAGATGAAGTGTTATTGGCTATAGCTGGTTCACTCGGAAAGCTGGTGAGACATGTTGGCGGCAACGACCATGCACACAATCTGTTGCCCCCACTAGAGTTGCTATTGTCAGTCGGTAGGTACATTTTGTGGGTGGATGGAACAAAAAACTGAGCGTGACTCCATTTTCTAATAGACTTGATGCGTGGCATGTTGTAATTATTTGTAGAGGAAGCAAGTGTTCGAGAAGCAGCTTTTGCAAGCATGAAAACCGTTTCGGAAAGTCTTCCTGAAAATACATTCCGAGATCAATATGAAAAGGTCCTTTCGCGGCTGGCGAAGAGCGAATGGTTCACAGCACGAATGTCTTCTGCAGGTCTGATTTGCTCTGCATACCCTAGGTTTACATCGGAACAACAAAAAGTGCATCTCTCCTTGTTCACGGGTCTATGTCAGGATGATACACCAATGGCGAGACGAGTGGCTGCACAAAACCTTGGGGAGATGATTCGAAACGTTGTGGAGTCGAATGGTAGAGAAACACTAGCGTTGGATGGGATAATCACAACATCACTGATCCCGCTCTACGAAGAACTTGCATCGAATGATCAACCGGTAAGTTAGTCACACTCTATGTGGTGCCACGCCACACTGCACCTCTGATCATTCCTGTCCATAGGATTCCGTTCGTTTACAAACGACGCACAATTGCGTAATATTTGGGCATGCCATGGGAACACTAGCAAAGACGGGCCCATTGCAAGCGAACGAAACGGCGTTGATTCAAAGATTAGTCCCCTTGATCATGGCAACGATAGACGATCGATCGTGGCGCGTACGATGGACTGCAGCTTCCAAGTTTGCTGAAGTAATTGGGGGTTTTGATGCACTTCCCAGCGTTATGGATTCATTGATTCCTGCCTATGAAAAACTGCTGCAAGATCCCGAAGCTGAAGTTCGAACCGCTGCCACTTTTAATCTGGCGGCTGTTGCCAAGAACTGCACGACGCCTGTCCCCGTCCCACCCATTGGTCGTATGCCCACCGAAGAAGAAATGGTGAATTACCAAGGAGAACGAGTCAGTGCTGCTGAGCGATTGGTAAAACGAGTAACATCCTTGACGGAAGATGACAGTGAACATGTACGAGCGGCGTTGGCCATGGTGGCCACCGAGTTGGCACCCATATTGGGCAAGGACGCGACTATTATTCATTTGGTCCCGCCCATCTTGCTCCTTTTGCGAGATGCCGCATCGGAAGTCCGATTAAACCTGATATCGTCCCTGGGTGCCTTGAATGAAGTGATTGGTGTTGATCTATTGTCACAGTCGCTACTTCCAGCGATTTTGGATCTGGCACAAGACGGAAAATGGAGGTAAGTCTGAATCTGAGTGGAATCATGAATGAAATATTTATTTTTGAAACTGGAAAGAAGCTCATCTTTGGTCTATCTTGTCGCTTTTAGAATCCGTTTAGCCATTCTTCAGCACATGCCCCTCTTGGCAAAGCAGCTAGGAAGAGATTTCTTTACCGAAAAGTTGTCATCCATTTGTGTCGGTTGGTTGGGAGATGACATTGCCAGTATCCGTGCGGCAGCCGCCAACAACTTGGCCGAACTCACAAAACTCTTTGGGACCGATTGGGCCTGTGAATACTTGATTCCATCGGTCGATGACATTCGACTCCATCCCTCCTATCTTCGACGACTCACGGCTGTCCAAGCCTGTTCCAAAATGGCCATGGAGATGGACCCTGGCATGGCTTCCATTGAAATTCTCCCCATTATTTTGGAAATGGCCACGGATACCGTACCCAATATTCGCTTCAACGTTGCCAAAGAGCTGGGTAAACTATCCAAAGTCTTTGATCAGAACATTTTTGATCAGCAAATCTATCCCATACTCACCCTGTTGATGGATGATCCGGATCGAGACGTTCAGTTTTTTGCCAAGAAGGCTTCCAAACGAACGGAATAAAGCACTACTGTAGAATCTCCAGGAAGGAAAGCGAACAGTAGACTATACTGCTGCTTGACAGCTGGGTTCTCTCAATGACATGTACCAGTAGATTCTGACAGGCTCTGAAACTTCAACTGTTTGACGCCCCACTTTCTTCAGTTATATATTCAATTCGAGCCAGTCAGTCGTGGGACCCGACCTCAAATCTTCCGCTCTGCGTCGTACTTTTTCTACAGACTTCCACACGACTTCTTTGATTCGTTGATTGCTTCGAGAAGAAGGGGAAGAAGTGTATCAGAAAATCCGAAAAACTATCATTTGCACGTGCAAAAATCATTGCAAATACGAACTTTGGTTTCACCACCGTACACAGAACAATTGGCCACCATACACAATACATACAGCGAGTATGGACCACATAGACGACAGGTTAACGATAGATGAGACACCGGAACCTTGTCCTTCAGAAGCTTTTGATGAAGACGGAAATGTGACTCGAGTGGACAATCTTGTTTTCATTGATGGGGTGCTGGGACAGGGAGCCTTTGGAACGGTTCGATTGGCACGCCGCAAGTTGAATGAATCCTCCACCGTTCTCCCTAGTCCTAAGGCACCTCCTCCGAAGACAACACCTCCTGCCAATTCCATCTTGAACAATTCCTTTTTTGCACCTCCGACCTCAGCTGGGACGCCTTCCAATAATAGTACAAAACAAACTTCCGCAGAACCATCAAAAGGCTTCGAATCAATAAAGCCACCAAAGTCACCAACACGCAATTCTCGAAGACATCAACGCACCAAGAGTCGGTCAGTCCCCTCTGGTGGTGAATTGTTTGGCGGTGATTTGTTTGGTGGACTTGACAAAATGTTGCAAATTACACCCAGCAACGGCAGCTCGATGAGCATTGGCCGGTCATTTACCCAATCGGGGAAAAAGACACCGTCGGTCGTGGGAAATCTGGGGCTGTTCATTCGCCAAAAGGCATCCTTTGACAATGATGAGGAAGCCGAAGAGCTGGTAGCGGTCAAAATATTTTCCAAATCCATCCTCAAGCGGCGTCGTACCATGGAACGTGACAAATCAACTCGAAAAATGAAAGTCAAAACGGCACTGCAGCAAGTGGAGCGGGAGATTGCCTTGATGAAGAAGTTGTCCCATCCCAACATTGTAACACTCTTGGATGTTATCGATTCGCCCGGTAATGACATGTTGTACATGGTGTTGGAATACATGCCGTTGGGAGAAATTTTGACATATCAGAATGACGGTACCTTTCGACGAAAGGAACCGAAAGCGGGTTGTACCAAGAAACAGATTACAGGCCTTGTCGATGGTCATTTTGATGAAGAACACGCCGCACTCTACTTTGTGGATATACTTCATGGATTGGCCTACTTGCATCAACATCACATTTGTCACAGAGACTTGAAACCAGAAAACATCTTACTGGATTCCCGGGGAATTGCCAAACTCGGAGACTTTGGAGTCTCGCACATTTTTGAAAAGGAATCCGAAGCCATTTCCAATCGGCGTCTAGATGCGAGTTCACATTCTCATGAAAGCAGCGCCGAATTCGTACTTCACCAATTGGAATCGCATCCCCCCAACAAGCTTACAAGAATGGATACGGATCATGCCTTGGAAATGTCTGGTCTATCGGATTTTGGAATGCTGACCAAGACGGAAGGGACCTATTGCTTTTGGAGTCCAGAAATGTGCGAGGGGTCCAAGAAATTCTCAGGTTATGCGGCCGACATGTGGGCTGCGGGTGTTTGTTTATACATTTTTGTCACGGGGAAGTTGCCGTTCTATTCCGAAGTTCCAACCGATTTGTTTGAAGCCATTAGCGGATGCCGAGTTAATTTCAAAGCTTTGCATCTAAGCGCGGACTTGAAGGATTTGCTCTGCAAGTGCATGGAACAGGATCCTCAAAAACGAGCGGGAGTTGGTGACTGCTTGACGCATCCCTTTCTGAAAAAGGCTCGAGAACAACGAATTCGTCAATTCTCCAGAGAATTTGAAATGTCTCGTCAACGCAAGATTGTGCTAAATGAAGAAGATATTCGAATGGTAAGGATTGTATTGCATTGTGCTGGATGCTCTCCGCATTTATGGCTATCATTTTCTCAATTTCATCTCTCCTTTCCCAGGCATTCCGAGTGGTGACAAACCTTCCGTCAGCTTTCATGAAGTCAGCCAGTAAGACCATCCAAAACCGTGCCAAAAAGCTGCAAGAAGCATTCTCACAAGGAGCGAGCAGTGGTGACTCCAGTCATGTACGGAAGCATCGATTGTTTAATAAGCAGTCTTCTGTGGACTCTTCCCTCTTTTCTGCAGAATCTGGAGAAGACCATTCCAATCATGCATTTGGAAGTAGCTTCAAGTCAAAGATGAGCTTTGGTGATGATAGTCTCAGAATACGGAAACTCTTTCACAAACAAACCTCTTCCAATGGATCGACATCCTCTGGGAATGGTGCAAACAAAACGAAAACGACTCGCGACGACGAGTCCTTGACGGACAGTCCCACCGTACGCCAAAAAAATGCAAAAGGATCCCCTCCATCCCCCAAGGGTGGTCCAAAAGAAGCACTTCAAGGAGAAGTCCGAGTTAGGCATGATGTTCGTCGCATGCCTTCGGGGATTTCTTCGGCAGCCTCGATTGACAGTTTTGATAGTCTGCCTCCCATATTAAGCGAAGACGACGAGTTGAATGTATCTGAACACTCCCAGATCAAAGTCAAAGATGGGGTGTTGCGATCGCAATCGGAAGAATTGTCAAATTTGGCAAGAAGTGAAAGTGGGATTAGTACCATCACCAAGTCAAAGAAGACGAGTAAACGACGCAAAATGAAGGATGGCAAAGACGCCACCTGCAACAGTTCCTGTATTATTCAATAAACAACTACCCACGTGTATTTTTAAAATGGTGAATATTCACTACATCGTATATCATAATTGTACAGAGTTATATATTTTCCTGACGACAGGTAACCCAATTCTTCACGCAAAAACATTCGTGGACAAAGACATTCATTTACAAATATAGACCCACATATATAGTTTCTCAAAGTTCCCAATGCCGTGCATTGGCTGCTGTTGTTTTCCCTCGATCCCCTTTATGATTGCGTCAACCAATTATCAGCAACGCTTTCTTGATTCAAGGGAGGTGGACCATCGCTGCCCTTGACCAAATCTGCCGGGTCGGCATTGACCAGGTCGTAAATTTCCGTGGTCGTCAATCGATTGTCAGTCGTCATGACATTTGGTCGTGGAATATTGGAACCACCTTCAATGGGGCTGTCAAACATAGGCTCATTTTCCAAATCTATGCCAAGGGCTTCCATCGTCGTGGTACGGGTCGACAAAGGCTCTGGCTTGGCCATGAGCTCATTAATATCCAAAGTGGTCAAACGGTTGGAATCCTTTAAAGATTCAGGCTTGGGGGCCACTGGAGGTTCTGACCGTTTGGGACTGAGTTGCGATTGCTCCAAGTTATCACTCAACTTCTTGACTTCATGATCCGAATTGAATTGGCCATTGTAGTATTCGGGCATGTATTGTGCCTTGAGACGATTCGATGCCATACTATTATCGCGGTTGAGAGCCGCTCTCTTGACCTGGTGCTTGGTTTCTGAACTCTCTGCTTGATGTGAGGTGTCACGCTTGACCATTTGTGGCTTGGGCATGTACCCGGCATTGTTTCTCATTGGACTAATGTCACCGGCACCTGGAACTGGAACGGGTTGGCTGTACGCCATTGGCTTATTTTGTTGGTCCACCCAGCCTGGTCTGGGATTTCCCTCTGCTCCGCCCGACCACGTGCGTGCAATATCCATATTTACATTGTAGGTTGGCTTGGGACTTGGAGTACTATTGGCTGGAGACAATTGACGTGGAGGTGATCGGTACTGTCCAGTAGCCCAGTATTGTTGTGGTGGCCCAGGACGAGGCTCGAAGGCTCTTTGGTCAGCCGGAAGAGCTACTGAAGCACCAATTAGAGGGTTGAAAGCAAGAGAATGTTCCCGTCCACCCCAGCTCCCCGACCGCTGGTGTCCTGGCATGGCAGGAGGCGGAGTTTGATTGTAGGTCCAGCTTCCGGAACGTTGATGGGTGAGTCCATGGACCGCAGGGGGTGGCGGAGGAGGTGGATAAGGGAATGAGCCCCAACTTTCAATTCTGCCCGTGGAATACTCTCGGAGTTGATTACTACCAACACGTCCGTAATAGTCTGGTGGCGGCGGTGGTCCACCATGGTGGGGTGGGGCAATTCCCAAACTGCCACTACTGCTGTGGCGACCAGCAGGTGGATACGCTCCAGGAGCTGCTGGAGCCGCCATTGGCGAAGCAGCTGATCCAAAGGATGGTGTTCGCTTGCCACTGTCCGCCAAGAATGGATCTCTCCAAGAAAACCCCTCGACCGAAACAGCTTCTCCATCCTGGAGATATTCTCGGCCAAGACTGTGATCTCGGGCAAGAACTGGCTTTTCTGCCTTGCTCGATTCGGTCTTTGTTCCGGCTGCAAAACGTGTCACTTTGGCATCGGCAGCCTTCTACATTTTTTTTAAGGATTGTGAAATCATCAGTCATCCAGCATATGGATAAAATGGAATTTAAAAGCCAAACTTGCAATTGCACTTACAGGACTCTTTTCGTCTTCGCCCTTTTCATCTTCTTGTTGCTTGCGAATCAAAGGTGCCTTTTCTCGCAATGCTTGACTGGTCTTTTCTCTAGCCTTTTTGTCGCCGACATCATTCCAAAGGCCGGTCTTTTCGTCTAATTTCAAAAATCGACCAGGTGGCACTTGACCTCTCCAGATACGGATAATCTCCAAAGCGACCAGTGGCTTGTCGAGACGCTTGCTATTGACATATTCCAATTTGCGGTCTTCTACCATTTTACGATATTGCTTGTTTCCCGAGTGATGGTTTGTACCTCCACCTCGGCCGTACATGACATCGTTCTCATGAGGATCTTTAATTCCTTTTAGCGGCCAGTTGGCATATTTCTTCTTTAATTCTTCTTTCTTCTTGCGATCCTCTTCTGCCGTTTTTGCATCTTCCTCCTTTTTGACTTCCGTCATGGGCTCATCGCCTTTCACGGAAGCTTCGGATTCTTTTTTGGGTTCTGATGCTGTCACTCCTTCTGTCTTTACTTCCGTTGTCTCGGATTCTTTAGTGCTTTTATCATCGCTCATATTTCTATGCTGTGTAGTTTGTAGTTTGTCTATCTATCGAATGGTTATACGCTGTATGTGGCAACTGAGGCGCTTCTATTCAACAGTTCTCTTCAATTTCAATATGCGACTATTGGTTTGTCTTCGTTGTCTTGGGGTTTCTATTTTTTCCGTTCTCTCAGAAATGTGAGTCGTCAAGTCTGCCTTACACATAGTCTTGGGACGTACGCCACTGTAGAAATGTACTGACAAACTCGGGATCATCAAACAAAAGTGACCTTGCTTTTCAAAACCGCCGAACCTCCGGGTTCATCCTCCGGGTTTAAGTCGTGGAAGTCACTCTGTAGTGATGTCGCAAGACAATATTTGCTATTCCTTTTTTGTCACAGCGATATACAGTGAGACAATATTGCAAATTAGACCATGAAAACTACAGAACGTCGTGGATCAGCAGGATGTCAACGCGTGTGGCAGAACGATAACGGATGGAAGCAAGACGGAGGAAAGACAGGCCCAACCGATCTCTAATGAAAGGATGACGATTCGCCACGATTGATTGATTGATTGATTCATTCGACAGTTTTGACCGCTTTAGTCCGAGCGTCGTACGTGTACGTCGAAACATTTTGCTCAACAACCAAAAATCAAAAAACGTAAATTTCTTCACCATGTCACCACTAAATCGCTGGCTGGTGGCTTTCACAGTTTCCCAGCTATGCTCTCCGATTCAATCCTTTATCACTCCAGTGATTTTGAACAACAATAACATCGCAACATGCCCTTCCATAACTTCCTACAGAGAAAGATCCATGGCTTTGCAAATGGTCTGTAGTAGCAAGAGTGCTGGCAAAGAAGAAGAAAAAGATGTCAAGACGTCAGAAAAGGTTCCCATCACCTTGTTAAGCGGATTCTTGGGCGCTGGAAAGACAACGACCTTGCAGCATTTGTTGGAGAATGTCGAAGGCACCAGAATTGGAGTGATTGTCAACGATGTCGCAAGCATTAACATTGACGCCAAACTGATAACGGGGAAAAAGGAGGGTGTCGTCGAACTCCAGAATGGATGCGCCTGTTGCTCGTTATCCAATGAATTATTGGCAAGTGTGGATCAATTATTGGGAAATGCCCATAAATTTGATGCCTTGGTAGTGGAAATGAGTGGAGTAGCCGATCCGATTTCCATTCAAACCAACTGGAAGAATGCGAAGGTTGAGGGGAATCCAGTAGTGGAAAAGGCAGAAATTGCGCAAGTAGTGACTCTGGTGGATTCAACAACCTTTGGTACAGATTGGATGGTACGTCAAGAGTAAATGTGAAGCAAATGATTTGGGTGATAACGCTCGTTGTTCAGCAGCGACCTAACAACACTTCGATCCACTTTCTTTCTAGACATGGGATACAGCTGGCGATCGTGAGAAATGGTCGAGTCAATCCAGTAGTGATTGTGGTCAGACTAAAAAGGTTCCTGAACTCTTGGCGGAGCAAATTGAAGCTGCCAATGTCATTGTGCTCAACAAGAAGGACTTGGCGGGACCTGAACAGTTGGAGGTTGCCTCGTCATTAGCACGATCGTTGAATGCCAAGGCCAAAATAATAACAGCCGAGTATGGAAAAGTAAAACCATCGGATATATTGCAAGAGCTGGCGGTTCCAAAAGAATCTGGTTGTTGTAGTAGCGGAACTAGTGATAAAGAGTCCAAGTTTGAAGAGAAGGCCAGTTGCTCTTCCAAGGCAAAGAAGGAAGCCATTGACAGTTTCAAGGCAGCTACAAAGGAACCAAATTGTTGCGAAAAGGCTGCGGCTGAAGGATCCAGTTGTCGTGACCACGACCACTCCAAGGATGCCGCACCCGCCAACAATGACGGTGCTTGTCTCATGTCTAGTGACAATAACAAGATTGGTGTCACTAGCTTTGTATACAAGGCGGATCGGCCATTTCAAACTGTGAAGCTGCTCAGTTTGTTGGAGCAATGGCCAGTCCCTATCAAGGACGATTTGGATTTGTCTCTACTCAAAGAAGCGCAGGAGAGAGACTACGAGGTACAAAGCAAAGATCAAGAAGATTCTCCTTTTTTGGGAGTACTACGAAGTAAGGGATTCTGTTGGTTTGCTCCAACCCGGTGGAGTGGGCCAAAGGAAGATGTTTGGAGACATGACGCTGCTATGTATTGGAGTCATGCTGGAAAGCAGTTTGGAATCACCAGAGCAGGACAGTGGTGGGGAACAGTTGGTAGAGAGGAGATGAAGGAACGGCTGGCTGGAGATCCCGAGGAATGCAACCGGATCCTGGAAGAAGATTTCGTGACCGAAGAGTTTGCTGATCGTCGACAAGAGATTGTGTTCATTGGCATTGGAATGGATGAAGAAGAGATTAGAAGGTCACTCGACGACTGTCTGATGAAGGATAAGGGTATGAAGCGATATCGAGAATACCTATCTTACACACAAGATGGAGTCCTTCTCTAGTTGTCTTTGTTAGAAAATAAAATCTTAGAATCCGTTTTGCTTTTTTGTCATCTCATTTTTGGTTAGCATAGTACTCCTTGATGGGTGCAAGAGATTTAAATCTTTCGACGAAAGCTTTGCACTCGGGATAGTCATCAAGACTTCTCAGGTTCTCAGAAAGTTGCTTTCTGTTGGGAATGTAGTCATCGAAGCGTGCGAACCAAACAAAGTCGGCTATAGTAGGCGTCTCGGTACCAGCGACCCAGCCTGTGCTGCTTGCCTTGAGCAGCCTTTCCAGGTTGCCCAAATGACGAGGAAGTATTTCTTTCGAGATGGTATCAAAAGCCTTTTGCTTGGTAGCGTCGTCCATCTCGATTCCAAAACGGGTGGTGTAGGACGCAACGGTGGCGCCCATGAAGGCATCGTTTTCTTGGTCAAAGATGGCGTCCACCTTCGCAGCCTCCAATGGATCCTCTGGACAGAGTTTTGTGAGCTTGGCGAGGTATCGCATGATGGCTCCCGATTGGATTAGTTGGTGCTTTCCATCGACTTCAAGCATTGGAACTTGTCCAAACGCAAGTTTTCCATTTTCCTTGAGGTCCACAAACTCTTGACTCGAGGCAAAGCGATAGTCCTCAAGTTCTAGGCCGGTGTAGGCACATAATAAACGAATAGGTTCACCCTTTCCCTTCATGTTGAAGTAATATAGTTTGAGCTTCGGGGCAGGATCCATTTTGCGTTTTGACATGTGGGAAAGTTACAATGCAGCCTGACCTTATTGATGTGAAATGATGCAATTCAAGCCATTTCAAAGTGAAAGGGTCGGATCGATCATTGGATGTGAATGATGAGGTTCAGACTGTTCGACTGGATTGACCCATTGATCATACACGGGAAAGTTGATTTCGGCGGGCTGAACCCCGCCAAAATGTGATGATGTTCCTCAGATACAAAATGGTATTGTACTAGAGTGGTATTGTACTGACGGTGTATACCGGTAGTGGTAACTATCTTATTATGCAGCGTTTTTATAAGGCACACTGTACCGCAATCTGATTAAGATTGAATTTCCATGAATGAAACGTCTTCCTTCCTTTTCGCCAATATGCTGATGATGACTACTAGAGACAACGCAGTCTGGAGCGTCTCTGATCTTCAAGTGTATAAAGTATTGCACCATTATTCAAGAGAAGGGAGGCTACGAGGGACAAACAAATAATCGCGACTCTCAAAGAGCTCCGCAAATTCGTGCTCTCCAACCGTCCCATCGTTCTGCTCGTCAAGCTCATTCACTAGATCGCCGATTTCATTCACCGTGAAACCAACATTGAAGGCCTCAAGCATTCGTTGAAATTCTTCAAGAGTGATTTGGCCACTGTTGTCTCTGTCAAATTGATGATACATTTGATGAGCTAGTTCGTGAATCCCATGGTGATCCATCGAGGTTGACACATGTTGGGAATAGAATGCAAGGAACTCTTCCCTGACGATCACACCATCCCCATTTTCGTCGAGCACCTGTAAGATTTCATTTGTGATTTTATCTGAAACTGGCAGGCCCAATTTTCCCAAGATCTTTGACAGCTCGCTACTATCGATCTTTCCATCGCTAGAGGGGTCCAAGGCGTCAAATGCTTTTGCGACCTCCTGGAGTTCCGATGAGTTGGCTTTGCCATTGGGATTATGGTGCCCGTGGCTAGTCCCTGCCGCCCCATCGAATCCTTGCTCGATGGCTCTCTGAAGTTTGAAGATGACTGCCATGGCGCGTATGATCCGGTCGATCTTCTCGTCTCGGATTACCTGAGAAACGACTTGAGGCCTTCTGTGAACCCCAAAGTTGCTTACGATTGTCATGTTTGCAGCTATATCTTGGTTCTTCGAAATCAAATAGTAAAGTGGTAACAGCGACAAAATCAAATATGCCGTCCATTCTGCCGAGGAGCACTGTGTGTACATGATCTTGAAAAAGCTTACAATCAACAGAGAGACATAGGCCGAGGTGAAAACCAGCTGAATCTGGAAAACGACACTATAGAGCTTTGGTCCGCTGCGACCGAACCAGTAAAGGGCATCTTGTCGGGTAACTTTTCCACGAAGACCCCGAATACCCAAAAACTTCACGAACAGCGACTGCCCATTATTGTATTCGTCCAAACTGAAGTGGGCCCAAGCAGGCAATGGAAGAGACAAAAGCGATGCGTTTTCACTTTCGCTTGCTATTCCATTGGAGGAGGATGGGGATGCAAGGCCTTGCAACACACCTTGAATATGATAGTCAAAAATGTTGCGAACAATGAACACTGTCCAGCCTGCACCAACCCAAAACCAGGCAAATATCTAGCAAGGGAGAAACGAAGTGAGCTAACACTGACATTGATGAATTGACCGACGCCCATATGGGCGGTAATGGCACTTACCGCAAATTGATTGTCAACAATCACAATGATGATATAAAATACGAGAGTCAACAGAGCAAAGAAGAACCAGGTGATGTGGTTCAAATGGACTGCATGTGCCAAGTCATGACCAAGACAAGCGCTGAAGTACTGCCCCATACCGAAGTCCTCGTGAACACGATTGTTTGGCTTTGGTTCAAAGGGTGGTTCCGGGGATCGTTGAAGCAAGAACTCGGTTCGAAGCCCTCGAAATAATCTCAATTCTTTTCGAAATCCCTCGGTCTTACTTGCAGTAAAAGGGAAAAGGGTTTTGAGAAAATAAATGAACCACCCTGCCTGGGTTACATCTGTGTCCTTGCTATCCCACCCTTCAAGTCTTTTCATGTATTCCGGATCTCTGCATGCCATGTCGAAGATAAACCACTTGTCTTCAGTTCTTTGAGCACCGGCCACTAGAGCCAACACACTGGTGACAAAGAAAACCATGATGAAGAATAGCATGAAGTGAACAAATTCGAAGATTTCGAGCAAGGCTTCATCCTCTTCAAATAAATGGATCGATATCTCTTCGAAGAAGCCGAGCTTCGTAACGCAAAAGGTGAAGACGGATAGAAACCCGAGCACTGTCATTTCTCCAAAAAGAGACGCTATAATTGGCCGCATGTTGTGATCAGCGGCCTCCTCAATATACTCCTTGATGGTCTCAAAGGCGATCGTGAGGATCACCAAGAGCAACACAATCAAAGCTATTGTCGCATCCATGGTCGTCTGAAAGTACATGATAGTTGTGAGTCACAAATAGACCTCGTGATATCAAAAGGCAAGCTAATGTTGACTTACCGGGTCGATTACTTCTTCTCCCTCTTCGCTTCCTTCTCCTTGATGTAGACCTTCGCTTGGCTCCTCTGCGAGCCATCGTCTCTGTGAACCATTAGTCAATCCGCCGTCGAAAGACTGGGTTAATGTGGCGAGAAGGTACCCACAAACCCCTCCCAGAACCACAGCCTTCCATGCTACAAGCGAGTTCGATTTCGATCCCCTGTTAGACATCATTGCATTGTGACAACTAGCTACTGTAGTTTCAAGTTGATACGACGCGCAGAATCTTGCTCCAAAAAGATATGTGCTATCCGGGATCGGAAGCCGGGATTAGAGTACGATTCAATGATTGATTCATTCGACTGCGACAAAAGTTTGTGAAAGGTGAACAGGAAATATCTACTATAGAATAGTCCCCAATTCTAATAGTATATTCCTCATGATTCGTAACAAAAAACAGGCAAATGGGAAAAAGAATGAAATTCTAGTAGCCTCCTAGCGACCATCCATCTCCTCTGTCTATCGTCTCCGTCCTCCACTCTTTTTGTTTCTCGATCTAGGTGTTGAAGTACTGGCAGACGGAGTGGATGAAAACCCACCAAATGCTGGTGGTGCTCCTGCTGCAGGTGCTGGAGCACCAAATGCTCCTCCAAATGTTGGTGCTGGGGCTGCACCAAAGCCCCCAGGAGCTGGTGTTCCGAAGCCCCCAGGAGCAGGGGCGGGTGTGCTTCCAAAGAGACCTCCTCCTCCTGGTGCTGGAGCTGGTGCTCCAAAGCCCCCAGGAGCAGGTGCTGGGTTACTTCCAAACAAGCCTCCTCCGGGCGTTGGAGCGGGAGTACTGCCAAAGAGACCTCCTGTTGATGGAGCGGGGGCTCCAAAGCCCCCTGGAGCAGGTGCTGGGTTGCTTCCAAACAAACCTCCTCCAGGTGTTGGTGCGGGAGCACCAAACAAACCACCAGAAGGTGCTGGTGTACTGCCAAACAAACCACTAGAAGGTGCAGGAGCACCAAATAATCCCCCGGAAGAAGGTGCAGGAGCCCCAAACATCCCAGTGCCTGATGATGGCGTACTACCAAACATACCTCCCGATGCTGGACCTGGACCAGGAGCTGCCTTTTGCGGCAATGCTTTGACCATTTGCCGTCGCATTTCATGGTCCAGTTCTTGTTGCCGTTGCTTTTCCTTTTGGTCCGCTTCCACCAAAACATTCTCCTTGGTTTCTTGTCTCTGATAGGAAAATCGCAATTGATCCACCTTTTGGTGGATTGGTGCCAAGGCAGCAGCCAATTTCCAAATCGACTGCTCTTGCAATTTGATAATAGCCACAACATCAACGTCTTGATTTTGTGTAGTAGTCGCTTCTTGAAGTGCCTTGTGAGTGGTAGTCATTTCTTGCTGCAATAGAGCAATTCGTTTTTCTAGTTGATCCAATGTTTGCCACAAGTACGGTGATGGCATGCGTTCGACTCGATCCACGTGGGCGGCCTCCCGATCCAACAGATCTTTGAGTTTGCCTTGCAATTCGGCATCTTGCGAGCTCGATGCGGATTTGGGTTTGGACAAGGTGACCCCTCGTCGCATGGCGACTGCTTCGGTGGGCCATTTGGCAAACATTATGCTTTGTGTAGTGGCACTTTGGAAGAGTGTTTGTGTGTGTTCCACTCGTTGCCGTATATGAACCAACTGATGTTGCAAATTTTGCACTTGGCCTCGCAATTTGCGGACATTTGACGCTAGAGGCAAGGAATCCTGTCCAGCTGCAGCATCAGCTTGTGACGTTGAAGATTGTGAGGTATTTGGTCGCAATAGTTTGGGTGCCATGGTAGACACTTGCAGAATGGTGCGTTTGTGTTGCATCATAGCTTGATATAGTGTATCAATTGCCCTTTTCTGATCGGGATTCAGGTTGGCATAGGGAAGGTGCCCTGCCAAGGCAGCCTGAGGTGCGGCAGGTGCCCCATATCCTCCTGGTTGTCCAAATCCACCGGGCGCAGGTGCAGGGTTGTTTCCAAACAGAGAATTACCAGGTGCCGGTGCTGGGTTGTTTCCAAATAGTGAATTACCGGGCGCAGGTGCAGGGTTGTTTCCAAACAGAGAATTACCAGGTGCCGGTGCTGGGTTGTTTCCAAATAGTGAATTACCGGGCGCAGGTGCAGGGTTGTTTCCAAATAGTGAATTACCGGGCGCAGGTGCAGGGTTGTTTCCAAATAGTGAATTACCGGACGCAGGTGCAGGGTTGTTTCCAAATAGTGAATTACCGGGCGCAGATGCTGGGTTGTTTCCAAACAGAGAATTACCAGGTGCCGGTGCTGGGTTGTTTCCAAATAAACTTCCACCTCCTCCTGGTGCTGGTGTTCCAAAGCCCCCCGGAGCTGGTGCTGGGTTACTTCCAAACAAACCAGGTGCAGGTGTACCACCACCACCAAAAGAAAAGCCACCAGGGGCTGGTCCTGGAGTTCCAGGTGCCGGAGTAGAGCCACCGCCAAATGAAAAGCCACCACCACTTGGTGCAGGAGCCGGTGTTGAGGACCCACCGAAACTGAATGCCATTTTCAATTGGTTGTTTCAAGGGTTAGTTTATAGCAGCTGTGTTGATTCTATTGTTTGTCGCGTGTTGGCAATAGTGGAATTGTAGCGAGAGTGGGGATGGATAGTCTTTGTAAGGGAGGTTGTCAGCTGTTGCCGTTGCATGTTGACCATCATCATTGCATCGGCGGCCGTTTGAATCCTTCGAACACCGGTCGGCGTATGGACACCGAGTGGAATTTCAAATTCAAAACTGAAACGATGCAAACAACAAAAATGACAAAACACCAAACAATCGAAATCAGGGCTATAATCTCCATGCTCCAAAAATTGAATAATCACTCTAGAATGGTCATATAACACGATGAGGATATCGAAAGTAGGAGGACGAGCTTCTCCGATTTCTCTGAGGGTGAGAAAGGCCTTGAGATACGTGTCCATCACGACGCTGCTTTTCGCTTTAACCGTTCTAAATTCGGTTCAGATGATGCCCTTGTACTACGATCAAGAGGCTGTGAGGCTGCAAGACGTCATGAGACAGAAGTTTGAGAATGAATCACATATAGACGCGTCGTCCACAAGACAAGAACAGAGTAATTCTCAGCATTTCGTCTCGACATCAAAACCTAGTGTCGTCACCCTTCTCCGTTTGGACTGGACCAACCAAGTACCTCAATCCCCACTGGCCAGACGAATACAACAACATCAAATGGACTGCTCTCTTCCACTAGGAAATTTCAAATTCCGTAATCGTTTTGGTCTGGGAAGCGATTTGCACGTTTGGAGTCAAGCCATGTGCAATGCGATGCATTTCGGGGTACGGATACGGACCGTTTGGGATTGGCTTTGGATGGATCAACAGTCTTGTCAATCAATTATAATAGAAGAGAACAAGAAAACTAAGCGGACTCTTGGGTCTCCATTGCAATGCTACTTTCCACGTGCCGAACTGCAGTGTCCAAGCGATTCAGAAATAGTACTAGAACATCCAATCTTTGATTCGGCCTTGTTCAATATCAGTGGAGGGCGACGACAGGGTACTGTCAATTGGGATTGTTCATCCATCCTGTCGTCGGAAAGTGGGGATGGCAACGAAATGCAAAGAAGATTTCAGTTTCAAGAGGCTGGCATGGAATTTCTGTTTGGTCAAATATCACAGCATGTAGTGGAAGAAGCAAATCGACAACATTTTCTTGTCTTTGGTAGTGGCAATACATCCCAAACTACTACTCCCAATGATTTGATTACGGTCCATATTCGATGGGGCGACAAGAAGCGCGAAATGAAATTGCTCCAAATTCAACAGTACTTGAACGCTATTGATCAACTGGTGCAAGGGCGACCCCGACCCGTGGTCAATGTCTTTCTAGCTACAGAAGACCCCGAGGCCGTCCAACAGTTTCAGCAACAGGCACCAACAGACTGGAAGATATATATCGATCAATTTTATACCGAATTGCTACCCCATCGCAATGGCAACGAATACAATGGAGTTCCCAAGGCTGCTACTGCCTTGGAGGGACGAATGGGGACCATTGCACTGGGCTCCTTGTTGGTGGCTCTGGAAGCGAACGAATTTGTGATTACGACCGAAAGCAATTGGAGTAGATTGTTGAACGAATTGCGCAAAAGCATTGTCGACCCAACTTGCCATGGATGCACCAAGGTGATGGATCTGAAACCAATCCAATCAATTTGAATAAAGTTATAGCTGCTGCATTTAGTATCAGTCTCCTTCTTTATCCTCTCCCAACAATTTCTTTTGTGCTTGTACCATTCGATGGTAATCGTCCAACTTTTGCAAGTTCCGTGTTGGGAACCATCCATAGACATCGGTCGACAGTGGCTCGTCAGGATTGGCGGGCAATCGGCACAAGTTGTATTGTCGTTGAGGTCCGACTCCTTCGGCCAAGACTTCGACCACATCAGCCAGTTGAACGCCAACTAAACAATGATTCCCCTTGCTTACTCTACGGACGACACAAAAACAGATTACTGGAAGATCTTCGTCCCGTTGTCGTTCCATTGGATTGGCGAGGAATTCTTCTCTCAATTTGTTGTTTTCACCGATTTGCCGATTGCCAAAGATAGAGTCGGAAGCACCCCAGGCTAGGAACATGGTAGGAATGGTCAATACTGAAATCAAAAGAGGCCAATTGCGTTTTTCTGGTGGTTGTGGAGAAGAAGATTGCAATCGAAGAGCACAGCCACGCCGAAGTGATGGCTTTCGCCTGGTAGCCATCATTGAGAAATGCTTTTGAGCAACTTGGAAAGCATGGCGATTTCTGGATATCGTAAGACGAAGAACCATAGTAGATAATATTGAACTGATTTCCCTTTGAGTGGTATACCGGTATTGATAGTGATGGAAGGATGCGGAAACGGGTTGTGTTCATTGATCGAACGAGTCGTACACGACAAAAAAAAGGTGGTACACTCTTGGGTGGACGTACCAGGTACCAGGAGAGCTCTGGCAAAAGCCCTGCGACGCAATCGAAGCTTGAAGCCGTTGAGGCAACGCCAGAAATGCCGATCGACAGCACCTATGAAGTGACTGTCCCGTCTAACTAATAGAACAGATAGATCCGCACCGCAGGTGTGCTGTAAATCACTTTAGTCTTTTAGAATTTTCAGAAAACAATGAGGATTGCAAAACACTTTGCAATTGCATTGTATTCTGAACATTCGCTTTCTACTTGTTCTAAAGATTCTCGTTGTCGTAAGCTAATACGTCCACGAGTACCAGTCATACTCCGACCAATACATTCCAACCAATATGCCGTGGGACATGTAATTGTAATAAACGTGATTGGCGTTCGTGACTGGTGAGTCACTAATGGCAAATCAGCTTTGCTCCAACGCACTCCTGTGTCCAAGTGCATTAGGAGTATTGGTCGGAAGGGTTCATAATGAGGTTTCTGAATGTGCGGAACAGTGTTCCCTGCGTAGGCTTGGTGAAGAAGTCTCCCAGCATTTTGGCTGTCGGGCAGTGAAGTACTCTCATGAATCCACTCTTGATCTTGTCAGTAATAGAAAAGTATCGCACGTCGAGGGCTCTTGTCTTCCTGCCGCAAGATGATCTTCCATTCTTCTCCAGCAGCATGGCGCTCTGATTGTCCTGGTGGATGATGTTGTCGACTACTTCGTATCCTTGTGAAATGATGAAGTATCTGGACCACATGATCATAGGTAGTGCATCGTGTACTCCAACCAACTCTGCTACAGTCGAACTGTCGGTATTGATCTTTTGCTTGGTTGAGATAGCGATGATGGCGCCCTTACCCATGGTCAATACAGCACCAGTGTGGCTCTTCATGTCCTTGTGAACTGCGAAGGACGCGTCCACCCACCATTGCATGACAAACTTGTCGTCCAACTCAATTGTCAGGGGCATGTACTTGGTAGCTCTCAAATATTTGATGGATCGGCCCAATTTTGCATAATCGTCTTCGTCTGGCTTGGAGACTCTGGTTGTCAAAAATGCAACTGCAGTCATTAAGTCCCCTCTGACTCTCTTGCATAGGTATAAAAGTTTTGCCGTAATGTGGTGGAATAGTTCGGCCCTCTTGCTGTCCAACAATACCGGCTCATTCTTGACTTGGAATAGATGATTGGCGGCCGGTGATGTAGCCAGTCCTTTCATATCCTCTGGGGTTTCTTCGAGTAACCTGTCGACGTAATCATCCATGGAAAACTTTACCTTTCCTTTTTCGCTGAAATCGATCGTGACCCCAAGGTATTCGTGCACGTCACCTCTCTGGATTGTGAGGGGTGCCTCCTTTCCGTACCTTTCACTCAGTCTAGATGCAATATCCTCAAGGACTTCTTGCTCCATGTGGGAAACCTTCAAGTCGTCGACATGCCAGATGATGGTGCATTGCTTTCCATTGATCATCTTGTTGACAACGCAGCTGTCATACGGGTTGGCCTCGTACCCCAATTCGTCCACCAGGAACCCAGAAAGGTTCTTCCACCAGCACAACGCTCCTTGCAAGGTCCCGTAGAGGTTCTTGTTCAGCTGTGCATAGATGACCGGCTTCTTTCCTTCATATGCAACGTATTTAGTGTAAAGGGCTGGGTCAACTTTTGTTAGTAGTTCGGCTATCTCCCCTTCGAACTTGACGTGGATAATCTCGTCTGTATCAGCCTGCATGAATGCTCCAGGAATGTCGATTGTCATGACCTTGCGGCCTTCTTTGGCATCAATTGCGCACGTGATCATGAAGGACTCGGTGCGTACAGTCGGCGCGGATGTCTCTTCCTTTGTTTTGTAGAGACGTTGGCGGCGCCCGTCGGCGCATCCGCGGGCCTTGACCTTTCCACATCTCTTTTCCTTCAGGAACATTAGGTATCTCAAGGCGTTCCTCCTTTGTTCTGGTGTCAGTTGGCTCCTGTACTTGGGCGATAGCACATTCCTGTAGTGTATCTGATGCATCTCCGCCACGATGGCCTCTGCTCCTGATTCTCCAAACACTTTCAATCCTTTCTTTGCTGACATTTGTTCTGTTAGAAAAGCCACTTCATGATGGAACAAGGTTACCATCTCTGTGTATTCCGGTACAGGTTCGTCCCTGTGTGGAACCTGGATGAGGACCTGGTGATCTCCATGAGTTGTTGGGTATTTTCTGGGACGAAGGTTCCTTCCATGTCCTCTTTCACCATACGCTCTATCCATGTCATCATTGATTTGTTGTTGATTCTGATTTTGGGTCAAGTTCTGAAGTTCTTGTACTTCCTGTTGCACCTCTTGTTGGATCTCTTCGATCAATTCATCCAGTTGTGTGTCCGCGGCAGCTTGTTCTCGGGCGTCATCATCTTCCGAACTGTAGTCACTGTCATCACTGGTTGTGGAACCGCCATCTTGGGGGTCCATTTGTGTGCTTATGCTGTCCACTCCTGTATTTCTGGCGTCCACTCCTGTGTTTCCCCTGCCCACTCCTGTATTTCTGGCGTCCACTCCTGTGTTTTCATCAGGGAACTGTGGTTGGTGTTGTTGCAGCTGATGTTCATTCACTCCTGCGGGCAGGATGCCGGCGTTGTCGGGAGGCTGGTCGTTATCGGGATCATCAGAGTCAGAATCATTGCTGTGAGTAGTATCATTTTCATCAGCGTCATCTACGGAATTGTTGTCGTCGTAGGCGCTGGCATCATCGTCCACAGGTGTTTGTGGAGGTGGCAGGGTGACATCGCTAGCATCACTGTCATAGCTAATGTCATCGTCATCTGTGTGAGTGTGGGTGGCGGACGCATCGGAAGAGCTGTACAAGGAGTCGTGATCGTCGTCCACTTCGTCATCGTCGTCAATAAGCTCCCTTCCGTGTCGGTCTGCAAATGTCAGTGTAGTGGGCATGCCCTGTTGTAGTCCACGGTTGCTGACGGCCTCGATGACATCAGTAGGCATGGGTAGTGGTGTCCAATGTTGCCTTGTGATGCGCTTGCCGGTTGCAACGCTCATGAAATAGTGTGAGCCTTGTGCTGCACCAGTGGGCCCAAGGCATATTGCGCCCAGCGTGCGTGCACGCATATCATTGGAATGTTCCTCATGAGTTTGGACATATGCGCCGAATTCGGTGCGGACATGGAGTTTCATGTTTACATTTCTTCCGGTTACAATGTATTTAGGCGAAAGCGTGTCAGAAACCCCATCCAATGCTGGGAAAGCATTGAGCCAGAACACTGCATTTCGAATCATGTGTTCTAGAATCAGTTTGGGAATTCGTCGAAATGGCAGCATGTTATATGTGCTGCGCACCCTGTCCTTGATAGTGCGGATAAAACGCTCTACTTCCGGCACATGCTCATCTGCACCACAGCAGTCGACCTGGATGTTGGGGAATTGTTGTTTCAGAGGCTCAAACTCTGGGTCCCCAAGAATGCATGTGACTTTGAAGTTGCGTCGGGAGTACAGTTCAAATACTTTGCGCATACTGTCGGTGATGGTCTTGATGCGTCGGTTGGTGAGGCGCTCCACAGTACCGAACTTCAGGTGCCTGGAAATGCTGACCAGGAACGGGACTTTGTTTACAAATAATATGTCAATTGCCAATGTGACCTCTGAATAGAGTTGCTGGATGTGGTCTGGAATTGGTCCCACCTCGGTCCTTACGTGGCTGTCATTGCGGGAAGTGGTTTTTCCTTTCAGCGATCCGAGATTAGGTCCATAAATGTTGTGGGCCACTCTGATGTCTTCCGCTGTCACAGGACAGTCACGGAGCAGATTTTTGTTCACGATATCAGTGAATCGTCGATCTCCTGGTCGGCCGATGATGTTTTGAATGTGTCGAGCCTGCGCCGCTCGCATTACAGCCGCTTTGGTGTGCTTGGCTTTCTGCTCTTTCACAGTTTCCAGGAACGTCCATGACGTCTTGCAGTAGTCATCGAGGTCGATGTGATACAATCCCTTGTCGGTTGGGAGGAATTCGACCTTCTTGGTACCGCCAAAGTCCACCACGAATCGATCTGCCCCCCTGTTGTCATACACAACGTGGTAGTGCTTGTTGACATCATGGAATGATAGGATGTTGGCGATCCCATCGGGGTTGAACCATACTGGATCCGGATAATCCCCAAAATATCCCTTCATGTTCAATTGTACCACCCCTGCATTGCATCGGACCTTCAGTCCATGTTGGACCTTGTGAATGTTTTGTAGTAGTGATCGATTGCAAAAGATGTTTGCTGTAGACCCAGTGTCCAGAACGATCCATGTTACCGGTAGGCCTGATTGCGGGTGGCGCTTGGGAATGAGTTTCACATACGACTTGTTGTTGGAATGGAGGAAGAGGTGCTCAGTGGTGGAAACGTCTTCATCGACTGCTATGGAGTCAGTATTGACTGGGTTGGTTGAATCGCTAGGTTCCTCAGTGGTCAAATACTCGTCAACTTCATCGTTATTGTTATTGTTGGATGTGTCAGTGATGTGAGTTTCGTGTTGTTCGTGGTTTCTATTTGGACGTCGCTCAAAATCTCGCCCGCGACCACCGCGCCCGCTGCTTCCGCGCCCGCCGTTCCGACCGCCGCCGCTTCTTCCGTTGGGACCGCCGCCGCGACCGCCCGTCCCGCTCTCAGTGGATGGCTGGCCGTCGGCAAGGAATGACGCACCGATTTCCGAGCTGCGGATGCTTGAATGATACGAGGCAACAAGTGGCTTGCTGTTGTTGAGCAATTCGATAGCTCCTGACATGGTGGTGGGAAACGTGTCGCTTCCGCTGAACAGTCTTGCATTGTTGGCCTGGGCAATAAGGCCCCCATACCGCTTTCTGTCTGCTCCGAGGAGAAAAGCCATCGCCATCTCCTTCTCCACAATCTTCTCTTCTACCGCTCTCAGTTCAGCCAGTGTTGGGTCCGATTTGCCGGTCTCTTGAATGAGCCTGGATAGGGAGGCTCCCATGGGGCAGTCGCAGAATCTGGCCGTATTGGAAAGCTGCATGAAGACTTGAAGGTACTCTGCATTGGTTTGGTTTTCCTTCTGCTTGCAGGTGTAGGCCTTTCTTTGAGCTTCGACACCCATCATAGTTGGATCAACGTTGGTGGATCCGCCCGTGGCCGCTACGATCTGGAAGACCTTGAGCATGTCCATTGAGCTGTTGTTCGCGATGACCGTGCCCCACTTTGGATGGCTCTCAGCAGCGCTCAGGAATGCTGCGGAGCAGTGGCGTTTCAACATTGCGCAAAGAGCTGCTTCATTTGCCTTGCGCACAGACTTCTCCGCCTCATACTTTTTGTCCTTCTTCAAGTAATCATGTTCTTCCTGTTTGTTGTCCCAATCCGGAAGGTTTGGTGCAACCAAAGGAGGCAGAGAGAATGGGTCTTTGGCGGTTGAAGTTGATTCTCCCACCATCAGGTAATCGGAAGCATCCTTTCGGTTTGACACGAAGTAAGCAATGTGGGCCTTCACGACTTGGAGGAATGGGGGCACTCTTGGATCCACGTTTGGGAGCTCATAGTAATATCCCTTGAGCTCTGGTTCCACAGTTGAAGGGGGCTTGGATTGAGATGCAGCTCCAAACTTGGTGTTGTTCTTTTGCTTGCCTCGCCGATTCCTGTTTCTTGGCCGGATTTGGTCAGACCCGCTGTGGGCAGGGTCTGGGGGCGACTCGCCTTGGCCGTCGCTTTCAGTTGGCATTTTGTTTTCTGAAAACGTTGAGGCAACGCCAGAAATGCCGATCGACAGCACCTATGAAGTGACTGTCCCGTCTAACTAATAGAACAGATAGATCCGCACCGCAGGTGTGCTGTAAATCACTTTAGTCTTTTAGAATTTTCAGAAAACAATGAGGATTGCAAAACACTTTGCAATTGCATTGTATTCTGAACATTCGCTTTCTACTTGTTCTAAAGATTCTCGTTGTCGTAAGCTAATACGTCCACGAGTACCAGTCATACTCCGACCAATACATTCCAACCAATATGCCGTGGGACATGTAATTGTAATAAACGTGATTGGCGTTCGTGACTGGTGAGTCACTAATGGCAAATCAGCTTTGCTCCAACGGAAGCGACTAAAATGGGCCACATACTGTATATGCATTGGGTTACGATGATCAGGAGATTCTCACTCCTGCTGTCTTGGAGACGCAGCAAGTTGAATCGCTTGAGATCTATGGAGATGAAGAAGACGATCGTTACGGGCACATTCCATTTGATATCTTCAGAGGTGCCCTCTGTAGAGAAGATTACCCACTCGAACGTATTCACCTGATCCAAGCTGTGCCATCAAATAGTCCTGTTACAATGAATGGTAATGAATAGAACACCACGATGATAAACTCGTCAATGAAGAGCTTCATTTTATACGGTGCCGAAGTTGATTTCCTTCCGTATCATGGAGACTGCCAGCCTGTTTCAATCGATTGATATATTGTGTTTACCAAATTGCGTGGTATCGGATTTTTCTACTTTGGATCCGGTGTTGCTTGGAAGCAATGCAACTCTAAAGAGTCTGATATATTTATTACGAACTGCAGCATTGGAGGGGCGGATGCCATTGACTTTTTTCGCAAGTTGCACCACGTGGAGTTGGGAAATTATCCATCCATCCGTAACAATGACTTATATGGAAGAGTGTGGCTGTCGACGCGATCCGCCGAAACAAGAGTCTGGAGTGCATCGGCGTCGGTGATTTTGACGAAAACTTCTTCGAGAGGACAAAAATTGCATTGAGTTTAAATCGTGGTGGACGCCGAGCTCTCGAAGTAGAATCATCTTCGTCGACGCTGCCTGCCAATTTATGGTCAAAGGTACCGGTACTCCAAAGGGCGACGAAAATATTCCACTGTAACTATTCTTGTAGGGGCATGGATGTTGACCGTACTAGCGACCATGGACCTGAATCATCCACAAGGGCAGACGTTGTGTTTTGGTTGTTGCGAGAAAAGAGGTTCGGGGAGTGTTTGTAAATTAGTTGAAAAGAACTATCATCGTTTCCTTGATGAACATGGAGCAAGATTTTCTATGATGAGATAGACTTGAAATATATATAAACCGGGGCTAGATTCCTGATATTTCAATCCTCTTATGCGTAGTAGTACTCTTGGATGCCTCATTAGTACTAGCCAGTCAGCATCCTATCCTTTTCATGTCATCATGTTCATCTAGTCATCAATCGGATTACTTTTTCGCTTTTACCAAAAATGTCCACGCCTTGCAGAGACCCCCATCCAACAATATCGTATTATTGGCAGGTTCTCCCTTTCCACTAATGACCTTGATGATTTCATTGCCCAGCATGCCCCCCAGAACCGAACAGACGGCTGGCAATTGAGCGACACCGGCTTTGGCCAACTGTTGCAAGTCTTCTTTGGAAAGGTGCTCGTCATCCAACTCCACTTGTTGTCCCTTCAAAAAGTCTTGCATGATGGTAATGTCCTCTTCTTGCGAGGGAAACATTCCAGTTTTGGCTTGGTATTCCAGTAAACAACGATACAAGACATATACTTTGGGAGGTTTCTTGTGGAATCGATTGACGGTCAGGTGCAAGGGTACTTTGACATATTCCTCCAACGGCAAATATTCTTTTAGGGGCTGTGGTTCCAAGAGTTTCTTGCCCTGTTCGGGTCGGAAGTGATAGTCTTGACCCAATTCCGTCAAGACGGCCCCATTGAATCCAAAACAATCCGCCAAGTAAAATTGTTTCTTCAACTTGGACGCCACTTGCGCGAGACGAGTGGCTTGGGCTAGTGGTATTTGCGACGCCACAATGACGGTATAGTCTTTCAGATCGTCGGCTCCGAGATTGGAAACACTCTTTTCCAAAATGGGACATTCTCCCAACAACATGTTCAAATCTTCCACCATGGGTTTAACAGCATGCGCCACGCTGCTGTATTTGACCTTTTTGCTGGTCTTTGGGGGAGAAAAGAAATGAGGAGCATCGGCCATGGCTTCTACGGGCCGAGTATCGCAGAGAGTGGCGGCAATTCCAGCCAGGACCAAATTCTTGATGACTTCCGCCGAAGTTCCAGTGATGTTTACATATAAAACCTTGGAGCTCTTCATTTTGGCTTGGGATTCAGCACCCCACAAGCGAATTTGACGATCGTAGATATCAGATTCCTTGAGCGCTTTGGTGGGAGCGGCGGTGTTGTTGGTGGTCATTGTTGTGATGGTATTTGTTTCAATTCAATTGAGATTACGAGAAGGAAATGCGAATGACTCGGGTGATATGCAGTAGAGAATGGAGATTGCTGGATGACAATTGCTGGATGATGTCGATCCGAACTAGGTACAGTATGCTTGTGAAGTCTACCTACTTTTTGTCTGAGTTCAGTTGGCTTATTGTTGTGGTATTGAATGAGTCCATCGGGTCGTTTCATGTGTTTGGCGCGCTAACTAATAACCCTTGCGTATCAAAGGCACCAGGTACTACTGGTATTAGCAGACGGAACCTGCTAGACCTTTTTCTTTTTCTAGCTAGAAGCAAGTAGGACTGGTGGATTTTATATCGAATAGGTAGTATGAAATGACTGACTCTAGCAACTTGGACGAAAAGTATTATTTCTCTTGTTGTACAATTTTAAAAGCTATTACATTATGAATACAAGTGCAAATGGGCTCAATTGAGCGCCCACAGCGTAGCAGTTTTTCTTAAAATGATATATCACGCATGTCTCTTCTTTCGTTTTGTCCAGATTCTCCAAAAGATTTTCGTCGCCTCTTTCTATATTGAGACACTGTATCCAAAAGTTTTCGAACATCAGTTTCCAAGGTTTCCGATACTCGCAAGAGAAAACCACTTGGAGGACTATCGGCTGGTGGTAAAACTTTGCGATCAATGTTCTCGTTGGTGCTACAACTTCGTTCCAGAATCTTGAGGGATATTTTCGATTTCAAATCCTTCTCGGTCAACAAGCCGTCGTAGTCTCCTCGGCAAGCGCTATCGTTCATGACAACTTGTTGATATTTGTCCCAAATTTGTTCGTAGGTCATTCCATGGGCCTGGAAACGCCCGTAGCGCTTGAATTGTCGGATCCCATCGTAGACAGTGGCGGCAAGACGAGCTGGTACCGTACTTCGTTCGCGAGCATATAGCTTGGCTGCAACCCTCGCCTTGTAGGCGAGTGGTGCTAATTCCTCGGGTTGTGCGCCGCTCTTGACCAGTTCCATGAGCACACGGGGCATTAGAAAACGATACAATCGTCGTGCCGAACCAGGGTCCAAATCGCCCCACAATCGATTTCTGTTTCCGCCAAAAACCTTGCGAAGGCTCTTGAGACTGGTATATCGGCTCTCCCACTCGCTTTTGCGGTCGTCATACTGGGTTGGTTGAATATCTACTGCTGCTGCTGCTGCTGATGATGATGATGATGGTGGTCTCAGTTTGTTGTCTTTCGCATCGTTTCTCAACACCAACCCCTTTCCAAGACGACGATCAAGACTTGCATGTTCTTCTTCGGAAAACTGCAATGCTGGGTGTGGGATAGTAGTAATATAAGAAGCAGAATCAGAGCTGGACTGAAACGACCTACCCGCGGAAGAAGTAGCAATCAAAAGAGAGAAAATCAATACACTGAGCGACCATGCCAGTGAATGCTTTGCCCGACTTATTTGGTGGAATGCTGACAATGAATTTTGGAATTGAATTATCATCATGAAGGTTGAACTGAATGTAATATTGCAGTACTGTACGTTTCAGGGAATATAAAGCAATTGAGAAATTTGCAATAAGCTTGAGAGCCGCGACTGAATCAATCTGTAAGCTCTTTTGACAGCTGCTGAAGGGCTGAGAGTGTATTAGTGGCTTCTTGTCGACAAAATCATAGCTTTTATTTGTTCAGAATGTTTTTCTTCTTTTTTTCCGAATTTTGACGTGGCCGTTTCCATTGTTGCTGCCGACCAATCAGAATTCAATGCTCGAATCAATCCACGAAACACCCACCCAAAGTTTGGTAGAATTTTATAAAAAATAGCACCATACTGTAGAGATCCAAAATCACCAATTTTTTGATGTACTGGCAATTTTAAAAAAAGCCAATAATACAGATAGATTCGCTTTTGTTGTTGTGTTTCAATTGATATATAAATATATGTTCAAAGTAAGAATAGGACCACCACCTACCGTTGAAGCACTGAAAATTGAGTTACTTGGAGGAATGAGGAAGTGACGATAAAAGTCCACGAAAAACCCACCCAAAGTTCTGCAGATTTCTAAAACCTCCAATTGTTAGATATACTGGCAATTTAAAGTCAATAACACAGATGGGCTCGCTTTTTTGTTGTGTTTATATTGATATGCTCAAAGTAAGAATGCGACTTATCGTTGGAGCATTACAGTACCGGTACTGTCACCCATCGTTTCAAACGAAAAATTGAGTTAATCAGTCGAAGTGGTCGAAATTTGACACCATGCAACCGATGCCGATGCATGCCTATGCCCACAACCTCAAGTGCACCACCTAGGAAAATGATGATGCAATCCGTCATATCGTTTCTCTTCCCTCCCAAACCAGGAGAGTCCAAGGATCTTCCTATTGAAATCACCGCCTTG